TCATCAACACTAAATGTTATACTATATTAACTGAAAATATCATGAAAACTAGGAAAAATTGATCCAATTTAATTTTTTTTTCTTGTCTAAATTAGATACTCTTCGTAATTATAAGACAAGGGTCATAATGCATTCCATTCCAAGGACTTGTAATCAACTAAAACAATAAATGAAAAAATCTGCATAGACAAAGAACTACAATTATATTACAAAACAACATATTTTTAATTTGATTCAGACATCAAAAAATTACTCTTAAAAATATGCTTTAATCAGTTTTTAATCATTCTAAACAGTTAAAAAGTCGAATTTCTGTCCCTGTTTAGGTGTAGATAATTAGTAATTTGATATATATATACAGTTTTTTTAACATCAATTAGTTTAATAGACTATAAACTTTGAAATATTTTTAGACTTCTCCATCTAATTAGGGAAGAACAAAGTATGTATTTCATAAAGGGCATAGTATAATATAAATCGCATTGTCTCTAATTTTACCTCATTTTTGTTGGATACATATTTTCTAAGTACAAAATGACTTTAATCACCAATGAGACTAGAACGTCATTAAAGATTTATGTTAAAAATATAGTTTTGAGTAGTATGCATGATTATAATTATTTGTGGTATTTTTCATTTTGACACAACTTTCAATTAGTCACTGATCTTCAGCTTGTATTTTCTCATTGGTGCTTCTGTGGTTAAGTTGGTAAATAACTTAAACTACATTGACCCGGAAAAAATACAAAAAGTATTCAGATTAGCATTGTATTGATTTCAAAAATAAAAGTACACGTATACTATTTTTAGTACAGCTTGGAAGGTGCGAGAAAGGGGGAGGAATTTTGCAGAAATACTAATATATTCATACTGAATCATTTACTAGGATTAAGTTAAATCAGCCTTTACAAGGATTAGGATTGAGTGAAAAAGATATAGTTCTTGTATATATATACTATAAATATATATATATATATACATATGTATAGTATACATGATAATATATATGACTTATTAAAATTCATATTTTCAATGATATTCAGACAGTGATTATTGGAACAGTTTTCTACTCTTAAAATAGTCAATACATTTTAGTCTACTGTTGTTCAATTTCAATGTAAAAGCCAAAGATATGTTGTAAAAAAAGATAAATTTCTTTTGAAAGATATTTCTAAAGGAGAAAAATCTACGACCTTTGTACTAGAAACCATTATTTGAATCTTGAATGACGTAAACACTTGAGGATAAATCAATATTTTATATATTTATAACCATCAGATGGCGCTTAGAACAGGTCTTCAAAAATTTTCCTAGTCATTGAATTAAATACAAGTATAGTATTCATTTTCAAGAAAAATAGATTCAATGCTGAAGAAATAAAATTTCTAAGTAATTTGAATTTATTGTTTCTTAATTAGTTCTTCATCTTTTTTTGAAATTAATTTAATTTTTCATGCATAATTTAGGTTAGAAATCAAAAATACATTACTATGTATTGAATATATATAAAAATTGTTCATTTTATAGACCTGTCATATCATACAACATCTAATTTTATATGATCATTATAAAGATAACGCTTATTTGTTCTAAATATTTTCATTATCAGAAAAGTTGTTTGTTATAGGCTAAACCTTTTAATGACACAATTATTTACAGAAAAGATACCATTGTATGAATATTTATAATTCTATTTGCAATATCTATATTTCTTCTACACAATATCTAGATGGCTTTAGTGCTAAGAATCTACCTTTGCTTTACTTATTCAAAGTTCTTCAATTGAGTGCAAGAGTCATATCAACATGCTATATTTATTTATGTTATTTCCAAAGAGCATAAAATTTAACCCTCCGACCAAAAAATCATTAAAATGGCATTTTTAAACTGGTTCACATAAGTTTCTTCAGATGCCTAAAATTCCCCCGTTTAAACTTTATTGTCTGTTGATCCTTGCTTCAAGCATCGAAGTTCACTGTTTTACAACAAATTTATTATTTTGTACAGAACCCTTACAATAAATAAATCTACGCTTTCAGCTGACTAATCTATTTCTTAATTTCAATCATTTCTTTTAAATAAAAAAAACTAAGCAAAAGTTCGCTTTTCTTTGACATGTGTTTAGCCAAAAAAAATAATCATTATAACGTTCTTTAATTGCGATCAGAGTACATACATATGTAGTTTATATGCAATATATATAGTAGGTATACTGTTAAATGCCTCATATCGATTATCTAATATAATCCATATTCAGTAAGTTATCTCCAAAAAACACTTAATTGAAATCAGGGTAAGGATACCTACATCGATCACTTTATCATTAACGTTAAATGTCAGTTTACTCATTTAGCTCAAAGTTTTATAATGATAACCATTCCATATCAATGCTAAAGATATTTATAACTTTTGGCTTTACATTTACTTAATATTGTTAACTTTTCAGTTACTTTCAAGAAAAAACATATTTTGAAATGTTTTACTTTTTAAATAGTTTTGTAATAGTTTTTTTTGTCTTGTTTGTTAAATGGACAGCTGTCCATAAAATAGATACTTTCACCTACTGCCAAGGTTATGTAATGTAACTTCCGGTGAAAAATTTCAGATAAGAGAGCCGCAACTACTATTTTAAACCTTATAGTTTTTTGGTAAAGCTGTCTGTTTTCCATGTGAAAATTAACATATCATTAATCAATATAGAATGTGCTAGTGCCTCATCTGTTAAGAGGAAAAAAGTATTATTGCAAGATAGAAATAATGTCCAGCTATATTATCTTAGTTGAAAATAGAAATTTCTTTTAAAATAGTAACTTAATGAATTATTCATCTTCTGTTTTGTCTTAAGGGTAAATAATGAAATCATATGGTATGTAATATTATCAAAATAGGAATTTAAAATTTCTAATTGATACAATTTACAAATGACAACACATAGTTTATAAAGAAAGTTACAAGTATTGAAATATCTTGATTAAGAAAAGTTAGTTTATAAATTTAGATAGCCATCTGCTGAAAAATTAATCGATATGCGCTTTCTTCATGAAAAATTATGACATAGATACTAGGTCGGCTGAGATTTAAGTTATAAGTTATAATTGTAGCACATAGTCATGAAACGCTTGGAGAAATAAATTACTAAAATATGTATTATATGCACACTTGAATTATATTTTAATTTAGGCGTTTTCTAGAAACATTCTCCTAGTGTCATCGCTATGAATTTTTAATGTAGTAGAATTGTCTAGAGGTTTTCGCAATTTGCATATGATTCTTGCTGTTGCCAAGCTGTGATAAAGACATACACAAAAATAATTGAAGTTTCTCGTGATCTTTAACTGATCTTCATAGTTCTAGAATCAAGTGTTGTAGCAGAATCGGCTATGTTTAGCCTATGCGAAATCAATGTACACTTTAATATTATTCGTAAACGTAATGAAAGTTGACATGAAAAATGAAAATGAGAGTGCTAACTCTTGTTCACTTAGTATGGAAGAGTATATGAGTATGATGAATGCCTGATATATTTTAGATCATCTGTTAAGAACAAAATCAGCGTGTAGTCAGGAAAATCCGGCATTAATGATAAGTAGTGGAGAGCATTATTAAGAGTAAGCAGTTAATGTTTTCATTCATAATGAAAATGGAAATTATTACTCAAAGGTAGATGCACTCTGACGAAGGAAATTTCAGGACGCAAACAAAGTAATACTGCTATTGGATATGATAAAGAGCTAGTGTAGTAATAGTAAATACTAACAAGCATCGGAAACTCAATATGAGAAACAGACTAGCAGAACCGACCGAGATTTGGAACTACCAGATAGAATTGCTTGTAAAAGAGATATCGATGTTCGAGTGGATGTCTGACGTGGAGGTTGAGTTTAGAAGGAAATGAAATCAGAGCTCGAATAGATCTTGAATATTAATAATATGTAATTCATTTTAATCATTTTCATGTAATGCTTTTTATCATTAGCTGTAAGGGAACTTGATAAAAACCTCAAATATTTTTCTAGCATCGTGAAAGACATAATATTTAGGATTTTTGTAAATGCTCAAACAGTATTTTAGTGAATATGCAATATATGCAAGTCTCGTTTTAAGATTGGCTTGAAAGAAATAACGCTATATGTAAGACTTCCTTTACAGAACGTATAGGAGATAGTACATTTCTGATCTTGTACGATATTTATCCATTTTACTCTCTTGACAATTATTACTATAGTCGTACTTGTTTGCGGTTTACAACTCCACGGATATAGCTGCAGGCTTTTGAATTTGACAGCTACTTGATCCAGCAAAGTATTAATACTTCATATATACCGTGCAGACGTTTCGATAGATCTCATACAATTGCAAAGTTTCCTTAAATAAACTGATTATGGTTTATTGATATACTTTAGATTTCAGTAATAGTTAAGCTAGAAAGCCAAACATTTAAAATCTTAGTAAAAATACAAATACTATATACAACACTTGTGTAAGTTTTATGTCTCATAGTTAGGTCCACTCCCTCCTTGTTGCGGTTCATTAGTATCTAATATATCGATCTAATATCTATTATCAAAGTTCTGCGATAAGATTGCCTCAAGAGAACTGTTAGCTCCTTTATCTTTTTCATTCTTTACCCCATGTAGGCTATCAATTTATTTATATAAACTTTCTGACTTATACTCAAAGTAAACACAGTAAAGCTTAGTTCTAAAAATATTTATCATTGCTTATTCTTTTCTAATTTAACCCTTGTTGAACAAAAATTAATTTAAACTTTTTAATTAATGGCTTTTATTTGAAATTAAAGTTCCTTTTTAAAATATATTTTTCTATATATAAATCTTAACTATTAGCGTTTTTTTCTATATGAAACGTCATCTTTCTAACGGTCAAATCTATGAAATATATATACTTTGCTTTATGAGATAAGAAAAATTTCTTTTGAGCGATAAACACACCTTTCAAGTATATTGCGTACCTATTGCTGAATGATTGTCAAATAAAACATTTATATAAACCGGTATAATTTTGACAATATTTTACCTTCACTACTAAAAGGAAAATAAATAGTTGACCAATTTTTAGGTTTTAAGAAAACATTGATAATCGATTTTTTGTTTTTCGTTTTAAGAAAAATATTGTTTTCTCTGGATTTTTTCGTCCTCAATTAAAAAGTTATTTTAAAATTCTGTCAAGGTAAGTCCGTTTACTTGACATATGACTAATGGCCTAGATATCTCTGCCTGTTCAACAGTAGGAGTACCTTTAATCACTAATTCTAGGCGACAAAATGTTTCAATCCTTAAAAAAAGAGGTTGCTGCTAATGCTGGTCTACCTGGATCGGGAATTGACCTTTATCTCTCATATGATAAAAAGTTTATTGACTTGTGGAAAAAAATGGTTGATGCCAAGGCACAAAGTATAAAAAAAATGATGAAGTGGGCAATGCAAGAAGATTGTAAAGTACTTCAAGCAATGTTTACCAGAATTGCTGGTCTAGAGAGTCTGTGGGTCACACTGCAGAGACATTGTATTTCTCAGGTATTTTGTCTTAAATGAACACTTCTTCTATCTGTGAACATTGATATTTTATATATAGTATGAAGCGCAGAAAGTTAATTTTAAGGATGTAATAGAAGGAGAAAAAACTTTAGATATAAAGCGAATAGAAGCCAAAACCTTAGAAACTAAAGTGAATAAACTACTACAAAAAGTTTGTTTCATAACAACTTAATTCTGCTAATATCGTCCAGTTTCTTAATATTCCATTTCACATACCTCAGATTGAAAATAAAAAGAGCAATGACAAAAGAGAGACCACTCTGCAACAGGTTTTATTCTCAAAAATCTTTAAACTTATCAAAAGATAAAAGTTTAAGCCACCTTTTATTTACTTATTAAAAATTATCTATCATTTCTACAGTTGATGCTTGACCAAGAGAAACATACCGACGAATATTTCATACTACTAGATAATCACAATGTTTTTAAAGTAATAGTTGAATAATAATTCAACATTCATTTTTGAAATATAACTATCTTAACAAACAGATGTCTAAATTTCAAAAAATTGTATCATCTAGAACAGAGACTTTTAAAAGAAGTTATTCTGATTGTTTAAAATTATGCGATTCTCAAAAGGAAATAGTTGATATTTTCCTCAGTGGAAATTTGTCAAACTTGGATCCTACTTCAATATCTCACGACAAAATCCACCTTAGTGCTTGTGTTGTTACGTCAGTAAGTCAAGCTATAGGATTGGGGAATATTTCTCAAGGATCGTTCATTGGAGACAACTATCAGGTTAGCAAATCAATTTATTATTTATTGTAATTAGTCATTGAAATAATCATGATTTCTTTTCACTGAGTCATAAAAATAATAGCTAAAGCTATTTTACTATATTGAATATACCGTATGTAAGTGAGCGGAAGTGTCTACGTACACAGTTTTTATTATTTTATTATTCGCAATTAATTAAACCTATCAATATCTTACTTTACGAATTATTTATTACCTTTGAAATTGTTCATGCTAGGAAATAGTTTATCGTCTAAGTTTGTGTTATTATTTCAAATTACTTTTTAAGTCTTAATCATTGTTATATCCTATCGAAGACCAAAGCTTTAACTATACTTTTAGTTCATGAAGATCAAACAATTTACCTGTAGACAAAAAAAAAAGAAATTTTTTAAATTCTGGTGAATTGCTATGATAAAAACTCAAGCGAAGCCAAATTGAATACTTCAGACGTTTATATAAATATCCTCTAAAGAAGTAGGGATTTATTTCTGAAACTATGATTAATAAATGTAATATAAGAATCCATAATGGAAAGGAGCAGAAAAGTAAAAGAAAACAGAATTCAATATCATTAAATAATTCATTAAATGATGCTAAGCATAAAAGAAAAACGTTTTAGTTTAGATATTTTCATTATTATTTAATTGTCTCCATCAATTTCTCCATCATTCCCCTTCAAAGTGGATATCTAATATTCTAAACACGAAATATATATTCTATTTTCACTTTTAATATACTTCCTGTTTAGAGGAATCCATTTTTTGAGAAAATACGTATATATGCTTCCTTTCATCCACTGACTGTATGATAGACGATGTAGGGTCATAACTTCGTCTTTTTCGCCACTAATCGACGCTATATTATTTGACATAATTGCTATAAGATAATTAACCAATATGATTGACACTGTTACAACAAATAGTCCATGTACAAGCTGAAATCCACTTGTTTTCGATAGTGCTAGTTCGTCAACGTTTACTAGATTTAGCATCAATTGTAAGAGGTGATAAAAAGCAGATGAGAAGCTGACAATGAAAATATTTTGACAATCGCCGTAGATTGTACTTGTTTTGAATAGTATGAGATTAAAGCCTGAAAAGATTAATACAGCCACGAGTATAAATTTGAGGGCGTCTGTTAAAAGTCTGTTCATCATTATTATATGATCTCCAAAAAATTTAATCGTCTGCAAATACGATTGCATCACCCAGACAGCAGAAATATAAGATGCCAAGTATATTATATCAGCTCCATCGACGTTAGAGTGAGATAGTAGCATTACCTCAAAAATTGTTGAACAAAGAATCAATGTTACGTCATAAAAAGAGTATATGATCTAAATACGATTTTAAACCATTCTTAATAAGCCATTGAATGTGTTTTATAGAAATCATTTAATATATTTTTATACCAGAGTACTATTTACAAAATATGAAAAATTAATTATATTTTACATATGAATTATTTAAAATCGTATTCCTGATCATTTTGAAGAACAAGTTGTGATGCTTTTGCTATTCTCAACTTTTGATAGTGTTTAACACGAACTCGCTTCTTTTGAATTAATTTGCTGAGAAACCAGCTTATTTTCCATAATAAAATAAGTAAGTTAAACACAAGAAATGTGAAACGTAACGCTTTACGCAACTGCGGGGTTATGAAACCCTGTACATATTTAGAACAGTTATCATTGGTAGAATTTCCCAAATTTGCTTCTAATCGAAAAGTAAAAGGGTCTACTAAAACAAGAAGAGTCATGTAAATTACCCTATACATAAGATGTATGAAAAGCAAATAGATGTTAGTTACACTTGCAGAAATCCATTTTGAAAAAAATGGAGAGTTTATCATAGATATGAAGGCAGTGTTGTTGAGTTCATACATAGTTACTTTTGTTATGTCATTGAGAGGACTTTTGTCGACTCTGGAAGACGATTTATGTTTATGTTTCAAATTATCAATTATATCAAAAATAAACTAGACTTTTTTAATTATTAAGCTTAAGTAATAAATCGTTTTCCTTGTCGTTTCATAATCTGTTATATCGTAGAGTATTTCTTGATAATATCCCAGAAATTTACAGGATTTCCTATAAACACCGTTAGTTTCGAAAAATCTTAAAAGTACTTTATAGGCTCCAACTTTGGCTGCTAACTCTACTGGGCGAAGACCTTGTTTGTTTTCGCTCATAAACAATTTTGCAAGTATTGCAATATCAAATTCTTGTAATAAATAGTTATAAACATTAATAAACATTTGCTCATTATTTTGATTTCTTGAACTAATAAGAGCTATAATATGAAGGGTATTATCATCGTTGCTCCCAATTGCCGTTATATCTACGCCATTCCTGCATAATAACTTTATTAGATCAATATTTCCTGAAGATACAGCGACGTGAATCGGTCTTTCAATCAAGAAAGATACTTTTCTTCTGGGAATTATGAATTTTCCATTGATTAAATCATAAGTGTTAACCTATTAACATGATATATACATTAAAAATATATAGAAATATTAAGATATCTTTAAATTATAATTTATTCTATATATCTTTAAGCTATAAATCACATACTTCAGCTTGATCGAAGAAAGTTGTCACAGAATTGATATCACCGTTCCTAAGAGCTTCAAAATAGCCACGATATGTATTTATGGGCAAACTTACATAGGCCATTATCTGATTTTATAAATTAAACGAATCATCACGTTTATAAGTTCTGGTACATTTAACACCATTTGCGACAGCTATTTCTAAAAGTTGACCATCTTCAGTAATAGACCTTTCAACATGAGCATCGTAAGGCTTTCCTTTTTGAATTTGCTTAAATTTGCCGTCTTCCATAAAGAATGTTGACTGAATCGACAGAGTGACTAGTGATATCAGGTTTTACTTTATTATACGCTTACTTACTTTTACTTTTCTGCCATCTGGTGTGACTTCGTCAAATTCTTCGTTTAGTTTAAAGTATAAGTCACCCTTTTTTGTTGCAATCTTGTATTTAAAGTTGATGGTATCACCATTCAAACTTAGCTGGTAATAAGTAGTTGCCATACCACCGGCTTTTCGAAGTAAGAACCCAACCTCTATGTTTTCAAGTAAAAAATTATAGAGATGTAAATTTTCTTAACATTCTGAAAAGAGTTGCTTTTCAATTTATATAAACATACCTAATTCTTTCATAAAATTATCGAAATTTTCAATGGTATTCGATCTCCATTTACACATATACGGCTCTACGGACATGATTCAATGTATATGACCTAATGTTCTTTGTCGCTAAATTAAAATCTAACTAACAGCTCTTACAGTCTTATCATCTATTGGACTTTGAGTTGATCGATTAGTGTCTATCTATCCAATAGATTACGGTGAGAATAATTATTTTATAAAAAAAAGTACATTGTCGATAATCGTAAATTTGTATGCTCTTAAATGAATATATGTAAAGTGTTCAGTACTTTCACACTCAATAGATGGCTCCGCTGAAAAAATAACTTGAGGGTCTTTTGTTATGCGTTTTCTAAATCTAATCTTTCTCTAAATTGAAATACCAAACCTTAACATTTTTTTGTGTATTGCAACATTTCTATGTTTTTAATTTAGGTCATAAACCATCAATCAACGGCAAGGAGGAAAGCCTATTAATTTTTCACAAAAAAAAATATATACACATGTATGAAAATAGAGATACAGGGTTGCAGATGAGATAAAAATCAATATTATGTATCTATGCTTTTATCTAATTTGAAAAGTTTAATTAATTAGCTTTATAAGATCGTATTATTTTATTTTTGTTTTTACACTTTTACAAGAATAGTACATTTAAATATATTATGAACATTGTCCCTGTTACATACATTTTCTATTAGAAATATTATTATTGGTTTAATTATAACACAAAAGGTTTAGACGTTTTATTATCATGTACTCTATTACTGTAGTTCACGTAAGTGTGACCTAACGTATCATTTGTACTATTTGTTTCTGTATAGAAAAAGTTAAATGAGTCACTTCGTCAGTCTTAATTTAGAGAGGTTTATCGATAAAAAAGTGAAAATTAGTTTCCTTTGGACAGAGTTTAAAATACTTCTTTTTTATTTTCAGTCTTATTAACAATTAGACCATATCTTTAGTTTGTTGAAAACTTGATGATTAGAACACCCTCTATCTTGCATTCGTGCTGAATCTTTTTCTCTTGTTTATCAGATGAAATTTTAATAGTTCGTTTGAGCTTTAATGATAGTGAACATTCTGTCATGATTTATCCATATTCATAGGCCATTGACTTTTATTAAAAAGAAATGTATTATGTCAAGTGTCGTTGGTACTTTTAAGTAAATTACTTGTTTTAGAAAGATGACACCAAGACTGGCACTTTTAAGAAGTCATTAATTTTTTTTTTTTAATTAAAAGCTTCTGTTTTTGTTTTATCACTTTACCAGTTTCAAATAAGGCTGAACTATCATTATTTCGTAATTTCTTGCCTCGACATTTAAATATTAAATTAAATAGGCGCCGTCTGAAGTGTGTATATTGTAAAGTGTAAACAAACGGATTAATTACAGCATTAGCGAGGTAGGCTACAATTGTTAGTTGGTAGTAATTGCTTGAATATTGAATATTTTTGGATCCAATATTTGTAAAGAAAAAACAAAATGCGTTCCAACTGTTGCAAATAATAAAACCTATAGCTACTAATAACATTGTGCGAAAAAGGTTATTTCTTGCTGCTAAACGTTTAATATCAAATCTTTGATGGCTACATCTCCTACTTTTCTGAATTTTCCATGCCATATGAGCGTTACAGGTAACCAGTAATGTTACTGGTAACAACCATTCGGTAACAAAAAGAAAACTACCGAGTAATTTTCGTCCGTTTGGTAGTCTCCACTGTCTCCAGATTAGGCATTTATCACCTACCACCTGATTGACATTGACGGCTGGTACTATTTGTACTAACAAACCACCGAACCAAGCCGTCAACATTGCTATCTTAGCTTTGAATTTCGTTATATGTACGTGATGGAATAAAGGAGAAGTTATCGCCACGTATCTTTCAACAGTCACAATACATAAATTGAATGTTGATACATCAAAAAGACCCCATAACAGTGAAGTTCCTTTAATTAATCTGCAGTATGAGTTCTTCAGCCACCAGTTCAATTGATTATATGCAATATCTTGTCCAATAACCCACACAGAATGTGCAATCATGGAAACTGAACATAATAAATCTACAATTGATTGATTAATGATTAAAAGTTCGTGGATTTTCAATCCTTTTTGATACAGTGCAACAATTACAAGACCGTTGCCAAAAATTCCAAAGCTACCAAAAATTATAGCTATTTTTTGAGATACTTTTTGCATCGTAATCTCGTCTTCTTCCTTCATTTGAGAAGTAAAGTTGTACGTAGAATTGATAATCAAAGAAGTGGAACTCATAGCGACAGCTATGATACTAAAATCTGACGTAGAGTATAAAATAAACACTGAGAGAAAAGAAAACATAAGAAAATAGTTCTTGTCATTGAACAACAGACTTTAAAGAAAATTATAGTTGCATCTAGTAGAAAAATAAATCCGCTTCTATAAATTCTTTAAATAAAAATTTTTGTCATATTTTATTCTGTGTTTTTTTCATTTAGTCAGCTTCACAACACTTGGTTCAAATAGGATAGAGAAATGACTGACTGTTCCATCAAAGCGTTCTTTAATTTATGCTAGCGTAGGCGTTTCTATTTTAATATTCAACGCTTCTGGATATTTACTAATAGTTTTCTTTAATATTTACAATTCAATAGTATGATCCGCTAATCCTAATTTTTTTTTGCAAATGTATTTTTAAAACAAACTCTGACAAGCAAAAATTATGTCATCGTATATAATCGCTTTTTTGCAGAAAGAACGGTTTCTATTCCAGGAAATAGAATGACTAATATTTCTAATTAACTATGTACAAATAAAGTGACGCCCAACAAGTATTTAGGTTTGAACTTAATGCGTTTGTTTTATTAAATAGAAATAACAGTACACAGGACGTCTAATCTAAGCGTATTACAAAATAAAATCACGGCTCAATAGCTTTCTTGCTAGTTCAATAGTTTTTATATGCATAATATTAAAAGTGGAAAAAGAAGAGGCGGAGAATGGGAAATTTTTGAATGACAGTTATCCTTTTAGGAAAGATCACCTTTTTTTTTTATTTCTTCATTTGTCTGCTATCAATATTTAACTAGCTTGGGAAATGATTACATTGCAATCCAACTAACAATAATAGATAAATCATTGGCATAGCCAAATATACTATGATTTTAAATAAAACTTAACATTATCATCGTCCTTTATTAAACAGGTATAGCTAAACTTGTTAAAATCTGCCTATTTGAAGATAATGCAAACGGTAATTAAACTCTCTATAAATAATACATCTTAGGATGTTTAATTATAGCTTTGCAAGACCTAAATTTCAGATCATATTATTACAGTTGATGAGTCTTTTATCGGTAGCTTCCCTCTTTTTTAAAATACTAGCTCTACATTTAGGACAACAGGACTTTTTAAATATATTTGTTTATTTAAATTATCCCGGCTATCTCTGGTAATTGATATAAATTTATATGATATTAAATTAGAGATTCAAAGGCAAGAAGGAAAAGAAAAAGAGTGCAAAAAAACAATGCTTAAATCAATACTAATCTAGTTGACCGTTATTAATTTCTATATTCGAGTTCTCCCACTGAGACAAACATGATAAAGCGTCAATGAAAGGAAATCTAATTAAATGTCTAATTAAGGTATTGATAAGTAATATTTTAGTCAACTACTCCCAAATGAGGCTACTTCTCATGTTTCTCAGTAGTGTGACGTCACAAGCTTTTGCTTGAGATGTTTTCTGCTAAACTCTTTCATCGAGCCGGTAAGTCGATTAAGTTTTAAAAAGCGTTTGTAAACAAATATTTTACAAACAAATATCACTTGTTTTAACAAGTTGACACTATTGTCCATATTTAACAAATTACCTATTAAGTAAGTTATGTTTGAGGCTATATTGTTCATCATCTTTTAGTATAGCTTTGTTTTAACATCTTGACGAAAACAACAACTGCAAAATATTTGACCCAATAAGGTTAACATCCACAACAGAGAGTATAGAATGTAATATACTAAAATTTTTAACATTTTATAGTAATTTTACTTAACATTTCATGTCTTCAACACTTATTCATTTTATATTTGACTACTACTTTTACAACGATCACTTGCGAATGATGTGCTACATGTATTTTTAACTTCCTTTTTCCTGTCAAAGCAGAATATAGAGCGTAAACGACGTCTAAAGTGGTTGTATTGAAGAGTATAAACGAACGGATTTATCATAGCGTTAGCTAAATACATCATTTTTGTGGAGTGGAATAAGTTTCTGTTGTAAATTTTGGCTCCCATGTTCATTAAAAAGAATAGAATGGCATTCCAACTGTTACAAAGAATAAAACCTATTGCCACCAGTAGTAAAGTTTTAAACAAGTTATTTCTGGCCAATATTTTCTTATCTTCGTTTAGCGCATTAAGCTTACGACTTTTATGAATTTTCCATGCCATATGAGTATTACATATAACCAGTACGGTTACAGGTATTGTCCATTCGATTAGCAAGAGGAAAAAACCATATATTTTTCTACCGCTTGGCACAAAATTCGAATATAGTGCACATTTATTCTTTATCATTTTATTGACAATGGATCCCCCAGTAACCTGTGTTGCTATCCCTAATATCCAAACCAAAACCATAGCTACTCGGGTTCTGTACTTCGTTATGTGTATATGATGAATCAAAGGAAATATAACAGCAATGTATCGTTCGATAGTAACAACACACAAGTTACAACTTGATATATCGAAAAGACCCCAGAGAAACATCTCTCCCTTTATTAGCTTACACTGGATATCATTAAGCCACCAAGTATGATTAGCAAATGGCAAACTTTTCCCTTCATTTTCAGAAAAAGATATGTTTCAAGTTTGAGGATATTTTTTATAATAATATAAATAAAAACTTACCGATAATAAGTGTAAAATGTACGATAATCATAGCTGAACACGACATATCGATTATACTTTGATTAATAATTAACAATTCATGTACTTTTATTGACTTATGATATAGCGCCAAAATTACTAAACCATTGCCAAAAATTCCGAAAGATCCCAAGGAAATAGCAACCCATTCAATTATATAATCTGCTTTCGTTCTTGATTGAGTATATATAGTTGAGTTTGTATTTGTTTGAAGGGTTGTTGGTGTTGTTTCATATAATTCTACATTTGAAGTGTTACCATAAGAAACGGGAGTAGCGAAAGAGATATTTTCATAGATATATATTTTGGGAGTAGTATAACATCCAGTTGAAAATATAAAAAAAATGATAAGAAAATGGCACAGATATTCGAAAAGTTTCATTTTCCCCTGTTCATATAGAATCTATCCAAATTGTGAGGAAGTAGAAAAATTTACATTTTCTATTATAATAATAAATTCGTAGTGAAACACATAAATGTGAAAGTTGTTATTTCTTGTAGTTGGGGAAAAAAGTCTCAACGTCTGTTCAAAGAGTATTTTTACCTTTACAACTCCAACTAACTTCTTTCCAAAGAAAAGTTCCACTGTTCTTCATCTTTAAACATGTTCGACGTTAGTTTGATAAATCCAGTGTGGCAAATTCCAACTCTGGTAAAATTATACATAGATTAATATCTTTGTTTCAAAGAATGCCCTCTCTCCTCCCTAAGGCAATGATATAGCCTCAAATTATTTTTTCCTCTCAGCAGGAATGGAAATACCCCCTTATAGATTTTCATTTTGAGAAATATCTCTTATTTGAGAATATCACGACTCAAGTTAGGTCTGTGATCATTTGATAAATATAAGATTCTTTCGATTCTAAATTATAAATAGATTAAATTACAATAAATATTTCAAAGGCAACGTTCGCTTATAATTCAAAAAGTATAAATTCATATAAATTCATATTGTATTAAATAGGGGAAAAGTAATTAAGAAAATCACAGATATTTATTTTGACAAACTTACCTTAGTTTCAAACTGATGTGTATACGTGCCGTTTCTTGTTTGAAAATAGTAACTGAAGAAAGGGTTGAGACAGGGAATAAAGGTGATTTGAGGAAGGCACGTACAAATACCCTCTGAAATAGAAAACTATAAACTAGTCTGTTTTTTTTAGACCAGAGAAAATGTTGCAAAGTGTATACATAGAAATATTAATCATGAACAAATTTATATTATTATTCTTAGTTGAAAAAATAAAACTATTTCCCTTAGGCTAAACAACAATGGCTGGAGGAAATAGGTGCGGAAGAGGAGAATGACGTTTATGGTACCCTAGTAAGAGATTTGGACGCTGTGTTTGCCAGCGCAATTTACAATCCGATACCGGAAGATGATCAGAATCAATCAGGAGGAAGTACCCCAGCGTCAGATCGAAATTATGATCGTATTTCGTCTCATACATCACTTGGAAAAACTACTTCACTGCAGAGCAACCTCACAAATAGTACATGTATGACCTCTTACCTTCAACATTAATCTAAAATGTTTGCTTTGTTATAACTAATTTGTTTTTTATTCTAGCTTTCCCATTTTTTCTCCTTATAAGTTTCTTACAACAATAATATGTACAATTTAAATTGTTTATTTAGCTGAAGATGGAGACTACTCCTACGTAGATGATCACGAATATTCGGTCGTCGACAATGACTCGGATGAAGAATATACCCAAGACACACCTACTAGAGAGCCATTGCATAAGAACTACAACACAGATACGGATTATGAAAATGTTGAACCACCTGCAAAACCTGCTCCAAGACGATCCGTTAAAAGAACAGAATCGGATTATTTAAATATTTGTGAAGATGGTTAGTAGATAAACTTGTCGGATTTTTAATGCTATACAATTCTATTAATTAAACGTAACTTTTCAAATTTAATTAGAGCCCCCGCAGTTGATGCCTAAACCTAAAACAGACATGCCAGAGCAGAAAAGTGAAAGGAGAACGTTAGTTTCAGAAATGGCTAAAAAGTATGACAACTCTATTATTAAACCTGCAAGAAGAAAATAGTAAAAAATATATTTAACCACCAGTTGTGTAGATTAGCATAGCTTCCATTAAATTTTAGGAAGCTTTCTATATGTCTCTTGGTCTTTTCTCAGTTTAAACAGCGCCATAGATGTTATCATTCTCTTGGTAAAATGTTAGAGAAAATTTTTAGCAAATCCATATATATCCCTTTTAATTTTACTCATTCAATTCTGATGATGTGTTTTTTTTTTTTATTCGAGTTTGTTTAAATCTAATCGGAAATTTAGCTTTAAAAACCAGACTGATGATCAGCAGCCAAAAAAAATCTAAAAATAAAAGGCCAGGTGGTGCCTAATTAACTTTTCTGTTATTTTGACTGCTGTAAAACAACTAAAAAAAAACAAATCGTTTGCCTCTTTTTATTTTCTGTTTCTGAATACACCCTTTAATAAATATAATCTTAACGAATTATGATTTCTTTATAATTTATAATTAATGTCTATTTCATCTAGCGCCTTTTTTAGTCTATAAATGTTTATTCGCATATCACCAAAAGAATTCAATGGCAATTCATTAATTCTCCAATAAGATTGACCCAACATGTCCGCAGTTTGCCAAATTATTGTATGAGCAGTATTCTTTGGTATTATGATCCCGTCTAGTGTTGTCGGCATATATTCAACTATAGTAGCATTTAAAGTCGCCATCTGTATTGTATACATTGAACTACCGTGGACGCCAATTATTATTCGAGCCTTGGAAAATATATCGATGGTGGTCGGTAAAGACAATAAGTCATCGAAAGAGAGACTATAGATTGTTGTATAACGTTCCTTTAAAAACATTTCAACTGTTTGATAGTTAATAATACTTCTCTGCATCTCTCCTCCAGAAGTATATATAAATATGACGCTGGTACTCTCTAAAGGTACTTTTAAGCTACTTCCTCCAATCAGTCTTTGTCTAGCTTCTCGCCAAAGGTACGGATGTAGAGGTGGTGTTAAGCAAGCGTTAACGTGATAATGGACAGTATAGAAGGTTCGATCGTAGTAAACAATTCTCTCACCGAAACCTAACTTTTGTAGAATTTGTCTTATTAGTTTGCTCCTTGGCCTAAACAATACTATTGATGCCCGCGTTTCTTTTAAAACGTTACTGGCCTGGAGGTGTTATTCAGAATTATAAAAAGGTCAAATTTAAGTTATCTGGTAATCTCTTTTCCAGATTCGAGAATTCTTAAACTTTTCATTTAATACTTTTTCAAGAAGTTGCTTTTATCATGCGATTGAGTTAAATTTTAGCTCTGTATTGAGTTGATAATTAATTTAACACCTCTCAACGGAAATTCTGAATAACTCCCCTGAACAATTTTTGGTAAGACTCCGTCCATAAAATGCTGAAAACTGTCTGATTGAGGTACTAGCAAACCAGCAGCAACCTGTAAAATATTACCTTGTTTGTTTGATTTATTTTCGAAATCTTTGAATTTCGTTTTCCAGCCACAATCAAAAGATTCGTGAATCGTTGCATTTTGCTGCATTACAATACGACCAATCAACCTCTCTCTAGACACCTTCTTCATTGCTTCATCATTTATCTTGTTAGTAAGAAAGGCTACTTTATCTCTCTCATCTATGAAATTAGGTCTTCTTATCTTGAACGGAGGATAAATAATTGTTTCGTTGATGATCCGCAAATAATTTTCTGATATAAAATCCACTTTCGAATGAGATGTCGTCTTCTTAACAAAACTTGTTTGTAATAAAACATTATCATGCTTTAGAATATCGAAATTCAATTTTATAGCTAGTAATAATAGAAATACAACGCAAAAGACTCCCCCATACAAAAAGAATCTTTTACACCATCTTCTAGTAGCTCTCTTCATAGGTTCATAAGTTTTCAGCTTTTAGTATTATTCGTATATGATCAACTTCTGTCTGAGAGTGAGATGTATACAGTTTTGCGATCAGCAGCCCCCTCTCCTCTCTTCCTATTCACACCCTTTTCTACTAATTTTTTGGCTCCCTCTCTTAACTTTTACCAATTGTTTATATTCGAATTTACAGGTTTGCTCTTGAAAATATACCGTACGTAGGTCAGAGTTGAGGTTTTTCCTTTCTTCTGTTTGCGCTTTAAAATACATTTGATCCTTCTTCTTTTATATCCACAGATGTAATATAGATATATGTATATGTATATATATATATATATATATACACTGTATACTAATGCAATATACAGCAGCTAAATAATATATTTTTTATCTGATTTCTTCTAAGAAATTTCGAAAACCAAACATTAATTATAATTTCGACAGACTTATCTACAGGTCTGTTTAAATTTTCAAGAAATCACCATCTTTTAAATAAAGTCAGCTGCAATTTGACCTTTTAGACAGTAGGGTCGTACTAGGTGAAATATTTCATTAATAGAAAAATTCTTTTCATATTCGCTAACTTTCCTCAATATTATATGTAACTAATAATTTGTAACATTATTCTTTAATTTGGATTACAAAAAGTTTTACATGAAATATGCAGTGTATTATTTAGCTAACTGTTCCTCCTGCTTCATACGCCATCTGTTGAGGTTTAGAAATCTACAAAGAAAGACTTATTCCATAAAAAAAGATATAATTCTCGTAAGATGAAAGTAAGTTATAGTCGCCTTCGATTACAAGGCAAATCCTTTGGGTACAAAAATAAGTCTATAAATTGAATGCTTTATATAAAGTAACAGTTGAACTAAGCACAAAAATGGCTATTTATCGGAATAAGCTACTGTATTTATCCAAGAATGCTGTAATTTTTTTTCCCTATCGTTTATTTTTTTAAAAGAAAAAAAAAGAAAATGTAACTCTTCAGCTTATAATCAAAAGCAAAAAGTGATCTGAAGTGCTTGTTTATCATCAATCATCGGCAAAAACTTCATCAATACTTAATTCTCTTTCAACATGACCTGGAATCCTTAGATATCGGCATTGCTTTAGACTATCAAGAGGTTCGGGTTCGGGTTCTTCTTCTTCTTCAACTAAAGAGCTAGCGACTGATGTCCGTCTTGAGATTAAATTTGCGGAACTTGAAGAAAGATCTTGACCCTTTTTTGGAAGATGTATAGCAGGAGCTGATTGTCTTCTTCCTCTACTTTTATAATCTTTGATTGGTTCTGCTATTGAACCTCTTCGGACAGGTGGCTTAGGAATTGTAGTCGAAACAACAGCAACACTAGCCCTTCTGCCTTTACTTTTAGGTAGTGGCGTTAAAAATACATCATTACCAGTGATACTCACTCTCCTCTGTGCAGACAGTCTTACGTCATCTGTACTAGATCTTCGACTTAATACAACATTTTCTTGCTCATCTATTAATTGCTCAGCTTTCATTCTGACTTGATCAGCCTCTCCATCTAATTTACCTAATTTCTGTTTTAGCTCCCTCGACAAATCTTTGAGTTCACTGTCCAAGTGATTGTCAGTGCGTTTCATATATGAACCAACCATCTTGAATTTACGATTTTTCATACCGTGCATATCCGCAATCTCTTCTGAATTTTTACCCATTTTCACTTTATTTGTTTTGATGACCTAAAAAGTAAAATTTTAAACTTTTCTACTTATAAGGTCAGAAAGAAAGTGATATATAAAGAATTTTTATCAACAATCAAAAATATAGTATACTGTTAAATCATAAAAAGAAACTATTTTACATTAAAAGATTTTATTTTATGTGTTGAGAACAATGAAATCATCGGAAAAAGCAATACCTGACAAGAATCAAAAAGAAAATCTTTCTTTTTTATACTTGAACAAAATCAAGTAAAAGTCTTAAAATTTCGATCCTCTAAAGGCACTTTTTCTTGAAATTTGCTATAAATAAAACAAACGCTGTTATTTTTTATCACTAGAACCGGTTGCAAGGCGTCACCAATATTAAATAAAACCTTGGCACCGTTCTGTTTATATACGGCATACAGTAAATGTTTGTATTGTACAAAGTCGTATATTCATCTTACGACGGTTATAAATTGCAATCTTGTTCAGTTTGCCTGACTTATCTGCTTTTAGCAGGATCATTTATTATTGATTAGATTAATATTTTAAAACGTCGCAGTCGAAGTAAAGGCCTTCTCGCCTAATTTTCTTTTTATAAGAGCCCTTCTTTCAACCTTCTTTCAACATTCTTTCGCCTAATTAGTTTTATTTTCTTAAAAAGAACCTACTACGTGAAGCTGATAAGAATAAATAATAAAAAAGCACTTTCCTCTTTAGTTTTCAATAGCTTACGTTAGAATATTCTTCCTTTATTGTGTTCCTAAGCACAATAGTCAAGTTTTTTTCTAGCAATTAATTGATGAGAAATTTAGTTTAATTTTTCAATATCTTCGTGTCTCTTACATTCATGCTTTAGAAAGTTATTGATTCATTTTTTTCTCAGAAATCTTAAATAATGTGAACTATAAGGAAATTACATTGCAGAATAGCTAAATATAATATCTCTATGTTATTTAATAGAAGTACTTTCTAATTAAGTGATGATAATCTCATTACCAGAGAAATAATTATTGTCTAACAATACCAAAGAGAAAACCAGAGATATAGAACCACATAGCTAAAATTATATATTAAACTATGTTCTCTTCAATTAAGTTATCTATTTCATTGTATTTATTATAAAAAATTATAAACAAATTCTAATTAAATAAATACCTGTTTCTTATTAGGACACAATAGCTTTCATCAAAACGTAAGATACGTCTGTATATATATATATACATGTGTGTGTAAGATGCGAAACTTGGGTAATAAGTGATTTATATGAGATCTCATACTTTTTAGCTCTAAGAATAGACTAATTTTAATTACATTACTGTTAAACTCTTCTAAGAAACTTTGCATCTCGTTTACTTTTTAATAAAAGAATGTAGATGTTTCCATCATTTTAAGTATTAAGTGATTATCAGTTATAGTCATTTATTAAAGTTCAAGTAACAGATATCTGTTGTAGAGTTAGATCAATTTAAAAAATAAACTTTTCCTCAACTATTCAATAGATAGAATTTCTTTTTATTGTAGGAAAAGACGCCTAAGGTGTATATCCTGGGTATATATTAACTACATTGTACAGTGAATTGTATATGCGTATTTCTTTCTATGATTTTATTTCTCTCATATTAGTATTTCTCTTTCTCTGTCCTTAATTTTTGCATTATTAGTTAATTGTAAGTAGAAAAATATGACTGATTATCTACCTCGACTAGGAAATGGAAACTTTAACTTTATAGTTAACAAGATAAAGATATAAATTTAAAAAATACTAAGTAAATAAATAACCATAAAAATACTAGAAATATCTCTTTTATAGCATTATTATTTGGTGCTTTTTCTATAAATATTCTTATAATATTTGAATTACAAAAGTAGCTAGTCTCGTAAATTTACTTCATAAAAGTAATATAAAAAATATAAAGTGGATAAAAAATTGGAGGAAATATATAATTCTCCCTGAGGTTTATCCTCCTCTTCCCTTTTTATTAAATTTTATTTCATTTTATAGAAATGATCTTTCTGCAATTTTTCTATGGAAAAAATCGTTAGAGAAAAGATCGCTGCGAAAAATTTATTTTCTACCAAACACAACATTTATGATAAATATATTAATTGATTTAGAATGGACTGTGCATACGCTGACAACAGCTACATTTATTATTTGCTGTCTCGTTCAGTATTTCTGCTACTATTCGTCGTAAAGTATTCGAATTTTCTCGTTTTGTTAGAAACCTCCTCATCAACAGATGCGTTAGTCCTATTTCTGCACTTGAATAGAATGAAATATAGACGACGCCGAAAATGCTCATATTGGAGCGTGTAGACGAATGGGTTTATTATAGGATTAGCCATGTAAACAATAATAGTTACAAGAAAGAAAGTTGAATTTAAATCGATAACGCTACTTGAAACACCAACGTTATATAATAAGAAAAAGATTGCATTCCAACTATTGCATACAAAAAAACCCATACCAACGAAAAGTAACGTTTTAAATAAATTGTTTCTGGCTGCAATTTTTTTGTTATCGAGGGAATCTTCTGTCTGCTTTCCAAAATTTCTACTTTTGTGTATGATCCAAGCCATATGGCAATTACAAACTATTAGTAAAATTATAGGTAGTAACCATTCTACTACAAACAAGAACACTCCGAGAAATTTTTTACCATTTGGTATAATGAAATGATGCCAAAACTCGCATTTGTCATTAACCATTCTATTTATATTTACAGAACTAACTACTTGAAAACTTAAGCCAAGAATCCAAGTAATAAATACGCATATTTTAGCTCTAAATTTTGTTACATACACATGATGAAACATAGGAAATACTATTGCTATATATCTTTCTAAAGTTAAAACACATAGGTTTGTTGTTGAAACATTCATCAATCCCCAGAGGAGAGTTTCTCCTTTGACTATTCTACATTGAATTTCTCTTAGCCACCAAGAGATATTAGTATATACCATTTCTTTACCCAACACCCATATCGAATGTAGAATCACAGAAAGGCAACAAAGTGCGTCTATCACGCTCTGATTAATAATTAGTAGTTCATGAATTTTTATCTCTTTTTGATATAAACCAATAATGACCAAAGTATTTCCAAATATACCAAAAATACCAAAAGTTATTCCTGAATTCTGAATTGCTAAATTATTATGGGTATTGTTACTATCCTCAGTAATTTTCTCATCTCTTTTACTGGAAGTCTCTATATGTTTGAAAAAATGTTTACAATTTGAAACTGCTTCTTTGCTTATAGCACATATTAAACATGAACTGTTGTTTTCATTCATTCTTGTAGTAACTTCGTTAGAAGAAAATCTGTCATATTCTGTTACATTTGTCCTACCAAACACCTGGCTGGTATTCTTTAAAGCGGTAGTTTTCGAAAGAGAAGCTTTACTTTCACATGATGAGAAACTCTGCATCCAAATTAAAAAAAGTAATATTTGCGAGTACATGACTTCAAACGACTGTCTCATTCTCAACAGTTTGAAAAAGTAAAGAAAGAAGTCTCTTTACCATGTAAAGTAAAGTTTAAAGACCTCACTCCATAAAATTATTAAAGAACGATGAAAGTTAGAAGTGAATGTAGTGTTGAGCTTGTCAAAATAATTTTTCTCTCAAATAACTTCCGGATAAAGCTGTAGGGAATATTTTAATAGTTTCTCCGCCATCGATCATTGGATAAACATTTATTAGAATAATGTACATATATTTACATATACTAGACATATTCATATTAAAAAAGAAATCTTTTAATAAGAATATTAACATAACTTTTAAGACGATTCGCAATTTTAAAAAGAATTTAGCATAATATCTTAATTAGATTATATTTTGTAATATTCTTACATAAAATTCACTTTTCTTATTTTTCTCTACTCTTCATTAATACTATCATTTCATTCATTTATTTTGAGTAATATACTTAATATAACTTTTCATAGATAATTTAACTAACCTATTTATGCAAATACAGTCACATATAGTTAAACATCATACTTTATTATCATATTACTATCATATAGAAGCATATATTCAACTTGAATTTATTAGTCTTATCATAACTGTATTTTTCTAATTTCCAGATAAAAGTAGAGTAAAACTAATAATTTGACCTAATTGAATTCTTCGTTCTTTTGATATGACATTTGGAGTAGAGCAAAAAAATTCTTTTTAAATTACAAACTCTTCTACAATAGAAACTTGGTTTTTAAATCCTGAAAAAGACGGCACAAGAAGACATTAAAAACAATACTTATACATGTTTATTATCAATAATTACCATTATAAACTTCAAAAGATCTGGAGAAATTGCCAGGCAAACGATATTTTAAATATTCGTCTTCCATTATCATCTCATATATCTTTTTAGCGAAAGCTGTGGTCATTTGTATACCTGATCACTACTAAACACTGCATTTTGCACTTGTTGAAATATGAAAATTATAGTGCTATAATTGACTCTTTAGACAGTCAAATAGAGAAACAAATATAAGCTTAAAATTAACTAATACAGTATAAGTAAAATGCAAATTTTTTGTACCTAAAGTGAAAAATAAACATTTTTTTCATTTTTCCAATGATATTCAGTCTTGATTTATTCCCTTTTGTTATATAAAGCCACAGAAACATTAACTATCCAGGAGCATCTATATTTTACCAAATTACTCGTAGTATTAAGCTATTAATTTGGACCTTTCCCCATTTCCAATATAAGACAGTTATATTAACTTGATTCTTTTTTGTCTTTTTGTCTAAAATTTATATAGTTATGAGTAAATATACTCGTCAATAAACAAAAGAATATTTGACTTTGTTTCTAGATCTTTCATTTATGTTCCTTATATATTTCTATCTTTGTGTCACATAGATGTTCACCTGGATTTCATATCGTTAAGTGAACTGTCATATAGTCACCTTTTAAATGTTGACAAGGAATTATTCAATTATAAATTGACAACAGGTTATTTATTATTGCAGATGAGAAAATTAACAAAAAAATTTTGGATCTGATTGGTAGTTTTACTTCTCCGAACACCAGTAGGACAAGCGTTTAACTATTTGTTTCTTTTAACGTTCACTTCACATGTGGAAGATGATAAATGAACCAGTCTAGCTTATGATAATTTGTTTTTTGATTTTGTGCACAGGAGACAATTAAATATTAAATGAGTTTCTTATCTTTAAACCTTCAGCCTAAGAATTTTTTAATGATTATAAATTAACGAAAGTGTCTTATAGTTAAACGAAAAGTTATTTTATTTAATGTTGACCTCTACCAACGAAACTTAAAGATTCAATCGATTTAAATTAGTTGCTGTATTTTCGTTCGAGCTTATAAATTTATGCTAAAATAACATTCAACTTTTTTTCTATAATAGTATTTCAATCGGATTAATGCAGCTATTTATAAAAGTTTTGAATAATGTCCCTAGATATATTTTCTGCACACATACGGTGACAGTCGATATGTAGAATTTATATTTAAAAAATTATGCTAAGAGTTCATACTTGATTACTAGTCGAGTACTTGAACGATGTATAATGCAAGGTCACTTAATATTTGCTTTTTCATTAATCAAGTATATATATAAGCCAAATACGACATCTATCGTCACTTACTAACATTAACTCAGCAATAATACAATTGGTACGACCTATAAATTAATTATATCAACATAATAAATTTGGTTTTTAGTGAAATTAACATTTTATTATGAAAATTCTGCTAACGTCACAAAATGTTCTATTTTAGTGTCAATTCTGTTTTTTACATAACTGGAACATATGATAACTTTTATACGTTTTTTTGTTCCTATTGACATGTTCGGTTTGGACTATTGACGATAACAGAATATTAATAAGGAATAAAAAAGCACTTATATATCTCTGAACGCAACAAAAATATATAGAAAAATTTGTTAAAATCAGACATTTTTTTATAAAAGTGATAAATAAACATGTGATAGATAAAGAGACAACTAATTACTCATTTTCCTGAGTAAAATGTATGATAAAATTAGACAGTATATCTTCTTTCAGCATAATTAATATTTTAACTATACGCTCCTCTATATGCTTTACAGCAAACATGAAAAGATTAGTTCTCTATCTTAAGAATGTTTCGTTTGAAAAAAAATGTACTGTGGAAGAGTATGGAACAAAAAATTGCGCCTATATTCAAAAGCTGTTGATAATGTTTACTTAACGTGTATATGCAAGTATAGAAGTACAACAAATGTAGATATGTATAAATGTACGTATATTTGTATGTAAAATATATAATTAAGTGCTCCTTTATTAATGTAATTAGTAATGTTCCAAACTATGTCGATACCATCTATTCCTCTTTTATGAAATAAATAACAAGCGTGTCCCATCTCTCGAAAGATGCAATCATTCTTTATTAATAAGTTTATATTAGATAAAAGAGTTTATTTATGATAATAAACATTTAGTTTGATCGTCTACGTAAAAATTTTAGTCATTGACGTTGGTATCCTTTAAGAACATTCTTGTAATCTCGTTTTCAATTGTTTTTATTTTGAACTTATCTAATATGACTTTTGTACCTTACTATTGTACCAAATGGTTTATCATAAAATAATAAAATACGCCATCTGGTGAACTATAGAATATTTATACTTTAAAATTATTAATGGTTTACACGCCAAATAGTAAATATACCAACTGATAATTATTATGAAATGTAAAAAATTCCGTTTTGAGGAGAAGGTATAGTTGTTGAAAACACTCACAGCATCTTCCATTATTCTATTACATAGACAACTGAATATCGTATAAGTATAGGAGAATCATAAAATGTAATCTATACTGTTTATTCTACAAAGGAAATTTCATTTCTCATTTCTATTGAATTAGACAATAAAATAGATATACTAACGTGTTGAAAGTTTTGATAAATTAGTAGTGTTCTTCTTAGCCATATAGTTGAAAAAGTTAAGTATTTGAAATATCGATATACCCTTACACTTGAAAGTGGAATTGAAAAATTTACGTCGCAGTTTGACCTTAAATATTCCGATATTTAAAAAATAATAGGATATAGAAACCTACTTCGGCTAATTAAATATTGATTTGAACACACGATAAACATGCTAAAATTCATTATCATGAAAGCTCTCTCACCATTGCTGTTTATGCTTAATCAGCTTTATTTATTCCAGAGTGGAGTTAATGTTTTGTTATCTAAAGTAATAAATGCGTTAGTAATCGTTCTGCTATTTATTAAATAAGCAAAATTTTCTATCTAAATAAGTCTATACAGTTTTATTTTAAAGTATTTCCTAACTTAAATTTAATACGAAATTATTTATGATTTGATAAATGGGCCAGTTACTATACGATATGAATCATCTAACACTCTATCAATGTCAGATTTACTTAGAATTAATGCTAATTAAATAAGGAATAAGAACATTAAATTGTCATAAACAAATTAATTTGGAATATTAATCTCGAATACTTTGAAAAGCAAACAAGTTTTTGGATTTTTCCCTGTCTATCACTTAATCTTAAACCTATTGTTTTTATTCTGTAGTTCTCTTTTAAAAAGAATAATAAATGGAAGATAAAAAATAAAAACAAGGCTAATTTGAATATTTATCAATCGACAATACCAAACAAACGTTTTTTTATTTAACAACGTCTCTTGACCTTAGATCAAAAATACGAGTGAATTATTTGTCTTTTTATCAGTTCAAATCTTTTTTATGATAGTTGTCTTTGTAATTTAGCAGAAAAATCAACAATAGCAAGTGTTTCAAATAAAAGAATTTAAATGCTAAGCGTGTCTTGAAGCCTATAAATTCAAGAAGCTATTCTTCACGATTAACAGGTACTGTTAAATTAATTGATTGTATCAATTAAAAAGAAATACTGCGACTAGGACAGGCGAGTACTGTATACATTTATTCTAATTAATATTAATGAGAGCTTCGATATTTTCATTCACTTTTCAAACATTATTCTCTTACTGATGTAGAAAGGTTTAAGTTTATTACGAAATTTTGTCAAGCCACCTCTTAAAAAGATCAAATATCCAAAAACGAGTACCTTTTTACAAACTCTGTTTGTAGGATACAATGGTTTCAAACTTTAAGCCAATGTGGTTTCAAACGAAAGTTATTTAAACTTCCTCTTTGTGCTTTTATTTAAAAAAATTGTACTTGATTTCTTAGCGTGCGAAAATATTCTTTAGAAACATAATAGCATAATAGGTCTGTCAATGATATCTTTGATTTTGTGGTCTTGGATCTTTCGGTACCCAATTATCCCTCGGGTCAACGTTTTTATGATCTCTTAGTTCTCTTACAGCCGGAGGTTCTTCACACAACGTTCCCCAACGATGACACCAACTACCGGGAGCATGCATTACATCATAAGTACTGCTGCCTAATCTTGACCAGCCGCCCTGTAAAATATAGTAATTTTTTTATTTATTAAAAAAAATACATTGAAAAAAGGATGCAAGCTCAATTCAACTTTGTAGATACTACATTTAAAGATTTATAGACTAATCCATCATGCACGCGACTTAATTATTCTTCTTTAAATAATACTAGACTGAATGTTTAACAATTTATTTGTTATTTCTAATGTTCGTTTCGCATGTAGAAAGAGATAAAAAAAAAGAAAAGGTTCAGTTTGATTTATGACTAATTTTTGTTTTTTTGCTTTATATGAGCTATAAGCTGAACCCGAGACAATTGCAAATAGAAAGACAAAAAGATTGACTATTTCAAGTACGTGATGTTCTGAATATCTTGCAAAATTCAACCTTGAGATTTTTTTTACCATACCTGTAAATTGGAATAAGTTCCAAGAGGTCGCTCAATAATCGCACCATCCGTATTAAACATTGCATTTGACCAAGGTCCTTGGTCATTTCCGTATAAGTCATTACGGATATTGGTAAATTCTCCTCTTGTGTTTGTCGGCACATTTGACATGGTCATAATACCACACGGTTCCTCTGGATTATGACTTAGGCATAATGCTCCTAAATCCTTTGGAAGATTCTCCTTCTTTGCTGTCGTGCAGTAGCTATGATGAGCAATTGGCCTAAAGGGACGATATTCAAACTATGACCTTTCAAGCAACTTATAAACTTATTGAGTCAGTTTTATTAATTTAGTTGGTTAGGGTGATTTTATCTTCGTTTACAAATCTACTACAAAATGACACCGAAAAATATTGATAATGATATTTTAATTGAATTAATTTTTATTAGTTAGCTCTTTTGAATTACGTCCCTTGTGTCCTGTATTTTATCATGCTCCCAGGCTAATCCATAAGTAGAATTCGTGGTGGTATAATGCTCTCTGATTTCCGCCGGGATTTCCGTCTGGATAGTTGGTCGGGTATATAGAAGAGACATTTTAGCAAAGTTTTTTTAAGTTCGTCTTGTTGGTATTGTTACCACTTTTTCATCGATCACGTAACTACGAACCAGCTGCGACATCTATCGTAACATTTTAACGCTTAAAACCCCTTTTATTACAATCTCCATGCGTTTAATACCTATTTCAGATATTTTAACAATGTTCCATTTTAAAATAACAGACATTTTTCTTTTTTAAAAAAATGTTAGTTTTTTCTTCGTTTATATTATATATTCGTAATTTTATTAAACATTGTTAGATCAATATGACCCTGTAACGTATTCAACAATGGCAAAACGCCAAATGGTTTTCTCATTTTTTAACGACTGACAATTCAGCCATTGTAAATGACATACAATCTACAAAGACTGTTAACTATCATTAATATGAACGAAATTTTTTTTATAACTTTATGAATTTTAACACTTATTATCTTATGCATAGAGTATACAGAATGGATGACAGTGTTTTCTCAGTATAAAAAATATTCTGTAGTCATGCAGATTTATATACACCATCTTTATATTTCATAATATATGTAAAATTGATATATATATATATATATGTATATATAGATATACTGTACATACATAAGTATATATATATATATATATATAAGTACTGTATTCTGTAATATATATTATCTGTGTAGTATGCGATATGAATATTTGCATACTTTATACATAGATTCTACACTGTACTGCATAAAAAAATTTTTAGCTATGCCCATATTAAGTATAGAACTACGATTTCTTTTTCAGATATTCGCAATATTATATATGTGTCTTGAATGATGCTTAGTTAAGTATTAGCTTTTCACTATATAACTACACTCATATCGAAAGTTATTAATGCACATGTATTTTACACGTTTAAATATACATGAATTAGCGTATTGATTATAGGCTAAAGTTTTCTATAAAATTGAACAATTTTAAACAAATAGTTGTTGCGCCTCAAAAAAAAAATCGAAAAAAAACTTGTGCATTTTTGGCGTCATATATACTTTACATAAGAAAAATTTAAATAAATAAGTCTGATCAATGTTAAAAAATCGATTTGTAATTCAAATCGATTTTCCTTTAGGATGGCAACACGCTAGCACGTGATTGAAGAGCGCCATCTGTCTATTTAGGCCTACCTGAGAACCTTCTGCTAACGTTCTCTCGCCATTGGTGAATATTTGCTACAAAATCGATTTCTCTCTGCTGAAAACTTTGGCAAAAGTTATTATAAAAGCTACAATAATAAACCTACTTTTTAATCACGATTGTAAGTTTTACTTTTAAGATACTGTTCGATTATTTTCAAAATAGAAGGCGGGGTGGATAATTCTTGCAGACGATTCGTGACGTCACGCTCCGCCATTGCTCGTTGTCTGTCTGGATGAAAAAAGCGTGGATTTAATTTGTTTTTCGTCGTTAAACTGGTGATTTATTTAAGTGAACTCCAGGGCGAGTCTGTTGATTAGAAGCGGAGAATTGACTATGGATACTTGGTGCCTATTGTATGTGATTATTCGGTAGCAATTGTGATAAAGAGCCGTTAAATGTCCAGTGGTGGTGGAGGTGGGGACGAGAAAAAGATGGCTGGTGAAGTTGAAGAGAATCTGTCGAGGAGAAATTCTCTTCAATACGACGCCGATATTGGTGCAAAAAAAAAGAAAGCAACTGGCTTTCAAATTACAAAGGTTTCGCAGCTAGTATCCGACTCCGCTAACTCAGCCGGTAAACACTCTAGTCTTTCGAATCCGAATGATTTAGACGCCGACGAAAGTCTAGACGAAGATCTTACAGACAGTACAAAAACAGAGGAAACGTCCAAAGAAATGAAAACAACTGAATCTGTTGATACTGAATCTGAAACGATTCTTTACGATGTTGCTCAAAAAACATCAGCTATTAAAGGCGATACACAATCACGATTTAAAATTATTAAATTACAAAGCCGAAATCCATATAAAAAAGGTAGATGGACCTGTCAAGATTTCCCGGATCCACCGCCAGCTTCCATGAACATCGAGAAATTGTCGGACCCTCGAGGTGATGATGTTTCCGAAACTTCATCAGCAAGCGACAGCTCAAAGAATCCTATCAATATATCACATCAATTGCAGCCAACAGACAGTGTTCTGGAACCAATACCTCAGTTGCCCCCAGCAGACTATACCTATCCACCAGAACAAGCCAAAGAACAACAGACAGAGGTTCTTGAAGCTGTTGAATCGGGCTCTGATTCAAATGTGGATGAACCACCTGCCTATCCAGTTGAAGTTGTGATTCCAGTTGAATCAGATAATCTTGCTAGTAAAAAAAGCAGTAATTCTAATGAAAATTCAAGCGTCGAAGTTCCGTTAGAAGAACGAGATCACTTGAAAACTATTGACAAACAAAATAGTGGTGTTGATCAGTCATTCAGGTTACCTTTGGCGCAGATTGTCCACAGTGGCATTGAAAAAGAGGGGTATGTATTTGTTTATATTTTGTTTTACCAAAATCTCGGTCACTTGTACGTAAGGCCATTCTTTGATTGTGTAAATTTGTGTAAACCTAGATAAGACAATAACGACTTTTTTCTATTTGTTCGATAAGCATCGTCAACTATCGCTCGATATTTTTCTTTTGTTTGTCAAATATCTTAACATACGGTTGACGTAACTGGATAGTCTTTTTATTTATTTGTTGGTTATTGTCTTTTGCTTGTATTAGTCATCAAATACTTTCCCAGATATCCTAGACGTCTGACCGGAACTGGTCTGAGTCAAGAATTTTTATAAGTATTAAATTTAGGTCATTGAAATCTTTTGGTACCAGAGGGTTATCGTGCTCATTGTCCTCTTATCGGACGATGAGTACGTTTGATACCAATCTAGTTAATTGGCGTTTTCGAATTGTTTTATTGAAATGAACTACTCGACAAAATATTTGAAGGTAGCTATTTTATCGGCTTTCCTAGGTAATCTCTAAAACAATACCAAATTCTGTTACACTACGCCCATTAGGCTGATTAACTCATTAACATGGTTTTTAGCTATCATATTTTACACTATGTAAAACAAAAAAAAATGATCTATTAACTTTTTTGTTAAACCAACGTTTCAAAAAGCGTATTGATTAAGACCATTTAATTATTTCATAATAAAAAACTGCGCATGCTGTCATGGTTATTAACTGAAACGGCAGGTTTGTTGTACCGAAGTCTAAATTCAAGATATCAGTGCAGCGCTATCTTTGAAAATTCTGCCTTAGTCTAAAAAATTGTTTGAACCACAAAAATTTTAAATCTGTATTAAGAATATAAATAGTATGTTTTATGCTGTTCAATCTACTTTAAATGCCTCTTATATAACTTTTCTTAGATTTTACCTGTAACGTTTCGTACGTATATTAAAAGGTCAGGGCCGAAAAGATAAAAAGAAATAAAGTAATGACAGTCCGCTTAGCTTTGTCGACGTGCCGTGCCAAATTTCGTTTAAAAAATGGACTTTGAGTATTTGATGTAAGTCGATTTTTAAGATTTGATTAAGAAACTTTGCGCGATTCGTTATTTAATATGCATTGTATCGATTACACTGGACTTCGAAGTATCTGTCGAAGAATACATACGTTTTCCATTTATCTGAAACCCTGTCCCATACTGTTACGTAATTTGGATCGGACAATCGTAAACATTAAAGTTGGTTCACAGAGCGGTCATTGTGCTAACCGGAGCTGCTATATTTACTTTGTAAGATTTTTATAATTGTTAATCAAAAAGGGATAATTTAAGGAAAGTATGTATATTATAATTTTGCTTCCCGATAGACGAAATGTCTGAAAATTTTTTGTATATGAAAAAAACGGATATTCAAACCTGCTCATGTTCAGAATGCCAGAAGAATTATACTACCCAATACATTAGCTATTCGCCAACTTATTCGCCAACCTTGAATTACGAATATCTGACCTTACCACGAGCTTTGATTACTGCTCGGACTAGATCACGGTCTCACAATGGAGAAAATTTCAACGAAACGAATATAACCTCAAACTGTTTATCGGATGATGAGGCATTGGGAAAAATACAACTCAAAGATGCAAATTTTAATATTTTGAAAAATGAATCTAGATTACGCAGTCAATCAGTAGGAAATGTTAACAAAATCGGAACTGGGGATGATCCTTCTGAATGTCAAAAAGTAAAGAGGTTTGTTACTTTCCCTCTCGAAATAATATCTCTTAACGTAAGGAAATTAAAAGTTTATTGAGATTCGATTTCTGACTCGCGTATACACCAATTATGCATGGGAGCGAACTTATTTCATTCATAATCTAATAACTTTTGTTTGTCTAACTGTTGCCGATCAGCTGTTGATTCATATTGGCCTACTTGTATGATAGTTTAACTTATCTAAAAGTCAAGTATATATTACTTGTTTTTATCGGTTTGTTTCACTTTGCCAATAGGGGGCGTTTCAAAACGCTGACTCTTCCATCTCTCCACTGACGATTGCATTGTGGAGAGTTTTTGAACTAGGAATATCGCCGGTTAAAGATTGATTCATTTTGTGGATAAGATATAATTTTGTGTCTAAATCAAATTAAGTCTAATTAATGCTTGAATAGCTAAAAGAAATCAGGGGCCCCGTATATTTCTACGCATTTAATATAAGTCCTTGAATTTTATATTTTGTGAAAGTGAAATCATAATGGAATTATACCATGAATGAAAAAGAAGTGAAATATGCATCAACAGCACGTCTCTAGAAGCAACCAAGTTGTATACTACCGAATGCGACAACAGGAAGAAATAAACTTGCAATGGCAAACAAATTTTCGAACCTTAAGAAGAGCAAGTGAAATTATGTATGTATCTAGGTTTCGTTAAATATAAGATATAGCTCTGCCGTCTTTTTTATTTTTATTGATGATGCAAGGTTCTTGGTCTTGCTGGGTGGACCCGCCTATATGTTTTTGCCCATGCCATCAAAATCTTTCAACTGATTGATCTTCCTTTGATTGTTTTCTTTATTGATTATTGGTTAAGTGTGGCGGTTTGACCTCATTTTGTCCTATTTAAATAAGGAGAAATCCAATTATCAGTTAAATTGTTAAAAACTAGTTGATGCCTTTAAAACCATGACGACTGACCGATCGTATTATACTCTTTAAATATTCAAATCGAAGCTGAATAATAATGACCAGAAACAGTTAAAATCGTTAAGCCTTCTTTTTGATAATATAAATTACTGTCGGAAAATATTTATTGATAAATCCATAATGAAATCTATAGGAGATTAATAAAAAGACAGCTAAACTGGTAACTCAACGATAATGGAATACAAACTCAAGTAAAACACACTCTAGTTGAGAAATATATTTGTCCTTGAGGAATTCAGCTCATCTTATTCTCAACTCTTACGAGCAACTTTCTAGAAAATGGGCGTTTTTCATTGTTTTAGATTGTGACGATAGTCTACTACAGTTTATGGGAATTTTATCGAGATAATTCAAGACGTACAGATTCTTAATAGTCAATTATTTCCTTCAATAATTGTTTTTACATAACAGAAGATAAAATGAATAAGTTTAGTTAATTGCTAATGAAGAAAAAGTTACCATTAAGGGTGTCTTGCTTTTTTCTTGCCGATAACGATCGATTAATTAATCAGTCACCATATTTGAATACAAAACGACCATAACGAAAATTATGTATTAATTGAGAGAGTGATGTTCTCTCATATCGGATCTGATCTTTTTTTGAAATCTTACAGGAATTTAAAAATTGTTTGATAGTATTACAAGCGCATAACCTAGTTTGTTTCCATTTGTCCTTTTTGTCAATTTGCATCGATTTTCGACTGAAAATGTGTTTTATATTTTTGAGCGATTTTCATTTCTCTTTGTATAGTGCTAAAACAAAGAAAAATTTTCCATTAGTTTCTACAAAGTTTTGCTACTAGTTAACCCATAATTAATTAAGGCTGAGACAATAACTTATACCTAGAATCTCACAAAAGTACTAAATGTGTCTCTTGATTCAATTTATAGCATGTTGCAAATAAAGAAATGCTTTTAGGTTCCTCTATTATCTCGAAATTCTTTAACGAAGGCAAGGCCATAAATTGAAATGCAAAAGAAAGCCATTGTTTATTTTACTAAAAGTATTTTGGTTAACTTCTTAAATTTGAAAGATTTTACTAAAACTTAAAATGAAATTTGAATGAATTCACAATTAAATTGTATTTATCTTTTATGTGAAATGATCTGTTGGAGAAATATTTTTATCCTCATTAGTTACTATCTACACTCTAGTTAAAACTGGGTTGAAATAATGCTAGAAACTCATATATGTTTGTTTTACGTATCCTGCTGCTTTATTATAAACCGCAGACTTTATACAAACTGAACTCAGGTTTCAACTGTATTGGCTATATCTAATTACGTATTTCCTACGTCGGTTTAGCTATTTAAATAGCATAAAGCGAGATCCATGTCTTTTTTTGACCGACATTTGCTACCTAATTAGTCATTTTAGTTATATATTACGATTAATATCTTACTATTAATAGCTCTATATGAGATAATACTCCGAGATGAATTTTTCAATTAGACAGCAAAGAGGATACTTACTATCGTCAATAATAATAATTGAAATGAAAAGTAATCGCAAGTATGATTATAAAACTTTTACTTTATATTAAGAACCAAATCTTAAATCCTTAATTGACACTGACATTTGATTGGATTGATTAGCACGCGTTCAGGTCGATGAAGCGCACTGACAGGCATCGTTTTAGTGTTCGTAAGTGCACTAACACTACTTTGGTTTCGTTTGCCAAATGCTTTTTTTTTTTAATTTCTTGCTGAGACGTTCCATTAAATGTTCTTAAGTAAAATTTATTAGAGACTGATACAGGAAAGCAAATTTATTAACCCATTTCGAGTAATTTGTTCTATCTCAGAATAGATTATATAAATTTAAGAATCCAGTAAAATATATTTTTACGATTACCGTCCTCTAGAAATAGCATTTAAAAACATGTTGTGAACATTATCGCAGCATCTTACAAGTTAAAAGAATCCCTTCACTATATGTAATGTAGAAGTTTTTTCAGCTGTTAGCTACATCTAGCGTGTAGTTTTTATGCATTGTAGATGGCGTTTCTGGTTATTGTAATTTTTACAACTTATCTGAGTTTCATAGGCCTGAAAAAAATATTCAAACTTTTTAAACTTAACTTTCGATTCAACTTTGATGCAAGCTTAGAAAAGTTGTGTAATAATCAATATAGAAAGATAGAACTTCAAAAGTTATTTTGGGAAACAATCTTATTCCGAAGTTGTTTTTTTAACTGGTGCTTTTTTCGAGAAGAAACATCCTTGGAATTTTACTAAAGAGTTCAGAGCAAAAAATTAATATTTTTTCCAAAGCTACCATGGAGACGAGGTATATTTTCTTATCAATTTCATAGACTTTTTAAATTAAACTAACGTTTTAATTCTCTTGGTTTTAATTTTTTTTAAACTTACATTAGACAAATAAGATGAATAAGTCTTAAATCGTGTTGTTAAGTTAAACAGGATGTAAAGAGTTTAACCTAAGATTAGTATGTTAAAAACAGAACATGGCCTTAAGAGTTATAATTTTCTTGAAGGGTAAATTAAAGGTTGAATTTTCATGGCTACAAAAGTTAATAACTTAGACATTGGTCATCAGAAACTCGAAATAAACCTTATCTAAAAGTAATATAATAGTTATTAGGTTGTTTACCGCTATTTTTAGATATATAGAACAGTTTCAACAGAGATCAATTGAAATGAAACAGTTCAATAAATACAACACATCAATATTTTAACAAATATTTATAGATTTTTTTTGTGGTAGCAAATTTAATCAATAAAAGACTTAAAAGATGTTTTGGAAATGTTTAAAACATTCCCAGAACGATGGATTTCTCATGCGAGCAGTCCATGAAACAAAAAAGACACTTGAAAAAAGAAAGCTGATCTTTCACCTAATACTTTTTTGGCTTTTTAAACTGTTTTAAAACGTAGAAAAGAGCCTTTGTACAATATTCTGGTACATATACACGTTAAACAATTTACTTAAGTAGAACAAGATCGCCTGTTTAAAATTTTGCCGCTGAATTCTCTGCGGCCTAGGAATAGCGAAGAAATCTATAAGGTGACATTAGGGCTTTTGCATAAAAATATTTACTTTAACACAATTAGAAAAAGGGCGTAAATGCTAACCGCCTTCGAATTATTCTGAGTCTATTTTAACAATCAATCCATAACCTCCTTTTTTTACCCATTTTTATTTATTACTGTATTTACTGTTACACTTGGCTCACAAATTTCAACAAATAACTCGTGTGTTAATGTACAAACGTACACATTTGATTATTTTATTGTCGCTGAAAATGGAGGGATATGGTCTATCGGTCGTTGCTTGACCTCAAACACACAAAGAAATAATATATTGCGATTTTAATTTAAAACTGTTCAAATATGCTCTACTGGATAGATAGTATATAGAGTGAACAAAAGATCTTTAATCATTTCTTATAATATTTATTTATTGGGGTTGTTTACTGCAATATTCTTTAAAATATTCTAGCTGTTTCTATAACCTTTAGAATATTTGTCCTACCATGTAATTCAATCATCGACTGCCTGCCGATAAAGATCTAATATTGATTTGTTGTTATGTTTTATCTCAGACTTCTGAGCTATAAGTAATTTAGTTAACCTCAATATTTTCTTAGCTTTAATAGCCATCAATTTTATTTTTTTTTAAATCTAAAAAAACACTATATTTTCAATATACATATACTCTATATAGAGAAATACTAGGCCGCTTCAGGTTACACAAGTTGTGAAGACTTCGCATAAATTATGCAAATCAATGGAAATTCCCTATGTTTATAAAACGTTTACCATATTGTTAAAAATTATTCAAGCTGCTATTGTCGAGCGAGTCGTTTCATGCTTAAACACACAAAATGATGCTCTCTTGCGATATTTCTGTCAGGAACGAAAAACCACTAGGTGATTGCGATAACTCAAATCGAAAATTAGGAGATATGCTGATGAAACTGGGATTTTTAAATATCGATTTAGATTTATTGGATCAGTAGGTTTTTTAATTTTAATTTTAATTAAATTAATTATCGCATGTATCAATGGAATTTTCCCTAATTGCTAATGTTATGTTATTGAGTGCAGTTTTTCATGTGCATAATGTTTCCATTGATGACCTTGCTACACGTCTTGAAACGAAAATTTGAAAGATCATCAAAAATATGTTAGTCTGTGGTTGTAAACGTCAATGCGTAAACGAATTTACTCTAGGCGGAACCTAGATGTCTCAATCTAAACTCGCATCTAAATGACGTCAGCGCATATCTTTTTGGTTACTACGGAAACAGGGTAGACCAGGAGAAGCAGCGTCAATGGACGCTACAGATTGGCCTCGGTGTGAGCACATCTTGTTCAGGTGATATATTGGTATTCAATGTTTACCAAAATTTTTTGTCTGTCCTAGAACTAGTTTATCCGACGATGGAGATTTCTCTTTCCAGACGTAAACAAGATTTACTGCGTGAGATTATGCATCTTGCGTCCTCTTTCAAAAAAATTATTGCTGACGTCATACCCAAACAAGGCTAGCTGTTTTTCATTGGATAAATTTATACCTATATTCGTTATTAAAGAGAACGTAAAAAGTCTTGCTGTAATGCGTTAGTTAATGAGAAAAAAAGTAGAGTAGAGGATATTTGATGTCATAGCAGTGATATAGAAAGGAAATATAAGTCTGAAGACGCTGAAAAACATCCAAATTCGATCAGGATCGTTTCACATATGTGTAAATATACTCGAGACACTCATGTTGTAGATAAACTAGATTAGCTATTTTTAGTTTTAAACTTGGATATTGCATCCAGAAGTAAAGTTATTCATGACAAAACAAAAATTTCTTGGTCAACTATTCAATAATCTTGAAGCCCTGCTTACAGATTATAAATAAGCGACATAACCTAGCAGTGTGTAATGATTAGTTTAGGCCTTGACGTCGTTGGGTTCAACGTCCGCTGCAGTCAACTGCAATCTGCCTGCTTAAATAAATTACGGGAACCAGGCTAATGTTTGAGATAATAAATGCAGGTCGCTGGTCGATTCAGTTTGGTATGCGAAGCGTTCTAGGAAGGTCATCGAATTATGATGGACATTTTGGCACATCATTCTCTAATAGATCGCGTACTTAATTGGGTTGAGCGTAATGAAACTGTAAAGCTTCCGGTTAAGAGTTCGATATATTCGGATATTGATTTGATTCTCGCCTTTCTTGTTAGGTTGTTAAATTTCTTAATTTTTAGTGACACAATGTAAGAAAAATTGGTTGGTGTTTCTGAGTTAGGTAGTGAATGTATTGAGCAACTATTGATTTTTGTATTCATTCGTTTTTTTATAATCAAAAATATTTTTTTTGTCTTATCTAATACTCAATGTTTTTTGGCCATAGTAGTAGAGCACATTATTACATAAAGTTAATAATTATTATTACTTCAAAAAATCACCCTATAAGTGTTTTTTAACCTTTTTGACATTACCTATTTTTATCTCAACTTTTTTGTTTATACTATTTGAAATTCATGAAACGAATATTCCAAACTATATTTAACAATATTTTTTTAAATACGAATATTTGTTTACAATTCCTGGCCTATTTTTTATTTATAGCCCATTAATGTAATTCATGCCGACAAGAGGATTTACATAAAAATATCCATTGACGATAAACCATACTTGTTACAGAAAAGAATAATTTTTTAAAACTATTTCTGCATTTCTTTCTAAAAGTTCTCTTTTTTCCTACAGTGGTGCAAGCACGGTAGCAATAGATAATAAAATAGAGCAAGCAATGGATTTAGTAAAATCGCACCTTATGTATGCAGTTAAAGAAGAAGTTGATGTATTAAAAGTGCAAATTAAAGAACTCTTAGAAAAAAATCAGAGACTAGAAATGGAGAATGATATATTACGAAAAAATGTTACACCTGACGTTATAGCTTCACTACCGAATTCCCAACAGGGCACTGGGCAATCACCTTCTCCTCATGCTTCTTAGCGCCATCTATATGGTGAACTTGAACATTTCTTTCTTCTGCCAAGTCATACTTGAACGTATTTTGCGGATCGGCTGTCAACTGTACATAAAAAATAGTATCCGAAAAATCACTTGATTGAAATGGCGGGAGTAAAAGGACAGGCTTTCGAAAGTATTAGTCATTGCTTAGTAAATTCCTTTTATGCGTAGAACTAATATTACATATTAACGCATATATATATAAATACATATATGTATATATACGTATATATATGTGATATATATTGTGTGTATATTTCTTGCAGGTGTATTTGTCCAAATTGTACTTAGAGCTTATACTGTATATACAACAATGACGACAAATGTTAATTAACTGATTATCATATGACAAGACGCGTACTTGTATTACGGTGAAGTTTGGCTTGATTGTCGTAAGTCATCTTTTTTATCAGTTGCTTTTACTAAAGCGACATACATATACAGTATGTTTTTCGATCGTTGTACGCGTTTTTACTAAAACCTGTTCATGCAAATTAGATCAATATTTATAATTATATATTTATATTATATATACATATAATATATATATACATACATAAGTTTAACATAAAAGTGATACACTACATACTCTCACGGTTTGTGCAAAAGTACAAGCACTAACGATCGTTTTTTTATAGTAATAAAAAGATTATGTAATTTAGGCCAAGCTTAAAATATGTCATTCTTTAAGATTTTTTTGTCGATTGTTACGCGGAGAATAAAGCTTTCTAATACCAAATATTATAAACAAGTATATTAAAAGATCAAAATAGAGGGGAAATGAACTTTAAACACACTAATATAAAAGCTTCACAGATTTTTCAATGAACTTTTGACGAAGGGTTGCTATAAAAATATCAAATGTAATCGCTATCTAATATTGTTATTGTTTTTAACACCTGGAGCATTTTCCGCACCTGACACATAACCGATAATTTAGAAAATATTTAGCAAATTTTTAATCCTATTTATGCTGTAGTAAATCTTATTGATTGCTTATGACTTGTTATTCTATTAAAATCAAAAGTTGGCTTTGCCTTGAATTTGATGTCTTATTTACGAGTATTTTTATTCAAATAATCAATATTTATCAAACGGCCCATCACACCATGTTTTGTTCTAGCAAATCGATTAGTTATGATTTAAAAGATTACATTAGTAAACCTTTCCGCAAAATTTAAAATAAATAGGAATCATTATCTTCAACTTTAACGTTTTTAGCAACATTACAACTTTTATTGAATAAAGAATCGCATGAACGTGTTTTCATCAACCAAAATAGACTTGAAAAAGGTTATAATAAAATTATCATATTCTAATAACTTTCATCGATAGAAAAATTTGATGAAAAACAGCTTGAGAGTTAAAACAGGAACATTTAAAAAAAACTAAAATAACACCTACATTAAGCACAATGCTAATTAGGAATAATTTTAGTCACTCGCTATTTCTGCTTTCTCGGTCGCCCTCTTCCTCTAGGCTTTTCCTGCACTTCTTCAGTTGTTTTTTGCTTGATGGACCGAGTTTCCAATTCATCCCCGGAAGGTTTTCTCTTTCTTCCTTTCGTCGACGATTTTTTCACTGAGGTCTTTCCATGCTCCTCCTCCTCCGATATTACAGCAACAGTAGGCTTTGATCTTTTAGAGCTTCTTACAGGCCTCTTCTTATCTTCTTCAATTTTATCTGGAACCACTTCCTGACTCTCCATCTTGGCTTTTCTTTTACCTCTGGCTGGGGCTTTCTTTTGCTTACTTTCGTCTTCGTGCTCAGCAACCTCTTCAGGCAAAATATTTTTGGTTTGCTTGCCACCTCTTGTTGTTTTTTTCGACTGTGATGGAGATACGGAATCGGTCAAGTCCTTCTCTGACGATATAATCGGCTCTATATTCTTTCTCTTTCTACCTTTAAATTTTTCATTTGGCGATTTTGATGTACTATTATCGACATATTTATCTGCTTTCGATGTTGGTTTTTCCATCTCTGTTGAGTCTTCTTCGGTCATTTTCTCAGAAGCAGGCTTTCTTGCTGTTCTACGAGGAGCTTTCTTTTTTACTTCTGCTAGTGTATCTTCCGTATCAGAGATCACTATCACTTCATCAGGGATAGATACCTTTTTATTTTTTCTTACAATTCGACTCTTCTTCTTAGGTTCTTCAACGCAGTCTGCTTCATCTTTTGATTCCATATGTGTTTTAGACCTTCCAGCTTTCTTCACTTTGGTATCGGCTTCTTTGAGGTTTCTTTTGCTTACTCGTTTATTGACAGGCTCAGAATCATCAGGTAGTTCTAAAACTTTATTAGCTTTCTTCACAGATCCTGAATCAAGGCTTTCCTCGTCTTTTAGCATTTTTGCTCGTCGTCGAGTATTGCGAGCTGGAGAATCAGCTAGTTTATCTGTTAATTTAGTAACCTTGGGATCTTTTTGAGGCGTTGACAAAGGTAGATCTTTTTCAGAGTTTTCCTCTTTTTCGGTACTCTGTTTGTCAATTACGTCTTCCTCCATAGCTTTAGCTTTAACTTTGCGACGCGTTTGCTTCTTTTTCTCAATTTTTTCAGGAATTTTCTCGATATTTTTACTCGATTCCTCGTTATCTTTTTCTTCATTTTTGTCCTCTTTCGTTAAAATTTGTTCTACTATAGGTGTTTCCTCAACTTTTGAAGGCGAATTTTCTTTCTTTTCTTCCTCCAACTCAGCATTTTTATTTTTATCTACAATTAATTCATTTTCTTCAGTTTTGTTATACTTATCGTCTTTTTCCTGTATCTTTTTTCGTCGCGTGTTCGCTTTCTTTACTGATTTAGTCTCTGTATCTTCATCTGAAGCGCTCTTGACTTTAGCCTTTCTACCCCTACCCTTAGCTACCCTTTTCTTCTTTGGCTTCGGCTGCTCGTCAAACTCCTCCATAGGATCTTCCTCCTCCTCTTCGGGGGATACCTGCATATTTTTTACTCTCTCAGATCTTTTTAATTTATGTGGAGTTACTGGGAAAACTTCATTAAACTCAGCGAAACGTACATTTCTTTTCTGATCACTTTTTGTTGGCGACGAAGCGTCCTCGTTCATCGTGCTAGAAGAATTATCATCTTCAAGATCCTGCATTTCTATCGGCGGCCCGTTCCTTTCGAACATCGTTGGGATACTTTCTAGGACACTGTCATCTATATCCGAATCCTTAGTCTGCTCCAAATACATCTCCCTAATACCTCTTAAATCTGGTGAATTTTGCACTGTTTCATCCTCTTGAAATAGTGGGCGAATATCCAATTCTTTATCAACCTTTTCTTTGTCGACTTTCAGCAACTCTTTTACTCCTATTAAAACTGGAGAATTCTGAATCGATTCTTCGTGAAGTAATTCTTTAATGCCCACGTAATTTTTCTCGATATCATTAATAGAAGCTAATAAACAATTTGGGAAAATATCATAATAATTAATATTTCTATAAATTTGAAATAATTGAACCTTTAATTTTTGGAGTTAAAAGCAAATTTCTTAAACCATTCAGTTTAGGCGATTGGCGAACTTCGTCTTCGTTTGACGAGAAGAGCTCTTTAATTCTTATTACTCTGGGAGTCTTTTCATTTTTGGGATTGAACACTTCCCTGACACCATAATAGTAAACATCTTCTGTTTTAGTTTCTTCTTCATTCTTTTGAGAAATTAATTTTGGAGATGCCGAAATTGTAACAGTTCCTTCCTCTACAGTTCTTAGCATCGCTGAAGTAGAAGGAGATGTACTTTTTCTACATACAGACAGCGGTGATACATTCGGACTACTTGGAGGATCTGGGGTTGGTGGTAGGTCAGAGTAGGAAATCTGAATAAATCAATATAAGAAATATAACACAATATAAAATTGAACAAGTGATATTTTACCTCACTACTACTAGTGTTACTATCAGTATCATTTAACTTTATATGGCTTGAAATTTTCTTATTAATGTAAATAGTTGATGGTGATTCCGCATGACCAGTAGAAGCAGCTGCACCCAATTTCATACGAATATTAGCGGGGGTTTTCTATGTGGAAAATCAAGTATTAAATATAGTTCAGTATTGGAATGAAATCTTACAGATATTTCTTTCTCCATTCGACTTTTCTTAGATTTTACTTTCGATGTTAATTTTTCTGTTTTATTTAATTCTTCTGTTTTGAAAGCCGCTTCATCCAATCCTTTAGTAATTACGTGTGACCATAGTGTTTTAGGTGTTTTAGACTGTCTTTTATCCGTTTTTGGCGCTTTTGGTTTGTGTATATTTACTCCTTTAATGGCTCTCATTGCAACCATGCGAGAAGCATTTGGAGTTTTAGTAGTCTCCTCTCGAACACTAAAGCTTGATCGACGTCTTGCTCTGACCTCATCTCTTTCCTTCTTTGTTAATTTGTTAGTATCAATTACCTCCGATTCTGATTCTTTCCCATTTTCTTCACTATTGGAAGTTCCAGTTTCCATAGTGTCCTCTGATTTTTCTTCGTACACTTCATTATCATAGGAAGGTTCTAACGATTCCTTGTCACTATCCTCTTTTTCCTCGGCTGTTTCAGTATCCATTACTTCGATTTCAATTTTATCATAATCAGGCTTCGCATTGTTTTCGTCTTTCTCATCTTCATCTTGTGAATCAGATAAGTCTAACTTACATGGCAAACTTGAAGGGCTTAAAGGCTCTTCATTCAGAGAACCTTTTTTCTTTGGTGTTCCTTCCTCTTCTGGATTTAAAATTTGATTAGATTCACTCTCAGCTTCTTCTTCTATTGATTCCTCAATTTTATCCATATCCGATCCATACGTCTCGGAAAGGGTAGATCTTGTTCTTCGAACTGCAGGCGTTGGAGTTCTTGGAAGGCTTTTTTTCCTACGAGAGGAACTTCTCCGTTTTGACATAGTTTCATCATCTGCTGTGGATGCTTTCGGTGTAACATTTACGTCAGGAGTCATCTGTTTTCTCTCGGGACTTGGAACTACCAACTTTACACTTTTGTGCTTTATTTCTGACGATGCTTCAATGTGATCATCTGATTTTTCTTCCACATTGATACTCTCAGACTCTTCCTTCTCTTTATCATTTAATTTCTTTCCCTCAGTCATCAGTTCTATTTCTTTATTCTTTACTTTCCTCTCTTCATTTTTCAGTTCCTTTTCTTCATTCTTCACTTCCTTCTCTTCATTTTTCAGTTCTTTTTCTTCATTTAGTTTCTTCTCTGTTACTCTAAGTGATCTTCGCTTTTCTGGGGTTTTTCGGGGTTCGGGTTTAGTTGCGGTTATCTCAGGCGAGACCTTGCCTTCGCTCTTCTCTTGTAATGTTTCTGTAAAATCTCTTAAAGGTATTGGGCACTTTTTACTTGGTGTTGTTGGTCCACTTTTTAGCTTTTTTGGTGTCATTTCTAGTTGTAGATCGTCAACTTCGTCTTTTCCTTCCCTCTCAACTGCTTGCTTGCTGTCATTCTCTTGTGGATTATCTAATTCGCTCTCTGTTATAGCTACATCATTGTTCCCATCATCAGAAACAGGTGATTCCATAATGGAACCTAATGATGGGTTTATCAGCGACGTGTTTGACTTGGAAAATCTTTCCGAGCGACGCTTTGTTTCTATCGCATGGAGAGGGACAGCATTCTCAGAATCATTAATCGAACTCGTGGCAACTGGCGCTTTAAGTGACGATCTCTTTGATGCACTCCCTACAATTTGAGGAGGTGCCGATCCTCTCCTAATAGGAGTATTGGGAGGAAGTCGTTTATCAAATATCTATTGAATTTTTGAAAAAATTAGAAAGTAAAAATCAATAGAAACTATAAAAACCTCAGGTGAGACTTCTGGAGCAAATGAAACAGATTTAAAGCCAGGTGTTTTTGCATCGAAGTTATCATCAACCCTTTCAATTTGATTACTCTCTATCATTGCTCGATTTTTCGATAGCTTGGTTACAACTTGATCAGCTTTTTTACCTTTTGGAGTATCTTTAATATCATCTCTGAATTGTGCCATATCCTCCTATAAAAATTCCAATTAAATGACTTAAATTAGTATTAATCTTAGTTTGCAATATTGAAAAAAACTACCTCTAGTGGCGTAACGCAACAAGACGATCTTCGCTGTTTATTATCAAAGTCGAAAATGAAAAAGCCGCCGTCCACCCCAAATTTATCCCCCGATTTAATATAGTATTCCGTTTCTTCCCTTATTGGTTTGTCATTGACCAAAAGATTTCTTTTTTCGGATTCGGCTTCCTTTCTGATATAGGCCTAATTATAAAAAATAGACATGTTTAGTAAACACCTCAAATTGAGTTTGAGCACTATCTACAAATGTTATCCGAGACTTCTAGTCCAGAAATTCAAAGGAACTCACCGTTTTGTTATTGTAGTTAATTATCAATGAGAAAAACAAGTCTGGTATGTGCGGTTTTAGCAAGCGTACATCACACGATTCATTACTAAAACAGGAAATTATGAGTCTGCAATAACATCTTTGGTTTCAAAATCAGCAATACCTGCCAAACGTCATTATAGAGGCCGATGTGGCAAAGCTATTTCTTCTAACCCCTTTACTGTTTAGTACGGCTACTTTACCTATACAACGAGCAGTGCTAGCCATCACGACAAATCGGAATCACACGAAACGAGGAGTAATAAATCTGATCAACTGCTGCTACTTGATTGAATATTCTTCAATGACAATTAGGTTTATCCTGGAGAATCTTCCAAGGTAGTTAAAAAATTTAAGGAGCTTTAAACCTAAAAAGAAGGTTCTTATCATTAAAAAGCGCTCAAAAAATATTGCCGCTATTTTTCTTTGCCGCGCTAGTCCTTTACTTTCAAATTTGAAAATACGCTGCTGTAAATAGTTCGTCATATAAATTGAAAAAAATTGATTTCAAAAAAGTTCTTTCAAAACAATAGTGTCATTAATTACCTGGAAATTATTCATCTGTCCCCAATACTCGATCACACTCCAACCCCTTATTTTATGGAAACTGCCATACAAAAAGTAGTCCGTTGTGTATAGAGTCGTATAACGTTCACTTAGGAAGGCTATTGGTCGAGCAATTTCAAGTTGACAAATCATCATTCAGATTTGAATGTTAATGAATAAATTTCCATATCGATATATATCGTTTTAAATCGATCTATGTAAATTTATAACATAAATCAGCGATCTTATATCGAAAATATCATTATATTCATGAATAGGTATAATGCCATTTTTAAAAGAAACACTTTAACCGCAAATTGCAGCTTTTACTATTACTTAAATACTGGATATTTTTTTATTTACATGCCTGAAGGAAATAAATTAAAGCAAAGGTGATCCGGAGTTTGTGAGATCTCACAGAAAATAAGTTTAAATTGTTTTTTTTCTCGTAGACAAAAGTCAATCTTTGTTCCAAGCAACAATTTAGCGGAAGGAATTGAATTGCGACGGACTAGACGTAGTATTTATATTGCTCAACCAAAAATGTTTCATCCGCAAACAGAGGAGAGCTCTGTGGACCCAAAAAACTATCCCAAGCGGAAAAAACGTCCTCGATCGAAAATACCAAGAAAAGAAAAAAATAGTGACATTAAGATTACACCATGTAAGGTGATGGTAGAAGATTGTGTCAAAACTATGGGTACTCCCGATGAAATCTTTAAGACCCCAGTAACTTCTATGAAGCGACGTAAGGGTATGTCTACTGGGAAAGCAAAAAAACCAAAAATTGAAGATTCTGATGAGTTCTTCACTCCTAATACCACACCGCGTGATAAACATATTACACCTAACAATTCAAAACCCATCACGTTTACTCTTTCTGATAAGAAATCAGCATCAAAAGTTTCTAGGATACCGACACCTAGTAGAGTTCAAACTAATAAAGTAAACAAATCCGATCAATTAAAGAAGCAAGAAGATAATACAGATGGAAATAAAGAAGAGCAAAATGAACCAAAGAAAGCAACAGAATGTCCGCCAGAAAAGAATCAGATACCAAAGAAAGTTAATGAAGAAGAATCTGGCAAAACATCAGAGTCAGGGTCATGTTGTATTATGTAAAAACAGAATAATGCCTATTGACATTTCTGTTTTATTAGTTACAAAAAACTTCCTAAACGTCCTTTGTTTTATAAGTTATTTGGTTAAAAATAAATTTGTTTTTTTTTTTGAACAAATTATATATTTTCGGGAAATTAGCGAGATTTTTCTATTTAAATAATAAATGATTTTTATCTAATTATGAACTGATTGTCTAATTAATATAAGATTAAAAAGAAATTCTCTATATCTATTTATACATCATACACAAATAATTTGTTTATTATTCAATATTTTTAAATTTTTAAATGGCAATTATTTTACACTTATTTAGTAAATAAATGATTATTGATTATAGAAAATCTTCGCAATTTCTAAAACAAGGACTTTTGAAGTGAAATATTTTAAAACGGGTCATTTACTAATTGAGTACAGACAATTAGGAAATTTAGCTATAAAACTAATAAAAATTGTATTGGCCGAATATTTAATTTTGATGGCGGGAGTTTCCATTATCGGGAAATTTGGTCAATATTTTCGTATTATTTAATAAATTATTAGTTGAATAATTATTTCGAGCCTATTAAATAACCTAAAAAATTTTCAGGTGAAAACTTTAATTTCCTTTTACGAAAATAATGCTGTGTTAAAGAACCAATCAGCGAACAATTGACATCCTCCCATGTAAGGTCTTGGAAGCTCTTATAGATTTTGGTTTTTTGTTTATAGTTACGTTAATTACTGATTTAATTAATAGACTCCAACATGTCGGAAATGAGCAGATCACGTATGTTCAAAAATCAAGGAAAAGACCCAGATGTAAGTTAGATTTAAGGAAATTTTACATTCCACGACTCACGACTGGCTTCAGTCATGACTTGCCTAAGCCGGTTATTGTTCTCTTCTTAATTGATTATTGTTATTATTACAGGAGATGAGGAGGCGGCGAACCGAAGTAACGGTAGAATTGAGAAAGGTTGGTAAAAGCTAGAGTTTAAAAAATAGGAAAAAGTCATAGATCACGTGCACAAGATATTTCTACATCAGAAGCGCCCTCTGAACTAGTCTTATTTGTTGGCAAAGTTAACGTTTTTTACTAACAGTAATATGTTGGAGGATGTGCTTTGCCACTTTTTCCCACTAAAATATCAAAAACTTGTTTATATAACGACTTATACAAGTCTATCTATAAAAAAATTCATAAAAAAAAATAACACGCAATAACCATTTTATAGTCTAAAAGAGATGAGCACATCCTTAAAAAACGAAACGTTCCGATTAATGAAAAAGAAAGTACCGATTCAGAAGATTCAGAAAGAGGTGTTCATCAAAGTTTGGAACAAATTGTCGAAAACGCTAAATCAACAAACGTCGAAACTAAATTGCAAGCTGTTCAAGCAGCAAGAAAATTGTTGTCAAGCGACAGAAATCCTCCAATAGATGATCTGATTCGATCTGGAATCCTACCAGTACTCGTCTCATGCTTGGAAATCCAAAAGTAAGAAATTAATGCTCATTTATATGATTAATAATATATTTATTAATATTTCAGTTCGTCTATTCAATTTGAGGCAGCTTGGGCTCTGACAAATATTGCTTCTGGAACCTCAAAACAAACTCAAGCGGTTGTAGAAGCAGGTAAACAATATATTAAACATTTTTTATCCTAGATATACACCTAAAAACTGTTTATGAATCATCACTAATTGCCTTTGTCTATCTATGTACATTTACATGTGAATATTTCTCTTAACAAGTGTAATTTATAAAATATTTTTTGTTCAAATTCAGGAGCTGTACCTCATTTTCTGAACCTTTTACAGTCGAAACATGAAAACGTTTGCGAACAAGCAGTTTGGGCTCTCGGAAATATAATTGGTTTCTATTCCCTTGTTATTTATGATTATCTTTAGCTAAACCATGACTTTTTAATAGGGGACGGACCTCAATGTCGAGATTTCGCAATTCGTCTGGGCGTTGTCAAACCACTTTTAGCTCTAATTGATCCAAATATTCACATTACTTTTCTTCGAAATGTTACATGGGTCATGGTTAATTTGTGTCGTAATAAGGATCCGCCACCTCCTATAGATACAATACAAGAAATTCTTCCAGCTCTTTGCTTACTTATTCACCATTCTGATACCAATATACTGGTCGATACAGTATGGGCATTATCTTACTTGACCGATGGAGGTAATGATCAGATCCAGATGGTAATTGATTCAGGCGTAGTTCCTTATTTGGTTCCCCTGTTATCGCACATCGAAGTTCGTGTGCAGGTCAGTTAATTTGAATTATATTTCTTGTAGGAGTTTTTATTTTTTAATTACTAGGCTTAATTAGAATAGAAATTCTGTAAACCACCTGTTTCTAAAATCAAAAAGTTATGAGCTGCCCTAAAGTAGTTCTTGATTTTGGACTGATATTTTAGTCTGATACTTTTTATAGGAAAATTATACCTGATACTTCAGCTGTGTTACAATTAATAGGATCCTATAAATGTAACTAATGGCAGAGAATAATTTCAAATAACTGAAAATCTTTCACAATAAATACTCTTTCTCATACAGACGGCTGCTTTGAGAGCAGTAGGAAATATTGTAACTGGAACTGACGAACAAACCCAAGTTGTACTCAACTGTAAAGCTTTGGAACATTTCCCTTCTTTATTATCTCATAGCAAAGAGAAAATTAATAAGGCAAGTATAGTTCAGAGATAAAACTGAATTAAGCAATGTAACAATTAAAATTTTGTGGAAAGTTCTTTTCTTGACGATTGAAGTAAATTTAACAACTTCTCATTTTAGGAAGCCGTATGGTTTTTGTCCAATATAACAGCCGGAAATCAGCAGCAAGTACAAGCCGTAATCGACGCTAAATTAATCAGTCTTATTGTCCATCATTTGAACAAGGGAGAGTATCAAACTCAAAAGGAAGCTGCATGGGCAATATCTAATTTAACTATCTCTGGTAGACCAGAGCAAGTGGGTGTAGTGGTTGAAGCTGGTGTTTTACCACCATTCTGCAAGTTGCTTACTGTTAAAGATCCTCAAGTTATTCAAGTGGTTTTGGACGGAATTAATAACATTTTGAAAATGGCTCAGAGCCAGGGAGGATTGGAGCATTTGTGTGAGCAGATAGAAGAATGCGGCGGTCTTGATAGCATTGAGATTTTGCAGAACCACGAAAACGAAGATATTTATAAGTTGGCTTATGAAATTATTGATAATTACTTCGGTGATGTAAGTATTTATAACAAGTATCATGTCAAATATTGCAATTAAAATGTTATTACAGGACACTGAAGACATAGCGTTAGGACAGGATGAAAATCAGCAAGGTTTTCAATTTGATCCAGAAGCTAGAATACCTTCGGAAGGTTTCAGATTCTAATGTTATTTTTTGGGTTGTCATAAACCGTCCTAGCACGGATTTCATCCTAGGCTTTAATAACGTCGCAAACTCCTGTTATCATTAAATAATTTTTACCGGCTATTGATTGTTTGTTGTAAATCGTCAGAAAAAATATTGAACGTTATTAAAACCGCTTGTTTCTTTTTTTCTTTCATTTTAAAGACGCGATCAACTGCAAGATATTTTTTATTCCCCTAAAATGGATTTTTTTGCAGTCGAATATTAACGTAACGTAACGGAGCCTCTCTTAGCAGACAAAGAGTGTGCTCAGTACAAACGACGACAGATTATAACGAAAAACTATTGTGATGTAACGTAACGTTATGCACAAAAACCGTCTTGTTTCCACAATATAACCTAATGCAAAATAAAACAAGTGGAAGCTTGACAACGACTTGAAAATGATCATTCGACCATTTTCGCCAATCTCTTTCGAAATGGTGCCTACTTTTATTTCCCCTGACTGCGCTTTAGGTAATTACGACAATTTGACGTGACGTGACGACTTATTAAGAAAAGCTGAGTACTTATTCCTCATTTGTTTTTTTATCTTATTCGTTTTCATTGCGCCTGACCGTTCGTTATGCATGCAAACCGTAATAGAAATAATCGCATGCAGATTGCTATTTATTCTTATTTATTTCAAAAGTAATCTGCATACGGTTAAATCATGTTATGTTCTTATTTACAACAAATATATTCCTGATCATTTAGAAATGTATTCGTTTGACCAAAACACAACTATTAAATTCTAGATGGGTAGAGCATCTGAAGAAAAATATTTCAATAAATTTATTGACTTACATTTCTAGAGTGAAACTTACGATTCTGATTCTTTTACCCATCGCCCTTGGCGGCAAGTTCCTCCTGAACTTAGCACGAACACCGCCGCTGTTTCCATGTGGTCTGGTCACCTTTCCCCAAATAACACGGATTCTCGACGCTTCAGAGTGGCCTGGGCAGGCAGTCTTGTTTCTTGCCTTGTAGACATAGCAGCATCTTTTGCCCAAATAGAATTCAGTTTCTCTGCGTGTGTTGACGCCGTCGATACGCAAGAGAGCCGTGCTTTCATGTTGGTTACGTAGACCACGTTTGTATCCAGTAAAGACAGCTTTACTGTATAGTCTGCCAGCCTTTCTGGTTGATCGGAAAACCGAGATTTCTGTTGCCGGTGTTTCTTCGGTCATCTGCAAGCGTTACTTTTAGTTATTATCGCTCACCAACTTAAAATCCTTCAATATCTTAAGAATCAGTAAGTTTATATTATACAAAAACATGTATGTCGCTAGATGATTATTTCAATTACACATCTTGACAAAATTCACTTCAAAAACGATTAAATTTAAGGAAAAAAATGAAAAATATAAAAATGAAACCTTGTTATCCGAAATGGCGTGAAAAAGAGACCGGAAGCCGGTGTCGAATTCGCATTTTCGTATTTTTTAATGATACTTTCGCGCCAAAAATTTAAACATACTTTTTTATTACATATTGCTATCGAACATTATTTACAATGATAAATTGATACAAAATTTGACATTTAAAACCTGTGTAAATATAATTGAAAGAATATTCCTCCTCTAGCAATGCTTTTAGAATATCTTGAGACTAAAACAAATAAAAACATATAGCCACGTCGTCCTTTTTAATTTACTGAGACACAACTTGTTTTTTTATTTTGTCATTGATCAAACACCTACAACAGGCTTTAACTCGTATATTTCGACAGGTGGCGGTATTGAGAGAAAATGAGGCCGTAGCCTCCTCAAAAGGCGCGTTGCAGACTGTATTACAGCTCGGTTTTGATAGATGCTACAGATTTTCTACTCCTTGGAATAGTTTAGCTCCGTAAAATTATATGATGACTAGCTTTGTGACAATTCATTTGACAAGATCAGAGTCGTGTACCCCTTGGGGATTTAGGATGTATGGTGGAAAAGACTTTTCATCATCGTTTGTCGTGCAAAAGGTATAGTTTTTCTTTCTAAAACAATTCACTTTAAACAGTATCTAGATCACTCCTAACATTTGCCCATCATAAAATATCAAGAGCTTTAGTTATATAGAAATTCTTTTAAAAACCTTTCCAAATCGACGTAGAATGTTTAGTTTGATAGAAGGCCTATAACCTCTAAAAAAGTTTGTACAAGAAATGTTATGCATTATAGATTAATCCTGGAAGTTTAGCAGAGCGAGGAGATCTCCGAAACGGGGATGAAATTGTAGCCATTCAAGATGTTGCCGTTGAAAATATGCTACACAAGGACGGACAAAAACTAGTTATCGATGCTGGAAACGCGCTAAAGATTACAGTAAAAAGGTAGGCCTATGAACTATGTATGTTTTTTAAGCTGTACTAGTCCTATAAACAAAGTAGAAATACTTGAAGTTATATAAAACGAACTAAATAATTTTTTATTGTTGTAAAACAAATTTTTAGGTTTTATATGAAAGTATTGATTAAGAAAACTATATCTACAACTAAAATGGTTGATATTATGTGGCGCTTGCTTTTTATTTACACTAAATTATTTCTAGTCGGAGTTGAGGTCGGTCAAAAAAAAAAAAAGTAGTACTTGAGTGTAAATATGTACAATATATATATATATTACATACCGGCGAACTCGAACTACTGCAATAGTTTCCAGTTTTATTGCGATAAAGTAAAATGGAAGTATTGAGATAGAATCAAAATTTTCGTTTGTAGACAAGATTCTGGATATGGTAGTGTAAGCGCTCCCCACCGACCTGCTGGCCATCAACCAGTATCCTACCCTTACAACCCACCTACTCCAGGAGCAGGATTACAACAAATGCAATATCAAGCTCCCCCGTCATGGCAGAAACCTGCAACGGCTACCCCTTATAATCCCCCTCAGCAACAGTCAACTCCTTATCAGGCTCCCCAGTCAAGTAGCTATAGCTCTCCACAACAATCGGCGGCTTCCTGGGAGCCTCCTAAACGCCGTAACCCACAGGCTAAACCTCAAGTTGTTAAGAAATCTGACATAAGATTCTTAGATTCAGCTGGTGCTAATCAAAGAGCTCCTCAATGTAACACGTGCCATCAAATGATTAGAGGCCCGTTTATAGCGGCCATGAATAAGGAATTCTGCAAGCAGCATTTTTCTTGCTCTCGTCCTGGATGCTGCAATAATTTGGAGGAAGGATTTGTTGAGGAGGAGGGAAATATCTATTGTATATCTGATTATGAGCAATATTTTGCTCCGAGATGTGCAAAGTGCTCCAGTCCAATAGTCGGAGAATGCGTTCATGCTCTTCAGCATACTTTTCATCCGCATTGTTTTCTTTGCGTACAATGCAGACAGCCTTTGGGCTCAAAGATGTTTCATGTTGTGGATAAAGATGTTTATTGCGGTGCTTGCTGGGCTAGAGACCATCAAACCCTCTGCTACAGTTGCGACTTTACTATCGATCCAGGTGACAGATGGATAGAAGCTTTGGGACAAAATTGGCATTCTGATTGCTTTAACTGCGCGGTTAGTTTAGGGAATTTGATACTTTTTGACAAAATGGTTTTTTTTAAAATAATTACTTTTTTCATTTAGGTTTGCCAAGTGAATTTGGCCGACAATGCTTTTTTCGTGAAAAACAATAAACCTTTTTGTGAGCGGCACTCTAACACTAAATTGGTTCGAGCATAAAGAGAAAGACAGTCCTGCTGCCTCTTCGATTCAATCTGCTAACTCCTGATATTTGAACGTCCTATGACTTTGACTTCTCTTAACCCTGAACGAAAATTTGAATTCCTACTTTTCTATATCTATCCCTAATAATTGATTTAGAGAATACATGCCTTATGAGCTTATTAATTTCTTTATTTATCACAGCTCGTAACAATTATATTGTAAATCAAATATGAAGTTAAAGATGTATGAAAGATAGAAGTGTTAGTCGATCTTCTGCGTTTCGCCAGTCTCTTCTGACCTAATTATTTCGTAATTATCTGTTGTAGAATCAGATTTTTGTTAGAACACTTTTTATTAAGTAATTTTTATATTACGTCTATTCTTAATACGCTTAATCGCAAAGAGACCAACACCAACGACAACAAAGACAAAGGCGACGACAGCAACTGTTATCAACGCTATCTTCCATCCACTCATTTGAAATTCTAGATTTAAAAGTTAAATAAATACTTTTTATTGAAAACACTTGAATGTAATTTGCTAACCTGTAAATTTAACTTCAAGCAAGAATTCTTCATCTTTTTTAAAATTTTTGCTAGCGAATTCAATGATTAAGCTTGATCCTTCAAATTTTAATGTGTTTTGTGTATGATTCAGTATATGTTTCGATTTTGAATCAATTATTATCAACAGAGCATCCTTAACAAGGAGCTTCTTAATGGTTATTAAAATCGAATTAGCATTCCCTTTGCCTTGATAGGTGGCGCCTGTTCAAATTTATCACAAAATAATGAATATTCAATAGGAAACTTAAGCCAAATTATCAGACAGACTTTTTAATTGTAATTCAGGTAAAAAACTATCGTCAGTTTTGTAAAATGTTAGTCAAAAAAATGGCGTATTGATTTTTTTTCAGTTTAAAAAATTATTTAAAGCGATTTCTAAGTTTAGCAGAAAATGAGACTTGAAAAATCAATAAATACAGTATATGTATATATTCCAGTATAAATGTTATCAAGATAGCTATTTAACCCCTTTAAATAGAAATATATAATAAAAAAAAGTAAAGCAAACTTTTTAAATTCCAAATGCAATGAATATTTCTTTGAAAGTTATTAGAGGTGTACGGAGAGGCTATTTGAAAAGAATCGCCCACTTGTATAGGTCTTATTCCATCTCTCGGATAACATGCTTTACCTAAATTAGTGGGAAATAAATTGATAAATCAATAGCTGGCTATAATTGGGCTCTTAAACGGATTATTAAGTATCAACTCTTAAAATACTCTGATAGATACTTGTTAATATATTTTTGGCATACGAAAATCTTAAGAGAAATCCGTAATCTTTATTTTTTAGAGAAGGTTGAATAGAAGTTGGATAGTTTGTAAGAAAATAGACGGCTGCTTCCCCCAAAACGAAAATCGATCGGTTAAAGGATTTGCATTGTCCAAAGCTGCATTGGTCTTAAAAAAACAAAGTTATTATTTCGCTAATTCTATTTATAATCTACCTATTAATTTTGAGGTATTGTCAAAGATAGATATTGTATGTAAAGGGAAGTTTTTATCTTTATCTATCCCCATTTGCAAAGATAGGACATCGATTCGAACGTACTAGTTAGAATAAGTAATTAGTAAATTATAATAATTAATCATTTAATATACCTTGTAGCCTTTTTTTGGTCTTATTATATGACTGCAATTTAATTTTGGAGCAAATGCCTCGACTCCGTAAAGAGGTGATCTTATACCCTGTTCATGAGCACCAATAGCTTGCTTTTTAGGGCAGTTAAACATCTCTGTTGAAATTAAACCAATTAAAAAAAAATCCTGACAATTCATGTTTTATGTACTTAGCTCTACAGTAGTAAAGGTAATATTAAAGGCAGCTTCTCCCTTATTATTTTTTGGATCAAACTTCAAAACTAGTTTATCTCCTGCAGAAACTATCATTGGTGGTATTTGGTTGCCACAAATTTTTGTAATTAGTCTATTCTTTACTAAAGTTGCATCTGGATATTTATCAGGACCTTCGTAAACTGCCAAATTAGGGCAAGACGAACAGCTCTGACAAGACTTTAATTTTAGTTGTTTAAACCTCATCTCAATAACCTATTATCAGCACAAAAATTAGAATTAGAATACTTTTAGTATATGTATAATCTACAATCTAAAAATAGCTGTACAAGTCTTATTAAATAAAGTGTTAAATACAGAAAAATATTGTTAGATTGATTAAAACTATTCCATTAAATTATTAAAATTTCAATTAATTACACTGTGTGAAATATTCCTTGTTGTAACGGTCCATGAGCACGATTTCCTATCATAATTTTTTAACGTTAATACTGCTTCGTGGCTAGTCAAATTTGTAATATTTGGGCAATTCTGACAATTCGCTGTCCAATAAAAAGTGATGAGTATAAAAAAATGGATGGTAACTCTAAAACTCATTTTCTAAAATGTGCTTTGTATTTTTTGTTGTTTTTTTTTTGGCTTCTGAAAGAAAATATTTTGATTAAACAAACAAATTATACATTTTTGACGATTATATCTAACGAATATAGAATAATTTAATGATAAAAAAAATGATAAACATATAAAACACGTGGTTTCTTTTCCCTTATTTTTATAGTTTGTCTTAGCTCTTCTTTTTGTTTTTCAACAACATCGTGAATGTTTTAAAAGTTTAGTAAAAATTTTTCATGAATCTTTCATTGAACAGTTAAAAAAAGTAGTAACAAAAGTAAATAGAAATATGAACTCTCTGTATATATATATACTGTATATATCTAATATCTAATATATATTAGTAACTGTTCATTTGTATGCTTATGTTTTATAATGATAAGAATCTCATCATTATTATGCTTTGTATTATTATTCTAATTGTTGGAAAGTACTAGATTCAAATATAAGCCGATCATAATTGAACTTTTCGGTTTGAATCTTTGACTTTGAAAGCAATGCTATCATTTTTATCCTTGAAAGCTTTTGCAATTAATTTAGCTATATCTTCGTGATTGAGGCCGTCGGTTTCGATACCGTTTACACTAAGGATTACATGACCAACTTTTAATTCGCCTGAAGCATATGCGGAGCCTCCAGGCTGGACGCTTATTAAGCGAGGCATTCGAAGTTTAGTATTTGCTCCTCCTTCAATAGCTATTCCCAGCGTAGGTTTTAATTTTCTCATCGATATTATCTTAATTTCTTCATCTGGCTTATGTTTACGTGACGATAGACGGTCCCAATTTTCTTCGTATAAAGAAATTGGTGTTTTTGCTCTAAAATCTTGCCGATCGTCTCCCTGAGTAGAGGTACTGGCCGTTGTATAAGTCGTAAAATTATTTGATTCCTGGAGAAAAGGAACGGGAGAGGGTGAATTTCTAGAATTTGCACGTGACTGATTTTCTTCTACTTTCTTAACAAGAGCCTTCAATACATCTGGAGGAATTGCCTTAATTTCAGGAATTTCCTCTTTCTTATGAGAAGGAGTTGGTGTTTTTGGTCTAACCTCAACACGAGATGTTGATCTTGTCTCATCCGATTTTTTATCCAGTGCTTTCCGTACGTACGGAGATATAGGTTGAATTTTTGGTCTTGGCGATGATCTTACAAACGATGATTCGACCCAAATAAGAGGTTTAGAATCGGTATCAGGTCTATGAACTTCCGCTTCTATTTCTTTGTCAAAACACCAGTCATCTTCATTAAAATCTGATGAGCTCGATGAATCATTCGCTGTTTTTCTATAATTAACTGATTTTCTTGGAGGTTTTATTGGCGAGTATGACTAGAACACGATTCGGAATATTAGGTTCTTACGAAAAATATGTAATATATTTAGATTTAGGGATATTTTGAAGTTCAATACAAAAAGGCCTATATGCTGTTGATTTATTAAAATATATACTATATATTCCGAATGGCGTTCTTGATTTGGCTCTATGACTCTTACAAAATTTTCTTCACTTTCATCATCGTCATTTAATTGTTCGCTAATTGCAATATCGTCAGTATCTCTGTATATTAGATCTCTTTCCCTTTTCATTCTTTCGAAATCTCTTTTATCTTCACTCCTCTTGATAAATTTCCTACCATTTGACGGTTTTTGCGGAATCTCTTCCAGAGACTCTAACGTATTGGCTATTTTATGGCTAATAGAAGCAGTTCTAAATCTATAATAATTTTGCTTTGGATCTCTATAATTATAATCATCTATACTATCATTAATGATAGTGGCCTCTGGTGAGAGAGTAACGAGTTTGTTCGAGCTTGTTGAACTGTTCCCATTCAGTTCAACACCACTATCCTCATTTAGGCTATGAATTTCCGCCTGAGTAAAGGTTTTGTTTCTCAACTTTCCAATTGGTACTTCTGGTGCTGGGACAGCTTTAGCTCGACGTTGTCTTGGAGAATCTGTTGAACTGTTAGTTTTATTGCTAGAGTACCACATAAGTTGATCATAAGTAGTTTTAGCGTACGGTAATTTCCCTACACTTTTGACAGTCATTATTAAATGGTTGTTATTCTTTAAGATGTTAACCATTTCCATGTGAGAAATATCAATGCAACTCTTTCCGTTGACATCCAGTATTTGATCCCCCACCTTCAAACCTGATTGTTCCGATATAGAGCCTAAGTCTACGCCTGTTATGTAAATTCCCAACCCAAACTCGCGTCCTCCCCTAATCATCAATCCTAAGGGTTTATGATCCGAAAGGTCCAAATTGACCTTTCTCTCCGGGCAATCTCCTCCATAATCGGATAAGGGTGGCGAAACACTTCTCCCGAAAGGATCAACCCAGGTATATTCCTTTAGTGTTTCGCTAGTTCCAGGCACCCTTCCCGTATTCTTTAATACTATTTCTAGTCGTCTACTAGATTTTATCAGCTTTGCTGCTTGAACATGGGAAACATTGCTAAAATCAATCCCATTAACTGAAACAATCAAATCTCCAGGAGTTAATCCATGAGTTTCCGCTATGGAATCACTATCGACGTGCGATATATAGACTCCCGTTCCAAATTCAATACCTCCTCTTATACTAAATCCCAAATCTAGCGTTGATCTAATATCCGAAATGACGACTGTTCTCTCGTCCTCAATCGCCAATTCATTTAAATCAATAGTTTCATGAATAATTGAGGAATTACGCTCATTAATCCATTCTCTCGTTCTCATGCATTGATCAAAGAATCGTAAATCGGCCAACGGAACAACTTTCCTGACTTTTTCGACAAGCGTTCTTTTAGCAGGAGTATCTAATAATTCCTTCAAATCTTCCCCAAACTCGTACACATTTCTACTCTTATGATAATTAGATAAAGACTGTATAAACTTTCTTTTTTCCGAGCTATTTAATAAATCATCAACGGCAGTTTGTAGTTCGACCTCCATAAGTTGGTCATAAAGTGGTCATTTAATGATCGTAAATGAACAAAATAAAAATAGCCAAGTATATTTTTTCGTTTAGTTTGAACGGTGGCGTTAAAGTAACTGATGTTTTTACGGTTGGAAAAAAAATCAATATGTTGAAACGCACGTGAGAGGAAGGATCAATAATTTAAATCGATTAATTTCATTATTAGATCAACTTATGTCTAAATTTTAGATGCTGAATATTTTAACTCTTAGAAATCATTCAAGTATATTGTAACAGTTATGTTTTCAAAGGTATTTTATGTATTTAGTGTCAAATTTTACTTTCTCTATTCAAAATATCATTAAAGTTTTCATTGTGATAGTATCTTAGGCTTAATTAAACTAGAAATTTCTTGGTGGAAACAAGCACTGAGCAAATGTCAATAACAATTAAATTATTACGTTGAAAGATACGTAGTACTATTTCATCACGTCACGTGTAAACCCTCCTGCTTATGCAATACGTTATTTCTTGAAATTAACTACAATCAGTAGGTGTATATAGTAATCAAACAGCATATTAAGGACTAAAATTAAGCATATGACAGCATAAACTTATCAGCTAATTAAGTGATAGCAAAATTCTATGATAAATATATAACAGAAAAAAAATAGGTATGATTATAATAGGAATGTGCAATTGTTCTTAAACTAAACCTCGTAGAATAAATCCTGTCCAAAACGAATGAATTGCTATTAAGTAAACCGTAAAATTTTAAAAAAATAGATATTCGACAATGGAAGAAATTTGTACTCTAATATAGTTAGCATATTTTTACTGTACATACTGTATAAAGTATATCTATGTTTATAAAAGGCCACTCAAACACTCACTATTCCACTCAAAAGTGAAAATACAAAAATAATGACAAATTAGCCGGTAAAAAAACAAATTTTGCATCTATGAAGTATACATATGAACCACGCTATTGTTCATCAAACAAATTTGTAAAATTTTCGTAAGAATCATATTTTAACACTTGCAGAAAGACTTACTTGATAAGATTCAAGTCAATTAAAAACGGAACATGAGCCAGGTTTTACTCGTTCTTGAATGTCAAGGTTATTTGAAATGTGATGAAAGCTGCTTACTTTTTTCTCTTATAAGTTTATTCTAATATGGTTTGTGAAAGTAAACTTGTACTCAAGTAGGATAATCAGCATCCTGAAAATATGTCCTATGAATGTACGGAAAAGGTAGATAAGGGTTCATTGGAAAACGGTGACCAATCTGAGGAGTCAGATCTGACTCACAATCTATCGAATTCCACCTATGAACCACTATTTGAGGAACCAAAAATTGCCGCTGAGGCTGAAGGCCATTTAGAAACGTCAGCAACTCCAAATACTCCCTTTAATTCCGGTGACTTTATTCCTCCAGGCGAAGGCTGTAAACTAAGACGTAGATCACCATCTGAGTGCGATGAAAAAAACAAGGAAGAAATTTTATCAGAAATTTTAGATACTGAATACGAAGATGAAGAATTAGAGAACACTAGTGAGGAGCCATTGGAAGCACCATCCTTATTAAATTATATTTATATGGAATTGACAAGAGGTTATAAGTTAGATAATGAGGACGGTAAAAAATTATCTGAAAAAAGTAAAAAGGTCTACACGTTTATAAAGATACCTTTGGAATTGGAAAAATTCATTTGTTTTGGTTTTCTACAATGTGTTGACGCTTTCCTGTATACTTTCACATTCCTACCCTTAAGATTTATTTTAGCGTTCTTTGAGATATTTCGAAAGTGCTTTGTTAGATCGTGAGAAATATGATCAAGATCATCAATAACTAGTTATAATCATTTTTTTCATTGTTTTTTAGTGGAAATAGGACAAGATGGATGGAATCCGCGGAAATTCGTGACTTATTAAAAGGATTGGTTCTAATATTGGCTTGTATTGCCATATACTATATAGATATTTCAATGATGTATCACTTGATACGAGGCCAGGCCATTATTAAATTGTACATTTTCTTCAATATGTTAGAAGTATGTAAGCTATTTACTGATTGCGAAATATCTTACATAAATTATCATGTTTAAGGTTGCCGATAAACTATTCTCGTCTTTTGGACAAGATATATTAGATTCTTTAATGTGGACTGGATCTGAGCAAAGAGGCAGAAAACGGGAACATCTAGGTCTCATTCCGCACGCTATACTAGCTGTTGTTTACGTTGTTGGTCATGCAACTCTTGTTCTCTTTCAAGCTACAACTTTGAATGTGGCTTTTAATTCTCACAATAAAGCGTTATTAACAATAATGATGTCAAACAACGTAAGAGCTTTTCAATATTTTTCTCTATTGTCTTAATAATCATGGTTCACTCATTAGTTTGTAGAACTGAAAGGATCGGTTTTCAAAAAGTTTGAAAAGAACAACCTCTTCCAAATGGCTTGCTCCGATGTAAGAGAAAGATTTCATTTTTTGGTCCTCCTTTCAATTGTTAGCGTGAGAAATTTAACTGAATTTTCATGGAACTTTGGTTTGATTAATCTTAACTAGGAGATAAAAAATTAAAAATACTTTCTTTCGGTGCAGAACACTTATTAGACCTGATCCCTGATATTCTCATGGTTCTTGTCTCAGAAATTATTGTTGATGGAGTTAAGCACGCTTTTATTACAAAATTCAATGAGATCCCTGCAGATGTAGGTTTTTAACCGTATGTTAATGAACTGTTTTTAAATCCTGGATTATCATTTTAGGTCTACACAGAATATACGACTAGTTTAGCTTACGATATGAAAAACTCACGTCAAAAGCAGGCTTTCAGCGATTATTTAGACGTTGTTAGTCGGAGAATGGGATTTATTCCTTTACCTTTGGCTGTCATTTCAATAAAGATAACCTTCTCCTCCATGACATTTTCAAGTTATAAACACTTTTTGTTACTGGGAATGTTCCTCCTATGCCTCTTCAGTCTAAAAGTATTAAATAGTATTTGCCTCCTTGGATTTGCATGTAATGTAATTAAAGGACATAGAGTTCGAACAATCAGTGAGCAATTACTGCCTCCAAGATCACCCACAAATTTGTCTTTCAAACTCAAAAGAAGTAAATCTATCGGAGAAGGTTTATCAAGAAAGCATAAAGACGGAATAAGTACAATTGGTAAGGGTAAAGCTATGTTTATTGACGATAATCCACTAAATTTAAGTGGAGGTATTAGAGATGAAACGATTTTGGCAGACAATGATAAGAATGTGGAATCCTTGTCTGGCATTGATCGCTTTTCCATGGTTACTGGGAGAATTGTATAAAAAATACGATTTTAATTAACAAGATAATATCTTCTTAGATTCTCCAAACAAGATATATGTATTCGTATGTAATTTTTCGAATACGTAAAAAAAAAAAGAATCACATTTTATGGACGTTTAATTATGGACGGTTAACTTAATAACTAAAAATACTGAACAAATAAATTTCTATTTCCAAATACGGCAAGTATTATCCTTACTGCCAGTGATAATCGTGTCTCCTTCATAATTAAAAGCACAAGAAAATATCTCGTCTGTATGTCCTTCCAGCACCTGAACACACTGGCCAGTTTGAACATCCCAAATGTGGCATGTCTTATCCGCACTGGCTGTCATTACTAGCGTTCCTTGCGGATTAAACACCACTTTCGAAACCTCGCCTTCATGACCTTCTAGTTTGTGCATTAACTCAAAAGTTTGCGCATTATATAATCTTGCAGTTGAATCAGCACTAGCTGATGCTAAATATCTGCCTGTATTGTCGTACGCTACGTCCAAAACTTCATCTTCATGTCCTCTCAGAGTTTGAATACATCTTCCATCGGCAACGCCCCATAATTTGCAAGTTTTGTCCATCGAAGCCGTAGCTATAGTGCTACTTTCCCAGTTAAAAACTGCATTACTGATCTCTGCCCTATGACCAACTAAGGTATGAATTTTACTGCAGAAAATAATGCGTCAACTTTCAATAAATCTGGAACATACTGTATGTCAAAACTTACTGTCCAGAATTAACGTCCCATAGAGTAACAGTATTATCAAAGGACCCAGTTAGGATATGAGCTCCAGTCGTATTAAATTGTAAACTAATGATTTCGGCTGAATGCCCCTTTTTTTTGAGAAAACATCAGATATTATTTCATTAATATATTCACTCTACTTACACAAAGAACGTTAACTTCTTGTCCGCTCTGAATATCCCATAGTCTTGCCGTAGTGTCCATCGAACCAGTTGCTACTTGTGTGCTTCTCAAATTGAATGACAAGCATACCTAATCGAAAAAAATTGTCCTAAATTACTCTCTAAGCTATATGGTTATAAAGTATTACTTACAACTTCAGCAGAATGACCTCTGTAGGTATGAAAAAGTTTTCCAGTTTCCGCACTCCATAATTTGCATGTTTTATCGAAAGATCCAGTAGCTATTTTATCACTGAAATAAGAAAATGAGGAAATGTAGACAAATTTATAAATATTAAATAGTTTACCCATATGGATTGTTAAAAGCAATTGAATAAACAACATTCTTATGCCCTTCAAGGGTAAAAATTTCCTCGCCCGCTAAAGTTGACCATACTTTACAAGTTCTATCGTAGCTTCCAGTAATGAAACTAAGAGATTGACAATTAATAAACTATTTTTCAATTTAAGTCGCCTTACTGAGATCCATTTTTGTTAAACGCAACATTAGTGAGAGGAAGAATATGTGCCTTGAGTACTTTAAATAAATAAAATTGACTTTTCGTACTTTCAGCTTGTTTTTGCTTCAAACCTTTATGGAAGAAAATAGGGATAAGTAATATAATTTATATATATTATCATCAATAAAATAATTCTTACGCTGGACTAGTGTAATTAGCTGTTCCTTATTTGAATTTGCCAAAAGTGGTTCTTTTTTCATCATTTCGTCCACTATTTCACCACTATTTGAACTGAGAACAAAAGGTAGGCCTTACTAAATTTATAACCATCATGACATTTATAAAATAGTTACCTCTGTGTCAAATCTAGCAAATCAATTGCTTTAGTTTTTAAATCCCCAGTTTTAGTTTGGTATTCCAAAATAATACCTAATTTTAGTAAAAGAAACTTATTGAAGAATAGTAAACAAAAAGAAAGAATTGTTCGAAAATTGGAAAAATGGCCCAAGAACGAAATAAGTAAAAAGGATTTTTACTTATTATTGAAATAAGACAAAAATTAATATAATAATCATAAAATAAAGGCAACTTTTGAACTAACCAGGTGGATAATAACGTAATAAAAATCGGGTTAGTTTCATTTTTTTTCGTTGCTACAGTCAACAATGAAGGAATTTGGTTAGAGAAATGGACGAGAATTCATTTGAATATAACCAGTTTTTAATTGTGTTGTCGTATTGACTATTTTACCAAAATCTATTCATCACCAGACGGAGCTGTTCCGGCGGAAACAGTAAAGTTTTGAACACGCATGCCTGAGAATGGCTTCGGTTCGTCTTATCGCAGCAAGAAATTCGAAATTTCAACTTCTATCAAGATATCTAGTAAGTGCTACTTAAACTAAAATTTCTATATATAATCTACTCAATCACTTTATTGAAATAAATGATTGACTTGTTAAAGAAAAAACTAGAAATTTCAAACAATTCTCGCTCACAAGACTTTTAAGCTCAAAAAGACATCAATCATAGTGTTACAAAGATTAGCACATTGAAAAAATCTCAGAAACGATCTTTCAAGTTTCTCTTCAAATAAATTGACTAGTTACACAATATAGGATGTAGAGGATTTCAAAATTTAATGACTTAAAACTTACCGTCTGCTACGACCTTCGCAAGGTCATAGGGTAACCTTCATCAAACTCGTCTTTTTTTATGCTCTAAGTATTCTAACTAAAGCAGAAAGGCAACTAACTTTTACCAAATAGTCTTAAATTATATCAAACGAGTGCAAAATTAATACTTTGTAAAAAGCTTGATAAACTGTTTTTATAATATATCGTCCTTTTCAGTGGAGCTCTGTCGCTTCCAGGAACTATAGTGTTAAAAAGACAAGTATATCAAAAGACTACCAAGTTGTCGATCATGAATACGATGCTGTTGTTGTGGGAGCAGGTGGAGCTGGATTGAGAGCCGCTTTCGGTCTATCCGAAAAAGGATTTAAAACTGCCTGTATCACGAAACTCTTTCCTACAAGATCCCATACTGTTGCTGCTCAAGGAGGTATTAATGCCGCATTGAGCAATGTTGACGACAACCCGAAAGACAATTGGCATAATCATTTTTATGATACTGTAAAGGGATCTGATTGGCTTGGTGACCAAGATGCAATCCAATATATGTGTGAAGAAGCTCCAAAAGCTGTTATCGAACTCGAAAATTATGGTATGCCATTTTCGCGTTTAGAAAATGGTGATATCTATCAAAGAGCTTTTGGCGGACAAGCTTTAAAATTGGGAACAGGAGGACAAGCCCATAGAGCTTGCTGTGTTGCCGACAGAACCGGGCATTCAATGTTGCATACTTTGTATGGTCGATCACTGATGTACGATACAGATTACTTTATAGAATACTTCGCAATGGATCTCCTAATGGAGAAAGGCGAATGTGTTGGTGTTATTGCAATGAGTCTTGAAGATGGAAACCTTCATAGATTCAAGGCAAAAAATACTGTTTTGGCAACTGGTGGCTATGGAAGAGCTTATTTCTCATGTACTGCAGCCCATACTTGCACAGGGGATGGTACTGCCATGATTTCAAGAGCAGGTTTACCTAATATGGATATGGAATTTGTTCAGTTTCACCCAACTGGAATTTACGGAGCTGGATGTCTTATGACTGAAGGTTGCCGAGGTGAAGGAGGTTATCTGATCAACAGCGCCGGTGAAAGATTTATGGAACGTTACGCTCCATCTGTCCTTGATCTGGCTTCAAGAGATGTTGTTAGCAGATCAATGACAATAGAAATCAGAGAAGGAAGAGGAGTTGGACCTGATAAAGATCATATTTATCTACAGCTTAGTCACCTCCCCCAAGACCAATTAGCGAAAAGACTTCCTGGTATCTCTGAAACAGCCATGATTTTTGCAGGTGTTGATGTTACTCGTGACCCTGTGCCTGTTCTTCCCACTGTACATTATAACATGGGAGGTATTCCTACAAACTATCTCGGTCAAGTCATTAACTATGACAAAACCAATGGTACTCAGATTGTTCCTGGACTATATGCTGCAGGTGAATCTGCGTGCGTTTCTGTTCACGGAGCTAACCGATTAGGAGCTAATTCTCTTCTAGATTTGGTTATCTTTGGTAGAGCTTGTGCAAACACTATCGCAGACACTAACAAGCCTGGAGAAAAAGTACGAGAATTATCTGAAACAGCAGGAGAAGAATCCATAGCAAATCTTGATGCCGTTCGAAATGCTGACGGACCCGAGCCAACAGCCGCCGTTCGTTTGGATATGCAGAAGACAATGCAAACGAACGCAGCCGTTTTCAGAGACGGAAATGTATTAAAAGAAGGCTGTCAAAAATTAGACGACGTTTTTGCTCGGATGAAAAATATCAAGGTAGTCGACAAGGGCATGACTTGGAATTCAGATTTGGTTGAAACACTCGAACTTCAGAATTTATTATTGAACTCTCTTCAAACTGTATACAGTGCCGAAGCAAGAAAGGAAAGTAGAGGAGCTCATGCCAGAGAAGATTTTCAGGTACTCTAAACATAGATGTAAATAGAATCCACAAATTTTTACTTTTCAACAGACGAGAATTGATGAGTATGATTACACCAAGCCATTGGAAGGTCAAAAAAAATTGCCCGAAGACCAGCACTGGAGAAAACATACCGTCTCTACCATTGACCCCAAAACTGGAAAGGTAGGTTTAGAATATTTCTTATCATTAAAGGCAATCAAGTCGTCGTTTTACAGGTTCAGCTCACTTATAAACCAGTTGTCGATGACACAATGGACTCTAAAGTTACTACAATTCCGCCTAAACCTAGGGTCTACTAAAAGTATATGAACTGTTAAAATATAGAAATTTAACTGTGTTTTCTTTGATGAAAATAGTAAATTATATTTAAAAATCAAAAACAACTTATCTCGTCTTTAAAAATTTTTGATATCGAGTTAAACTTCACCAATCATTTGATTTCCTTCGTGATTCCATCACGAACTTAATTAAATTTTATAAACGAATATGACTATAGAAAGTGACTGTAAGACAAACAAATCAACTGTTGGATGTCGCTGCTATCGACCAGTATGACCTTGAATTCAGTAATGCTGTTGGTGAGCGAAAATAGGGAATAGCATGAGAAATGCAAGAATATATCTTAGAATCAAAATTAGATAGCCTAAGTAAATTTCTTCAGTATTATCTACCACTCGCTGAAGCACATAATACCGACTTCTTTACTGAAGATTGTTGGGAAAAAATCGTTCCTGAAAAGTTGAAAAATGACTTATCAAGCTTAAATTCTGAAAAATTATCGAATCTTCTGACTGATTGTCAACCAGTTGACCCGAGAGAATCATATTCAGTAGAAGACTCTGCGAACTGTCTTCAACTATTTGTCTCTTTTGTGAAAAAACATACTCTTCCATATTTAAACGTTCTCACCGATTTAGAAACTTTATATGAAAACTTTACTGGCAAACCAAATACTGTCCAAGTCGCTTCATTTATGACTGACAAAAAGTTTCATGAGACTTATGAAATGTCAGAAATTATATATTCCATATGTAGATATCATAAAGTTAATTGCATTGTCGATATAGGCAGCGGACGAGGGTATCTTTCAAATTTTCTCACTTTAAATTGTAATTTGAATGTTTTGGGCATTGAAGGTAGCAAATCTATCAACGAAAGTGCAAGCTTTAGAGAAGTCAAATTAAAAAAATATTGGAATACACTTAAGGACAATGCATTGAAAAAAACTGATAATCAAGAAAAACCCAATCCTGATGAAATTGGAAAAACTGAAGCGAAATTCAAACGATTAACTTGCTATGTAACGCCTGATTTAAACTTAGATCCAATATTGGAGGAAAACTTTTCAACTGAGATAGATAAGATAGGAGTTGTTGGTCTACACACTTGCGGAAGCCTAGCTAATAGTCTAATAGAATTATTTCTTAATCAGAATAAAGCACGTCTGTTGGTAAACGTTGGCTGTTGTTATCAGCATATTTTACCCGAAGAGTTTCCACTATCATCACCATTAAAGAAAAGAAATTTCAAATTGAATAGGTTTATGATTATTATAATAATCCTTATTTTTGAAAAATATAATTTTGTTCTTTTATAGAAATTGTCGAATGTTAGCTACTCAGGCTGCAGAGCGAATGGAAGATGGCTGTAAACTAGCTCCTATAAGTATGCTATGGAGGTGCACTCTCCAAAAAATTCTGATTGATTTGACAAACAACAAAGCACAAAAAGATGATTGGAAAGTAGGGAAAATCGCAAAAAGGTGCTCTAATTTTGTTGAATACTGTAAGAAATCTTTTAGATTGTTAAAAATCGAAAATACTCTTACTGATGAAGAAATAGAAGCATATATCAATGACACAGCGGCCATAAAATGGAAATTAGATGCATTTTTTAAATTAAGAACCCTTCTATCTCCTTGCATAGAAGCAATAATTCTATTAGACAGAATGTACTATCTCATAGAGAATGGAACCAAAAATGTTCATATAATTCAACTATTCAAACCGTTAAAGTCCCCACGTTGTTACGCTTTGGTTGGGGATAAAACAAGAGCAAATTAAAAGCTAAGCAATAACGTGAAAAAATTAACAAAACAGTTAAGGATATTCTATTCTTCTGTCAGTTGATACATGAATTTCATATTGAAAACAGACTAAATATTTAAATCAGGCATTTGCTTAGCTCCCTTTTTGAGTGTCCTGAATACTGGAAGTTTCTGATGATGTTTGAGAGGAATTGTAATATCTATTACCAAATACATCTATGGCAAAATTATAATCGGCCCTTGAATTTAATGCCTTTTCAATTTCGTTATCAATGTCGTCCATATCAATAAACTGTTTTGAATTTTCTATCTCCTCTCTAACTAAACGTTCATTTTCCATACGAATACGCTTTTCTTCTTCTTCCAAGGCTATCAATTCCCGTATCCTACGCTCTTCAGCAGCCTCGTCTTCCAATATTTGTCTTTCTTGTCTTATCTTTCCAACTCTATCGTTCCATTCGTTGTTAAGCTTCTTCAGAGCTTGAAATTCATCTTTTCTCTTTTGGACAACTTCTGCTGCTTCTGTCTGAGCGTATTTTATCTGTTGACGTTCCTTCACGAAAGCTTGTCTATAAATTATATTTCAGTATTAGATTAGAATGGTGCTCTGAGCTCCATAGAATTTTACCTTATAGATCGCATTTCTGTTGCATAAACCTTTTCTAGCTTTCTAAGTTGATCCCATTCTGGAAAGTGTGGATCAGGAGGCACAACATACAGCTTTGAGGCAGCAATAGGTGCCCATCTACGTTTCCTAAATCGTAACTGTTGTGCATTGATTCCATTCTGACGGATAACCCTTAAATTGGGTAAAAACCGACTAAAAACCGATTGTAAACTCATCACGTTTTCTCCTCGGGTCAAGGTCAATTCTACGTACGTTTATCGTTAAAAAACGAGAGAATACATATGGCGACGCCTATCTGTCTAAAAATAGAGTATCATTTCAATGAGAATTTCGGAGAAAAGAGGTATTATAACTTTCAATTAAGGAATCACAGATGGATAAGAAACCTTCAAATACATAATTATACTATATGTATGTATATAATAATAATTATCGTAAATAGACAAATTTGTTGTCAAATATAGGAACTGAAATTGTAGCCTATCTTGAAGGCGTGGATCAAATATTAACTGATTCATCAATATTATGGCGTCAGTATTGATCTTAGATTTGAGATATTGTAATTATCCCAACAGATGCTTGAAAGAGAATGAGATTTCGTGGGATAAGTCGCCTCTTAGGAACTGCAATAGTGCTGCTTATCCTATTGATATATTTGATAAAGTAAGAACACTTATATACATGCATGTTTTTGTAAATTATTTATGACCGTTATACAATTTTCAATAAAACATCGTTCTACTATGGGTTTTTTTATTAAAAAAAACTGGGGTTTTTTTCAAAGTGAATTAATATTAATTATATCTTGTGTTGATAGCTTCCATACCACTGAAGAAAAAAATGAGAGAGAAGATTTTAAATTAAGAGAGATACAACCATCAACTATAAAATTTCATGTCGATGATCAACATGCCATCAGTCCCACAAGAAAATTTACACCGAAAATTGTTCTCAAACCAATTGAGAAAAGCAATGATTCTTCTTTATCAAAATTTGCTAGCAATATGACTGTTTTAAAAGCCAATCATTCTCATTTACACTCCTTCATCAAAGGAATTAATGAGACATTAAACGAATCTGAAATTCGTAATCCTCACCCATTTAAATACATCATTAATTCAAAAAGCATATGTCAAATTGATGACTTATTCCTCCTGGTATATGTTCATACAGCCATAAAACACGTTAAACAACGGATGGTAATTCGACAAACTTGGGGAAATCCAAAGCAGTATGAATTAAAAATAAGAGTCGTATTTGTTCTTGGAAAGAGTGCAGATGATAATAAGGTGTGCATTTTGAAACTTTTTATTCTTATGTATTTTAGACCTAAAGTTAAAACTGATTCACTGAACCTTTGAATTTTCGAAAAAAAAGCAAAATGCAAATATTAGATTTTACAAAGGCAGTGTGGATATAAATTGTTATGTAAATATATTGTTGATAATAATACTACTACTAACCGACATTACTTCTTTCAGAATATTCAAGAGGCCTTGCTTTACGAAGCTCAAATGTATAATGATATAGTTCAAGAAGATTTTGTGGATGCCTATAAAAATTTAACCTATAAGGGAGTAGCAGCTTTAAAATGGGTAACAACTCATTGCAGGAACTCAAAGTATGTTCTGAAGGCTGACGACGACATGTTCGTCAATATGTTTACGTTGCTAAGGCATTTATCGAGTTACTATCGATTTGGAACATACCGAAATGATTTAATACTTTGTCTAGTCTGGGGTAGGATGATAGTAATGAGAACAGGGAAATGGGCAGTAAGCGAAAAAGAGTTTCCTGGAAAGTACTATCCAACATATTGCTCTGGTAGTGCGTTTACACTCAGTACCGACGTAGCTGTTAAGCTTTACTATGCAAGTTATACAGTTCCTTTTTTCTGGGTTGACGACTTCTACATCACTGGTTTACTTCCACTCAAGTTGAAGTTAAAACACAAACAATTTATGAGTACATATGTTCTAGATGGGCGTAAGCTACAGGAAAAGTTTAATGGTCCTCAGTGGTACACATACGTTTTTTCTCATGTTCATGACTTAAGCTCCATTCAAAGAGTGTGGAAAAGTTTGCTAAAGTTAGCAAACGGAGAAGTACAGCCTAATATCAAATATATACAAGTTAATTCGTCGCTTAATGCGTTCTAATATGTATATTAAATTTAGCATTTAGTTTACCACCATTAAAAGAATATTGTGATAACAAGCCTTAGTATTCCTACTGTGATAAAGAAGTTAACATTCATTTTGCTGTTTTAATAAGTGTATAAAAGAGCATTTTTTGTTAAATATTAATTAATACAGTTGATTTCTTTAAATTATGAGCTATTTTTAGAAGTCATTAGTTTAACTGGCATGTGACCGCAGTCTCCAACTTGCCTTATTCTAATTTCACCGTTGGGCCTTATGACAACCCAAGTTATACTTGCATGTTTGAGATCCATTCTTGCCCAGGCTGAGGGTGACACTTGGAGCACTCGGCAAATAAAATATCTAATGACATTGGCATGACAGACCACAATATCGTAGGAATCTTCCGTCTGACCAGGGTCTGTTCTTTTGAAGTATCTTCGATAAGCGGCTTCTATTCTTGCACCATCCTCATGATACTAATTAATAATATTAAAAAATGTCAAAGACTAGAATTAACTGGAAATATATTGAAGATTTACCCGATATTCAGAACGATACATCATAATTGGAGGTTCTGGAGGGTATGGCATGCCTTCCCTTAAATTATCATCATATATTCCAATTTTTATTGGGAGATAGTTTTCTATAATTTCCGCCGTTTCCTTGGCCCTTTGCATAGTAGATGAGACGAACATCGTATAAGGGAGAGCCAAATCCTTTAATCGTTTGCCAGTCTCATGAGCTTGCAATCTGCCAATTTCCGTCAATTTCCTCTCTTCGTCTTCTGAACCTTTAATGTTATACTGTCCATGTCTTATAAGCAAAATATGTCGACTAGCTTTGGTACTAAACTCTTCTCTCGACTTTTCATTTTCCAAAGCTTTCTTCTTCAATCTAAACTTGTAATGCTCCAGCATAACATCAGGATTTCTTTTGTCCCAGTTAGAATCCCAAGAGACTGATTCTTGCCTTTTATCAACTTCCGCAGCATTAGTAATATTCGGATAGAGAAAGATGGCAGTTCCGGTCGAAATGAGAGTTACCTTACCGGCAAATTTCAGTATTCTGCTGGAGAACATGGTTTTTAGCTGCTTGGGAACGATACTAAAATCACGTGATCACTATTGGCGGCAAATTATGAATAGAATAAAATTATAAAGACTTAATTAAAATTTCAAATAAAATTGACAAAGCTGGTAACACCTTCTTAAAACGTTATTCTTTTGAATATTTGGAAACTTTTACGTCAACACGAAAAAGTTATGAAAAGAAGCTAACGAAAACCACTTTTTTAAATTTCCCGCCCAACATTTAAGCACGTTATTGTTAAAAACTATTCAAAAAAGGTGTATTCTAGATCTGTCTTTTCGTTTATTGGTCAATCGCATCTATATAGCGGATGCCTTATTATATCAAATACGTATCCCTAATTGTCATATAGTGAAAGTCAATTTTCTAAAAATATGAGCTTTATTGCTAATTTTTATTTGTTTTCCTCCTTTGTATTACAAATAATTGATCTAATAAAATTTTAAAAGCTGTCATTTACAACATATGTTTTAAATTCATAATTAGAAATGAAAAGAAGTAATTAGATTAATAGCAGACTGCTTTCAAACGACGTATTATTAATTTTGTAAACTTTTTATGATAGCTGTTATATCCCTATAAAGTATTTAAATAAATAAAAAAAGATAGACTAACAGTTAATTTGTATAGAATAACATTATTTATTTTAAAAAAAAATTCCATATTGACTTTATCAAAGACAAAAAAAAGTACGAAAATAGTGAAAAAAACTTTTCAGAAAGTTTTAATAGTTCAAAACACAGATCTGAAGACTTAGGAGGCTTTTTTAGAATTTTGAAATCTTCTTCTTTCTTGTGGGGTTAAGGCTTTGTATAAAGATGCTAAATGCTCCTCAACTGCATCTTCCTTTTCCTTTTCAGATTTATTTCTCATCTTGGGGATCAAAAGAGGTAAATTAATATTTTATATTTTATCTACTCTAAAAAGATTATTCATTACTAAATCAAATTAAACATTTTCTATATTTCAAATTCTATTTTGACATGATTATTAAACGTACCAGCTGATTGACTTGAGCTAAAATTTGTGGCCTCTTCTTTGCGCTAAAATTTAAAAATGCCTTCGACTTGTTCTGTTTCCCGTTTCTTGCTTGTCTCACTGGAGATATACCGGCAGTTATAGTCGTTTTAGATTTAGCATGAAAATTTGCAGTAGATAAAGCATCCTGAGAACTTGATATTGGGGGAATTGGTATTGTTGATAATGACATCTATAGTTTGAAATTATCTTTATAAAAATGTTTAATACAATGCATTCTTCTCTGTACCTCTAAGCCTGAGGGTAAGGGAATACTTTCGATGTCAACATCATGTTCCCGCAATGTTCTTATCAAATACCTGCTCAAACTTAAAATTAACTTAATTCTAAGGAAATAAAATCATACTTTCGAAGTTTTTTGGCTCGATGTTTGAGTCTTTTGATGTGATGAATACGGTTTACCAGCCGTTTATTGTCCTGAAAGGGCAAATCATTAATAATTTGTTTTTTATTGAATATCGCTCAAATAAAATTTTTTTGATATTGCGCTTACGCGGCAAATATCTTCAATATGCTTTTTCAAAGTTAAATATTTTCTCTTGTAGGGGTTATCCTGCTCCTCTTCTTCAGACTCAACGAAATCCGATAATTCTATGTTTTCATTCATATCATCTCCCATGATAGTCATTGTGTGGTGTCCATATCCTAAGAAACGGGTGTTGTCGTAATGTTTCGCTAAACGCAGGGGTTGTGATACTGAAACTAAGTTTTAAACTTTGGTCATGAGGTTGTTAAATAAACAAGTTGATAAACTCCCTTCGCATTTGTGCTATCTGTTTGTTTATTATTTTTTTCAGTCAGCATTCAGAGAGCCTTCGAAATTTTCCTGATAAATCTTTCCTGAGCGATGAAAGTCTCATGGAGTGGAGTCCTTGTAATAAAGAAAATAAAGAAAATAGAGAAAACAATGATGGATTAAATTTACGATTGATCAACAGCTCGTTAAGCACTTTTAGTTTTCATTCCCCTCCGAATAAACATCCCTCCGTACATCCGATGGAAATCGATTTTAATTCACCTAATAATTCATCCTATAAAGAACAGGAGAAAGATCCTGCAACCGGGTTATCTCTGTGGTCAACTTCATCAAATAGTGAGTTTTTTGTTTTTGTGGATGATTTATTTATATGATATACTTTTAGATGAAGAAAAGCTTCCTATGCGATCAGACAACTTAGAAGTCGATCAGAGAAGTGTGATCAGTGGAGTGTCAACTCTAACTGGAATTTCGAAAGCGTCTTGCCCTTCTGAATGTGAATATCTAATTATTTTCTGTTAATTACAGTATGATATATACAGTATCTCTATATATTTTATATATAAAAATATTTATATGTTTGGATATATTGCTGTTGCAGATTCAAAAATGGGAAGCTCGACCAATGACTTGCTGCTACGGGATTCTAATATTGAAGATGACTCCAGGAGCATTTATTCTGCACAGTCGCTTATATCTGGTGTAGGTACAGTCCGAAGGTCAGAAGTTGAAGAGACTGGATCAGCTATTTCAGGCACAATGCAATCTGACATATCACCCCCATCAAGTATTCGCAGTCTATGCTCCACAAATGTTTCAAAAGAACCTGAGAAAAAAATTGAGAAAAAGTCAAATGTTCTACTGCTCTTAGTAATTTTATTTCTTCCCACCATATTGGGATTTGTTTTCTTAAAATTACAAACCACTCCTGATTTAAAACCTAATCTGAATATAGATTTAGCAAATATCTCAAGAGATCTTAGAGAAAGTATAATAGGTCAGGACGACGCCTTACGCGATATTTTGAACTATATGGAAATGTATAAAAAACAACAAAGAATAGAACCTTTAGTGTTTTTATTGCATGGGCCAACTGGAACTGGTAAATCTTACACTTCTCAAGTTATTTCCAAGTCCTTTCAGCAAACTAATGTCCACTTATATGTCACGTCTTACCACTTTGGATCTAAAGCAAAGCTTTTGGATCTTTCAACATTTAGAGAAATTCCTGACTTAGTTAAAGACAGATCAACAAATTTGTTCATTTTTGACGGCTTGGAAATAGCTGATAATCGAGTGATAGAGGCTCTGTTTTCTACTTTACACTTAATGAAGAAGCAAAGCACCAAAATAAACTACACTGTTTTTCTCCTTATTGACACCAGTAAACCAGAAAATTCTCAACAATTTGATAGAAATACTAAATATCCAGAAATTGAGAAAAATATTATGCTTAAAACTCACTGGTTTAAGGAATTTATGTCTTCTGGCATGATAGACAGCTTTGTTCCCTTTCAATTACTTGAAAAGAAACACGCTATTCAATGTGTGATTTTGGAAGCAAAAAAGAGGGGACTGAAACTTTCAAGAGAGAAGCTTGACCAAATAATTAGTTCTGTAACATTTCAAGAGATTGATGGAATTGAATACTCTAAAGCAGGTTGTACTTCAATATCAAATAAACTATATCTTTTGGAGTAGAACAAAGAATATATTTCATTGTAAAAGTAATGTAAAGACTGATTTGAATAAAACTATAATTGTATTTATGTCAAGTAAAATTCAAGTTTTTTTGTAAGAAATTAAAAAGTAGTAACTTTTTACAATTAAAAGTAATTTAAAAAATAGAAATAAAAATAATGGCATTTCTCAGTTAAATAGACTAAATATTTAATTCAAGGTAAAAATCTGTGAATACTGCCATAAAATTCTGACTTTATCCATAAAATTATACACATAGTATCCATATATCATCATCATCATCATCATCACTTGCAGCAAGAAGATTTTTCAGTTTTTTCCTCTGAACCATATGTTCCATTATTAAGATTTAGAGGTTCCTTAGTATTACCATTTTCGGTGTTTTTTGAATCTTTTGATTGCTTTGTTTCAAGTAAGCAAAAACCAATATCGGTAAAAATTTGAGAAATTCCTATAAGAATTATAATTGAAAAGTGGTACTTGTATATTTTCTTACTTTATTTACCCTCATTTGTTAAGGCGGATGTTGATAAATATTTGGCACCAATTGTATTTGCGTATGTTTCTGCTTCTTTTTCATTTACTTGTCGATCCTCTTCGAGATCCGATTTATTACCAATGAGAATTAAGTCTATAAATAAATTTTGATTATCATTGACACTTTTCTTGAGAAAGTTAAAAATAAAAAGAACAATTATACCTAAATGACCAGTAGCATTTTTTCTCACCTCTGTAGATTGTAATTAATTGAAAATTAAGTTTGATTTATAAATAATGCTAAATAAAGAAAAACCTTCAACCCATACATGAACATCGTCAAAAGTATAACGGTTTGTTATATCAAAAACCAAGATAGCAGCATTAGCATTTCTATAATATAACGGTGCCTAAATTATTAAAGAAAAATTTATTAAATATATAAACTGTATAAGTTTATATTATATTCTATATCATTTTATCTACCATTGATCTGAATCTTTCTTGTCCAGCGGTATCCCAGACTTGTAGACGTATATTACAATTTTTCAATTTTCTGTTTCAAATAATTCATATTCATATTGTTAATATGGATAAAAGTAAGCAATTGCGCAATAAACTACAAACAATTTGCAAGTGAAGAATGAAGCCCCGATTGTAGGACTAGCATGGGCGTAAAACGTATTGCTGACATAGCGTACAATAATGCTTGTTTTTCCAACACCTGTAAACAAATTTATTCAGCCAAAAATAAATTACTTTGATATACTGTATATATTATTATCTTTCTTATTCCGCCCACTTTTGAATAAAATGATTTCATAATTTTATATACGTTACACTTTTGCGATTACAATATGTTACAATTTGTCATTGGGATTATCTAAATGAATCCTTAACATACCTTGTGTTCCTAATAATACGACTTTAGCTTCTAAGAACTTTTCCGCCATTTTACAGAAGCGATACGTAACTAAATCAAGCAACTGTACTTTCAATGTCAGGCTAGGTCTAAAAGAGTAATGAATTCATATTAAACGTAATCAGTGCTGAATTATCTAAAATTGAAGATTTAAGACTTTTTAAGTAAACAATGAGTCATCGACTTACCACTTAAAATGTTTGATTTCTAATTTAAACGAGTGTTGAAAATATAAACTGGTCGGATTAAAAGCCGAATATAGTTTAGGTGAGGGAGGTGTTATGGACTTATTTTAGTAATTCATTTTTTCAAATATATGTAAATTCACTTTTAATTCATACTCATCGTTTTATTAAGATAAAATACTCTACTTTTTTCATTTATTTGGTCTACTTTACTTCAACTTTTCTTTATATACACAGATTTAGCAATCCCCGGACACTGCTTTTTTCATCTTGGAATATTTTTCGGCAGACAGTTTTCTATTTGTGGTGCAATTCGATAAATTAACCTATTAAACTATCTCCAGGTAATTTGTTAATAATTATTATCATAACTGAACAATGCTTATTTTTATTAATTTTCTTATCAATCCTTAAAAAGTATTTTTAAACTCTTATTCTAATTTATATCCTCCAAAATTTAAAACGATAATGTATAATTCGCAAAACGTGCTATATTACTATTCATAATTTTCAGATTAGCATTATTGCTCGATTTAGACAACTGAAGACATAATGTCCTTTACCTGTATTACCTGTCGTGTGGCTTTCCCCGAGCCAGATCTACAGAGGGCACATTATAAAACTGATTGGCATAGGTAAAACAAATAAGATTGTGAAATATACAGTATAATGTAAAACTTGCACTCCCCTTTTCAGATACAATTTAAAGAGAAAGGTGGCTGAGATGCCCCCTGTAACAGCTACTGCATTTGAGGAAAAAGTTGTTAGTCAACGTAATCAGGTAATAAAATCTATAAAATGTAAAGTTTTTTACTTATTAGAATATTCGTAATTTTAGGCTAGTGAAGCGGAAAAACAACCCGACAACTTCGTCTGTGAAACTTGTAACAAACGTTTCAGGTAGAATAAATTAATAAGATATCATTTAGCGTTTCTTTAATGTTTTATATTTGACAGCTCGGAAAATGCTTTTAAAAATCATATCCAATCTAAGAAACACAAAGATTTAGAGGTTCGAAGGTCTGAGAATCCGAATGATCCAATATTTAACCGTCAAAGATCTACATCTACATCGGAGAGTAAATCGAAAGATATTGCTGATGAAAACATGAGCGATGATGACGGTATGTCATTGCTTCTATCCTGCCTATATAATACAATAATTAAATGTTCCTTTCTTTAGAAGAATGGAGTGATTGTGACGATGCTCTCAGTGCAAACGAATGTCTATTTTGCTCAAAGGTCTGTGATGACATGGAGAAAAATATGGAGCATATGACTGTAGTACATAACTTTTTTATACCTGATATCGACTATGTATCAGATTTGGAGGGCCTTCTAAGTTACCTAGGTTCGTTATTTTTTATCCCTCTATTTCATATCTTAAAAGAAATTACTTTCTAAAAGTATTTGCTCAGATATCTCTAAACTGTATTTCATTTTTTTAAATATTTTGAATATCAGGAGCAAAAGTCGGGGAAGGTCGTATGTGTTTATGGTGCAGTGAACACGGCAAATCTTTTCGTTCATTGAGAGCTGTCCAGAACCACATGACCGACAAACAACATTGTAAAATGCTTCATGAAGGCGATACACTTCTAGAATACGAAGACTATTATGATTATTCTTCATCATATCCTGAAAATGGTGACAATGAAGACCCAGAAGAAATTGATATGAATCTATTAGATACGGAAAATGCCTTCGAAATTACTTTACCGTCTGGAGCAGTCATTGGTCATAGATCTCTTCTGAGATACTACAAACAAAATTTAAAGCCTGAAAGGCAGTTGGTTTTAGCAGGGCAGTCTAAAATTAAAAACGTTATCGCCCAATATAAGGCTTTGGGATGGACAGGAACAACAGGTGAATCCACTATTACTATTTAAAAATAACTAGAAAAGTAGCACGAAATAGCAAATTCTAAACGAAGTTATTATATCAGTTTTTAAAAGCCATTCACGTAAACTTACTTGATTAAGAGCACTAAAAACGCTAAATATATCAGTTTAGAAAATGCAAATTTCGCATGAAGTAAGAAATAACAGTGTTGCAATGTTCATAGAACAAAAAAAGATGGCGTAACAAAGGATATTACAACATTTTAGTATATAATATACTCTGTGTGTACTTAAAAAATATTTCACCATTTAGCATAAAAAAGATTATTTTAATGCTTTAATTAATTAAAGCGACACCTATCTCCCATAAGGAGAGTGTGATGTTATAATTTTGCTGAAAGTTCATCTTTGGCTTTATCAGATACATACTGTTCAACTTTGATAATTTTTCTGTTAAATTTTTAACCCTAGGCTTATATATTCTTCAAAACAAAGTTCGTTCTGAATATAAGTTAATTTTAATTTTTCGTAAAAGGAGAAACAGCGAAGAAGAAAGCAAAGGACTTGGCCTATATTCATCGTCAGCGTTCGAAGCATCATATGAAATTGTCAGTGAAAGCAAACAGATTTCAAAAGCACTTTCGAGATCAAGTCTTCGGAAATTAACCTTCAGAAGCCTTTGAATTTTGACGGCAACTGTTTTATCGGATGTTAAATGAATTATTTTTGTTATCAATAAAGAACGCACTATCGTAGGCCTATTTTTGACCTTTTATCTGTGCTCAGAGGTTTAGCGATTTTACGTGTCCCGTTCATTTCCACTCGTACGCTTTGGCGTAGAGATTCGTAAAAAAAATTCTTGAAATCTTATCTTTCATAATTTAACTATGATCTCTCTGAAGCCCAAAGAAGTATTGAAAAAACTTAAATGGAGTGATGTAAAGACATGGAGCATAGTTCACCTTGTATTTTTTTATATATTTTTCACTTCTGGATTAATTATCACTTTTGCTATGCTTCTCACTTATTTACTCGTGTGGAGATTATCGGAGAATGTATATAGGAAAATCATAGTTCATTTGGCCTATTCCTTGTGGTCTCGTGAGTAGAATGAATTTACTTTTCTTTAATTCGTTATAGTCCATAGAACGTGTTCCAGTTTTTCCACTCTGCCACATTACAGTCTGAACATATGAACTGTGTTATCGATTACATGTATTTTACTAAACGCGCACACACAGACGCATACACATATATATATATATATGTGTATATGTAGAATATTGGGGAATCGTTATTAGGCCAATGTTGTTTACAGCATGTATCCCTTTACTAGTTAAACTGAAGAGCATACCTTAAACATCTTAAATGTTCTGTATTGAAAAATATAAGCATAGAGTTTCAATGCTATACATGCTCTAATGAGTTTTCACCGTTCTCAATTTTAACAGAATTAGCCTTCTTTGCTCAATGGTGGTCAGGTAGTGATGTGACATTGCATTTCGAAAATGAAGAAGACTGTTCATCGATAGGACATGAGAATACATTGATTCTAATGAATCACAAGTATGACATTGATTGGTTAATGACATGGATAATAAGCGAACGAATTGGCATCCTACCCGTTAGTAAAACAGAAATTAGTAAAAAATTATTAAAAAAGACATCTAATAAATATTTGACCTTTCTCCGCAGACGACAAAAGTTTTCGTAAAGAACTCACTGAAATATGTCCCAATTTTTGGGTGGGCATGGGTATTTACAGAATCAATATTTTTGAAAAGATCATGGGAAAAAGATAGGAAAATTATTACAAGAGATTTACAATTTCTGCACGAATATCCTCCTGGATATAATATAACGGTAGGTAGACCCAGTTTGCAAATATTTTCACAATAGAGAAAACAATATTTAGGTTTATTATAAAACCATTTTTTAGATAGAAAAAAAACGTATACACTCATAAAATAGTAATTTGTTATGCCGATAAATATTTAATTACCATAATTATCGGATTTTTGACTTTATCTAATCCTAGGTTAAATATCATTAACGTTTAACATTTTAATACTTTGAAAATGTTACAAATAGGCCTTTTTGAAAACTAAACCCTGTATAGTGTTTTTTTTAATGCCATCTGCCGATTTTTATCAAAACTAGGAGTTCGATTTCTATATTTAGAGAATTAAAGAAAAACTAGTTCACTTGCTCCTGTATGTAAAATTACTATTATCAAGGTTTTCCTTTGATAATAAAAAATAATTTAGATAATACGATATGAAACATTTATCAATTTTGTGAGATGTATCAATTAATTCGTTTTTAAGTTATTATACATACATGCATTTCAAAATGATAGAAATACTACTAACAAATCCTACATAATAAATAGACATTTATTTACCTTCTTTAGTTGTTGATGTTTTGCGAAGGAACCCGATTTTCTGAAAAGAAACTAGAAGAAAGTAATAAATTTGCAGCGAAAAATAACCTGCCTCAATTGAAGCATACTTTGCTTCCCAGAACAAAGGGATTTGTTTTGACAATGGAAGGCATTAAAGATAAATGTATAAGCTAAACTATTGAGGAAACTCATCAACTTGAAAGACTGTAATAATATTATTAATTATTTTTCAGTCGATGCAGTTTGGGATATAACAATAGGATTTAGAAAAGACGGCGCAACGCCAACTGTTCAATCAATCTTTGATGGAAAGCCTACTAAAGCTGAGCTATATTGCAGGTTTTTCATATTGTTTTTAGTAACATCTAGCTTTATCTAAATGTGAAATAAATTTTTTAGACGGATACCAATAAAAGATATTCCTACTGATAGTGATAAGGAAGCTTCTGATTGGTTATATAAGACTTTTGCTAAGAAAGTAGGTTACATTAAATTTCTGTTCTTAGTTGATCAATATTATCTCCAAACTAAAGGATGAAATCTTCGACCACTTTTCCAAGAACGGTTGCTTTAAAATAGGTCACAAAAGGACATATGGTAGAAGACCTCACGATTTAGTCAACTTTATTTGCTGGTTCATAGTCTTGACTGTACCTCTACTTAGATTTCTGTGGTATATCCTATTCTATGGAAGTATTCTATCAAAGTTTATAATAACTTTAATAATTGTTGGAGGTACTAGAAAACACTCAAGTCGAAACTAATTCAATAGTTAATTCACTAATGATTTATTTTAAATTACAGGCTATTTCGCTTTATACTTTATGAAAAAAGTTTCAACAACAGCCAAACGTTCCGAATACGAAGATTTTGCACCATTTTCAAATAAATTAAAGAAGAGTAACTAACGAAATATAAGCATTTTATGTTTTCCTTTGGATTATTATTGTAATTATTACTTATGCACTTTGTTAAGTAGTTGATTAAGGAAAAAAGGGTTTTCCTTCCTTCTTTGTTAATGATATCATTATTGCTAATTTAATAAAAATCTTAAAATCCTCTAACTAGGTACAACTAATTTTATTTTATTCTCAACATTTCAACTAGGAAGAAAATTCTGAAAACATGAAACAATATGACACATAGTACTTATCTGCAGTATTGAATACTTAACATTGTTAGAAAGAAAAGCATTCAATGATAATTTACCTAAAAAACAGCGTGCAAACTCATAAGAAAAAAGGTATACTTTTTGGAAATTGAAGAAAAAATATTGCCATATATAGAAATAAATATTTAAATAAATAGATAAATTTATATCTCTTTTCTACAAAATCCAAATGAAAAGTCTCTAAGATCCAAACAAACTGATATATCCTATGCTTAAAATGCAAAATAAACTAAAGCATAGTTTTCAACTCTATGTCTGGCTTTTTATCTTCCTTCTCTTCAGCCCACTTTTGCAGGTCTCCCCTGCCGAATATGATAAAGACAACGGAACCAAAAACCAGCACTCCAGCCGAAAGGAAAAATACAATCATCCATTGGGCTTTTGTTTGCTAAGCGATATTAGGACTTTATTGATAGATACTTGATAGAAAACGAATACATACATCTTTAGTAATTATACCAACCAATGTTGGTGCTACAAAACCAGAAATCGATCCTATCATGTTAGAAATTCCAAATAATGTTCCGGCATATTTAGGAGCAATATCCATGTGATTTACCAAGAAACCCGAATAATGAGATCCACTCAAAGTTACTCCTAATGTCAATAAGGCTATAGCGAGGAAATAGCTTCTACAATCCGTAAAAGCAACCCCAACTAAACATGCTGCCGAGCCAATTCCGCCTAAATAAAAGACAATTTTTAATTTAGATATAAAAGATAAGATAGTTTTATCAATGGAAAGAAATATTACCGATTGAGTTCATTAACTTTCTAGTATTCTGAACAGAAAGTTTAGAGGTAGAAATCAATTTATCCGCAATAATTGGAGATATAGTCATATTTATCCACAGCCCTATCCATGGTAAAGCAGAAAATAATCCGTTCTGTGAGGAACGTAAAAAATATATAGCATTAACTATTTCAAAAGTAAATCCTGCTTTCGAATAGATTACCGATTCAATGTCGAATTTTAAAACTTCATGTAAAAAGGTAGGAATATTGGTAAGAAAAGTATATAATCCCCAATCAGACGTAAAATTTGCAACACAAATAGCCCATACAGCTCGCGATTTAAGAAATTCGAACCATGGTGTTTTACCCTATGCAATTGATTGCATAAATAGAGCCTATTACTGATAACTCTTTTTGATAAAATGTAATTGTACCTTGTTCGATTTTTCAGATACTTGTCCTTTTAGACTATTTGATATATAAAATTTTTCATCCTCTGTAATCAATTTATGCTTCTGTGGAGTATCACTAACGAAAAGCAGCCAGATAATAAGAAAGATGATCGTTGTTATTCCTTTAAAGTTATTATATATGCATTTACTATTAATATTAGTATTACTATTACGTTGATAAGTATGTTAGTGCATGCAAATTTTGTTAGGTTTAAGAACCTGTTGTATAGAAAATAGACGGCCATCCTCCGGCATATCCATACTCGCAAAGAGCACCAGACAGAGGAAGAGCCAAAACTGATCCCATCATTGCACCTGTAGAATATTTTCGTTTCAAATAAAAATATTCTTGTTACAGTTCTAATGAGAAAAGTACCTCCGTATGACACAGATACTAATTTTGATCTCTCAAGAGGGGGTGCCCATTTTCCCCATACTGCGTGCATTGTTGGAAAGGCGGCTCCCTAACAATTTAAATAATGTAATATTGTTTTATGTAAATAAAAAAGACATTGTTACCGATCCGAAACCAACTAAAACTCTTAATGCTATCAAATATCCGAAACCTAAATGAGCTCCTATTGGAGTCAGAATAGTTGCTAATGTCGAAATAGAAGAGAAAATTAGAAAAACTTTTTTCCCGCCAAATTTTTCAGCTAATATGCCTCCTGGGATTTGACTGATAAGATAGCCATAAAAAAAGCCTCCTAAAATATGTCCTTGCTGAGGTTTATCATATTCAAAAGGCCCGTCTTTTGTAGGATTTGACTCATTAACTGATAAACCAGGACACAGTGACGAATTTAGGGTCGACGCATTCGCTTCAGAGGATTGTTTAATAGCTGTATGGTTAACCATACAAACAATGGCTACACTCATTCCCACTCTTTGTAAATAAAGATTCAAAAGACATAAGAATATTATGGCAGCTAAAATCAATCTATAAGAACAAATTAGTCGATAACTTCGAACTGTAAAACAAACAAAAAATCAGTCAAAAATTAAGCTTAACAAGTGAAATAATAACTAAATATGGTAAAATATACTAATAAATTAATGTATGGTGTAGACTGTATACTATATATATATATATACTGTATATATATTAGTATATATAAATTTATATATGAGAATGAATACAATAATAAAATAATGTAACTATTATATAATAATACACGTTAACAAATACAGAAAAAGTAGACTTTTAATTTTAGTACAATATATAAAATGTTCAAAAAGAAAAGTTTATATCGTCATTCAAACTACAATCTATTGAACTAATTATCCTGATTTTTCTCAATGAAAAAATTTAACGTTATATTTACCAATTTGTTTAGAGTTTTCCATATCAATTTATGTCAGGAATTATCACAATTGACGAGATTCTTTTTTGCTTGAATAACAAATTCTAACATAAAAAAAAGCGTAGTTAGGTAAAATATTCCAATAAAATCAAGATTAAAATATACGAATGTCAATAAAGTAGTGTAGTAATCAATATTTAAAAGAATTAAATTAAAATGAAATTATTACTAGATGTATAATTTCTATAATCCTTTACTCTACTATTAGTGATTCGTACAGTACAGTGCACTGCACCAGGAAAAATTATTTTGAATAATACAATGAAAATCAATCCCATGATCAGGCCTAAAAATTTTTTCTTTTGTTACAGGTTTTATATAAAGGTACATTATCCATGTATTTAATAGATGGATCGTAAAACTTATTTTATCAATACAATATAGTTGAATGTAAGAAAACCTACCTTACAAGTTCACTGTTGATACAATCAATAGGATAGAGTAAAATAGTACAAACTCTAATAGTATTTTTTAAACACGAAGTTGCCTAATGTCCTTCACGCCTAACTATTCAGGTATATTTCTTGAAAATTGAGTCGATTTATATCGACGAGAGGCCTAACTATGCAAATAATGAGTATTCGTAACCTGCTTATCCCCTTACATACAATTAATAACTAAAAACTTTAATTTTCTTCTCTCTTATCTAACTTAGCTAAAAGTATCATTTGAATAAACTATTCATATTATTCCTCAGTTGCAATGATAATATAAAAGTACGCAAATTAGATGTAAAATAGAATAAGAGTTTTTTACCTTTATTTTTGTTTTCAAATGTTCAACTGTATTTTAAACTAAGAGCTATTTGTTAGAGCAACCTTTGAAAGAAAACAAATTATGGCTTTATCAGTGCCTACAGTACTTGAAATATTGATAATAATTAGCTTTTACAATAATCATTGAACGATTTATCATTTGAAGAAGCTGTTAGATATTCTTCTCCGTTATTATGATCTATTTAATTTGCTTGTAGGAAATGATAAAGTTTTCGCAGCGAATAGTCATATTGTATTTATGAGATACTTTATTTTATTTCCCTCCCTTTTCATTCTTTGTAGATTTTTATGATTTCAGAATACAGGTCACACATAAAACAGAAATTCTCTTGTGAAGACATACGTAATGTCTTAAAATCTTTGCTATTTATAAACTGTGCTTAAAAGATTCTCTAGTCTCAATGTATTTGCTATTTCTCTTTCTGTGCTTGTTTGCTTTAATACTATAAATAGCTACTTTTAATCTAAATTTTTAAACAAAATCTTCAATAATGTATAACTTCTCCAGTACCTATTTTTGGTTTCTGGACGTTTGTACATATACTATCAAATTTTGCTTGAAAATATAATTTTTGTTTATAAAAATTAATTATATTTTTCTTTGATATTTTATTTTTTTGTTCTGTTGTAAATTGTTACAGTATACTTTAAATTGTATTTTTAATCTTTTGTACGCTAGGACAATGCAACCTGACAATTCAAAATGGCGAATCTGGACATCGCATTTACGAACTTTTGGACATACGTTTATTCCGGGTCCTGTAACGGTTATTCATTCGAATAAGAGTTAATGTTTTTATCGAATTTATTATAAGACCAAATCAACTTCAGGTAGCTTTATTTGCTTAGAAATTTTCTATGACTAAATATGAAGTTTTATAGACAATATATTGCACTTTTCAAAAAGGCTTTAGCAAGATAATGAACAGTGATAATAGACCTATCTCTCTGATGGAGGAGGATGTCGAATTAATTGAAGCTGACGACTCGAGAATTCCAGAAGTTAAAGATATTAAGCGAAATTTGAGTCCTGACTTCTTGGATGTTAATCAAACCATTGCAAAGCATAATGAAATCGAAAATGCCCTTCATGTTTACCTTAGAATACGACCGTTTACAATAGATGAGAGAGTGAATAACGAGGATCGGGTAATTTTGATATAGTTATGATCATTAAATTCTGTAATATTAATTCGCATTTTTTCTAAGGATTGTATGGAGTTGGTGTCAGATACTGTTTTACTGACAAATGCGCCACCCGAATCTCACACTTTTAAAAATTCACAAAGGGGAAGAGGTCGTCAAATTCATAGATTTGCTTTCTCTAAGATTTTTAACGAAGACGCTAGTCAAGACCAACTTTTCAGCTCTACTTTAGAATATTCCGTTAAAAAATTTATAGCTGGCAGAAATGCTCTCCTATTCACGTACGGTGTAACTAACAGGTGAGAAAGTAAAAAGTTTAACTTTTAAAGCGTTTTAACTATTGACCTTTTCGAAAGTGGCAAAACTTACACAATACAAGGAGATAGTACTAATCCCGGGCTGCTGCCAAGATCTATTGATATCATTTTCAACACGTTACACGACTCCATTGATAAAGAACCCAAAATAAGACCGACTATGTTTTCTGATGTTGTTTATTTGTCGGCAGCTCAATTACAAGCTGAAATTAAATTACGAGAAGATGTTTTTGAGATGCTAAACAATCTATCTTCTGACTCTGAGGAAACAAAATCTTTAAATTCCATTACGACAACCACAACTAGTTGTTCAAAAAGTTCTTTGGGATCAGAAGTAGATATAGAGAGAGTTCAAAATATTTTCAATTTCGATCTTGATCCTTCAATGGATAAGTCGAAGTATACATACTCTTTATGGGTCTCCTACGCTGAAATTTACAATGAGTACATTTATGACCTTCTAAGTCCTTTACCGCTGAGGAAAAAGAGAAGACCAACGTTAAAATTGGGTCAAGATACGAGAAAAATTCCATACATCAAAGACTTAAAAGAAATATTCATAACGTCCAGTGAAGAGGCAGCAAAAATACTTACAATTGGAAGAAATAATTTGCACATAGCTGCCACCAAACTTAATCAACATTCAAGTAGAAGTCACAGTATTTTTACTCTTAAGCTTGTGTGCGTTCCAAAGTCATCGTCTGACGATAAGAAGTTTTTGAAAAAAGCTATTGTCAGTACCCTATCCTTCTGCGATTTGGCTGGTGCTGAAAGGTAAAAAATTTAAATAAATCTCGTTATTCATGTAAGTACATTATTTTTGGTTATGCCATAGATACACGAAAACAGATGCTGTTGGACTTCAAATAAAAGAAGCCGGTAACATTAATGGTAGCTTACTAGCCCTTGGTCGCTGTATGAAAGCTCTAAGACATAATCAGATGACAACTAACCCTAGAAACAAATTAATTGTTCCATTTCGTGATTCAAAACTTACAAGGTTGTTTCAAAGTTACCTTTGTGGCAAGTCATCAGTCGCGATGGTTGTAAACATAAACCAGCGGGCGTCTATGTTTGATGAAACTCTTCATGCTCTCAAGTACTCAGCAATAGCACAGGATATTGTGATTAAGGAAGCTCCAGTAACACCCAAGAGAGTTATAGTTGAAGATCTTGATTGCGACAAAACACTAGAAGACGCTGATTGTCCAAATGAAGCGGATTTATTGGACATCATAGAGAAATTAGAAAATGAACTTCGAAGAGAAAAAGCAAAAAATAAAAAACTTGAGTTAGAAGTTACTGAAGAAGTAGCTGAACGTTACCAGCAACAAATCAATGAAATCTATGAAAGACACCAAGAAGAAATGGACGAATTAGAGGCTCGTCTAGAAGATAAATACGAGAAAAAAATGGAGAATATGATGGAACAATGCCAAAATTCAACGCGTAAAAGGAGAAAAACAACACTGATAATAGATGATGACTCAAATATTGCTATTGCAAAGTATATTCATGAAGTATGTCTGTCATTATCCAAACATGAAATCTTTAATAATATCTGTCGTTATTTTAGATTGAAAGTCTTAAAGATAAATTGGAGGAAGCAAACAACAAACGAGATGATGCTCTCTCTGCCCTCAAAGAATTTACAGAGGAAAAACAAGAATTACAAACGGATTTGACGACAACTAAAATGCAATTTGGTTTCGAAATACAAGAGGTTAGAGGCTCTTACGCCCTTACACAACCTATGACTAATTCCTATTCAAATAATTTTTGCAGCTGAGAAAACAAAACTCTTCATTAGCGAAAGAAAACGAGAATATGAAATATCAATTAGAAAAAATAACCCAGAAACATCAGGTATCTTAATAAAAATAGCATTCATTAATTTATTGATTAACTATTCTCCTCTTTCTGCTAGAATATGGAATATGCATATAAACATACTTTGGAGAAATTTCAAGTAGAGAAGGAAGAGCTGGAAAAAGCTAGAGAAAAAGCGGAATCGGATCTTCATTCAACAAAGTCATCGGTTCTTACGGATACATTATCGACAAGTTCCCTGCATAAAACACGGTATTTCTCAGATATTACTCAAATGAGTATTGATTCCTCAACGCCGATTAAACGTTCCAATAAGAAGACAGACGAAAAGAATCGACATCAAAAGAATGAAAAGGAAAACAAGCCAGTTGTCGTTTCTCCTCCAGTCGGTCACAATGTTGACAAACCGTTTCAGTCCTTTCTACCAGCGGTCGAGGAGCGTACTGACGATAGCCTTCTTCCGGATTTTTCAACTATCAAATTATCAGATAATTCGAAAAGGCTTTTTCCTAGTCTTGGAAATTCTTCTCCTCGTGTAGTTTCTGATTCGAAAAAAAGTGGATCTGGCAAGAAATCCAAGTTTAGAAGCCCTTTTCGAATGATGAGTAGAAAGAATGACGACTCACCGTCACCTTTGTCTAGCGCAGGCTCAGGAATTGTCAAGAGATTACGGTCAAAGATGAAGATAAAATAGGTTGATTGTTAATAATTGTCTCTATTATTTATGTTTTTAAAAGTTCTGTTACTAAATATTTCTATTCAGTTTGACTATAAGATATTAATAACTGATTGTTCATATGTGAATTAACAATTGTCACAATATGGCAACTCTTGAAATAAACTTTCACATATGGAAATAAACAATGCCGTCTTATTGAAACTGGAAAAAAATTTATTGTTTTTTTAATTTTCACTTAACATCACTGGAAAAAAAATAATTTATATTTCTGGTAAAAGAATGGAGTTAAAACAAATGCTAAACTTTTTGGGTATAGCTTAATAGCGTGTTAAGATGAACCAAAATCGAATTTTAATGAGAGTGTTTGATTATGGCTTTTAGACGTACCCAAAACCTACACAAGGTCATAGTTTTGTCGGTGGAGAATTAAAGAGTTAAATATTAAAGAAATGGATGATGATAGACTTTACAAAGCGGCAATGGAACAAGGAAGTATATTTAATAAGGCAATATATTATATCTTCAATATAATTGAAAAGCCAGCAAAGGTGTTTCGCGGTAAGTATCTTATGAACGATAATAAAGCAAGTTGTATTTGACACACATAAAAACATCATATTTTAGCAATATATCTTTAAGATATTGCTATAGATCGTAATAAACTACTGTAATGCAATTTTGATACAATTCTCCAGCATATTTATTAAATCAAATCAATAAAAACAAAGATCTTAGTAACTGAAAATTATTATGATTTCAATGAATTTCTTTTTAGATGTCTGTTATAGTTTTCATTCTCATCTTACAGAAAAAATCGTTGAACCTATGCGATCAGAGGAAAGGCCAAAATATTACCATCGTCGCTACCAACGAGTACCTGATGTTGGTGAGTGCCGGGTTGGAGATCAAGTTTGCATTCATGAAGCTAATGAGCAATTCAAGCGCGATCGTCAAGTGGATGCTAATATCTTAAATATTCTACATGAGCGTCAATTAGAGTGTGAATTTTATTACGGCCCCTATACGCCTGATGCCAATGAGAAGTGCAAACATCTAAGGGAGCAATGGGAAGTAGCTGCCGGAAATTTCTTCACGAAGTATGGAGATTTAGGAATGACTGGCTCCGTTGTTGATGCTTTCATGAAACAGAAACATAGAATGATTTGGGAAAGAAGACATGGACCCGTCGGTAGTGGTATGAAACAGGCAGAGAAAGAAGGACAATAGGAGACTGTAATCGGTTGACAACTTTCAAACAGCTGTATTTTGTGTTAAAATTAAAATAAAACTAATGTTCGAAGTAAACGATTGTTAGTTAGCTGTTTTATTTATTTCAAAACTTGAACAAAAATGTATCTACAACTTCAATACTATTAAATTACAGTAACTTTCAGTCAGCAAGGGCAAATTTATATATCTCTAAAAGTTTATAATTGACAGAAATACCCATAATATTTGTTTTGTTATGAAAGACTGAACAGCAGAGTTTATACTCTAGCAGAAAGTTTTATCCAATTTGGTTAAGCAGAATGTTTCACTGTACAGAAGTTACTCATTGACAGGCTTCCTTTGATCACTTTTGCAATGGCACAAACGGTTTGACTTCGTTTTGGTATTGATTGTGAATGCGATTTATTGAAGTACGGGAGGATTGTTTCAAATTTGTTGACAACTTAATTAACTCTGAAGTTTCAGTCTGAAACTTGTCCAAAGAAGTTATTGTCCCTTCCTGTAACGTTATAGAAAAAAATTAATTTAATTAAATGGAGAGAAATTGACAATTTACTTGTAAATTCGATCGAATTTCTAAACACTGCTTGTTAAAATCAGCAACCACTGTAGACAAGAAAATTTAAAATAAATTTGCAACTTATTAGCAAACAGATATACTAACTCCCTTCACTTTTATCTGATGTGTCTATCACTCTAATTACATTGTTAATGAATCTAATAAAAAATTGATTATTATTTACGACAGTTAACAGATTTTCATAGGCTAAATTACTTTATCGCGGCATCTTTCCAGGTTTCAGGATCCTTTTTAACCGGTCGTCCTCTCTTTCTTTGCTTTATTTCAGGTGGCTTTTTAAAAAAACATCGTAATTAGATTTAATATTCAGTATTTCGTTATATACACTTACTGTGTTAATTTGATTTGGCATGGTACTAGCAGGTGGCATTTTTAAAACATACGATGCCGGTGATCTAATAATTGGTTGTCCAATTCCAGATACAGGTTTACAACGTTGACGAATTTGGGAATTTGCAGGAGATAAAGGTGTTGTATTCTTTTCAAAGCTTGTACGAATTATCGGTTTGTTAATGACGTTGGTCATACCAATAGGGGCTTGAATAGTTATTTTTGGTTTATGTAGTATATCAGATGAAGTACTCGGAACGACAAAAACTTTGACAGGAGATTCTTTATCCATTTGCTTTCTTTTCATATCATTACTATTCCTGTTTTCAACTATAGACATCTTGGTATTTATTATTTTATTTTTTGGAGATGCCAAAATTTGTAGCTTTTGTTCCGGAACGATAGGCGGCACATTTCGAATAATTCTATTCATAATCATTTGTTCTTTTGGCATCTTTTTCGCGCCTTCATATTTCATATCTTTGTCTAATTGTTTTAAAAAAGTAGTATCGTCAGCCAATTTAACAGCTTCTCTTATAAAATTATGTAAAGGAACGTTGGATGATTCCAAAGCGAACTCTTGGAATACAGCATTTAAATCCTCGTTAAAAAGTATCCCTAGTCTCTCTAGTTGATCCCTCAGTACTTTTGGATTGACTGGATGATAACTCTGACGATCCATCATATCAACTTGAAGAGCATCCAATAAATGCTTTATACCGGATCGAGACTTTCGCCTCTCTGCGCTTACCTTAAATAAATGAAAATATGAATTAGTAAAGAGTCTTTGAGATTTTAGAGTATTTAATACTTTAATAATTTTCTGACTGAAGTTTCTTTCTTTTTCCGGCTTTTGATTCTTCGACTGGGGAGTGTACAACTGAAAAATATAAGAACTGTTTAAAAAAAAGGCATAAGTTCAAATGAATAGACTTACGGCAACTTTTGGGTTTTTAAAAGTTTTGACTTTATCAAGATTTTTATTAACCATGAGCATATTCTCCTCCTTTAAATCTCTTTCAAAATAATCAAGTTGAATATTTGGCTTAAGCTGTTTTAGCTTTCTTTTTTGGTCAACAACATTTAGATTAGTTGACTTCAATGAGGCATAAATATCTTTCTCTATTCTCATGTAAACTTGATTTTCTTTTACAATAATATTTTCAGCTCTTTGCGTGGGTGTATTTGACAGTCTATGATAAGATATAGAACTGGATTTCTTGTCTTTTAATCTGATAAAAATTCTCTTTAGGGCCATAATATTTTCTAAATTAGCAGATGTCATGTAGTAAGAATCGTCCGATCTTTTCAAATAAATATGGTTATTTCTTTGTACGCACACAGTGTCGTTTGAGAGGTAAGGAGAAGACGAATGGATAATATCAATTTTATGTGGTCCAAACAGTATTCTTTCATTTTGTTCTTCATTAATTGCTTTAAGAAAGCAAACGCATTGAATTCTTATACTCATCTTCTCTTTACTATCCAAAAAGTAAAATTTATCTCTTATCCGAAAATAGGCTATTCCATTTCGAATTTGTAAAGCATCGTCATTTTCAAATTTGGCTGATGATTGTTGTAAGTGATAACGCCTAAACAACCATGAATTTTCCTTTCTCTTTAGAGCTTTTAAAATTCCTTCCATTTGTTCTTTTTTTGTCATGTAGCAGGTATTTAATAGAGAAATGAGACCACCATGATGACATATAAAAACTTTATCGTTTCGGATAATATATTTTCGATTTTTAATTAAAGTATTTTCAAATTGATAGCTGAGAACAGTCCTCGATGAATCCTCAGCTATACTAGTTTCTAAGACTTTCTGCATAGTTTTGTTTATTAAAGATGTAATGTTTTTAGGTTTCCTTTTACTGAGCATCCCTAATATTTCCTGCAATTTAGACTTACTGGATTCGCTTATTAAGTCGATTTCAAATTGATGTTGAGGTAAAATAATGTCTTTGACTCCTAGAAAATTTCTTGTGACTTCTGTATTTTGGACTAGGGGTAGTATTTGATTCATTTGAGAAACGTGATATTGAAGCACAGGGAGAGCATCTAAGCATGATTTGAATGGTGAGTCTTTAAGAACTATATAAAGAAAAACGAATAATTAGTTAATAACGAAGAAGAAAATAGTTAGAATTAGGATATTACTTTTTGGACGGCTAGAAAGAGGTTTGTTACAAGCCCGAATAAAGTCTGTGACTGTGTTTCGGCTGCAGCATAAATGATGGAGAAATTTTCGTTCATCTTCTGAGAGTCGAAAGTTTGTTTTCTCCGAGCCGCCTGCAATACTATCAAAAAAACTGCTTCTCAGAGATTGATACCTGTCTTCCAACTGCTCTTCAGTGATATTTTCGCTGTCAGAGTTTGGGTCGAATATTTGGCTCTTTGTACTTGTGAAAAAAATTTGCTGTTTCGCGTTCAAGACTTGCCTTAGTTCTTGCATAAAACCTAAATTCATAAAATCTTCCTGACTTTCATACGAAGGACTGATTAAGATGGTTTCATTAAAGTTAATTTTATATCCTATAGCTAAATTGATCATGTCCAAAGCAACAGCGAATGATGCAGAGTTGCATACAAGTTCTTTATTTTCTGGGAATTTTCCGTCAATATGAAAAAGGTGGGGACAGTCATTAAAAGCTCTAATAAGTTTTATATCTAAACGAGATTTCCTAGCTTTATCATTAATATTAAATTTTTCTATAACCATTTTTAATTGCAAATTCATCAGAGAAAGGCACTGTCCTTTAGATAAGCCTTTTCTTTTCACAGAAGGAGATGATGAAGTCAAAGGTGGTGTGATAACTCTTTTATTTCTTATACGGCGACTAGTTCGACGATATTTACTAGATTGTTGGGCAATTTTTCTTTTCATTTCAGTTGATTCTTGAATGACAGGATTGGAATAATGTAGAAACATAGCATCAGACAATCTTTTCCCAAAAGAGATCAGAGCCGTTACATAACTATCATTATCCTCTGTATGTCAAACAAGTCATTATTTATAAATATGTGAAAATTAGAAAATTATTTACCAAAATTTTTTGGAAGTTCGATATATTTAATAAAGCTATTGCAGAAATCTGTCTTTTGATATGGTTGAATATTGTTACACTGAATATTAAGGTATTGTTTGAAATCTTGTTTAGAAAGGCCTTTCCTATGATTTAATAATAACTGTTAAGTAAGAAAAAGATTAACAGAATGTAATTATCATTACTTAAACATTAGATAGCTCGTTTCAGGATGAACTAAGAAAGAGCGCATGAGAAACTGACGAATGCTTTCGGGAATTAACGGTCTGAAAGATAAATTATTTAGATATGATTAAATTGTTATCGTGCTATATATTAACCGTAATAGATCATTAGCCTTTGAGAAACGTTCTTCTGCACTTTTAGCATCGAAATCCATTATTGCAGTTTCATAAATAGACCGGAAAGCATCTAATGCTCTATTAGTTGAATAACTGTCTAATTTATCAGATGTCTCCATAGAATCGACCACATCATTTGTCTGTTCATCCGCTTCCTCCATTTCGTAGATAGTATCAATTGTTTAATATCAGAGTAACAATTTATTTTTTCAAACTTTATAGGTTGTTCAGAAAAATAAATATGGCAGAATAAACATATCACGTGACCGACATTGAGTGTTTTGCCGTTTGTTTATGCTGAAACTGGTAGTACTCCAACATGATAAACTCGGCAACGTCAAAAGATGAAACAGTGGAACAAAATCAACCTGTTCATTCGACATATAAAAGAGTTGGGTCAGCCGTATTTTATGCTGCTTCTTCTTTTCTAATTACCGTTGTTAATAAGATTGTCTTAACGTCGTTCAAGTAAATTGATTTAATTTCACAAAATTTCAAAATATCGCTCACACATATATGCTTCTTTTTTCAGATTTCCATCCTATCAATTCCTTGGACTTGGCCAGATGGTTTCAACAATAACAGTTCTATTAACATTGAAATTAGTTGGTTTGGTGAACTTTCCCAATCTTAGCAGAGACATTCCAAAAAAAGTATGGCCTTTACCTTTAATCTTCTTCGGCAATTTAGTATTTGGTTTAGGAGGAACAAAAAAGCTCAAGTATTAATTCAACTTGTATTGATAGTTTTATATATTTACTTAAATTAATTAATTTTAGTTTGCCAATGTTTACCGTTCTAAGAAGATTCTCTATTCTGTTTACAATGATAGCCGAGTTTTATGTTCTTGGGTAATTAAGAATAATTTTAATTTTGTTAGCTTTTCTAACTTGCATTATTTTCAGAACAAGAGCATCATTGAGGGTTCAATTGTGTGTATATGTAATGATAATTGGTTCTATAATAGCAGCAAGGTTTGTTTGTCTAAAACAAGATACTGTTGATAAATTTTTCTCATTTTTTTAGTGCTGACCTGACATTTAATCTTGTAGGATATATATTCATATTGTTGAATGACGTATTTACTGCAGCTAATGGTGTATATACAAAGCAAAAATTAGATGCTAAGGTTTTATAAGCATATTTAAAATTAATTTAATGTAGAAATTGAATAAATGTAACAGGATTTGGGCAAAAACGGTTTACTTTTTTATAATACTTTATTTATGGTTGGACCAATTATCATCCTGTGCATAATAAATGGAGATATATCGAAGGCCATGGAATACTCAAATTGGAACGACATATCTTTTCTTATATCTTTTCTGACATCTTGTACAATGGGGTTTATATTGACTTATTCAATTGTTCTATGCACGCAATATAATAGCGCTCTAACTACCACAATAATAGGAGTTTTGAAGGTGAATTCGAAAATCGTATTTTTCAATGGCGAAAGTTTACTGTATTATTTGTCTTTTCAGAATCTGATCGTAACGTATGCTGGTATGGCTATTGGAGGAGATTATGTATTCTCCTGGGTAAATTTTATGGGATTGAATATCAGGTAAAATAATTCCTTCCGCGCAAATATTATTCGATATATCTAATTATGTTATATTACATAATATTACTTACAGTGTCTTAGGCAGTCTCTTTTATTCATATTTTACCTTTGGAGGAAGTAAACCTAAAACAACATCTCAATCTATCGTCTCGAAGCAGCAAAGTCCTAAAAATTCTGCGAATTTGGTATCATAAAACGTTTCTCTTCATTCGCTATCTTAAACATTGCTTTCTAACTTGGGTAGTTCAGACCCGATAACTTGTGTTTACACACTTTCTCACTCTCTTGAAGGATTCTTTTAAAACTTTATTCGGTAAAGAAATTAAGTGCTACATTAAAATTGTTTACAGGGAGGAAAATTTTGGATATAAATAAGCATTTGTCAACATGGCTCATATGATCAGAAAGTTCACAATAAGATTTCAGATACTTTATTGATTAAATACAGCTGTGTTTTGGGATATTATTTTGTGTTCGGGGGTATTATAGTCGAAATTAATCGTAAAATCTCCACTTGCATCTTTCTCTAGACAAGCTAATATTTCATTTAGTTGAAATTCATCTGTTTGCTCAAAGTTAAGCGGAATTTCATCAGCTAAATCAAATAGTGTATCTTCTCCAGTTTGATCCGAAGGTGAAATCTTAGGAGAATTGGACGAATCCTTTTTCACTGCCGGTCTACGATGTTGCTTTTCATTAGCTAAATCAAATAGTGTATCTTCTCCAGTTTTAGCCGAAGGTGAAAGCTTGGGAGAATTGGACGAATCCTTTTTCACTGCCGGTCTACGATGTTGCTTACATTCTTTTATGAGTTGTTCGATAATTTTGTTTTCACTCGCTAATTGTGAACAAAGCTTTGTCTTTGTAGCTCCCAAATGGATGTACATTGATATTAGGTGAACATATTCCTCAAACTTAGTTCGTTTGAGTTCGTCGCATTGAAGTGCAGCGTACAAGGCCATACTATCTTGCTTCCTTTCGTGCTGATAGTTTAAAACCCGTCGTGCCTCTTCTCGCGAAATTTTCAACATGACATTTTCGATAAGCACAAGATCATTTGTCTCAGTCAGCTTCTGAATGCAGGTTTTTCCTTTGTTCTTATCATAAAAGGTAAGGTCAGCTCCACTTCCTACCAACTCAAATATGAAGAGAGCATAGCTCATGTCATTGTTCTCTGGAAAAATATCCAATGCCACCGAAAGGGGACTTTGATCTATCTCTTCATATAAGTAATTAGCATACTTCTTTGTTAACAGACAGCGAAACATTATCAAGTCGGACTTTTTTCCAATTTTTAACATTTCCAAAATTATATGTGATGGATCTGTCTTTTCACTCTCCGCTAACCATCTAGACAGTTGATAATCATTGTTCTGAACAGCTAACTCTAATGGTGTCTTTCCATCTGCATTTTTTGCATCTATTACTTCTGCACATTGTGGAATGGCTCTTCGCAACATAGCGGCAAAGTAATCTCGTTGACGTTTTAAACCAACAGCGTCTCCCTTCAGCTCATTAGCTTTTTTCACAGAGGTATGGAAAGTATTATTGCCTTCTTTTAAAGTCATCAAGTCGTCTAACGCATATAACGCAACCATCCTAGAAAAACAAATTACATATTAGCGAATATAATAGCACGTAATTTCATGTTGGGTACAATCGTCTTTCATATCTAAACCCTTAAAAACTATTAAATACAACATAGTGTTCTAATTTATTACTATTACGAAGAATTATTAAATAACAATGTCAAAACAACAAAAGTTCTTATTTCTTACTTGTTTACTTATACATAATTTACTACTACCCAGAAACATTAAGTATTATTTTTTCATTTGATATTCTGGAAACTTAATACATACCTGTTGTAAAGTGCAGTCAAAGGGGAGTCCACTATAAACTCCTTACTTTTTTCTATCCATGAGATTGTGTCGCTTTTTTGCGTTGAATATGGGCAATATTTTCTCCGAAAATTTTCCAATGGTATAGATTTAGACGAGGTGAATGACTTTGAAGAGCATGGGGATCTATCAATTGGAGAGTTTTCGACACTTCGTACAGAAGGGCATGGAGAGTAATAATTGACCTCTAACTCAGGGCTTTTCACGTTAAACTTTTCTACGGTTGCAGGAATCAGAGGTGTAAAATCTGATCCCGGAGAATATAGCCTTGTAGTGTTGTATTGATCAGCAGGACTTGGAGAGGTAAACTCCGGATAAGGAACATCATTCGGTTTACGATATTTACTTGAAATTTGGTCTGTAGTTAAGAGGTTTGATATAAAGTACATATTTATACATATATTTTAAATAATCAATCATCTATAACCCCTTTTGGTTTGAGTTGGGAGGCCACCCTCAGGATACATATCCAAAACCTCATCTTCTTTCTCTGTCAAAAAATTAGATAGTTTTATAAATCTGTTTTGTAAAATTTTTTATATTACTGTTATCTGAAGCCAATGGAAATTTGGAGTTCAAATCTTCGTCTTCATTGTCTGTAACGCAATTTTTAAAACCCTCTTCATCACTGTCGGTATAATCATTTTCACTCTCGCATATCACTTTAAACTTTCCACAACTCTCAAGTTCATCCTCTGTCAGAGAGTTCTCAACAGCCTTTCTGGGAGACTTAATAGTGAGTTTACTAAGTTCCCGCGAAAGTTCTATTTCTTTCATCCCTGCTCTTTCTATGCTCGTCATGAAGAAATGATATGGGAATTCTGTTAACTTAAGGCCGCCGCTATTTTCTTCCGTCTTCAGAAAAATAATGCTACTACTGCTATAAATTTGTTGCAATACGAATATGATATTATTTCTATTCTTATCATGGTTAATATATTCTTTTGTTATCTCAACCAATAGTAATAATATATATATATTGATAAATATGTATTAATATATATAAATGTATATATTAGTCAGATATATTGACTGCTAAGTAGCAGTAGATATATTAACGCCAACTTTAAAACGAGATTGATTTTAATTATATTTAAGACAATCTCATAACTAACAAAATTAAATATAGTAATTCTATATAAACTTTCAAATAGATTAAAACAAAAATGCTGATAGCATGTTATTTCTTTTCAAACTATTCTTTATTTATTTAATAATGCCCAAGAAATCAATGATCACCGTAATAAATGAAAACTAATCGCTATTGATAACTTATCATATGATTTTACAGAGTGGAGAAAAGGGGAAATTTTGAAGAAATTGTTTCATTTTCTAAACTACATTTCAAATATATAAAGTTTATTTGCGATTTATTCACCCATAAAATGGAGAATGACTCATCAGAAGGGGTTTTTCTAGAAAACTAAATTTTTATATTTACCTGTTTAAAATTGCATAGAAAGAAAGTCGAATGAATAAATAACTAAGTAAATAAATGAGTTCAAAGAGTAGAAATTCTAAAGTGTATCTTATAATGTATTTCTTATATAGTTAACTACTGAAAAAACAAATTTTTGATGTTTACAGGAAAATTCGAATTACGAACTCTTTCAATTATGAAAGGTAACTTTCTTGCATTAAAATGAATTAGCATTTGCAACAGATTCTCAAGTCTGTCCATGTCCAAATTACACTCATTTTCTACTGCAGTAGACAAAGGAGTACTCCTCGGAGTTTCAATTCCATTGGAGGGGTTTAAATATGCTGTCACTCTTTCACCATCTAAAATATAAAGGACGTTTTCAATCAAACGTAAATCTCCTGTTTTAATTAGAAGTTGCATAGCAGTAAGATTTTTTTCGATGTGATTAACATTTAGATTAGCTCCATATTTGATAAGCAGTACGACTGCTATAGACTTATCATTGTCAAAGGAATCAAGCAGAGTTAAGAGGGGATTCTTCCCATTTGAGAATTGTACACATGATAAGCTTGGAGTACTTTTGAGGATTACACTTAAGAATTCGACATCAACTTGAGTCTTTTCCAATAGGTTCTTCAGAGTCTCAGTCTGTTTGCCAGTTTGAAAAAACCAAAGGGCTTTTTGCCATGACTTTTTCTCTCTAGCTATGTCACATGGAGTTAAATTGAAAGAATCTCTAGCCGTGATATAATGGGTATGTTTGTGATAGATATATACTAGTAGAGCTTGAAATTTTTCCAGACGAAACGTTGAATTTGCACCTGCCAAGAAGTGAAGACAATTTCCCCCTTTTTTTCTCCTATCCTCTCTAAGAGCAGCAGTATTCAATTCCGCGTCCATTCTGTTAAATATTTGAACAACAGTCTGGATGAAACTACACAGGTTAAGAAGTACACTTACTGCTTTAAAAAATTGTTGTCATAAATCTGCTCATGAAATGATGTAAAATTGCCCAGATCTGGTAAGTTGTAGGGTGGAAATGTTCTATGATAGGGTTGTTGCGGTATAATTTGATTCGAAGTGGAAACATTTTCTGTAGACTGTCTGTATGGATGTGACCTATTGGCTGATAGAGAATTAGCTCTTTCAACATTTCTTATCACGGAAATTACATCTTCCATAGTGTCACCAGTTAGAGACATAAGTTCAGAATTTTCATTATTCTTCACTATGGACAAAATTTAATTTATTAAAAATTAATAAATTAATATATCGTCTTACAAGTTCCCCTGTTGGAAAGTCTCATGGGTCCTAGGCGGAGAAGTTCACCTTTACTTTCTAAGACTTCTAAGAATATTTAAAATGATACGTTTAAAATGAAATTAAAGCTTAAACAGAAAGACATGCTTTTTCTAACCTGGCGATTCATATCGTTTCACCTTTCCTTTAAACGAAAAATCACTTTCCGATTTTTCATAGAATAACTCATTCTCATCACCAGATTGATTACCATCAATTACAAAATCGTCCCTTTCCTTCATTTCTCCACAAACGCATGCAACAATATACAACTATCAATGCTTTGTTAGTTTTATTTTCGTTTTCTCTAATCTGATAGTGGCGCTGTCCATATTTACCGTTTCCTATCTTTGGTTCGTTTACGTAAACTGCTATGATTACTTTATTTTACAAGAATTTTATTTCGAAAATTTTAGATGGAAAATATTTTATTACACTTTTTATTACACTTTAATTTGAAGCAAACTTGCAGACAATCGATTATTTACTGTAATAGAGGAGTACAAAAAACGGTCAAACTCAACAAGTTGTTTCAATGTAACATATTGCTCACATAATTATGCTGGTTTTATATTAATATTTCATAAAAGATTATGTGACTTCTACATGAAATATGTGTCAAAGACTCATTTATACTATATTATGTACATTTATTGTTGTAGACATTTAATTTAATAATATTGATCTATAAAAATTCTGCTATTTCTTTATCATGCATAAATAGTTGTAATTTTTTACTATCAAATTTTTAACTATTATTGAGACCTTTGTCTTCATTGAATACTTTCATATTGTTATTTCTACAAGCTACGCAATTTTATTGTTCCCGGAAGAATTTTTATGGACATCGTTCTATTCGAATTTGTTTTGATAAGAGTCCATGTTAGTTGATACTAAAAAAATCCAACCCTATATATTTTACTACGCATGCGCCCATTGTTTCCTTTTGCAACATTCAAATTATGTTCTAAATTTGCAAAGGTTGCTATGTATAGCTGCTTGGATTATCAACTTCTTACTGAATAGCTCTTTTTAAATATTCTACATTTACCTAGGATCTTCAGACAATATGAATAGTCTTGAAGCAATAGCCTGGAGCACGTGCATGAATGATAAATTTATATTATTGAAAAATTCTGTAAGATCTCTCTATAAGATAGAACCAAACGTCAGCAGTGATTCTTTACAAACTAGTAAAAATAGCGGAGGTAAATCACTGAAAATTATTTCAATATGCATACAAAAGAAACTATTCCATTTTTTTTTATAGTTATTAAAATATCTGATAAAGGTCTGGCCCAGTTGATGTACACTTGTAGCGAGAATGAGGATATAAGAGTATGTACGAAGATTATAAACAATCACGTGATAAAATAAGAAGTTAAACTATTAATCCATTTACCCAAAGTTATCATTCATTCAAAGAAATTTATGAAAGTCAACTTTTATAAACAATTTATATAGTGAAAATAATTCACTATTATTTATGCTCTTTTTTTAGAACGGGATTAAAAGAGTCAAAAAAAATTGATATTCAGTATTCCAATCTTATTTAATTGAACTTTATTAATATTTCTCTGTAGTGTTTTGATCTCTGCCCCAGGAATTTATCAGAACAAATTCTTGCTGCTGGAGATGCAAAGGGTAAAATTAGGATACACCAGTAAGTTAAGTATAAAAGATCAATTCTTTTTTTTAACTATTTTAATTTATTGTAGATTTAGTAGGTCTGCGGACGTCGACAGTATTGTTGGAAATGTTTATAGTAAGATCATTTAATTACCACACATATATTTACATTGAGATATTATACAAATAAATTGTTTTAGATGTTGTAGATCAGCCGAGACATTGCAACTGCCTTTCTTGGAATAGAATTCATACTCAATTGGTAATAGGTTAACTGATTTTCACCAGTGATGATGAATATTCATAAGATCTTCTTCTTAGATTGCAACTGGTTTCGACAAGTATCAAAAACAATCAACAGTTTTTATTACAGATGTCAACAGGCCAAATGCTAAACAATTAGTTGTTGACTGTGATGATATTCGAAGAGAGTTTAAAGGTTATTGTTTTCCTATAAGCTTTCATATTTTCATTAATGTTTATATTTTACTTTTAAGGATCAAATGAAGCTGCTTTGGATGTTTCTTGGCTTGTTGAGGGCGGATATAACTTAGTTGTTGGTTACCAAAAGCAGTTCAAAATATTTGACATTCGAGAGCCAAAAGATCGTAAATAGTATTTCTCTATTATCTTCCAGAAAATCTTGGAATCTTTTTCCTTTTAGCTACAATTAAAAGAATATCAAATTCCGATTCAAAGATTACGAGCGCAGTTGGACTATCTGTTGATCCCCTGAACCAAAATCGATTAGCGACTTTCTGTAGTTTTGAAAGCCAAAAAGTATTTTGCGAGATCGTAAATAAATTTAAAATAATACTATAAACTTCTCTTTAGGGAACAATATCAGTCTGGGATTTAAGGAAAATTACTCAATCATTAATAACTCTTACTGAAAATAGAAATATACTACGAATTTCATGGTGTCCTTCGAGGTTGTTTACATTTAGTTTATCTTAACCAATCTTATGGCTTTTATAATTCACTATAGAAAAGGTTACTTGGCAGCTTTACCCACTCATTCTTCAGTTATTAATCTGTACGATGTGACTAACTCCGAATCAGATGAGATAGAGCTAGCTCATATGGATAGAGTCATAAATGGTGAATTTCTAATATATATTTGTTACTATACTTAAAAATAATGGCAATATCCTTCAAATTTCTTGCTTTCCAGTCTCCTCTGATCAGCCGGGAAATGTTGTGTCTTTCAGCTGGCATCCAACTGATAAAAGTCGATTGTTAGCTCTAACTGATCAGAATGATATAAAGGATATCAGTATAAGCGAAAGAATGTCAGTAGTACGTGTCAACTAAATTTTAGGTGAATTTTTTTTGACAATAATTTTTATCTCTTTACAAAAGAGTTGGTCACCGGAGTTTTCTCTATCTTGGACAAATGATGGCCGGATAGTCAATTGTGATACAACATTTATAGACTATCAAATTGACAGCGACATCTCAACGACAATGAAGGCTAGAGCCAAGGGTGGATATGGCTGTAAAAGTGATGTCTCTTCCTATTTAGAACTAACTCAAGGTGATTCTACCCTAACATCTTTATGGTCATATATCTCTCGAATGAATAAAACATCATCTGAGACTGATCTTAAATCAACTGTTATGAAGGGTGCTCATTCTATACTTATAAACAATGAAAAGTGAGTTTTTAAACAGACTATAAACACTATCACAATTTAATAATTATCTATTATTTAGTGATTGCTGTCGGTCCACTAATATTTCCATAAGCTGGATATTGGCCAACGAAAATTCATTAAGTAGAAATAAAAGTCAAAATTCGAAGCGTATTTTATACATAAGTAAAGAAAGAGATCGTATTATTGAAATGTGTGGGTGGAGCTCTTTAAATGAGCGAGAGAGCGCAGAATTTGAAAATAAATTAACTGATTTATGCGGCAGTAACGCTGAGAGAGCAGCAATGATTGCCGTAATGAACATGAATTTAAACGTTGCTACGTCCATTCTCTCCAAATCAGACCAGGAGAATTTGAGATTGTTAACAATTGCAATAAGCGGATTTAGTGATGAGTCGAACGCTATGTGGAAGGAAGTTTGCTCACGTCTATCACCTGTGATGAACAATGCTCATATACGAGCTATATTCCATTTTCTAAATAGTCAACCTTGTCCATCTTACGACCAAATATTGGTAATTATGAAATAAACTAAATTCAGAAAGTACTCATAATGTTTTATCCTCACAGCATTCTGAAGATTTGGATTTAGGCGATAGGGTTGCCTTTGCTTGCTTACATTTGGCAGATAGAGGTTTACAAAATTATTTGGATACTGTCATGAATCACAGTGTTAGTGAAGGTAACCTTCATGGTCTACTTGTAAGTGGTTTATCCACAGAAGGATTAAATCTCCTTGAAACTTTCTTGGAAAAAACATCTGATATTCAAACGACTTGTCTACTTTCACAAATGTCAACTGTAAACGACAAAAGAAAAGATATATGGTTACAAGAATATAGAGAGCTGCTGGACTCATGGAGGATGTGGCATGAAAGAGCAGATTTGGATATATATTTAAAAAGTGCTAAAACGAGTCCGCAATTATTCATAACATGCAACTTTTGTGGAAAGAGCATATCTGCTGCAAGATCAGCTAATACTGCTGGGTGTGTTGTCTTTGCCAAGCCAAACACGAATATGAACAGATTAAACGCCTGTCCTGTTCCTACTTGTCGAAAACCCTTGCCTCGTTGTGCAATTTGCTTAGCCCATATGGGAACTCCTTCAAGACTTGTTCAAACCACTGGTAATACTAAGCAATCAAATTTTAGTGACTGGTTTACTTGGTGTCAAAGATGTAGACACGGCGGGCACTCGTCTCATTTAACTGCATGGTTTGAAGAGAATAGCGATTGCCCTGTGACTGGTTGTAGTTGTAATTGTTCCTATTTAGATCCGGTGCGTTATGTGTGCGAGAGTGAAACAGAATATTAGAAACAGGTTTCGTCTCTTTTTCTTTGAATAAAAAATACTTTTGTAACAAAATGCAAATAATACTAAAGGGTATTTTTGTAAGTTATCGCGTTTCCTTTAATCGTTGTTCATATCAATTTGCTGTTTAATGTGCTCAGGTACAGGATAAACTCTTTCAATTGGTGTTTGAAGACTCTCTAGGCCTCCCGTCTGCCATAGCTGATGCTGCCTTCTAACTTCCATTGTAATATCAGTTATAGAAATAATATCATTTTTTGCAAATTGTTCTAATGCTTCATTCTTTAAACCCAATTGAATAGCTCGTCTATTCAATTTTGTACCTGATGGAGTATGATCAGGATCCCATTGAAGTCGAATGTTAGACTTGGTTTCCATAGCCTAAATGGTTTGAAACTTAATATTAGCCATATAAAAGCATATATCTTTCGGTGAAATCTTTACCTTTTCTTTTTGTCCAGTATAGGCGTTTGACAAAATATTCTCAAAAGCCGCCCGACTAATTCTTATAGCTAAAATCCTTTCTTGGTCACTTTTAGTAGCCCAGCCGCTACGATACATCATCCATAAGAAGTTAGTCTTCACCCAAGACATTCGCTTAAAACTGTAGTCAGGCCCTCCGAATACTTGATTTTTGACAGCATAATCAGAGATAGACGGTTTATAGGCTTGATAAACAATAACAGAATTATTATCGTATTGCGCTAAAATATGCTTCCCTTCTGTCGGCCAGCGATTCATTTCCTGCTCCAAATAATACTCCCAGAGTAAATTGCTTGGTTCCATAATGATATTTGCAATAAAACATCAAAATGTTTCAATATATTCGGCCATTTTGTATTAATACGCCATCTATAGGAGACAGAGAGTAATAGCTCCACCTGTGATTAATTACGTTAAAGTTCACTTTTTATTTCCCCTTACGTATTAACAATTGCATTTAAAATAAAGTTGTTGAATAGAAGTGCAATTGAAAGGAGGCTTACGGATTTTTCGTACCAAACGGTCTAATAATGACTTACTGACAGACTGTCAAAATATTATTTGTATATAGGATTAACTCTCTGCATATCACAATATAAACTTCAGTGAGGAAAAAAAGGAAGTTTTCTTGTGTTAAGAACTGAAGCGATGAACGACGAGCAAGTTCGGGCTTTCGAGAGCTTTAGTCCAGCTGAAATTGAAGGCTATCGAGCAGCTTTTGATCTATTCGATAAGGATGGAAACGGTCAAATTACGTCGAAAGAACTGGGATCTTTCATGCATAAAGTTGGTTTAGCTCCTTCGGAGCAAGAATTGTCGGAAATGATTGACGAAATTGACGCAGATGGAAATGGAAATATCGACTTTCCCGAATTTATAGCATTAATGGCGAGGAAAATAGATGACAACGAAAATGAAGACATTTTAATTGACGCGTTTAGACTTTTCGATCCTGAAGGTTACGGTTTTATAACGACTGAAGAATTACGCCACGTGTTGCTTAGCCTTGGAGAGAAAATGACCGATCATGAAGTAGACGAAATGCTAGCAGTAGCGGAAGCTGATTCACAAGGCCAAGTTAGATATGAAGGTAAGAGATTAATAACCCTTCAAAACGACTCTATTCACACTGTAGCTCGACATTTATAATCCTTTCACAGACAAACTCTAAAGTTTCTTTTTGAATAAATATAGAGAGGTCTTTTCATGCAAAATAGTTTGCTAAGAAAGCTAATCAACTGTTTAATACAATAAGTGATAGATTCGAATTAGCTTCTTTCAAAGAAAGTCAATATAAATATTTACGTTATTTAAAGGTTTACTTTAAAAATTGAAGCTTTAGAATAGACTACGAAATTATAAAAATATTAGCTGAAATACCAACATTTAAAAACATGCCCTTCGGCAGCTTAACAATTCCTCTAGAATGGGTGTTACGTTACAGTTTTTAAGAATAGATATTCTAGTAATTAACCTTTCTTGTTTTTTTTTGAATTCCAACTGTCGATTATAACGATTTTATTTCATTATACAATTTTTACAGAATAACATAGGAAGAAAAAGTAACTTTAACTTATTTTTTACAGATTTTGTAAAGGCTCTACTCGGCTTCAGTAACAAGTGAATTAATAATATAGTCCTTATGAACCCTCGCTACTTTTCTATTCTCTTTTGCCAAAGTTTTTGGACATTGCATCTCACACCAACTAATAGGAATCATGGTTTCGCCACTCTCGCTTGTTGCTGATACAACGCCCAATTCATTTTCAGCCGTTGTCAATAGGTAAGCTTGGGCATCACCTAAAGATAAAACCCTGGCTAAAATTATATCTCCCGGTCGGAAGCTTTTATATAATTCAACTTTATCTTTTTCAGTCGCTCTGGCGTCTTCTTTTCTGATGACATTAATTTTTCATACTATTTTTATATAAAATTATTGAAATACAAGATTTCTTACCTAATCAACCCTCGAAAAGATTCGGGCAAAAGCACATCATCGACGCTGATAATAGCACATTTGCAAAATCTAGGATTAACATTCGTTATCTGAAAATAGTCAGATTATTCTTCATTTGACAAGTCTACTCCAACATAAACTAAACAGATCCAATCGCAAAGTTTGTTAACATTGGGATTGAAGTAAGGGGATTCAGTATTATTCTTAAGTGCTAGCAAATTTACAATTTCTTTTGAAAATATAAAACGTATTAAATACAGTTAATTATGCTTTTTTTTACGAAAAAAAATAAATTGTATCAGTCTGGTGCTGGTTAATTTAGTTACATTTAAATGACTTATCGTTACTTACTCTTGCAGCAACTAAACAATCTATAGTTGGCACAATATTCTGATTATGAGAATTTTTTAAGCGAATTTCAACGACTGTCTGATAAAGTATATTGATTATGAAGTAAATATAGTATAATAATTTACTAACTTTTCCATCTTCTATCTTTTGAAAGTTGCATTTTCCAGCAATTGAAGCATATATGGTGTTCTTGCGAGTAACTGTTCCATTTCCTGATATATAATTGTTATCTGCAGGGCAGATTATATCACCTGTAAGAGCGATAATATACTTTAATTTCCTTTGAAAGTTCTAAACATCAGTATACAGTTATTTACTAGAAATACGAAATATAGGAAAATAAGGTTTTGCCAAAATAATAAAAAAAAGTGAAATGATTTCAACCTGGTATAAAAATGGAATCTTTATCCATAACGCGCGGTTACAATTCAGGACACTGTATTGACTTGGACAAATTTCGAAAAAGAAAACTATCACGTGACTCGTCAATATTTTACCCACATTCGCCATTTTCCTGTTTGTTTAAAGCCGTGTGGAATTGATTTCTTCCAACAAAATTCATCAAATAGATAGAGAGAAATATTTCAAAACCTATAAATTTTTAAATTTATAGAATTTAAGCTTTTAATTAAAAATTCGCAATGACTGGACGAGGAAGAGGATTTAGAGGAGGAAGGTAAATCGATGGAACTATAAAATCATACGTTCTTATATGCAATATTTCAGAGACGAATTCCGAGACACGAGATACCAAAAGCCTTCTTATGGTAGGGGTGAGAATGGACCTAGAGGACGTGGCAATTTTAGAGGTACACTTTTAGTCCAAATTTTTGATCATTAATAAATACTTGTTTTTAGGTCGTGCACCTCGACGTAGCCCAATGGATCACAAGAATGTTAGAAGTTCTAGGTACAGTTATTCATTTTACGTCTCAATTATTGAAGAAGTTATTTTGCAAATAATGCATTTTGTTTCAGCCCTCCCAGATTCGAACGTCGAATGCCACCAGTTGATCGTGACCGAATGCCACTTGGGCGATATGCATCTTCACCTCCAAGATCACCTCCACCCCAACAGAAGTTACACAGCATAGTTATGCCCTCCAGTAGATATGGTGGACCACCGTCCCCTAATGGCGATTATAGACGAAGATTATCTTCTCCGCCTAAATATTCGAAAAGTTACGATAACTTTGACAGACACTTCCCTGGACCACCACGAAATAACTCTAGAGATTATTATATCGAAAGAGGTAAACTTTTAATTATTTAATATTGGCTCATTTTCAAATTTCAATACTTTAGATCGTATGTCTCCACCTCCGGCACCAAGAAGTGGAGATTATGATAGATTTGGTAAGTATTTCATTAATTTTGTAATATTTGTGAAATATTTCATTCAAAACAGACCGTCAAATGAGGGATCCACACAGGGATATGGGATATTCACGAAGTAGGCAGATGGGAGACTCTATGGGTAGTAAGTACATTTTTTAGTTCCATGTGTCTGTTATTTTTTTTTGTCAATGTCAACCTCAAATATTTTGGAGTTTATATGAATGGATAGTTTGGATGAAACAAATCTGACAGGAGACAACGCTAAACCTAGATTTTTAATGAAAAATAATTGAGTTAGACTCTTAATATTAAGTTAGAATTTCAAAGGTGTGAACAGATATTTTGACGGAAATACTGAGGATTTCAATCAACAGAAAGAGTAAATTGAACTTTGGATATTACATCGACAAAATATTATCTCCATTAGTTATGAATATCTAAAAATGTAAGGGGTATTTATGCACGTTGAGTATAAATCTAATCTATATGAAGAAAAATGCGCTAACAAATCAGATGATCAATGGAACTCTGAAATTCGAAGTCTTCACTTAATGGATAATATATCTGTTTTGATAAGTGAGTTTCGAAAAATTTTACGGAAAAATATTTAAGGAATTTTAATTTTCTTAACGGAGACAAGGAGAATAATTATCATTCTGCAACATTGCTAAAAAACAAAAAAATAGCAATCAGAGCAGGGAAAACAACAGGAATGTGATAAAAAATCTTTCTAAAAAGATATTTCCATAGGATTAAGAGGAAAAATCTTGTTTCTATGAAGTCATGAATAATGTGTTTGTGAAATCATTTGTCAAATTTACCCGCAGCCAATGAAAACAATGCCAACTTTCAACCAGACTTAGGTTAATATAACTACGCAAAAATTTCATATTATAGGATCACGAGGACCAAGAGTAGACATGTCTTCATCCAGAGGTCGCTCACCATATGATAGACGTGAAACTGTCAAGAGACACAGAATGGATATGGGAGGTCCTTTACCAAAACGCTTCAGAGATGATCCACCGAATTTTAGAGATGCTCCACCACCACCAAGGAGAGATAGAGGACCTCCCCCTCCACCTAGAGGACCACGGGACTTCTCATCACCTCCGAGGGGAGGCTATCGCGATATGTCGCGAGGGGGTCGAGGTCAGAGAGGAAGAGGTTTCAGAGGTCCCCGTGGAATGAAGCATTAGACTCAAGATGTTTTGTTCTTCAGCCTTTGCTGAGTTTTCTTTGTAAATTTTCGTAAAAAACGTTTAGAGTATTTTATAAATACAAAATAGCTGTTGATGGATCCACCTTCTATTTGGGATTTTGAATTTAACAATTAATGATCGCCCTGGAAATTTTAAGCAGTAAGTTGATGACTCGGCTAGAAATGCTTCCTAACATTCACAGCACGAAACAACTTTTTCTCAACGTTCAGGATGGTAAGGATATAGTTTAACTTCCTTTAAATGATTTAATTTTGAAGAGGCAAATGGTTTGAAATGGAAATAATATAAAAATGCATTACGTAAGTATCTTAGATTAAGCCGACAAGTGGTTGATAAACCATTGAATTCATTCGTTTCTGCATAATCTCCTGAAAATGAGAAGAAAGCTGAACATCGATCCGGTAAAAAATTTTTTTGTTTTGAACCAAAGATCACCATCTAGAAATGTATCAATTATATTTCTCATACATTCTGGATAAAATGAATGAAATATTTTAAACATTTTATTCATTTCATTCTACACAACACTACGATGAACTTGTGATCTATTGAACATTTTTCAGTACGTAACGACATAAAAAACATCGAGTTTCAAAGAGGCTTACGCATTAATTATTTAATTCGAATTACTTTAATTAAGCTAAGCACCCTTTAGTCTTCTTGGAAACTCATTGATAAAATCAAAGGCTTTCAGTCACAGCATTAATAACTTTAAACGAAAGAAAATTACTATAAAATCTCGATACCAGCAACGAAATAATTTATTGGTGATCCGAACAATGGAGAGTGGTCGAAAAACGGTAACTATTCAGTCCTTATCAGACGAAAACTGCTCTAGAAGGTATATCTGGTTTAAAAAAATGTATACTTATTAAATGATATTTGATTGTTTTGGTTTGTAAATAGTAAAAAAGCGAATTTCTTAAAATCACCTAAAATGTTATTTCGAAAACAATCATTTCTAATTTTTCGACGAGCCTGTTTAATCATCTATATTACGGATCAAATAGTCTCTAATTTCCATTCTATCTTCAAAATTGGAATACTCACTGAATTTTAAAATAGAGCGAAATTTACATATTTCAACAAAGGTTCAAACCGAAGGATATTCAACTTTTTTTGTATATTATACCATAATTTTTTTGATTTTACTGTTTAGCCAACTTTTTTTTACCTACAACTATTCTTCAATGTATAATTCGCACTTATACATATATTTCTTCATCGAACATCAACAAACGATCTTAAGACTACCACTCAACAGAAGAAAGTTAAGATTAAAATTATCTTAATCTTTCTATTAAGCGTCGAAAATTTTTGTGGAAGTTTGAAACCTATTTATAAACTAGGAAAGAAATGAGATCACATCAAACGTCTTCTCCATCCGAGATCTTAATATGATGCTATCCGAATTAGGGAGATAAAAAAACAATCTTTTGCTTCACTTTAACCTCTAAAAATCTCTGAAGAGGAAAAATTTTCATTTATTTTCGGATATATAATACTTTGTATTTGAAGCTCAGCGTTTTAACAATATTGGCGTAACCGTAAGTCATGTAACGAGATATGTCAAACCCTTTTATGAGTTCTTAAGTATATTAGAGTGTTTTGAAATACAATATATGCTTTTGTTTTGCAGTTTGTGCTGGCTAGAAGATATTCATCTCATGACATTGCGGTGGAAACTATTCAAGCTTGTTAATGGAGCATCCCTAACGAAAGAAGTAACCTGATGGTAGAATTATTGCCTAAAGAGGAGTTGACAAAAATGAACATAAGATAAAATCCACCTACGCTTCATAATTTTAATAGCCCGCATTCTGCAGCTTATTGAATATGCGTGTGGTCAAGTTTGAAACTGAATTTACAATTAGTCTTGTTTAATCATTTTCGGTTTTCCATTATATTTATTTGTGTTATAAAGAATACATCTTCTGTACATGGACAATTATTTATTTTCTATTATTCATAATTCAAAGAATTAAAAAGTTTTCTTTCTTCACTCAAAAGTATAACTACGTACATACGCTCTAGGTGGCGTCTAAAACAAAATTTCAATTTTTGAACACTAGATGGCCCAGGTAGTCTACTACGCTCAGAGATTCGTGTCGAGAGAAAAGTTTTAAAACTTTAAAATACAAGCTGGTTATACTTATTACAGCTACACTTTTGCATTTCGTATGAATTTGTGTAAGTATTGAGCACCATCTAACTGTAAATTTAAATTTCATTATATTCTGCGGAAAATTCATTTTGTTCAATAAAATTGTTTTAAGAGGAAAACTTCAAATAGTGAAATCATTCGTTCCTCTTAAAAAGAGAGAGGAAATTGATTTCAGTGATGATATTTTATGAAGTCTACACAATTGTTTATCCAAAAATTATTTATTAGTCGGTAACACATTTTAAACTCATCATTATCGGGAAAATAAACGGCGACGGCGTCAGCTGTATTACCGGAGAATTACCGTATAAACTTTAGATGAAACAACAAACGTAACAATGCCCACAAAGCTCACAAGGCTTCAGAGGCACATCCTGCATCCTATGTTAAAACTACACACCCGCTCGCCTCCTATATTACATAATACGAAAAATATATCCGCCGCGAAACGGCCGAATAAGGGTAAATTAATAATTACGTCATCGATTTAATTGTCGTGGACTTTCCAATTAAAGAGTGGTCCACGCGCGACCCACATGTGTCGACATTTTCACTATTATCAGATAGAAAAATCGGTTTTAATTTTCCGGGATACTCGCGACCTAATAAAAAGGCCTAATATGCGGGACCCGTCCAGCAAACAATATTGTACTTATTTACTTATGTTCGCGCGACCTTTAAAAATATTAAGCTATCCATTTCTTATCTTAAAATTCTAAGATGTCCGAGAAGGAATTCAGCCAATCAACTAACAGAATTCTCAAAGACCAATCAGCGACAAGTGGGCGGAGCTAAACAGTAATTTCCGATCGGAAATTTTTACCGTCTATATGTACAAAGGTAACGGCGCCAGTGTAGTAAACGCTACTTTGAAAGATGACGTTATCGGATGAACTTCACGAACCGCGTACCAGCCCTTTCGCTCCATCGCATGGACGGCATCAGTGGGATGTTAATGATAATACTCTTCCTCCGGTAAATATACATATATATATATATATATATACTGTATATATGAACAAGTTATTTCACATATTTCTCTCTCCTTATTATTCATAAAACAAACTTAAGCAAACACCTGCAGGTTTTTTGTTTGCTCAAAAAGTCAGCTTACTTGCATCTTACGTTTGCCCCATAGGCAAAACGGCATGTACAAAGATATACCGCATATACTTTCGCATTATAACTTACGCTCTAATGAGTTAATGTTTTATTTTATGAGCACATGTATTTGTACTTATCTCACTAAAGAGACCAGTGTTTAGTTGGACGTCATGCCGTTGTTTACTTGATTGCGAAATGTTGGAAAGTGGCGATTTCAACGCCTACAGAGCGCGATACTATTAAGTGCTCGACGTCGCCTTTGAAGCGTCTCGTGATGTAATTTCGACAGTTCAACATGTGGCTTAACAGGTGTCACGAGCCGCCGACCTTCTCTCTTTAGTCGCTGTTGGTGATCTAAATAGTTTACTTTCATTTATTTTTATTGAAATTCTACACTAAATCGTATGAGAAACTAATATAAATTTTGTGTATGTTTATAATTGAAAAAGGAAAAAAACGTTAGTTAAATAGCACAAAAGTGTCACAATCAAAAAAATAGTGATCTTTTTTAACTTCATTTCTAAAGATTTTATTCATTTAAGTCTATTTTCAAGTTTTATAATTTTTTTTTACAAATTTCAATCTTTTTATACTTTTTCTCTTCCTTAGGTAAGCGATTTTGATCAGTTTGAAGAATGGCCAAATGGACATTCGCGTTACGTATATCCTGCCGATATGGAGGACGCAAGACGACACTCATCTGGTTGGGCGATGAGGAACACTAATAATCACAATGTGAATATTTTAAAAAAGAGTTGCTTGGGAGTTCTCGTCTGTTCACAACGTTGTGTACTGGAAAATCAGACAAAAGTACATATGAGGCCAGCTATTTGCGATAAGGCGAGAAAGAAGCAGATAAGTGAGTGTACTTTATTATAAAAATAGAAATTGAAAGAAATAGAAGGGGGGAGGAGAGAAGGGGGGGAGAGAATTCGAAACGCATTCCATTCAGGCAATAAAAGAAGCTCGCCTTAGAATTGGGAAATTGAATAGAAAACACGCGAAAACTCAATTGACGCACGGCGCGAACGATTTCGCGCGATCTTCGCCTATAATTGATTAAAATAGGTCCATTGCATGAGCCACGCCCACTCGGACTTTGATTGATTACTTTATTCAAAAAAAAACCTACCCAGGCCTCCTTTCCTCCCTCTAATACGAATTTAACGGAAAACTTACGGCATTACCATCATAAATAGATAAAAGTATTTAAGGTTATTTTTTCTCCATGACAGATAAAGCATGCCCCAATCAAAGATGTAATGGTCGTTTAGAATTGATGGCATGCCGGGGACACTGTGGTTATCCGGTAACTCACTTTTGGAGGCAATCGAACGGAGCAATATTCTTCCAGGCAAAAGGAATTCATGATCACCCTCAACCAGAAGCAAAATCTTCAGCTGAGGCACGTAGACATAATTCGTCGTGTGTTACTAAGGAGAATAGACAACCTAATTTGGTGGGTGTTCGGTTCCCTGTTTATTTATTTACCCTTTTCTCTGATTCTTTTTTTCGCATGATTTCCTTTGTTAATTTTCTATTTTATTCGAGCCTTATTTTTATAATGGAATGTTAAATGAATATTCAAAACCATGCCATATTTGGATAGCTGTTAAAAATTACCATGCGCGGTCACTTCCTTGAAATATTTGCAGATTTCCTAAAAATTCCAGAATAATACTTACATATAAATATAAATATATACCTATATATATATATATATATATATATATATATATATAGGTATATTTAATATATAAATAAAACTGGGATGGGCAAAATAATCTTAATATGCTGCAACTCATTAATTTTTAGAATCTGCACTATTTCGCGGATAAGGTTATTTCAATAGGCCTATAATGATATGCGGGTAACGTGTATGCACGAATTAACTATGGAGAAAGCTGAATGATGATTGAAATGTCTTTTTTTTATATATGTGTAATAAATGGGTGTCAAAATAAAAGACATTAGTATAAAGTGAATTTTTATTCTCCCAACAGGGTTACAGACGTTTTGCTAGTCCAAAAAAGAGGCCTGCAAGTGCTGTTACGACGACAAGCTCTCCACCAGGATTCAATCAATTCAAAATTCCTCGAATAGAGATGTCTTCAACAACTGCTCCATCACCGTGCCCTTTTCCTGCCTTTGAGACTGCCGCTCATCACAATTCAACGCCTCGTCTATTTTACGAAACACACTATACCCCCGCAGCCGAATTTGAAAGTTCTAATCACAATTACCCAACACTCAGGCAATACCAAAATCCTCCCTCTGACTTTGATTTTTTGCCACAAGAACAATATTGTCCCCCAACATTTGCTCCCCCTCCTCCACCTCACCACACTCACGCTCATCCATCAGCGCCCGTTCCCCAAGTCTCTGAATGCCTTTACACTCCAGCGTCAACGATTTCAACTGCCGATAGCTGTACTTTTAACGATCCGTCCGAATTTCTTCAATTTTCATCAAAAAAAACAGATGATTTACCAAGTTTTGGCCCAGCATTTATGCAAGAAGCTGCTAAAAATTCCTCATACGCTGAATTACAACCAGTTCAAGGTTCCAGAACAGCATCCTTTTTCCCTGAACAAAATACAGTTTCAACCGGCTATGATTTTTTCCCAACGTATTCTAGTTTGCGCTACGCATCAACTGGTGAAGTAACCGAATATAATCCATTCCTGCCGTCGTTTGGCTACACGACACAATGAACTTTTTCATCATGATTTTGTTTAAGACAAATGCTTTGTTTGTAAAAAATATTTCTAGTTTCGTTTACCTTTTGTTTGTTATTCCATTGGCTATAATTTATTTTGGGCTTAGGGTATTTTGTTAGATAGAGCTTTCAGTGTTAGAAAGAAAGGAAATTTGTTCAAAAAATTGAATGTTAAATACATGGATACTGTATAAATAAGGGTCTATCTTTTAATATATATATATATATATATATATATTGAAGTGCAATAAAAGAAAGGATGGAATAAAGAAAGTAGACATTTTTGGGATTGAAAAACTTGAATATATATATTTAAGGAGTGGAGAAACCTTTGAAAAAGTTCTAACTATTTAAATTGACCCGCATCTATCGGCGGGATGCGCTATAAAAGTCACTTTTGGAAAGAGATCGACTTTTTCTTTATTTCATATAGCAAACAGTAGAAAAAAAATTTTACAGTAGTCTTATTGTTTGCCAGAAACCGGCCAGATTTAAGGTATTAAAAACGTCAAGCAACCTTTTTTTGCATCGTAAAACTTATACAAATACGCTCGCTGACGTCCATAAAACGTCATCTTCCTTATCATTACGTATAATCTACAATATAACTTCAATATGCAAATCACCTACATTTCACATTTTCAAAACCCGGATTCAACTTGATAATCAATAGATAATCCCATGCTTGGCCAAGCTGTTGCCATCAACTCTCTCTATTCTGCATAAACACATCTATGACTGCAAAAATACACACCTGTTACCGTTTCGTTTCATCTCGTCTTTCTTTGCGGGGTAAGCACTAAATTTAGCTGTTCGTATAAGGCGTTTACGACTAGGCGGCGTCTTTCATGTTTGCACAGATGTTTTTTTTGTAAATGTACTTACTCATATATATTTGTTTTAAAAATTTTCCAATTCTTTTATTAAGTATTTTATTATATTTTACAAGTTATTTAAATAAAATATCGAATTGACGTCAAGAGCCCGTACAATGCCTTTTTTATGAATGATCGGTAACGCCCAAATCTCTCATTTGATATACGTTTATTTCTCTCGTCACTCGACTATGCAGATACGATAATATATCAAATATACATATATATTTAGGTAACATTTTCGACCAAATCTACCTTCATCCTTATACGTATACATATATCTAAAATCGTAATCGCCACTGATTATCGTCGACTGACATTTATTGTATTTTAATTTTTATTTCGATAAGATCTTTATATACGTTATCACTAATTTAATTACTAATAACTTCCATATAACTAATTTGTACAACAAGAAATATATAATACTTCATCTCCTAATAAAAATGAGCACATACATTCATTGTTTCGTAAAAGACATTGTCACATAAATTGCACGTTTCGCCTGCAAGCAGTCCGCTTTATCCGTTTCACCTATCCAAAAGAATACTCTCTCTATGCAATCTTTTTTGTTCTTAACCTGAATGAGGAAAGTTGGCTATTTTAAAGAAAAGTTTTAGGAAAGTCCTTCTCCAACGTTCAACTTAGACACAATAACATGGTGGTTAAAATGTTCGTTAGTTTTATAGAGAACATATATAAATATCGGTACCATCTCTATGCAGGTCCATACGCCAGCATGAGGGCTCTGTTTACGAAATATTTGCCTGTCTCTTAGGCCTAAGGACATGGCCTCTTTTCCTCCTCCGATTAACTCTCTACCTAGTCTTGTTAATCGCACGGACCCACATCAGGGTTGGGGCGGCTTCGGCAAAACTTCAAACGATTCAATTTTCTACTACTCGACGCGTGTCAACGACACTTGGTCGGACGCTTTCAAACAAAAAAATATATTTAATAACTCCGCGAAAGAAATTCTCTACTAACAAAGGGTAAAAAATAAAGAAAGGTGGGCGGAGGAAGAGAGATGAAGAAGAAAGAGATATGTACAAAAAAAGAAAACGAAAAAAGAAAACAGAAGAGAAAAGAAAGGCGGAATAAGAAGAATGTATCATCTCTTAAAATAATTATCAAGTAGTTTGACGAGTCAATAACCAATACTGAATCTTATCGATTTAAGAGATCAAGAAAGTGCACATGTTTCACTTTTTTTCCTCCTCTTCCTATTTTCCAACCCTAGCTATTTTACAGCTGCTTGGGACGTTACGGCCCACCGATTAGGGCAGATGACGCCCACATTTTAACTAATAAATCGAAACCTAATTAGGATGAGTGGGGCGGAAGTCGATTGGTGAAAAGAGAAATTGTAATATCGAAAATTTGATTTTATTATTATCATACTTTATTGCCCTAAAATTTTTTTTCTTTCAAATAAATAAGAAATAAAGGACTTTGTATATTTTTCCAGACAATGTTTATTGTTATGGTTTGTTGTCTGCCCTTTTTTATTCATTTAAAAAAAAAACGAATCATATAAAAGTTTATCAATCGTTGTCGTTTGACAGCTGCGTACAGCTCTATATTGAGCATTTGACAGTGACATGCAAACGTTTAGTGATGCATAATCGACCATTAAAAGAATATATATCTGAATGAATTAATATTGATTACGATCGATTAGACTATTTCTATAAACACCGATTGCTTATTATGTCTTTTTTTATTTTTTTCTTTAAAAGAAACCCTCTTTTCTTATCATCTGAAGAGTTTAACTGTAAATTTTTTAACGGATTTTTTTTTATATCTAAAGAACACAAAATTCTTTTTTTAATAAAAGAAGTAGGATACTTTCTTTCTTCTCATTCCTTTTTCTTTATCCTATGAATGTCATCAATCTAAAAGAGTCGCTTGCTAACCGGATCGCCATTATTTACAAACTCTTCAGATAATTTCTGACACACGAAAAATTTTCTGCGGGTTCTTTTCGCGGAAGTTCACACTTCCGGCTTCCTGTTTTTCACTATCCCATGTAATCAATGTACTATTGTTTATTCGGAAAGATGTCGTGTTCTGTTTTATAATCTATAATTACATGTTATGAACTATAAATTGAACGCTATAATATATTTATTGCTCACAGTACTTGACTCTTGTAACGTGTACAGGTCAAACGTATAACGACGCCCACTAGACGCCCTATATATTTGTCACATGGTGTTTGGATATGGAGAAACGGAGAGTGTTTCTTTGTTCGAATACGTAACATATATAATTTGATATATATATATATATATGTATATATATATATTTTTTTTTTTACAGTATCGCTTTTCGTCAATTATTGGTATTAAAAGGACAATTAGAGTGTTTTCTAATGTGACTTTTGAATAGAGAAATTATTACAAATTAGTATAATGCGTGATCTAAACTAATAAATACATTAGCACGCAAATTTTTTAACAATTTTTCACGTGCATTTGTCCACCTCGACTTTTGCCAGGTGCTTGAATATTTAAGACTGGAATTATCGCTGTTGGTGTTCATTTCTAGGCGCATGCACCATTACACGAAAATAAGCCACGCCCACCATCACCTGGCTTTTTTAAGGCGCTTAGTTAATCGTTAAATATACGCCTCCCCAACGCTGATAGACGCTTGAATAGACGCCTATTATTCTGACTACAAAAAGCGATTCTCAAAATTCGTGACAGCGTCGATACGGTTCGAATGGATAAAAGAAATTTTACGTAACTCCATTTGACGTACAAGTTCCCCTCAGTACACGGGCGCTCCCAGCTAAGGGTTTCCCGTTGTTATTCAACAGAAATTTGATATCTTAAATAGTACTTATCTGTAAATAGTTCTAAACTTATTGAATAAAAGAATGCTAGCATAAAATAGTGAGTTTATATTGTATAATGCTTTCGAATCTTCATTAAAAGCTTTTGCACCCCATATAAAAACAACCATAAGTAACACGTGTTTCTAGACCCGTAAATTCTTTGATGTGACGCAAAAGAGAGAAAGAAGGGCGAAAGGTTCGCTCATTATTCGAATGTAAAGTAGAAATGCAGGTAATCGGGCGTCTTTTGAGATCAAAGTGGAAAATACGGAAGCGAAAAAATTCAACTGCGTTTGATGCGTTTCGATTTGACGGATTAGGCGAGATTATATAATGTTGTCGATGGTCAAAACAGCGAAAAGAAGAGGCGTCTCTCTTTAAACGCCTCGTAAAACAGCTGCCCGCAAATAAGGTATATAATGTAAAAGATCGCGACGAGGCAGCAGGTGCTTTCCTTTCTTCTCTTCTTTACTAACCTTCTCTTCTTTTCTCTCTTTTTCGACTCTGTGACACCTGGAAGAACTGATAAATGACCAACAAAGTTCACGTTTTCTTTCAGTAACGGACCATTTAACTCGGACGTCTGTCTTACGACAGTGTGACTAGGTCATGGTGGTGGGTCACGTGAAAAAATATTGCTTTATTAATTCCCTGTTAATTCGCTTACGTCATGCTTCTGTTTGCACAAGCTATTTGCCATTAGGATTTAGTCATTTATAACTCTAATTATAATCCCATAGCAAACTTATTCATACAGGAAATATAATAAACAATATAAGATAAATATACTAATGATGCTAATTTTCTATTATATAAAAAATTATGAAATGAAATGGGGATAAAAAACAAGGGAAGAGATTATTCGAATTTTTCATGGTATCCTAATTGACATTTAATAGAACGAGCGCGCGCTAACGCATAAGAAAAACGGAGACGGCGACTATTCGAATCATGCGACGAACGTCGGGATAAAGACGACAAGTTCGAGTGTAGCATGACATTGCATATTAAATAATTGCCGGTTAATGAGAGATTATGGAATACGATTAGAGATCATGACGTTAATTTGTCGGGACTGACAGCATTGCATGACAGGTTGTTTTTTCTCTTCCACCAATCCAAAAAATTCTCAACCTCTATGCCCTTTTCCCCCCCTACTGCCATTGTTTGTACACTTAATACCTATTTGTTCATTTTTTACATCTAGGTCAGGTGATTAATCCTTTCTTTCTTTTTCTTCCAGGGGAAATTGACTAACTAACATATTGAAGTGTTTCGGAAGCTTACTTCGGTAAATTTTCTACCTTTTATGTTATTGATGGACGCGTTAAATTGCGATTAGACGCGGAAGAACTCATGGGAATACGAAAGAATTGGCTTAGGGCAATTCTCTGTCTGCCCCCTCCCCCTCCCTCTTTCAATTCGTTTCAATTTCTGTTCAAAACATCTTTAATTCAAGTAAATGAAAACATCAAATAAAGTTAATATCCATTAGAGAATAGTCTCATTTTTATGCAACGATTCAATCATTTTTTCCTAATCACTTATCGTTTTTTTTAATAGCTGAAATGAGATGCGTATAGGAAAGGGAAGTGGGAGTGAAAGAAATTGAATATAAAGCAAAAAAGAGATCCTTATCCTTAGATCTACAATAGAATAACCTAATTATAGGTCTTAATATAGGCCTAGGTTGAATAACTCTACTGTATATGGCTTGTATAGTGTATATATGTTATATATATATATATATATATATATATTTGTAAACTGGCAGAGAAGTTTCCCACAGAAAGGACAACATTAATTTTAACGTAGCTTGATAGGAATTTAACTTTGGGTAGTCAATGTCAGAAATAAACTATTAAAAAACGTAAAAAGGACTCTTCTTATAAACTAAATGTTATTTGCATAATTGAATAAATTATCAAATGAATATTGAATTTATTGTAGAATATGGGTTTTGTTACGTAACAATTAATACTTTTTTTTTTAAATGTTAAGAGTATAATGTTAAAAGAGGAACTTATTTTACAGTGCTGTCAGCTGTTGCGTAACTAGCGCGTGTCTTTGTGTATAAGTATATTTTTTACACTAGACATTTGTTTCCCTTCATTAAAATAGTTACGTCATCGGCATATACACGTGTTGCCCGTTTTGGTCGATGAATTACTCATTTAGATAATTGTATCTATATAGGGAAGCAGCTGTAAAATAAAATATACATCATGGATAAATATCCCTTCTAGGCGTCGTGTCTAGACTAGATGTCATGTTTACTAGATCCTGGTAATTGCGCAATTGCTACATAATCAACCAATTATACTTTCTTCACGCCTTCTCCGCAAACATTCGTTACCCCTCAAAAGGTCACATGACCGACCTCATTACATAAAATGCGGTGTATGTTTAAAAACATCGACATTCCAAGAGAGTATCAATTTTCAGGAAAACGTGTCAAAACTCTGTAGGTGTCTAGAAAGATTTCAATGCGACTATAGGTCATGGGTGAGATGTTTCGCCTCGATAATATTAGCGTAGAAAATAGATAAAATATCATTAATAGCAACAAAGATGGCCGCTGGCAGTCAATTTGGTTTGTGGAAGCCGGTTATTAAGTCGGCTTTTTCTCACCGAGAGGGAAACGTCCTATATCGATTATGAATGAGGCAGTGTCATCCCGCCCACTCGAAAATTTCGACAGTGTGTGGTTTAAAGATAAATTCCATTTGATTACTACTTTAAATCAATTTCGAATCGGTCGGCTGATTTATGTGCATTTTTCCCCCTTTTTTTTCAATTTCTAAAAAAAGGAAAGAACTATTCGAAGAGTTACGTAACAGGTGCCGCACTGCCGGAATGAACCCCCGATTTACTTTGATCCAACGCCTTTTTGTTATTATTCCGTAATACGACTTCCGATATTTAATGTTCCCTTTCATTCAGTTTTTTTTCTTATTTACCCAAAGATAAATGTTGCCCGGCAAAGTTCCGTCGCCTAGAAGAAAATCCGGGCGGGCCAAGTTCTGCAGCAGCGATCAAAGTGATAATCGACCCGATTAATTATGTGTTTTTAGAAGGATGCTGTCTGTTTGATGTTTTCGAATTTTTCCCGGCCAATTTACGCTTCTTGAATTTTCATTAGTTTTTTTATACAGAAATCTCTCCATAACACCTTTTTTACGTTTTATTTTTAAACATATACACTTCTAGTTCAAAAAAACTCTCAAGGGTTCATTTTTGCCAACAGATGGCGTCGAATTTCTTTTTTGCATATTCAATAATTCTTTATTTCCTAGGCTAACGGTTCCTTTCAAGAAAGACGAAAAGTAGTGAATGTAAGAAAAGAAGGGGCACATCCAAGAGGCGTCACGTGACTCTTGTAATTCTGAGGACTAGATATAGTCCTTCAAATAAAATGTTTTACTCCTTCTAAGCAATTTACTTTAAAGTAGTAATGGGCAAATATTTAGAGATATATATCGAATAGGTTCTTTCAATATCAGTCTAATATCGATCATATCTGATACACCGTCAATCTGATAAAGAATAAGCAAAAGAAAAAGAGTGGATAGAGAACAGTTAGAAGCTTTAACTCTTCTTTCCACTCAACAGATGGCATCTAAGTCTTGATGCTCATACTATTGTTAATTATAAAATTAGTAAAATTTTTAATTCTGCTTATCCAACCTAAAACATAATCCATTATTAATATTGATTCATAAATTAATTATATAGAGAATAGGCTTAGTTAATTAGAGTAATAAGTTTCTATTTACTTTATTATTCATTGATTTTGTTTTTTGTTTTCACAGAATTTTTTATTATTTAATATAACATTTTTTAGGTTCAAATGAGTATAGGGGATGACGAAAGCACTTTCAATAAGCCCATGTGATATATTGCTTTCATCCTTCTCCTTCCTTTTGAAGAACAGCCGCCGCCATCTGGAGGATATGGACTACTCCTGACTCATTAGGTGGCCAGTAATACTCCAATTTAAAACGGTATAGTCCAACACGTAACTAGAGACTATTATGATAGTTATATTCTTGTTTCACTATAGGGGTCTCTTTGATCATAGACAATTTAGAACGGCAAATATTTTATTCTAGTAACTTATTTTATTAGCGTTACGTAACGTATCCGGGTAGGTCAGATGAAAACACTAGAGGTTCCCGCCAACTTCCTCTCTCTTCCATGTTCTATTCATACACATTTATACCTCTTGGCATTGTCCCAGCACGAAATAGATTTCAATAGGATAATTATAAATGATAATAGGGTGAATTTTATTCAAAAAGATTAAGCTATGTGAGAATAAAGCTCTTTTCTGGAAGATGAATACTCTGGGGATTTGAAGATCTATTAAATCTTTAAGTGACAACTATTTGAATGCTCATAGGAAAACTGGTACAAGTTAGTTTGTATTAAAAGAGAAAAAATTTTCTATGAGTTGTAAAGGTATTGTTTATAGAAGAAGAAGTACAAAACTTATCTACCCTCCGTCCCCCACTTAGAACAATCGCCTACTATAGAATGACCAATGAAAAAATAGCATTATTTATTTCAATTCTACTAGCAACAGTTGTTAGTATCGTAGTTCTAAAGAAATTCACTTAGTAATAACTAATTAAAAGATATACACAAGCAAATAAAAAGTATTGTGTACATCTTTATAATTCAAAATTTTATCGTTAAACAAGTTATGCTCTGTTTAAATGGAATGTGAAAATAATGGTTGTTTTTTGTTTTAAAGGTTAGATAAAGTTGTTATGCGAATATTTTATAAGTATATATAAATTATATATATTTATATATATATATAGAATATATATAGTTTGAAGATTATTATCCTTCACTTGCAGAAATTTCTGGATCAGTTTCGGATGGCTCAGAAGGTGTCCTATCGGGCAGATTAGCAATATTTTCCATAAGAATTTCCTGAAAGGACAATTAAAAACCATTTTAAAATATAATATATTATAGCAAATAAGAAAAAAGCTGAACAAGTATTTCAGAGATTGATAAGTTAATAATAAATGGAAAAGCGTTAACTAACTTAGTAATTCAATTAGTAAAAGTTTAATACAATTAAAAAAAATTTAATTTAAAAAGCTAGGCTTATAAATATGTACATATACAGTATATATATATATATATAGATACAGTACACATACTAATACAGTATATACTAAAAAAAAAGAAGATTTTTCTTTCAGTGTTTTTCTATACTTACGTTGATTTAAAGAAATTTTTATAAAAACAGTTATTGACTTAATTGTTCACCGTAAACATTCTGTACAATAATAAAATATAAAAAGAGAGAAAATGATGATATTCAAATAAGATAAATTAATATATTAGTATATATATAAATTTATATATATATCAAGTATATAAATTACTCCTTTTATTAATTTTTTTTATCATTTTATAGGATTATACTTAATTACGTTAAAAAAGTTATTATTATGTAACTTACCTTTTCTTTCATTCGCTCTGCTGCTTGAGCTTCCTAGACATTTATAAGTAAATCTTAAATCTTTTATTTTACTTTTCTTTTATATAAGTAACTTACCAAAACTCTTTGATATGCAATTTGAGTGTTTTTCTCTAAAGATTTTTGAATCTATTGAAGAAAAATAAATCAAATTTTGATAGTTATTTAAAAAGTAGAAATTTTATTATCATTTCTATTCGTGTTTATACCTCTTGAGCACAATTATTCGCTTCAAAAATGTGACAATGGAATAGTCGACCGTTATCTGTTGTTTTTCTTGTTATAATACCAAACATTCTTGAATTATCAGGATGAACTGACCAAGAGGCAATATCGGAAAGCGGAAAATAACATCTAATTGAGTCATCTGACTGCTCGATTGTACTAATAATGAAAATAATGGGATAATATATTAAAATATATAATATTGAATTTTCTATAAAACAATTACCAGAATCCTTTGATGTTTATTCGTATTTTTGTCTCTGCTACTTTAAATACATTTTTTATTGCTCTGGCAGCCATAACTTGTCTTATTGCCTCAAGTATTACTGATGATCCTACGTCCGAATTGACTTGCATACTACCGAGAAACCTAACATCATAGTCGTCATTATCAGTTTCTGTGGAAGCAAATGGATTTTTTCTACGGAAGAAAGTATCTTTGATTATATATCATTCAGATTAAGAAATAAGCTTTCTTTTACCTCTCTAAATTGCCATCTGAGTCAATTTTTACAAAAGATTCCTCTGGCAGAGAAGAGCCTAGCTTCTCAATTCCTTCCGTAATTTCAAATTCTATTGATCTATCTGGTTCGAATGTTTTTGAAGGGGCGCTTAAGGCTGGACTCTGAGCTGGTGTACCCGAATTCGCTATCTTACTAGCATTGTTTATGGCGCTTATCCATTCCAACTGTTCTTTGTAGCTGAACGCCTGGAAAGTAAATACTCTGTTTGACTTCGATACCGCGAAAACAAATCGTCTATCGTCAGCTTCTGATGCAGTTACTTTAACATCGGTTTGTAAATCCAGAAGAGAGGAACAGGCTATATCATTTCCTCCCTGCCACATTAAATTTTCAGATACGATAGATAAATATCCTTTTTCCCATTTTGCCCCACTTAAAACGGACGGTTTAAATCTTTGCAATACGTATCCCATTTTTGTAGAAAGATTAGTCTCAGGTGGAATATCATCCTGTGCTTCTCTCATTTTATGAGCCGATTGCTCAAGAGCTGATGTTTTTTGTGCAGTATATTGCATATAGTTGTTTCGTTTTGATGTACTTGCTGCCACAACGCTATCAGCTACATTTGCAATATCTTTTGCTTGTTCGGCGGTAGATTGACCAACTGAAAAATGGGTTCTATGACAAGCTAACAAACCAGCTAATGGTTCTAATATGGCCGATGAACGAGAATATTGTAAAGTATTCAAATTCGAATAATGCTGTAAGGATGCCAGTTCAAGGCGGTGTTGAGCTGTTTCTAGTTCGGTACGACATTCCGCAACTAGTTTATCTGAGTCTCTCTTCTTAGAAAGCTTCAGATACTTATTGAGTGATGCTTCGTACTCAGCTCTGTTTCGGGCAACCATCTCAGTGAAGCCCGACATTTCTGTTAAAATATATATTAATTTATAGTTTATAGTCGCAATGAATTACAAGTCTATTTTAAAGGTGAACCTTCAAGATCGTTTTGCAAAAATCTATTTACTGCAGATGTTACGTTATCACCGATCTGAGTGCACATGACTTGATATATGCTGCTCATTTCCTCAGAATATTTTGCAATATCATGCAAGATATCAATTAAACTCGTATTTTCTTGAGCTATGTGAAAAGGTTGTTGCTCAAAAGCATGCAAGTGTTGAGCCAAGGCTCTTAATGATGAGCTTGTCTCTTCGGAAGCTTGTAACACCCGTTTGAGGCAAAATTGCATACCACCTATATACTTTTTCAGGGTCTGAGAGTCTCTTTCATGTAAGCTTAATAAGCTTAAGGCCTGTAAGGAATTAATAGAGGGCGGTTGTTCTTATAATCAAATGAGTATGAATCAGTTAAAAAAATTAAGAATTTCATTTTACTTGTGGGTTGTCATCGACAGCGTCTTCCAAATGTAACAGATTCATTTGTTGACAATTATTATAAATTATAAAATATATCAAAAAATGATTAACTCATTCAAGAAACTTTAAAAAGTCTAAAGAGAAAGATTGTTAGGAACGGAAGCGGAAATACAGCAGAGAAACAATAATATTCGTCCGGAAATTTAACGTTTTTTTTTCTTATTTTGAGTTTCGAATATTTCTTTGCAAATCTATTGTCTAAAAAACCTTTTATTTTTTTAATTACATTTTTTGCTACATAAGGTCGACAAGTAAAAAGATTTTTACGGCTAGAAAATAGATCTCGTCAGCTATTGGTCAATAAGGGACGCCATTTTTTATTTGAATTAAAATACCACCAGCTTGCTTCTTTTTCAAAGAATATTTCCTAAATTAAGCTACATATTATTAATCTTGATTATAAAGAATTAGTACAATTTGTATTAATTCGTTTTTTGTGCTTTTCGTCAATATTTTTTCAATTTCATTTCCATATATATGTATATTGCAGACATTTGATAATTTAATTATTATATTTCAATTCTTAAACTGCTTGAATATATCTGGAAAAAATCGTAAAATAAAGCTATTAACTAATTTATTTGAAATTGAAGAGTAGCTAAAATTTTAATTACTGTTATTACTTGAGAAAAGTACTTTTTAACGATACAGTTATACTTCAATTACTTGGAGTATAATTTTAAAAACAGGGTAATAATATACGGTTTATTGCATATTTCCTAATAAACAAATGATTTAGAAGAGATGATAAGAAATTGAATATTGACCAGCCTGATAGAAAAACTTTTCCTTATCAGTTCAATCATAATGCTAATTTGTTTGAAGTTATTAACAGATTTTTAATAATCTATTGTCTCTTTATATCTAAGAATTCAATAGAAAACTCTGACTTTTAAGCTTTAGATTGAACCTTTACAAATCAAATTTAAAGGCAATTTTCAAGTTGACACTCCTTTAAGTATCTTCACTTTCACATAATTCAAAAAGTTCTTCAATTATGCGGGCGTTATTTATTTGATATATATCATATAAAATATTCCGTAGTCGTCTATACGCTGCAGAGACGCTAGGCTTTCATCGTCATTCTGTACTTAATAATGCTCGATAAGTTTTGCTAATTTCTTAAGACAATTTAGCAATATGATAAAAGAGCAACAACACTCATATCTCTCTGTTACAAATTGGAAAGTTTCATTATATCTTGATTGTCATTGAAGGATTATGGGAGAGGGGAAGAGAGAATAAAAACTCAATTACTTTATTATATTACTTAATTAAAACTAGATTTTCTTTTTCTTATCTAAGCTGTATGTGGGTTACATGACTTTTTTTCTACTTAGACTTTGACTTTACTAGGCATATTCGTTTTTCCACCAAACTAAAAGACATTATACTAATAAAACATTTATATCATATGTTGTATAATTATAAGAAAAATGCTTTTTTCACTATCTGAGATTTATGGGGAAAATTCGTTAGATTAAACAAAGGCTTATTGACGTTGATAATGTAAGATTCTTAAATGTGACGTGTTTGTAACGAGTCCAGATAGTGCCATTCTTATTTTTGATACGAAAGCAAACATTTGCTGCTGTGTCTCAGTGTAACAGTAAACTATAACTTAAGAAAACTCTGTAGTAAGGGAATGGAGTCTAGGAGGTAGGTGGCAACTTGATACTTTGAAATTGAATGTTGAGCAACACGTGCGAGTATTAGTATATATCTATGTAAATGGCTTTCTGTTAGAAATGTCATAAATGACTTGTTCTACGCAAACAAATATGACCCAATAGTTCAGAATGGACAAAGTTCATAATATCTTAAAAGTTTTTTTATATATCTACACTCGATGGCCTTCTATTACATGTTTAGTAAGTGATTGTTCTATCAAAACAAATACGACCCACTAGTTCAGAATGGACAAAGTTCAGACAATATTCTAAAAAATTTATATACCTATGGGATGGTTTCGGGTCATATAAAGATAAAGTGCATAGTTTCAAATGTCTGTATAAAAGTTGATTAGTCGGCTTGTTTCTTAGTCATTCTCTTATCGGTCATGACCATATCAATTTCTGTTAAGAATCAATAAAATTAACCGACGTAGAATGAGTAATTGAGCTTGGTAATTCTAAAGTTGAAATACTTAATGTAAATTTTTACATATCTCTAAATAGATATCATACTATATATATATATAAAATTTCATTTAGACATATGTCAAAATATACTTTTCATCGACCTTAGAGTGAAATCAAAAATGCGTTGTTCTTGGGGCGTTCCTGAACTTTTACTCTCACATCTTTCTAAAAAGGTTGGACTAACTGTCTCGAGATGGCCTTTATTGTTTATTATACCCCCAATAATAGTTACAATAGCCCTTGGAGCTGGAGTTCACAAATTTAAAAAGAGGAATGATGTTGAATATCTGTACACACCAGAAAATTCTGAGGCTAAAAAAGATAGAGCATTTGTGCAAAGTTTATACTTTGAGAATTTTACACATGTTGATCCTGTTCGAAATACAGAAATGGGACCATCTGGATCGTTAATAGTTCGAAATAAAGAACGCTCAAACATTTTTACGGAGGAATATATGAGAAAGATTATAGATTTAAACAATTATGTAAGAAATTTTTCCTTCAAATATAACGGCAGAACGATAAGTTACGAAGATGTTTGTACGAAGAGGGGTAGTTCGTGTGATGTTAATATTTTTCTAACGGGTATATTAAATGATGATGCCAGCAACGTAAATAAAATAGATATAAATTATCCTCTTTTCAAGGTGCCTGGCACAAACTTTTCATTTTTAATCGCTAATTCATTGGGTGCAGTCAAATTAAACAATGGACTTGTCAGAGAGTTCGAAGCTATGAGTCTAAATTTTGGTGTTAAAGATTCAACGGATGAACATGACGCTTGGATTGATCAATTTCTTGAAGAAATTGGAAAATATAATGCTGAGAATTTAGTTATTGAAAAATTTAGTAGCAAGAGTCTATCTAGTGAGCTATCAAGAGCTGCTCAGGCAATTGTTAAGCTTTTTGTTGTCTTATTCAGTGTACTTATCGGTTTTGCGGTCATAACTCAGATATTTCCTGGCGATTGGGTACAAAGTAAACCCATTTTGGCTTTTATGAGCATTCTTTCAGCTGTTATGGCTGTCATAACTGGCTATGGAATAATGGGATGGGCTAATGTACCCTTCATAGATATTCTATTAATTTGTCCTTTTTTGGCTGTAAGTATTGGTTGTGACAATATGTTTGTGTTAGTTGCTGCTTGGCGATCAGCAAAGCCAACGCTTTCAGTTGCTGAAAAAATGGAAGAAAGTTACGGAGAGGCTGCTGTAGCAATTACTATTACAACTATTACAGACGTTCTTGCGGTTGGTATCGGTGCTATCACTTCATTTCCAAGTGTAAGAATATTTTGTGGAACTCTATCATTGATGCTTTTCATTAATTATGTTTATCAGGTAGATATCATTTCTTTCATTTATTTCCTTGAAAAACTGAAATGAGATTTCAACATTTTTTTCATTCATTTTCAACAGATATCGTTCTTTGGTGGTCTTATGGTTTATTTCGGAAAGAGAGAGCATTCAAATCGCCATTGTTTCACATTTATGAAAGTTCCGACAAAGACTAAAGCTACTAGCGAAGAGAGATCAAGTATTTATAAAGTATTTTGTGTGGGCGGTATTGATAGAAGTGACTGTAAGAAAGATGTTGAGAAACCAATCCATTTACCAACATATTTCTTTAAGGAATACTTTTCTCTCGTTTTCCTTAAACCATGGTCTCGTATAATGATTGGCCTATTATATTTGGCATATCTAGGTGTTACTATTTATGGCTGTACAAAGATAAAGTCGGGTCTTGAATTAAAAAAATTGGCACCAGATGACTCCTACGTTTCACCGTATTATGAAGAAAGGGACGCTTATTTTCAAGATTATACCAATCCAGTAGCTATAGTTATAAAAAGTCGTTTAGATTATTCCAAACAGGAAAATATACACCTTATTAACTCTGTCAGAGATAATATCAAAAACTCCCAATATTATCATTCCACTTATCTCGGTTACGATTGGTTATTGGACTTTGAAAAATTTAAAGCGAATAATAATCAGCCCATTGGAACGGAAGAAGAATTTTGCAATACGGTGAAAGATTATTTCCTAAAAGTACCTGAGTATTCAAATTATGCTAGAGATATTCTATTTAACGAAGACGGAAAGAGTATTCGATCGTCAAGATTCTACATCTTTCAGAATAGAACTGTTGGTACTAACAAGTTAACAACTGCTGCAGAAAAGGCAAGAGATGTTGTTAAAGATAGTAAACTGGATGCTTTAACCTTTGCACCCATGTTTATCTTTGTTGATCAGTATCTTCAGGTTTTACCCAACACTCTAACCAATATTGGAATAGCTACACTAGCAATTCTCATTATTGCTATTATTTTTATACCAAATTTCTTTAGTGTATTGAGCGTTACTTTATCGATTATTTCCATATCTGCTGGAGTAATTGGATTTATGTCTCTGTGGAATGTCAATATTGATACAATATCGATGATTAACCTGGTCATTAGTATTGGATTTTGCGTTGATTTCAGCGCCCATATATGTTACGCCTTTGTCAAAAGCACATCTCGAACTGGCTTTGAGAAATGTAAAGAAACCTTTGAAAAAGTAGGCTATCCAGTTTTGTTGGGAGGAATTTCAACAATTTTGGGTTTGACTGCCTTATCAGCGGCAAATATCTATATATTTAGAGCCTTTTTCAAGACAATGCTCTTAGTTATGTCCTTTGGTTTAATGCATGGGCTTTTATTTTTACCTTGTATTCTAGTCACATCTTATGAAATTCGATCCAAATTAACCAAAACTGAAGATATTAATAAAGTCGAAGAGATATCCTATATAGAAAAAGGGAGAGATAATCTAGGAAATAATATAGAAGAAGATTCTATCAACACAATACTATAGAGAGAAATAGTTTAAATAGAAAAATTCGAATCTGCTTACGAGACATACTTTAAATTTTTTAGTCATTTATTTATTTTTGTACCAATTTTATATATTTTTAAAATAAATATGGGTTAGGGCATAGCCTACTATATATGTTTTATTAATTCTGAAACTCTACAAATGATAATTTTTGATTGGAGGATGATTTTCGTTTTTTGTTTGCTCGAATTATTTATTCTATATGAATTTTGTTATGAATCTCTTAAAATATATATTTAATGCTCTTTGGCCACATCATTTTAATTAGATATAAATAATCTTTATTTGACTGAGAAATATTTATGATTACTTAACGAAATTTGCATTTAGTCTAAAAATAACTAAGTAGCTAAGATGTCTTTAAAGGATTATGACAGAAAGGAAGTTGCCTTGAATATAAATCCTATTATTTCATCTAACAACATAATGTACTACTTAGCGAGTCTTAAACCTGAGAAATTGCTTGATGTACCCTTCTATTTCTTCAATTGTTAAATATTGCTTTGGTTTCGCATTGTTTCCCGATTCTAGACTAGCATCTGCAAAAATAGGCAAAATCAAATGATTCACTTTTAAATTTTTATATATACCTTCTATAACTTTCAAAAGAGATGGTAAAGATTTTATCCCTTTCTTTATTCCTCTAGAGCCTTCCCAGTTGAACTGACACCAAGCCGATTTGTTTCCTATTGCTTTCATAACTCTATAAACAATATGCCTGGCCTCATTTCCTCCCTGCCTCGCTAAATATTCCCTCTGCGGAAGAGTTTCAAATAAAAATTTACTTCTTCATACTTTTTCGTTTATTCTATTTACCAGTTTACTCTTAAATAGTTTGTCAATGGATAATCTCTTATCTAAAAGATCAACTTCTTCTTTTTTATCGGCTTTTTTGTAGTCAAAACATTCATAATTAGAATCTAGTTCAGTTTTAGAAGAAGCTTCATTTGGTTGAATGGATGGTATATGTGAATTATTTAATAATCCATTAAGTTGTATATTAATCTGCTGCTTAGACAATTTTTCTATAAATCCGTTCTGCTGTCTTATATATTTTAGTATTTTCCGCTGACGTTTTTCAATAGCGGATACAGCACCAACAAGGAAACAAAGCTTTCCTTTGAACGTTCAGAAAAGAGAATAAATAAATCGTTTACTCTTCTAGTAATATGTTAAATATATGCTAAGTACAAAGATGAAATATCATACCATCCAAAGGTAAATCTTCGACGCGTAAAACATCTTCCGACTACAAAAGAATAAATAATTTTTATTGAAAAAAAATTGGTCCTTACCTTATCTCCATCAGCGTTGCTTGTTAATTCAATATTTTCATTATCGCTCTTGTCACTATTCTATTCAAGAATATTTGAATAATATATTTAAATTTGTTAAATTTAAATGAAAGTATTCCTCATACATCGTTATATTTGTAATTTTCTGCTATTGACGCTGAATTTCCTTTAGATTCTGATCTTGTAGGCTTAAATCGCGGTTAAATCATAGAAAATTACGGTAAACTAGTAACATTAGTCAACTCACAATTTTTAAATTATCCATTAAATCTTGAGTAGTATCTCTTCTTGTTTTCTTTGATGGTTGTAAGTCTTTTTGTACAAACTAAACATTCAGAAATCTTTGAACGCTACATAAAAGTAATATTTACCGAATAGTAAATTCGATTCGGCCATTACAGAGCAGAATGAGAAATTGGAGAAGAAGGAAAGGTTTGGTTGCAACGTTGTTTGTTTTCCATAGTAGGCACGTTTCAATCACATGACAAACGTGTCTAGCACGTGATTAAGTTTGCAATAAAAACGATTTTTTATATCAGATTTCTTAAACAGATTGAGAAGGCAATAATTGTACCATATTTTACATATTTATTAATAATAATTCCTATTATACAATGAAATTTTATAAACATTCCATTTCTTTATTTATATTTTAGAAGAAAGAAAGAAAGAATAAACTTCAAAGACTTTTTTCATTTCTCTCTTTTATCTCCGTTTTGTATGAAAAAAAAATCCTATAGAAATGGCAAACTCTGAGCAAAAGAGAAAAAGAAAATCAATTAAAATAAACTTTAAATTTTAACATCTTTAAATTTCAATGATTTTTTAAAAATATAACATTGTAATAATTTCTCAGAAAGGAAACAAAATATTAATAATTCCTTGAAAGTACATTATCTTTTCCTTCCGATGAATTTTAGCCTGAATATTTATATTGTTAACATTAACGAATGTGTGAGTACATCTGAAGATGGATTGTTTTCGAAGACGTTCATTCAATACTTTCCAATAGTCAGGAGGTTGGATTATCAGACTGTTCTAGGCCGCTAGGGTACTCTCGAATTAAATGCTCGCCCCTCTTCATACAGCATTGAGTGTAAAATGCAGTCTATAACAACAAACAGACAAGGAATACAAATATTAATATTTTTTTAAATGCAAAAAAATTGGCTTAATTACCTTAATTCCTGACCAAGTTAGTCTTTTTCTTAGGTCGTCAGTTACCCCAAAGACAACTGCATAAATAGCTCCATACAAAGGAGATGTTAAGGAAGTTAAAACCATTAGAGCAAACACTGGTTCGTTGCTGATTGCATTCTGAATTCTATAAATGATAGGGATTAAAATAGAAATTTTGTGTTTAAAAATAGTCTGAAAAGAGACAATAGTGTTACCTGTTAATCAAAGGAAAAATGGATAGTACTAGATATATAAATGGATAGGCCATTAGTGGTTTCACTTCGTCTTTTAAGAATTTCTATAATTAAAAAAATAAAAAGGAATTAATTAATAAATATAAAAAACCGATTTGATCGCTATATTACTTACCTTTCTCCTCTCGGCATCAGGATCATAGGTACCTTCCCATGTTTTGTTCTAAATATGATTAAATATAGTTTATTTCTGATATAAAGATAAATTCTTACTTACTTGTCTAGAGACACTATAATATATATATCCATAGATCAGGAAGAGGAACACTATTATTAGAAACAATGGAATATACCAACTGAAAGGAAGAGATAGTTAAAATTAGATAAAAATTTATTTAATAAATTAAACAATTATCTTTATCTTTACATTGTGAATCTCCAAACAACTTTATCATTAGCTATCCAACTGTATAAAAAGAAATTATCTTGTAATAAGATTTTAATATACATCGACAATAAGTAATAAATCTTATCAGTTATTGTTTAATAAATATAAATATACCGACCACCAAATTCCAGCTTGACCATAAGCTTTTGCTATTAGTGGAATACAAGCAATAACAAAAGGAAATATCCAACCAATACAGCAAAATAACCTTAAAAGTTTGAACACAATTAGTCTTATAGTTATATTTTACGGAAATAAATAAATCGAAAAAGTAAATACTACTAACAATTCCCATTTCTCCATGGAAGTCAATGAAACTACTGTCTTGTATAATATCAAAGTTATTAAGCAAACCCAGAGGAGAACTGACCATTCTGAATAATTTAATGATAGAATGTGTAAAATTTAAGTTTTCAAACATCAAAATATCTATAGTTACCGAAGCAAGTCATCATCCAAGCTTGAAAATTACAAAGATTACCTTCCGGATACATACCACCCTGATTTTTTTTATATTTATAATTTAATATAATTTCTTTTAAACTCGTTTCTTTTCTCTACTTACCACAAGATACGATATTGATAACAAAACACCAGATATACTAAGATAGAGAAGTAAACGTTGGACAAATACTTTATAATATCCAAAGAGGATTATTGTACATATTACAAAGATACTGAAAAAAAGCAAAACAATATATTCGCATGTATTCGTATAGAGATAATCTACATTACTCATACCTTCCTAACAGGGATAGTAGTGCTGTCGCCTTTTTTATACCAATTACAGTGTTCTGTAAAATATTGTGTTTATTTAAAATATATATATATAAGAAATATATGCAATTGTAATTTAATAATCTTTGCTAATGTAGGTAATAAACTTTATTTCTTATTACAACATAATTTATTAATATTACTAATTATTAATATTTATATTTTAAATTGTATAAAATCAACTTACACATTTGTGTTGATTTCCTCCAAATAATGTACATTGATAACTTGTTTGAGCAGTTGTTAATTCCAAGCTGAGGGACTGGGAGTCAGTAGTCATTTTTCAAGATATTTAATACCTTCGCTCTGAAATGTATTTTGTTGTTCCCGTCTAAACTTTGTTTCCAGTATATACATACACTGCGGTGTCCTACTAACTATATATTTTATCGCTCACAAGGGGTGGACTCTTTGTAGAAAAACATGGCTATATCGCTAGATGATAAACACAAGGAGCATCTATCCTTTTTAGAGAATCTTGATCAATCAGGTTTATTTTTCTTATTCACATAATTTATAATTTTGTTAATATCTTAATTTAGCTTTGGAAGATTTTTGTATGATATCCATTGAATTTATTGGAAGAGGAGTAAATAAGAAAGTTTACTCAACTGCTGCACGTAAGTTGATTTTTAATAAAGCCTGTCCAGATGTAAATCTATTTGTCAAATATTAATCTGTTTTAATACACTTTTCAGAAAAACTCGGGGTTGATCCGGAAATAGTAAAACATGCAGTTGAGGGACTTATGTACCTCTTTGCAAAATGTTCAAAATATAATGTAAGCCGGTTAATGATTCAATACTTGTCAACTTTTAATGATTAATAACAAATACAGCTTCAAGAAAAAGAATTTCTAGAGACTTTAATTCCATTAAATTTATCAGAAAAAACTAAAGAACATTTGCTTGAATTGTACAAATCAAAATATGCATCAATTCATGCTCAGTTAACTGAATTAATACCAAGTATTCCAGCCTATAGTAAACTGGAATGGCGCTTCGATATTGAAATAGCTTCTAGATCTCTACGAAAACAAGTTCAACCTGTCATTCTACTGAAATTCTATCTCAATCATAATGGTGTTGAAGAAGAGAGGATTTTACAAACAGATCCTTCAAATTTAATTCGACTAACTGCAAAACTGGAAGAAGCTTTACACAGCTTGCAATCGTCTCATTCGAAGAGGTTAATAAAACGACTATAAACAATAAATTAAGAACTTATTTCCCTAGTGATGTTGCTATTTAGAAAAATAAATAAAATGTTAACTTGATCCCTAAATTAATTAACCTAGTTTCAAGAATAAATAATGTTTTTTTACGCTTTTTATAAGTCAAGGCTAGACAAGATAACACAATATCAAAACAATTTATAGTAACAAACATTGATTCTTTTTATTATCGATCCAAAATATCCTTTTATTCAGATAGCAAAAAAATGAATAGTTTATTTGTTAAAGAACCTGAATTCCCATTTATGTTTAGTACATTTTTGTGTACTATGGGTAAATAAATGTAACTTGACTATTTCCTCCGAGTTCTAGCCAGAGCTTGTTGTAGTAAGGCATCGAATTCTGACTCTGCACTTACAGGGCCTCTGTATTCAGGAACACCAGTTGCCAATTCTTCTTCTTCCTCTTTATCACCGTCTAATAATAAATAAAGAATAATTTACTTTAGGGGAGAGTAAGGGAGTTTGTGTGAAAAATTACCTAAATCAGCATATTGAGAACCACAAAACTGTCGTCTACCACCAAAACATAAATCATATTTTTCCATTCCTTTACATTGATTTCCTCCTGTCACAATTTTATAGTATAATTAATTATATGATTCTTAATTTATCTTTAATTGACTAACGTTCTATTGCTGTAAAAGCATCTTCCTTTGAAACGAAAGTTACAAAGCCGTAGTTATCCCTATTTGAAATGATATAGAATTAATAATTAATTATGGTACAAGGAAAATATAAAAAGCATTACCCGCACTCTCTCATATGTAGACTACAGCATTCGATCTTTCCGAATTGCTCAAAATTTTCACGTAAGATTCTCTTCGTTATGCTGTCTGGCAATCGTCCAACGTAGACTATCCGTCTTTGTTCCTTAAAGTAAAAATGAAATATTAATAAAATTTTAAATATAAGCTTTAAAAGCTTAGACGAACAATTTGATCCTGCTTTTTACGGCGTCTTTCTTCCTGAACAGAGCTTTGCCATTTGTCAATATCTGGAGACTGAGATCTACTTCTAGACCAAGAACCGGAAGATCCGGATGAAAAGCTGTAGCTGCTTTTCCTTCGTCTTCTATATCGCCTTTCGCGATCTCTTTCGTCTTCCGAAGACGAATCGGAGGAAGAGCTATAGGAAGATTCACTCTCTGATGAACAAGATCTCGAGAAAGAATAAGAATCATTTAAGTCATCTTCATCAAATTTAGTGCTATTGCTGAAATCGGAATGATAGGCGGGCAGTTTATTATGCAAGTCTGTTGATATTGGGCTAGAATCCCTTTTAGAAAATATTAGAGAAGAATGTTTCTTTTCTGATGATTTTTTGTCAATAAACGAAATTTCAACTTTGTTGAAAACACTTCCTGAATTATTATGTGCTTGTTTATTGCTTGCATCTTCGTTTGTAGTCGAGGTCTCAGATTCCTGTAAACGATCATAGCACCTAACAAGAGACTCAACTTCATCAGTTGCTTCGTCCTCATTCTCTCCTAAGGAAATTCGAGTTTTATCATCGTTCGAAATATTTGATTCTGTTTTGTCATTATCAATAACTTTTTCAACTTTATCCATATTTACGTCTTCGTTCATTGAACTAGTTATATCACATATAATTTCACCTGGCTCCAAGTCTGAATCTAAACTGGCTGCCTGTTCTTCTTTCACTTCAGTCTCAAGACGACTGCCACCTGACTTCTTATCGTCTTCACCATTGTTATTTTCAACCTGACTGCCTGACTTTTGTTTTTTTGCCCTATATTGTTCCCAAGTTAGAGCCTTTTTCTTCGTATTCTTTTTTGAAGGTTCTATATCTTTAAATACTACTAGCTTCGGCTTTGCGGTTTTCAAACATCCGCTTAGACCGTCAACAATAGGCGTACCGTCAACATGCGTTGTTATCTCACCGATTGGCTCATCAGTACTAACTTCTTCACATTCTTTCTCGTCTTTTTCCTCTTCTTCTTTATCACTGCATATTTCCATGTCAACAGGAGTATTGCTTTTGACTGATTCCTTTTTCCAACGAGCCATGATTTTAGCAAGAAATTCGTCCTTACTCACGTTCTTACTCTCTCGTTTTGATATAAGTTTTTTATTATGATTGTAAAATGTTTTAGAATCTAGAGTCTTTTCTTCTGACTTGGAAATTCTACGAACACGAGTTGTTTCATGTTTCTTTTCTTCAAACGATTTAAATCTATGAATAGATTCTCTTCGTTTCTTAATTGGTTTCCGTTTAGGAATATTTAAATCGGTCGAACTTTTACGTTTCTTATTTAGCTTTAATTTGATATTTCTGATAGCATCTTTGTTGCTGGCATTATTAGAACTATCAGAGTTGTTATTTCTTTCTACTTGTTCGTTAGTTTCTATAATAGTATCGGCAGATGTTGCTCTCTTGATTTTCTTAGGAATTTTACGCACTAAATTTTCTTTCGAAAGCTCTTTTATAAAGTCTTCTGCAGTTTTATCTGATTTAATATTCTCTTCCTTAATAATTTTATTATGTTTTTTATCTGAGACAGAATTGTTATCTTTATCGTAATGTTGCATAGATTCGTTAATATTCGTGCTATTGCATTGAGATATTAGTTCTCTAAGTCTCTCTTTACTATCAACCAATGAATTATCTACAATATCCGATGATTCTTCAAAATCATTATTTTCAATGTAGCTTAGCCTCTGGTCAAAAAGTATTGATGTATCCATATTATGCATATTCTCTATATTATCATCTTCCATAGTTATGGCTTCCTTATTATCTTTATAGCTGTCTATGTAGTTTACATTGTCATCCTGATTATTACCCCACAGAAATAAAAGGTTAGAATCCTTCCAAGGTGGGAGAGAGTAATTATGATCACCGAAATAACTATCTGTTTCACAAACAGTATCTTGGTAAGGTAATGAATTTTTTGAAAGAGCATCTTTCAATATTTTATAGTTGGCCTTTTTTACGATAACCTCTCGTTTCGCCCTTTTTGGTATGATGCATTTTGTTTTGCAATTTTCTCTTTTTTGCAGAAGTGACACGGCTCGGGGTTGTTCAAACATTACAACAGCATTAATGTCGGGCTTGGTTACAGTCAATTTGTTGTTATCTATGCTGTAATATAGCAAATGGAAAATCAGGTTGTATTCTACTAAACCACGATTTTACCATTGTAATGTATTCGTATTGCAGTAAGATTCAAATTGATTTAATAAACCCTCCGAGTCGAACGCTTGTATTTCACCTGAAATAAAAGACACCTTTGTAATGCTCAACTTTGATGTGCTATACACTTTAATTCAACTAACTCAATTTATGTTGTCAAATTAACACCTATTGAGTTCGTTTATATACCGGTATACTTACCATTGGTTGAAATATTATCAAGATTATTAGCGGATAAATCATCTATTCCATAAGAATCCATGCTGTAGGTGATATATAGGCAAGCTTTAGTTTAAATTAATAGTACTGTAGTAAGTAAATTGATTTTATAAAATGGCAGTTTCTAAATAACAGCATTCTGTTTTGAATAAGGTATAAAGCTTCATTGTTTAATTTTAAAAAATGATATAAAATTACTGTTTCTTTTAACAATACGCAATTAACAAATCAAATTGTCGGAATTAGTCTATTTATCAGTCGAAAATATGCTATTTATTATGTTTGTGATTATTTTACATGTTTTTCCTTCTTGACACTATTAGAAATTCCTGTAAGATATGCATACCTCTTTAAGTGATGATCTTCAAATATGTCACAATCCATAATAATACTAGTAGGCTGAAAAAAAATTAATTATATTATTTTTTGGTTACGGTCATTGAACCTTATAGACTCACTTGCTTATCGGATGAAAGCACCTCTTCTATACTTATTTCAGCGTTATTCATTGGTGTAATTGCTACTAATACGATAGAAATTTCCTAAATTATCTGAAACAATAAAGTACTCGTCACGCTTTTCATCCAAATTTGACAAAAAACTGATTAATCAACGGCCACGTGGTTCAACCCGGGGCACGTGACCAATAACTTCATGATTTCCCATTAAATACAAGAAGTGATCATTTCTTGAAAAGGTAAATAAGTGGAAACATTACTTACTTGATAATTCCTTTGAGGTATCTTTCTATAACAGTGTACTTTCTATTATTTACATTAATAAGAATAGCGCATATTATCGGCGAGAACTGCCATTTTAGCCTATACGAGACATTTTGTTAAAACACGTTACTTTGGGAGATTTGTCTATAGCAGTTTAGAGGGGTTCCCCTATCCTTCAAATACAAATGCAGAAGACTTGTAAAACAAGAATTGTCTCTCTTTCTGTCTCTTTACTAACAATTTCTTTCATTATAAATTCAATATGCTAACAAGACTTGAGTTATTTTTGCTGTACATCTGGAATCTGCGTTTAAGACGTTTTTGTCTTTTGCTTTACGGCTTAACCTTTGGAATAATTTTACCAATTTTGTTGTTCAATTTACAATATTCTTTTTACCACCTGCAAATATTTTCTGACCAAAAGTCAAGGGATCTCGAAAATGAGAATACAAAGAGGCTTAAAGATTCATACAAGTTCCTTGAAAATATTAACTCGTTTCAGCTTCACGGCTTATTAGATGCAACAGGGAGGCATGGGTTGTCCACAGACGTAGGTATAACAATCATAACCGTTGCAAGAAATAGTCATCATCAAATCGGAAAATATGAACCAAAGTACTTAACACAAGTGGTAGCTAAATATCTGCAATTGCTACAAGATGCTAAACAGGAAAGTGATTGAAAGTCATTAGTTTTTCATGTATTAACTTAATATTATATCATTCAAATATATCATTTTTCTTCAATCACTTTTCTGTCTCTGCAGCAGAAAGACTTTAATTTGAATATCAATATAACTATATGTAACGTGGATATGGACCCGGAAAATTATAAGGATGTTCAGATGTTATCTAACTATGTGAATGTGATATCGAGGTTTTCACACCTTAACCTTTCTCTGAAACACATCTTAGAGAAAGAGAAAGAAGATTATGCGTTTTGTTTAAATTCAGCTTTAAAAACTTCTGCAAAGTATGTCCTTCTTGCAGAAGATGATGCTTATCCCCTAGATCACTTCTTACCTGTTCTGGATTACACTATTAAATACCGTTATAACTTTAGTTTTTCGCTGGGAGAACTTGTTAAATCTGATGATAGATTAGCATTTATTAAATTGTATCATCCAGACAGAATATTAAATTATTTGAATGCTTATGAACCAGACAGATTGCCTGAACTGCTAGCAGCAGGCTTATTTATTTCTGCGATTATAACGCTAATAACTAAGCGATATTTTAAGCAATCAAATATCAAAACAATTTACATATTTTGGACTTTTTATTCAATGCTGGTGCTACTGTGCATTGGGAGAGCTAATTTACTGGAACTTCTAAGGATACATCCTCAGTTTTATAGGTATTAATCTATTCTTTTTAATAAGTAATAGAAATTGACAGATTTTCTATTTAACTTGAATATTATGAACAGGTTTGTTAAATCACCAAGCTGTTGTACACCTGCTTTACTATTCAGTCGAGCAGGTGGAAAGGCCCTTGTTCAATTCCTCCAAAATGTCAAATGTGGCCTCTCTTATCCAAAAGATAAGGCTATAGCCGACTTTCTGGAGAGAGAAAATTGGAAAGCAAAACTAGTTAGCCCAAATGTTTTTCTGCACATTGGGCAATACTCATCTTTGGGCGAGAAAAAAGTTAATCCGTATTTGGTATGAATATATATTTATATATATTTAATAATTTCTATATATAAATCTCAAAAAATAAAACAAAACAAAAAAAAAACAAACTGGGAGCATTGAATGAAAAAAAAAATAAAAACGAGACAAACGTTCATCTGACGGAGGTAGAAATTATGGTGATGAAACGCTAAATCTTCACTAAATCTTGTTTTTTTTGAACACGTGATCCAATATGAATCTACAAAATTTCGTTAAAGCCATGTTGATTTGTCGACATCATCCACATTTGATAAATTCAATAGTTCAGCCTAAAAAAATACATTTTGTCAAAAAGCATAAATTATACTTGTTTTATATATACCGGTATCATATCATCATGTTCCATTGCAAGCACATCATTAGACGCAATTTCTGTCATGTCTTTGCTATCCATCTCAGTTTGTTCGGTGAGAGATTGTTTCGGTAAACTGTATACCCCTCCAAGACCAGAATCAGCAGAGTTTTGACGGGTATGCACCAGAGTTTCATTGCTATGTTCGCTTATCTTCAACTGCTGTAATAGTTGTTCATGTTCCTTGGCAAGCTCTTCGTCTCTTTTACGAATCTTTATAATTTGAGAGATTTAGTTAAAAATTTGAACAGAAAATACAACACAGCTTTTTGAAATTAAGTACACACCTGTTGCCGAAGAACACTTATTCTTTCGATTTCCTTTCGGATAAACTCTTTTCCAATAGACTGTTGTCTCTGAGATTCGATTGCTTTCTTATGCAGGTCTTTAAGAAACGCTTCCGTCATACCACTTTTTTGAAGTGTCGACGGCAGTCTTGGATCATACCAAGATGTCTCCTTTTTCATGTGATTTATGAAGTAGACCTCACCTTGCGGGGTAACAGCTTGCTCCCAACCCAAAGGTAATGCAGCTATGTATCCGGCTGGAGGGGTAAGTTGAGAAGGGCTGCTGTTGGCTTTTTGATGGGTTGGTTGCCATTGATTCGATTCGGCCGTGTTCTTCAAGTTCCAAGTTTCTTCGTTAACCGAAGAAGTCTGTTTTTGGTGGCGAACAGGTGGCGCTATTGATAAACTGGACCTGTCAAGAAGGGCAGGTGCAGAATTTTGCCTGTGGTGGCCTTGACATTCGGCATCGCGTCTATGTGCCGTGGGATCAAAAAAAGACTTTGGTAGCACTTTATTTCTCCAAGACGCATTTTCTTGATTAGAATGTATGTCCTTCACGACATCAAAAAGTTTCATCAACTCTTCATTTGTATCTTGTTGAAATAGTAGGACCTATAGAACATTGCATCATTTAGATAAAACTTTACACTTGCCATAAAACAACTCTTAGTAGTACAATTAGTAAGACGTAACCAAAAATAGTACTCAGTCAATTAAAATTTTGTACCTGATTCTTTTGGAGGCCCTGTTCTCCACGATCCGATAAGGCTTGCATAGTTTCCATGTTTAATAATTATCTTTGAACACTTTATCGAGAATTTTTCATTATTACGTAACTTATTAATATCGTTAAACAACTTTAAAACGCTAATTTAACTCTCTTCCACCACGTAACTGATGGCTGCTTAACCGTATAACGTGTATTCTTGCGCCAAGCGTTACCTTTGCCGAATAGGCCTAATACGTTACCCTAATTTGGGGCGCCACCTACAAATGAAAATTAATACATGTAATATATTTATTTCAGTTTGAAAAAATATATCATAATATATAATTAGAGAATAAAAATTATTTAAAAAAATTTGGTTAATCAATAAAAAATAGTCCGTTTTAGCAGACGACAACTAAACTAACACCGAATCATACGACGAAACATATCCTCCTACCTCACTTTTCCGATTCTTATCGAAAGCACACTTTTATTTTAATCAACAAGCTGTGCATTTGCTGGAATCAGATTTGTTAAAGAGAAAATGTGTCGCTTCGAGAAGAAATGAATTTACAATAGTAATACATTCCTTTCATGATTAGTCATCTGTTACGAAAAATGAGAGGATCCATAAAAAGGAAAATTCAAAGTGGCTACAGGCATCATTACGTTAGTCAATGTATAACTGGTTGCTTGGGATGTAGGTGGAAAAGGTATAGGCAATCTAGACATGCCACAAGATGGGAACACATTTTATGGATTATATACTTTTTGGTAACGCTAGCATTTATTGTTTTTTGGTTCCTCTATTGGATTGCTATCAAAAATGATTCGAATAACATTAATTGGTAAGTTAATATAGGACGTAAACTTGAATAATATGTAGAGGCCAAAGTTATTGAATACATTCCATAGCCGATCAATAACCTTCAACCGATTGTCCTAGAAACTAATGGTATTATAGTTATAACATAAAAATTGTTATAAATATGGCAGTTTATTAATAGCTATAGCAATTTACACTTAAACTGGCTTGATTAATGTTTGCTATATTTCTTTAATGTTTACGGTACTTATTTGAAATTAGTGAACCAAGAACATTAATTGGTTTACTGATTCTTAAACGAAACAATGAAAACAATCAGTTTTCGATTCTCTTATCTAATCAGATCTAGTAGTTTATTTAACAAAGACAATTCTAGTTTGTACTATTCCTATATTTTTATTTGTGTAAACTGACTTGGTTCTTTTTCTAAAAGGTTATATTATTTTCACTTTGGTAACCCAAATGTCCTATATTACCCTTAGTTATGTTTATGCTACTGTAAACTAGTTATACAAAACAAAGTTTTATAAATAATGTACTATAATTATCTTTATTAGGTCAATGTAAATATCACAAAGCAAGATAATTGTATTTTCTTTTGTTTAAAAATATATCCTCTTATTTAATGTGTCTCCCTTAGGTGCATTCTTGAAAACGATATATTTATATATCATTGAAATTGAAAGAATAGTTTATTTTCTATGAAAGAGGGGGTGGTAGGAGAATAATTCGAGAATAATTTATGCAAAAACTCTTATATCGTATAAAAAGATATTTGCTCTTTGATGAAATATGTATACCTAGAACTATAGATTTGTTAGAACTATGTAGGTATACAACTTTAGGGCGTCAACACTAAATACCAAATTATCTACGATGCATGTTGTTAATCTGTATAATATAATTCCAAATTATTAATAAAATCTCATCTTTTATAGGTATGTCTTTGAGAAACTTCACAAATGGTTGGACGTTTACAGACTTGTTTTAGCCCTTACGGGAACAACTTTTGCATATTTATTACTAATAGCAATACTCCTTATTAGTCACTTAATTCTTGGATATCAATTATATATTCATATACTGCATAGAGGTGTTTTCACCTTGATAATTATAATGTGTGTAATATTTGTGATTCTCTTATCAAAGATCTATAAGGAGGGTTACCCCCTTCTTAATCAATCCATGATGGCAATGGCACCCTTCGTATGGATGTTGGTGGTTGTCTTTCTTACTGGTTGTTCTTGGCTTGTAGGTAACAAATACGTTACGCTACAAGAAAAAGTCCATAAAGCAGCCTTAGTGACTATATATGCAATTATCATGCTATTTTGTTATCTTTTTGCTATTGGAATCGAATCGCCTTGTTTTACGTCCCAGATATCAGCCAAACCTAGATTCGTCGCTCATCGAGGGGCATCAGCAATAGGCCCTGAAAATACCATATACTCTTTTAATAAGGCCTTAGAACACGGAGCTTTCGTTTTAGAATCTGACGTCGTTCAAACAGCGGATGGCGAACTTATTTTATTGCACGATAAAACTTTCCGTAGAACTACCAATATAAAAGATATTGAAGGAGGAAAATTTAAAAATACTGAACCTTGCGCATTAAACTACTCATTTATTGAAACCTTGGATGCAGGTTCCTGGTTTTTGGAACAAGATCCTTTTCGCACTAAGAGCTCTTTAACAGATGTTGAAAAAGCGGAAATTAGGAAACAAAAGATACCTCGCTTAAGCGATTTAGTCGATTTAGCGACAAAGGCAAATGTGAGTATATTGTTTGATTTGAATAGATCAACTGCTTGTGATGGGAAGAACGCTACAAGTGAAGAAACGAAAATGCGTGACATACACTTCAATGATCAAGCTAGAGAAATTATTGAAAATTCAAAACTTCCCAAAAGAAATGTTTGGTGGTTAGAATCTGCTAAAACTTCAAAACCAATTGAATTTACATTAGTTGGAGAGGGAAAAAGTGGATATCAAACTGTTGAAGAATTGAAAGAAAAGAAAATAGATTTGGTTAATTATCAGCATATTGTATCCAGATATGGAGAAGATCTTAAAGCTTATAAATATAATAATATTTCAACAAACGTCTACGTGGTTGACGCAAGTTGGTTGTTTTCTGTTTGTTGGTGCGCAGGAATTGAGAGTGTAACTACAAATGAAATTCAAAACTTGTCGAAGCTGGCATCTCCTGATTGGAGAATGTCAAAGTTAGTTTGGAGAATACTTATAGCCATCTTCACTGTATTATCAGCCTCATTCGCAACTTTGGTTATTGTTTGCAGCGCGTAAGTAACTAACCGTATTATACAAATTTTTTATATACTTTTTTATCCCACCCACATTTTCGGCTATTTCTTCGTCCTTTGTAACTTACCGGTCACAACAAAACAAAGGAAAACTTCTATTTATCGATTATAACTAATTTTCTTATGAAATGTTTTATAATTTATATTTTTATACAAGGTATTGTATATACCTAATTGGAAACACTCAGACCGAAAGATATAAAAATAACATGCCTATATTCTTCAGAACAGCATATAGTGTATATGAATATATATAGAATATCTATGTATATACTTTTTTCATTCATATTTTCCCAAGAATATCAAACAATATATATATATATATAAAATAACGTCTGTGGTTCTGTGGAATGATCGTTGTGAAAATCTTTACTTCATTGAAACAGCTCGCCTTGTCAAAATCAAGTGAAATTCGAGTAATTTGATAAAATTGGAAACAATCAGTCTTTCCTCGGTGCATGATTTTTAAGTAAGAGTGCAATGGCAATGCTTTTTTTTTCGTTGATTTATCGTTGGTTTTGGTTCCTTTTTTATATATATATCTTTTTTTATTTTACATGGATCGATTTTGTTTGCCTTGAATCCTATATATTAATTAGTTTTGGTACTTATGCTTGACTATTCCGTTCAAAACCTTTCGTTCCCCCTTTTTATTATTCCTTTCATTGTTTTTTTAATCTATTTAGTTTTGTTAACCACTACTAAATAGTTGTAATTTAGGGCTGCTTGCTAATATAGAGCTGTTTCTTTCACATAGAGAATTCTGTTATATCGTTAAAAGATGAAAAAGAGACTACTGGTAATATTAGATGGATTATTTGCATTATAAAAAGCCCCTATTATTAGTCCAGTCAATGTAATATACATACTATTTGCAAAATCTTTCTTTTCTCGTTTTATGCGTTTAAAAGCAATTTTTTCTTAGGTAACGAAACATTTTCTATTATTTATTAACCTTTATACCAACTATAAAAAAATTGATATTCGGTTACAACGCGACTAGGAATTTTTTGAAATAAAAGTTAAATATAGCGTGATAGTTGCCAAAGTTCAAGTTATTAAATTTAAGCTAGTGTGAAATTGATGACTAAAATTTCAAGTAATTGATACTGCGTACTGAATTAAAATATTTATCAAATATAGCTTTTAAATATATTCAATATTATATAGTTATATATTCTGTATGCGATGTGATACGCATAGATTTATATATAGAATTTAACGGCAATATCTATATATAACAAATACCGTATATAGCGATTTATAGTAAAGATATTGGGGTATTTTTATATATTTGTATATATATATATATATATATATATGTACTGGATATATCTAAATATAATTTACTATCTAATTTAATTTTTCTATTTAGTTCTTTTTTTCTTTGTGTATTGTTTTTATGTTAAGGAGAGCAGCAGTGTATTGTTAACAAGTTGACGCGTTTGATTAAGGTGTCATTTAATATCTAAAATCTGTCATCGATTTGCTCATTTTATCACTTTTTTCTCTATAAAGACTGGCACTTGGGTGCTGGCCTTACCTGAAGCCCTCAAAGTAAAACACATAGACGACCATTTTATTTAGATTTGTCTTTAAACTTGACATAAATTAAACCTACTACGTCAACAGCTTTTTATTGCTTTTCATTCTCGTTTTATCATAAATATCTTTATAAAAATTGCTTTGAACTGAATAATGATTGGTTTAAAAAAAGGGATAGTCAAGATTGGGCTATTTTTTATTATATTGGTCAGTTTAGTGCATTTTTGTGCATTGGGATAAAAAACTATATCGTATATTAAATAAAGAGCTTTTAGCATGCTGTTTAGCTTAGAATTTTTGATTATTAAAATTATATAATTTGTAGTATAATTAGTTATATTTTAACAAATAATAATATTGATAATATCGGAGAAAAGACTGATGTTCAACAAAAAACAAATCTCTTTAAAAACAACATCATATTTCACATAACAGCAGACGGCATCGGTTGAGAAGGACGTCGTCGGTATCGTTAAGTAGCGAACAACGAACGTCACTGTCTAGTTCTCGAAAGGCTGTCAGCTTCATACAAATTTCCACGCCAACAGGAGGAAAGGAACAGCTGTTGGACGATCGCGGAACAGAGAGTTTATCAATCTCGCGGAAGACGGAAATGGAAGCGGATATGGAACCGAGGATGATTCCCCAACTTTCGATATCCGTAACTTCTCTAGCGGATCCGATAGCTACCAAGGCACCCTCTAACATCGAAAAGTACTAGAGAAAAAGAATCCTGTGATTTTATTGTTAATCAGATAGTTGTTTCTTTTTCCTTCTTTCTTTAAGCTGTACAAGATATAGAAATACATCTTTTTCCTACATAGATAATTTGACTAATTTGCTTAATTATTACATAGGATCAGTTCTCTGATCATCTATTTCCTAAGTTTATTAATTTATTTTAGATCTATAGTAGCTTATGACCCTACCTCATATTCTTCCTTTAACAAAATTCCTTCATCCTTTATATTACCAAAAAAATCCTTTGAAAAAGAAAAACCGTTTTGCTCCTTTTATAGTCTGAGGGGACACAAAACCCTTTCTGAAAAAGGAATACAATATTTTTTAGTTGAAATTATCAAGAAAATCATTACAAATTTTCATTTGCACGCTCTTAGAAGCAATTATTTCCCAACGTTACCCGTAATATAAAGAATTAAAAGCTATCTTCCACCGTTGTTTATGATAGAAACATTATTTTTATACCCTAAATGGTACCCAACTTTTCCTTGATCTATTGTACCTAGTTATATTCTATTAGTGATGGAAGAATACACGAATTATTTAGGTATTAAATGATAATCGATCGTTACAGCTTTCATTCGACTAACAGTGCATAACTTGTAAATTCTTCACTATTCATCAGGCAAAGAGTTATTGTCTTCCATGACAAGGCCTCTTTTTATTATAGTACTAAAGGGCTTTAATTTCAAAACAAACTAAATTCTATGGCATGAAAAGGTTGGAAAAGTTTATGGGAATGATCTTTACCAAGTTGATAACTGCTTTTAAATATGATAATTGTTTTTTTTTTCAATACATTCTCTTTCGATCTAGTTTTGGGACGCAACACCCATTAATACACTTAAGACTTGAAGAGGTTAGATGTTGGGAGTTTTGCAATTGGCAAACAGTTTCTAAAAGAGGGGAACTAAAGTATAGAAGAGAAATTCTTTAATCTCTTATCGAAAAGAGACAGATGGGTAGGTTTTCAAAATAGTAAATAATGGTGAAAAAAAACCTGATTCAAAGGTTACGTTCTTTCCGCATTCCAATGTCGGCTTACTCAACACCATTTCCAAAAAGCATCCATTGAAGAAATATAATTACGCTTTCAGCTAAGGAGGATTGACGAAAGAAGAAAGAGAGGAGAAATGGCAGTTTGTTACTATTACAAGTATAGTAGAAGTACATATTGAGCCTTCAAAATCATATCTGAACCCAGCATTATTATTTACGCTCCAAGCATAACTATTGTGAATCACATTTATTATCGAAAGAGAGAAAAACAACCTACATCGACTGGAAAAATAAGGACGAAGAAATAATGGATTCTTTCTTTTCTTCTTCATTCTCTCCGTCTGTATAACTATTGGAAAAAAAATACTTGATATGACAAGCCCGAAGGTTACAAAATATTTTTAAAGAACTTGTATGAATGGAAATCTAGTTTGAAAAAATTAGAAATACATTCTATACTTGATGCATTATCATTCTTATATAACATATTGTTATTTTCTCCGTAGTAGTTTGTTTTTGTGTGATATTTACGTAAGAAGATATATTTATATATATATATATACAGTATACAGTATATATATAGAAAATTTATATATGTTTATGTTTTTATTCCATTAGTTCAAAAGACAATTCGAATAAATAATCCAATTAAACGGACAATGCCTTTCAGAATCTATTGGAATAGTTAAAATTATAAGAGGAAATTCTATTAGAAGATAAGTTAATAAGTATATTAATGCATAAAATCTAGAAAAAAAAAGCTCTAATAATTAAGCAGTTTAACCAAAGATCCGATTACAAAGCAGATGGAGTCATTCTCGTCAAAGAGATTCTTTTTACGTAATTTTTAGTTATTCTCTATTTATTAAAATACAATTATATGCAATTATTTACCTTATTTATACCATATATATATATTCGTATAGATTTCTTTATTTAAGATACACAAAGTATATATGCTATAAAAGTCTCTTGATATTTATATATGGATATCTTTCAATTAACCAAATGAAGTAAATATTAAGTAAAACTCTTAGTCTGAAATATTTTGTCTATTAATTCGAGTAATTTCTCTTTTTATCCTCATCTTTCAATTCATATTTTCTTTCGAAACTATCGAATAAACCAAGAAATTCTGTTGTAATTTCTGTCTATTGGTGGTATACGATTAGGTTGATTAACCCTTGGGATGGCATACTATGGGATGAAAATGGAGAGTGGATAGAGAAAGAGGTAGAATATTAAGAATAAAGGGAATTAGATAGAGAAAAAAATCATTATAAAAAGTCAATAAACGAATCGGTCGTTCATCCTATATGAACAATCCACAGAAATATTAAAAAAAACCAATACATTTTTTCGTATCTGGCCTTTTTTTTCATATCGCCAACATCAAAGCAATCAGCCGGCTACGGAGTCTAGATAAGTCAGACTTGGATACTTTTATATGGCTTTTTTTCTTTTACCGAGTTGAAGGTTGAAGGACTTTCTTTTCTTTTCCTATTTTATTATATATTTTTTGCGCTTAAGCTCCTTCCTCTCCGGAAAGACTAACATTGGGGTTTGTTCACGTTGATTCGCCACCTCCCTACTCCCTCCGTTTAGTAAATTATTATATAATTGTAAATACTGTAGCATTTTAAACGATTGTAGATCGTTTTCTCAATAGCCAAGTATTGTAATGTTATTGCTTTTCTCTCTTGGATTATCTAAAATCAATAGTCGAACAAGTCGGTAGGATCGGTTTCGAAAACAAACTCCCAAAAAGAAAATGCCTCTCAAAGTCGGAAGATCGTCAACTTTACCTGTTTACAGTAAGTATAATATCTTATCTAATTATCTTATACTTTGTCAATTACATAATTAGGCCAATATTTGCTTTATTATGACCTGATCAACCCTTTGTCAATTTTTTGATATGTATAGGTAGAGAAAATACAAAGAGGTCAAAAAAAACGCCTAGAAGAGAGAATACTAAGATTGCTTTAGAAATTGGAGGTAAATTACCTGAATTACCTCCCCCACCCCCACCAACTGGGTTATCTACGATTGGTCCCAGAACTGTGTATGATGGCGTTCCACTACGTTACGAACACAGTCGGATCCCTTTCGGAATTAAAGACGCTACACATAAGGATATTGTTGATTTGGGAAAGAGTTTAACAGAGAAAATGACTGCAGAGGAAGAGGAATCCAGAGAAAATGCCGTTAGAGCTGCAGAAGAAGCCGTTTGGGCTGAAGCGGAAACGATTCGTATAAGGGCGGTTGAAAAAGCCATTGAGTCGACGAAAGCTGAATACGAAAAACTCTTAAAGAAAGTTGAAAAGCTACAGTCCAGCAAGGTAAGAGAAGCGGTAGCTAGAGCTGAAGCTAGGATAGAAGAAGCCATCTCTGACGCAGTTCAAGAAGAGAAAGTCAATGGGGAAAGAAGGTTAAAAGAGGCCGTTGCCGAAGCTGATAAAAGGTTAATTTAACTCCTCCAAAATAAAAATTTATTTACATTTAAGAAGGAAAGATTTCTTTAACTCTCTTTATTCTATAATTCGTGCATTCGTTTAAAGAACAATGAAATTTTTATACAGCAACTTAATATCGAACGTTAGCTTCGATTTGTAACCCAATAGCGAATGCAGTGGATCGAATTGATCCACTTATTTTCCTGTAACTTCTGTTCAAATCCTACGGTTTTCAATTTTCTCACTTAAGCCAACAACTTTAATTAAGTTTTTTACTGCGCATGCGTTGCAGACAATTTTTTCAATTTTCTCTCTTTTTTTTTTTAAAAGAAAGTAATCCTTTAGAATGAAGAAATAGAAAGCAATTAAAACTTTTCGTTAACTTTCTCTTTTTCATGACAGATGGCTTGCTGATTTGAAAAAGGCAGTTTTAAAAGCAAGAGAAGAAGAAAGGCAAGCGGCTGTCCAGAAAGCCGAAATTGCAGCTAAGTAAATACGATTAAGTTAGAAAGTATAGGCCTTTTTATAAGATTAAACAAGCTTTTTTTTGGCCCATCTAACAAGCATCTTCTTTATGTTAACCTGTATAGAGCAGCAGAAGAAAATACAAAGAAGCTACTAGAAGAGGCTGAAAAAAATAAATTAATAGAATTGAAAAATCTTGAGGAAGAGTACCTTTACCAATTGCAGGCGACAGACACTTCAGTTAGAGTACAGGAGGAGGCGGTTGCGGAAATCAGGCTGAAATGCCTGAAGGAAGAAATGGATAGAAAGTTGGTAGGGCTCAAGGAAATCCTGGATAAAGAGAGGCAGCTATCCGAGGAAACCAAGATAGAGATAGAGAGAGTAAAAGACAGCAAAAAGAGGGTTGAAAAGGAGTTAAAGAATGTCTACACATCCTTTCATTCTTTCGTTGAAAATAGTAGACCTTACAATATCGGTCAATCTGCATTCGTCATACCCAAGCTGCACACGATTGATTACGCAATCGATAATACCCATAATAATATCTTACAAAGGAGTCTTTTGAAAACTCCTAGTCTGACGGATTCATCTATGACTAATGTGAATTAGTAAAGTTGTTCGCACTTGGTTTAATTTCTCGATCTTCCAAATTTAATTAAAACTGAATTACACAAATTATAAGCATTAGCTAAATAAACATGAATTATTTGTATTAAATGAGGTTTAATTATTACAGATTAACAATTTTGTACACTCTTCCTGTAAGCATCCACAGATTCTAAGCAATATTTATATATAGTAAAGCTCCCTGGTATGTTCTTCGTCATTATTAATCTTTGATTAAAAGTGTTAACTTTTAATTAAATGCAGTTTGATAAATAAATCGACTATTTTAGATTCGTTTACGGCTTGCAACCAACTTTTAACCGTTTCTATCTATATATAAGCATGTATATAATTCGTTTATTTAAGTGGAATAGCAATTGTAATAAGCTTCCGACATGGTTTGTATCGGTAAGTGCTAATCAGCAGGGTGTTTGTTTTTTGTATATTTGTTTCTCTTTTTCTATCATTTTTCTAGATAACTTTTGTTTAATTAAATGGTATTTTGAAATCGCAATAATGAGGAGTTTCTTTTTTTAGATTAACGACTAAAAAGCTGAAAAGAATTGGAATATGACTTTTCTCATTGTTCAGTTATGGTTCATTTAGGCATTGACGCATGCGTTCTATTACTTATTCGATTGGCAAACGTTTAGCAAATTGTACTCCATCATAATCAGTTTTTTTTTGTCCAATGATTTTGCTCATCAAAGTTTGCCCTCCAGAAGCTTTTCAATATATTTTCTATAGTAAACAAGCCAGTAAAAGAGAAATACGAACAGATTTCATCCTTTGTAGAAATAATGAAACAATTCTTTAGTCAAGTTGGTTGAAGGAGGCAAAATTAAGAAAAAAAACTGTTCAATCTAATTTTTCCTTCCCCAATCTCTTCCGCCACTCATAAAAAGCCAATATATATCCCTGGGGCATATATCGGTTTTCCCATTCGACTACTGGCTTTTAGCGGATATTCCCGAAAAGGTAGGCCTAGCGGATGAGAACTTTTTTCCAGAAAAGTTGTATTCCGAAAAAGAAACCTAGAGAACGAAGATCAAAGAGCAAATAGTCTTCCGTCCGAGTGATTAGAGAAAGGAGAAACATTCGTCATTATTTGTGTAAATTGTATCGAACGTTATTTAGGATAGGCCTAACAATCCACAGCGTCGAAAGCGGGCTTCCTAACGACGCGTGATTAACTAACGTTTACGTGACTCAATTTTTCTTCATTTTTCTGGTAGTGTAGGCTACTTAACTTTATTCACTTATACAGTCGAACAATTACAAACGAAGATAAGAAAAGTAAGAGACTTTAATTTATTCTCTCTCTCTCTCTCTCTCTCTCTCTATCTGAAGCAATTAATTGACGGATGAAAACTCAACTGTTAAGTAGAGGAGGCAACATGATATTTGAAAAAGGCGCTTAATTTTTACAGATCCTAGCTTGATTATCCTATAAATTATTTATGTATATATATAGAATATATACACTATATACATAAACATATATGCATAAATAATTAATTCCAATGAATGTTTGTTTTTTCTAGACAATTTCAATGGCTGTAATCGAATCATTTCGGTTATAAATGTGGTTATGGCGTATTGCGGTATTTTCATTTAATTTCGACAAGGCTAATTACGTACGTGCATACGAGAGCCTAGATATCGAGTGACGGGTCTAATTAGGTCAAGATGAGCCAAGTGAGAAGACGTGTTTCGTCGAGAGCATCATGACGTCCTCTCAAAAGATACCGATAACTTTGTTACGCCTGATTTTCGTTATATTGACGTAACTTGTTACAAAAGTAAGAGGAAAGACTGTTAGAACTTTTGATCATTTCGTTTCTTTCTTCTTATAAATTTTCATATTAGAAAACACCAAAAAAAAGAAAAAATTTACTCTCTTTTATTTGGAAACTGAAAGAAAAGTTAGGATGAACTTTTACGATAATCGTTGCAAAAGTTTCCTGAGAATCTGCAGAAGTTTCTTCCTCTCGTTTGAGTTGCTTATTCAATTAGTATAAACGATGGAACTTTATATAACATAAAAATTGATGTATGTATACATATGCATGCTTTCTGTAGTCTGTATAACGAAGTAGGAATAAAAGAGAGAAGAAAACGAGTAGTTATTAAGGTTAAATATAAGAGCCGTCTCCCTTAACAATTAAGTCGCACTATAAATTTATGGATTTTGGATTGTACTGACTCTAATAACGATAGTAGGTTCCTTATCCTTCTCCTCTTCCTTATAAACTTCTTTTAGCAGTCAGTCATATAGACCTTTCCTAAAATGCAAAACGTCTCTGACCTTTTCTAGATCGAGGTAAAGAGGACTTGTCAGACTTAAACTAATTGTCCATTTTTTTGAGGTACAAAACACAGAAAGAAGAAAGAGTTCCAAATTCGCCGTAGGCTCCCACATAATCCTTTTGGAGGTTTTGGCGATAAGCGTTAGGAGGACATTTCTCTTCGATTCTCCTCCATAAGTTCTGCAGCACAATCGGAGGTTGGTAAACGAACATGACGATGTTCTAATACCAGTCCTACGTCGGAACGACGATCGCAAAATCGTTTGCACCTTAATATTGTAGCGAAAGCGTATCTAAAGTCTCTGTTTAAGAAAGCATAAACGCAAGGGTTTATCAGAGAATTAGCGTATCCCAGCCATGTAATAAACATCTCCACTTCATCTGGCATAGGACAGTTCTTGCAAAACGGCATGACAACGTACATTATGAAGAATGGAAGCCAAGAAATACAAAATAAGCCCATTAACGTACCCAAAGTTTTTATAGCTTTAGCATCTCTGCTAATTTTTTTTGATTTTTTTCTTAATCTGTCTCCATTACCAAACCTTTCTAGTTTTGCTATTTCTCTAGCCTGTTCTCTGGCTATACGGAAGATCTTTGAATAAACAACCACCATAACGAGCAGAGGCGCATAAAAACTTGTAAAGGAAGATATGACAGCATAAGGACGGTTGACATCTAATCCACATTCAGGATTATCAACGTAAAGCTCAAAATCTTCTGAAGCAAACCAACCTAAATATATTGGCACAAATGATATTGCTGAAGAGGCCGTCCAAACAATTCCTATTCCTGCTAGTGCTCTTCTTTTGGACATTTTCTGTTTATACGTGAGCTAATGGACGAGATTGAGGAATAAATTCTCTATAAAGTCTAAGTTAGATACCTAATTTATGGAATCGTTAGTTTAATAACGATTAGTTTAACGCAACACTAATCTACTATTACATGTTAGTCAAGAACCCTATTATAAAATTATTTATGTAATTTAAATATTCCTAAATCACGTCCCGGCTCTGTAATAGCCAAATATCTGTCAACTGAAATGACACATAAATGCAGGATAGATGCAGTGCAGCAGGTTACGTCGCACGATATCCAAAAATAACAAAACAACCATCCGAGTAACCACCTTTGTAGAACAACTAGTACCAAACTATACGGCATTACCAGTATAGCAACAGTAATATCAGCTACAGCGAGGGAGACGACGAAATAATTTGTAGTCGTTCGCAGTTTTGGAAACGAACAGACGGCCACGACAACTAAACAATTGCCCAGTAGTGTTCCAATTATGATAAAAGCTAGTAAGATTCCTGCAACAACGGAGAAAACGGAGACAGGCGTTTCTTGCCATTCAGTAGAGTTTTGAGTGGAATTCGAATAGAATAGTACGCTGTAAGTTGGCTCCATAACTCCGTAAGAGACGCTCGTCTTCCAAGCGACGTCTGGTGGTAGAGAGTAGGGTGTTGAGAAATATTAATTTTTCCCCCTAACGCGACAGATAAATAGAGGTAGGCCTATATACTTTCCTAACTATCTTTTATGTCGATGAAAAAGAGAAAGTTATATTCAGAAATCTTTGCAAAACGCCTAGATTATTTTTTAAAAACTATATACATAATGAAAAAGCTATAATACGAATAGCAATACGCTTTTTTTATCAATAAAACAGGTATTTAGCATATCCTTTGTAGTTATTATTTCATTCATTTTGAAAAATAGGCGAAATGAAAACAAGAACATAATAAATGTTTACCATTAATCTATAATAATGCTAATCAATAAATCTTAACATAAGGTATATTCATTTCCTACGAGAAAACTAAGGATTTTCAATTTCTAATTCTCTTCAGGGAGTGTCATCATTTTATTCTGTGCAATATGCAATGTATTTATAATGTAAATATCTTCAATATACATATATATATATATATATATATATATACTAAATAAAAACTGTACTTTCCGTTATTATACACAATATAGTCGTGTCGGTATATTTTTAGTCATCAATGAATAGGAATAACTTATCTATGTAAAAAATATATTCGTTGTATATCCAATATTAATTTAATCCTTTTCTAATTCACACTAAACGAAAGAAGTAAAAAGGTAACGTTATGTAAAAAGTCTGAGGTTTATCGCTCTTTTCGTGTGCTTTCACGCACTTCCTGCTGCTTTGTAATATAACTCTTATATAGTCTGGAAATAACTGTCGGTTCACACACACTCACATAAATAGATGTAGCAGAAATTTTAGCTATCAAGCGTATCGTTACAATTTAACATTTTAAATGTTTTAATATACCTTTAAAGGCAAAAAATTATTGTCATTATTCCTATTTTCAATAATAAATTATACGTTATTAATAGAAAAAGGGAGAATGAGAAAAGATCTCTTCGTTTATTCTATTATTATTTTTTCCTCTTGTTTCTTTTTTTTCTCTCTTTGTTTTCTTTTTTTCATTCAATAAAATATTTTTTTTATTGTATAGTTTATAATCTTTTTTTAAGTTCATTAATTAATTTACCTTTTACTCATCTTCTTTACGTAAGCAATATATCTGCGTCTATATATATAGAGAGAGAGAAAGAGAGAGAGAGAGAGAGAAATATATAGTATATTTGTACTATATATATACATTTAAGGAGAGTAGGAAACACTTTCCAGATAATACAAGAAAACACAGACAAAAAACAACACGAAAAAATTTTTTTTAAGTGGAATAAAAAAATGTTACTTGCTCTTTAAATAATAACACAGAGTAAATTGGGTGAATATTCTTACTCTGTTATTCAACTATTATGACGCTACCATGAGAAATAATAGGCAATTTACGCTTTCAAAAAATAGACTTACATGTTAGAATTACCATCAATTAAAAGAGTTAGACAAAGTATTTTTTTTCCTTTTGATTGTATTTTATTGCAATTATTATTATTTATATAGTTCATTACAAGTTACAATGTATTTTTAATGTATAGATATATATAGTAACTATATTCTGTACCTTAATTTAGGCGTTACTCTATACTATATAGTAGGGATATTTACTATTTCTTTTTCATACGCTCGGATTGTTGGAATCTGGTGATAAAATACAGATTCTTATTTATAGCTAATGGACAAGGGTCCAGCTGACCACATAATAGGATATTGAGACGGATAAACGAACTACAAAATTACCTTTCGTCGACAGAAAAGGTAAGTAAGACCAATTTTATTCTTTTTATACAAGTATTACTCGTTGAAGGATAGAGGAATGCGTTTTTATAAAAGTCACTTAGTCACGGCGGAAAACTACTGTAGAAAGGCAGCTACTGTCGTCATGTTCCTTGTTTGGGATGAAAAAGAAAATCTTGTTTATAGTTCGCTCTTTGCCTCAGAATAAGATTAGAGAGAACATCAAACGAGCGTCTAAACCGTACGCAATTTCTATTAGTTGCGCCATTTAAGAAGAAGGCCGGACTGACATTCGTTTAAGAAGGGATTAGTAGTTGTTAGCCGAATTAGTAGAAATGTCAGGCGGCTATTTTAATTATTTACATTTATACAGGTCTTTTCATCCAAAATCGCCTGTTCGGAATCGAAACTAGTTGCATAGTATTACCGCATTATTACTCCTTTCCGAATAGTTTATCTTCCTCTTTTCAAGCATAAGAATATCTCCTACAATGGTCATTTTATATTTTCTTGCTTACTCTAGCTAAACAAAAACAGAGGAGAATACAACATTACTACTCTCCTAATTAATGTTTATCTCAAAATTCTAATGAAAAATTAACTGCAAATATGTCGATCTTCAAAAAAAGTCTAGTTTTCCTTTTGTACTATATACAATATGTACAATAGTAGTCTTTTATATAATTACTAGATGATTTAATGATGAGTTTAGCTGACAGATCTTAGTTTTTAATTATTATTCTTAATTTATCTACAGTTAAACAATAATATTAAAACAAAGGGGTTCACTCGTCCTTCTATTTATAGATTTGTGACTTACTTTCTCAAATCATCTTATATTATTCTCTCATATAATCATTTTTCAAGGGCATTGTTACCGAACTGATTACTTACAATTTACTTACAAGAGATCCAATTAGATTGATAGGTATCCTACAAGAACCTGGCTAAAAACAAGATCCAAACGTCTTTTGAAGATGCACAAAGTACCAACAAAGTTGGACGAATAATATAAAAGAGAAAAAAAATGAATTGACCTGAATTTGAAAGTTATCTGAAAAGACAGAATTGCTAAGATTGTAAATGGATAGTTTGTATATACGTTGTATGTGCTGCATGCTGTAAGCAGATTTTTATTTCTCATATTAAATTGGTTAATACGTAATAGTTTGCAGTTTTCTATTATATCCTATAATAAACTGTTCTCTTTAAACATACTTATTACAGTATTTGACATAGAAAGAAAAATATTAGAATTATAAAGACAATCCAATTATACTTTAATATAAATACATGCTACTATCATTTGTCAACTTTTTACAGCGGTCGAGGACAGTCTTAATTGAAGATTTTTACTCTTCCTTCTCAAGAACTTGTAAGAGGAAATGTGCAGAAATTAGTAATAGAACGCTAGACATGTGCTTATAGAGCGTGACTTGGTGCTTGGCAGATAGAATCACCTTATCAGATACAAATAAGACTATTTTTTAGTCTCTTTAGTTAACAAAAGTCAACTCTATTCGTTCTCTCTTTGTTCTAATATCGAAATAGAAAATCAATTTCTTTCCTATAATTTTCCACTCATTACCTTTCACTTCTGTCTTTTTTACAATTCAGTCAAATCAATCGGATTTGTTATGTCGCAGATGTCAAAAATAAACAAGACTAGAAAGTTCGAAGAAAAGGTTTCATCATTCATAAGATAGGTTCATTATTATTGGTATATAAAATTGTTATACAAGGTCATCCTTCTTAGATCAGTGTTTTTTTTCCAATTATATTCAACATAAGTCGAAATAATTGCCAAGGAAAGTACCAGTTTAGTAAAATGTCGAAAATTTGAAAATCTTACCAATAAACCTAAAATAAATCGTTATAGATAATGTCAGTAAAAGGGTAATAACCTCTCAGTTGTATTAAAAAGAAAGTATGTATATCGTATAAAATATATTTAAGTGTTTTAGATATACACAGGATATATATATACCATATATGTATATATTAGTATATATTCTGTATATACAGATATCGTTAGCATTCCTTATTTATTTATAACTAGATGTTATTCGCATTAAATTTCAAAATTGATTTGATATATTATCTATTTAATCAATGTTTTTACTTTTTATCAATTTGTATATCGACCGACTTAAAATGAAAATATGAGATGTTATTAATTATCAACGTTTTTTTCACTGATTCTATTTTATAGTATAAGATAAGAAAAAACAAATTATTCAACTTTTTATACATAAATCATATAATTAGTGGTTTTTTTTATTCTGATTATTATTAAAGTTTGTCAATCTGTTCTTAGAGAGAAATTAATAATAGTTTTCAAACATAAATTTTTCGTTTTTATGCAATAAATTATTAAAAAAAAAATGATTAAAGAAAGAAACAAATGCGCTTTTTTTTACGAGCAGTATGGATAAAAACACTGACATATTGGCTGGTAGTTTTTGTTAATTCTCATTGCTTTATGTCAATCTTGGAATGGCACAGTGGACAGGAATCTTGCACGTAAAACCATTTTCTAAGACATAGTGCGTGGAAGTAATGTTTGCATGGAGTTGAGCAAGCCGAAGAGGTTAATTTGTTATAACAAATTGGACAAACATCATTGAACTCCTCCAATTCCTCGTCTGTAGCTACTGGCAAGGAGCTGACTCTTTTTACAGCTTCTCTTCTTTGTAGGTAGCTTTTCCAACCTGATTGCAATCTCAACCATACATTGCAATAACAATGTATAATTAGTATGAACGTATTAACAAGACTCCAGTCTCCGAACAAAGTTTCTCTGATTCCGTAGGCAACAACAAAGACTGCGACCAAAAATTCCAGAGTTCTGGTAGCTGCCTTCGCGTAATAGACGACATCGTCTAAACTTGCCATTGGTCTTGCTCGTATAGCATCGTAAATAAATAACACATAGACAAAGAGGGATCCAAACACTTGAACGGAAGTCAACACGCAACTCGACACAACCACTAATAACCAAAAATCCAGGTCAAATTGTTTGCAAATTGCTCTGGTCATATATAAAGGTGCTAACCATAAAATTGTACAAAGTGCAACTGCTCTCACGTGTTTGAACACTGACTTATTTTGAGACGCTCCCAGAGTCAAAAGTAGAGGGTCGGTCATTTCGTAGACTGATTGTATTAACGAAGATAAGACTATAAACAAAATAATTACCATAAGGAATGCTCTCTCTTGTTGTTTCAACTCAATCATTCCAGTCTGAACGGCTAAGAGAAACATCGTAAGTCCTTCTGTCCATCCATTAGAAGAAGTATTGTCAGCTATTGGTCTTCTATTTCCTTGCAAAAACATTCTCGAAACGGTTATAACAAGATATGAAACATACGATATGGTTATACATAGACCAACAAGACTGATAGGCGTTTGACAAGAATCTACAACACTAGCTAAAAGAAGGACTAGCCATCGTTTGGAAATCAGCCAAGCTCCTCCTACATACTTATAGGCTTGTACGGCAAATAATAAGAGCCAAAAAGTGAGAAACTGAACTGGAATTAGCAACTGCATCAACATGGCAATAACAAATGGAACCGTTCCAATTACTTGAACAGCTAAAAAAGCTCTAGCTAATTCAAGCCGAACTTTATCAAGCACTTTCGGAACGTTATTGAATAGAAAAGACACAACCAAGAATATTGCTATAATGAACGCTGAATTATGTAAACGCTGCAATTGATTCGTCTCGAATCCCAAAATTCGACCAACAATAGGAAGAGCGTAGACCAGCAAACTGATACGAAACGCAGAATTCAACTGAATTAGGTAAGAAATTGTTGCGGCTAAACAGCATTGCCCCATCAGGTGTACACCAATTCTTTGCAAACTTTTAATATCATCAAGTACATTCTTAATTGAGGATGTCTGCTCCTCCTGCACATAAATTTGGGATAAAAAATGTGCGGCAATGAGCAATAAAGCGCTGGCAATATGCTTGTACAGTGTGACTAGTCGTTTCAATGGTAGAATAAGAACAGCAGCAGCCAATAAAAGGGCTATAAATCGAAGATATCATTATGTACATTGATCATTATGTAATCATAAATTGTTTACTTAACGTATTATGAATAGTACTTACACCCATAGTACATAATCATGACAAATAACTCTTCATGAGAATGTCGAATGTTCATTTCTTGAATTCTTTTAGAATACTCCGTGGTAAGATCATCTGGATTAGTTCTGTACCAAGCTTCAGCGATAAACAACGCTGGTACTTTGAGCAGAATACTCATCAAACGAGTGATCGCATCGCTAGAGAGCAACTTCATTGAAGGCATCCTTACGATATTTCCCCCTACCTTCTTGTCTATGTTAAAGTTGATATTTACTGTCCTAATAATAAGATATGGTTAAACAGCGAAAATGCTTTTAAAACGTCCAAAACAAGGGAATCCCTTTTGGGGAATAGCCCATTCTTGATTGGTAAACTAGTAGTTCCGGTAGAAACTGGTAACAACGGAGTGTTTCTCAATTACCGATTCAGCTTATTACAATTATAGCTTCATAGCAAAAGTTAATTTAATTATTTAATCGTTACATTAAAGAAGCAACATGGGTAACCATAAGAGAGATAGAAAAGACAAAGGTTTGTTCCGCAACTCTTTACCAATTTAGGCCAGTATTTAGATATTAATTTCATTATTTAGAAAAGCGGAAGGCGAAAAAAGGGAAGTTTGTAGAAGACCAAGAAGATAGCCAATACGATGAGATTGATGATGAACCAGAGGATCCTCAAAGTGGTGGGTGAAAATAGCTTTTGATGAATAATGAGTCTGATGTAATTATCTTCAGTTCCAAAAATCGCTTCAAAAAATGATATGGATAAAGAAATTTCAACTGCTGCTGAAGACGAGTTTGGCGCTAAGGATTATAGAAGTATTTTAGAGTTAAAGCTAGATCATAATGCCAGACCGTTATATGTTGTGAGTAACGCAAATCGATAATCATCTTTTAGTTCACTATTGATAACTTCAATATTTCTCTAAGGCACCCAATGGTCACATTTTCCTGGAATCCTTCTCCCCAGTTTACAAACATGCCCACGACTTTCTCATTGCCATATCCGAAGTAAATTTACTTTTTGCTTCATAATTTAAGAAATTCTCTTTAAAAAAAACATTTTAACAGCCAGTAAGTCGACCGGAACACATTCACGAATATAAATTGACAGCTTATTCCTTATATGCTGCCGTTTCTGTTGGCTTACAAACGAACGATATAATCGAATATTTGAAACGACTGTGTAAAACTACTTTACCTGAAGGAATAGTAGAATTTATAAAGGTTTGTTTGATTACTTAATATATTTTGTACGAACGAAAGTATCGAATTTTTGCAGTTGTGTACGGTGAGCTATGGAAAGGTTAAAATGGTATTAAAACATAATAAATATTTTATTGAGAGTCGACATCCGGTACGTAATTTTTATTGTCAAATTTGGAAAATATTTATTTATAAAAAAAATTCTAACTTTAGGAAATTTTACAAAAACTACTAAGAGATCCAGAAATTGCTGCCTGTCGTCTCGTCAAAGAAGAAAGTCACTTGAAAGAGGAAGAAAATTCAGAAAAAAAATCAAATTCTAAAGTTTATTTACCAGTTAGTTTATTATTAGACTTTTTTTGCAATATTCTGCTCTTCCGTAAACTTTTCGCAAAGTGACCTTGGCGTAAATTGAGGAGTAATTTATAAACTGGAACATCATATACCTATCACACAAAATAGTTATTTTTTTTTATCTGCTAATAGGGCGAGAAAGAAGGGGTTGAAAATGGGAATGAAGCCTCTAAAGTCCCAGATGATATAAGTAATTTCTTTGAAAAAATGGATAAGGATGAAGACGAAGATGATAAAGATTTAAAAACTGTTTCATTTGAGATTAAACAAGAATCATTAGAAAATGTTCAAAGAAGGTAAACAACTTATTTGTTGAATATTTCACGAAGAAAGTAAATAGTTTTTTTTTCATTACCTTTCTTAAATGAGATGTATTGAGCTGGAATATCCTTTGCTGGCCGAGTACGATTTTCGGAATGACACTATCAACCCTGATATAAAGTAAATATGCTTATTAGAATCCATGAAATATGTCATTTATATACAGTATATATATATATATATATATATATATATTCCTTTATTTAGTATCAATTTGAAGCCAAGTACAACTTTGAGGCCTTATCAGGAAAAGAGTTTAAGAAAAATGTTTGGAAATGGACGTGCGCGCTCAGGAATTATTGTTCTACCTTGCGGTGCAGGTAAAACTTTAGTAGGCGTTACGGCAGCTTGTACCGTTAAGAAGCGTTGTTTAGTCTTGTGCACATCCGGAGTTGCTGTCGAACAATGGAGATCACAGGTCAGGAAACATATTATTTACCTTTGAAACTGACTAATTGTAATGTCTTTCAAATTTCTTAGTTCTTAATGTGGTCGACAGTAGATGATAAACTTATTTGTCGATTTACCTCTGATGCTAAAGACAAGCCCACGGGATGCTCTATTTGCATTAGTACATATTCCATGATTTCTCATTCCAATAAAAGATCTTGGGAAGCCGAAAGGGTTATGGAATGGCTTCAAAATCAAGAATGGGGTTTAATGTTGCTGGATGAAGTTCAGTTTATACCCGCCAAAATGTTCAGAAGAGTTTTATCTGTTGTACAATGCCACACAAAATTGGGTTTAACAGCGACCCTCGTGAGAGAGGACGACAAAATTACTGATTTAAACTTTTTAATTGGTCCAAAACTGTATGAAGCAAACTGGTTGGAATTACAGCAAGGCGGTTATATTGCAAGGGTTCAGTGTGCAGAGGTATGGTGTCCTATGACACCTGAATTCTTTAAAGAATACCTAGGAACAAGAACGAGAAAACAACTGCTTTTATACGTTACAAATCCAAATAAATTTCGCGCTTGCGAATATCTTATTAAGTACCACGAAAGAAGAAATGATAAAATAATCGTTTTCTCCGATAATGTATTTGCATTAAAGAAATATGCTGTGAAGATGAGCAAGTATGCATTAATCGATTCCATTGATTAACCTTAAGTTCATTTCTTTTTTGATTTATGATTTTTTTCCTTTCATATTAGGCCCTTTCTGTATGGACCTACTGCCCAAAGAGAGCGATTAAATATCCTGGATAATTTCAAAATGAATCCGAAAGTTAATGTAATCTTTGTATCAAAAGTAGCAGATAACTCTTTTGATTTGCCTGAGGCAAATGTTCTGATACAAATCTCTTCTCATGGTGGTTCAAGACGTCAAGAAGCCCAACGTCTGGGTAGAATTTTAAGAGCAAAAAAAGGATCTCCAATAGACGAGTACAATGCTTTCTTTTACTCTTTGGTTTCACAAGACACTATTGAAATGCTGTATCAGTCAAAGAGACAGCGTTTTCTAATTAATCAGGGATATAGTTATAAAGTCATTACTAAATTAAGTGGTATGGAGGAAGAACAATTATCATATGGAACGAGAGATGAACAATTGAAATTATTGGAGGAAGTACAAAGAGCAAATGAAGCCGACGCGGAGGAAGAAAAAATGCCTCTGGATGCATTTATTAATTCGAAAAAAGTGTTTCGAAGACCTGGTAATATGGCTTCTATGTCAGGTGCCGATGATTCTGTTTATTTGGAATCAAGAAGAAAAAATGTTCATCCCTTGTTTAAGAAATTTAAGAAACGATAGAAATGAAAATGTTTGGATTTTTCACAATTTAATTCTATATTTTTCTTTCAAATACATAGCTATACTACATGATTAAAACAGGATACTGCAGTAATTACATGACCAAAAAGTATTATAGAAACGGTCAAAATTTTTAAAGTAAGCTAAGATTATCTCTCCGTTTTACTAATTAGGTTTTCCACTTCTTTCAAATTGTAATGCTCGTTGAAATTCAATCGAAAACTCAAATATGTTAAGCCTTGATCACTATGAGATGCTAATTCTGAGAGAAAACCTCCAACCATCAACTGTTTACAATAGTAATTTTTTATGAAAATATTGAAATATAATTTCCTCAACTTACTCTATATGAATTGGCTAAGACGATAACTGCCGAACTAGAGACCTTAACCTCTTTTTCAATAAATTCTTTGCGTCTATTCATTTCCACTTCTTCCTCAGCTTCTGTTATTCCCCATTCATTAAGAGCAGTTCGTTTTTTCATATTTTCTTCAAACAAGTCTCGAAGATGCAATTCGTGTTTAGTTTTCTCGTAAAATTTACGCTGAGATAGTTGGAAAATAATAATCTGATCGAAAATTGCTCTAAGTTCGGCAAGTATCTTAGATGATTCTACATCCAATAAACATCGACAAGTTATCGTATCTAAAAACTCTTGATGTGCAGCTATTACGTGATCTAAATCCTTTGCTTCGTTTACTTTAAGAAGCAACTGTTCCCACGAACATTCCAGCACCTAAGTACAAAGACAAACAATAAAAGATAAGCAGTAATACGATTAATTCAGTAAACTTACCTCAAAGTTTATGTAATATTGCATTTGTTGAACAAAATGTATCATTTGTGAGCAAAGCATATGACTGTTGTGCAATATTTCAGTTAACTCTGGAAAAAAGAAACACTCAATAAACTTCCTTCTCTTTGTATATGATAAATGTAAAGGAAAGTTTTATAATTTATAAATACCTGGCATATTCCGTAAAAGTCTTGCATTTGCTACTTGTTCTCTCCAAATAGCTGACAGGGCATACTCCATACGTTTCGCTCTCCAAAGAAAGTTAAAAATTCTTAAATAAATAATCATGCATTCTGGTGTAAATACAGTCGATATAGGTCCATCGACCCTATAGTCTAGCGAAAAGACATCCCAGCCAACTTCATTGCCGGATACCTTTTTAATTTTAAAAAAATTATCAATTAGAACTAAGTAATATATCATCTAAAGCTACAAACCTCTAGCAAACGAACGTCCAATCGTTTAAGTATGTCACTGTCGTCGAATTGAGCGTTAGTACCCCTAATTGCCGTCTCCAACACCCCAGATAAATTGTGTAAATAAAGGGAAGTTGCAGACTTTGATAAATCGTCACTGCAAAATAAGTTGATATTAAATAAAAGTCGTCGATTTTGGAATACTATTTACTGGAGTAAATCCATTAGGTGCCGAATAAAATCACCTTGACCTAAGAGTAAATATCGCCGAAGAGCCTGTTTGAAAAGATGGATTATTTTATAAGATTTTTTAAGCCAAATTGAACTAAACCTGAAGATGATCAAGGAATTTATAACGTTTTTGTAAAACTTCCAACAAAGCTGTGCTTGTCTCTTCATAAACCGTCTCAACCATTCTATCGAATATTTGATTAGAGTCTTGTCTAAATATAGTTTCAACTGAATAGTAAAGGAAAAAATTGATTACTCAATGTTAGGTTAGATGTACAGCTAATAGGATAAAATTTACCCTGGTGAGTTTCTGCTAATTTTACAGCTTCGAGTTCTCTAACATTTGTTTCATCGTGACAAACGTGATGTAGAAAGTTAATGGATTTTCCGGTTAAAAGAATCTAGCACAAAGAAATATTCGTGAGAAACTGTATGAATCAATTTCTTTTCTTTTAGTATATAGGCTAAGTGATTTCTTAGAAGGTTTATCAGAAGGTGGGTGAACAATCATCAAATTAGTTAAGAATGGCCGTTCGTAATTTCATCATAATGTTTAGTCTCCAAAGAAATTCCATATTCTTCTAGCTAATAACCCAAGAAAATAAATCCTCTTACCTTTCGCGCCTGTTCCATGGGAATAAATGATGGAATCATAGATTTTCTTAAAGAATATTTTTCGTGCCAAAGTTTATCCTCTTTCACCGTCGGATCAGAAGATACAAAAAACTGTAGTAAAAAAGAAAAGACACACCAATTGAACTAAATCAACGGAAAAAAGAATATATAGTACTTCATTATATGAATCTTGCAACTCTCCTTCGTAAATCCAACGAATAATTGTTACAAAAATTGGTTGTACTACTTTCATCAATAAATATTCCATAAGACACTTTATTGTCACATCCCCGTGTTGTGAATAAGAGTAAATGATGCTGGCTAAACTTCCCCCCTTCTTTCCTTGGCACACATCAACTAAAGCCGCTAAGGAACGTAACCGGACTAACGGTTCATATGACCATAATAGTAATCTCCTGAGAGTGAGAACACCTTCTCCAACAGTTACACCCTGATCTTCATCTTGTAAAGCTTGAGAATCGAGAACAGCAACCAAGTGATAGAATTCTGTCAATTCGTTATTTAAGGCAGCACAAAAACACTAATGAAATATTAATTATCATTAATTCCGTACATAGTCGCAGATATATAAATAGGAACCTGTCCAACTAGGCCAAAGCTCTTTTCTAAACTTCTTAAGTCAGTGTACTTTCTAACTTTCAAGTATAGCCAACCGCATTCAGATATTTTTGATACGATATCTTTTCTCGAAGTAGAAATGTCCGCCTTATATATAAACAAATTACGGAAATTTAAGACAGTTAGTAAAACAACATAATATTTCAGCCAAGTTATAGACCTTTGGGGCTAAAGAAAAATAACTCACAATTTTAGAAGGTCTGAAGGCTGCGGCATTTACATCAAATTTAATATATTTCCCATCTATACCTTGCAGATTATAAATGAGATCTTTAATGAGAGCAGCTTCCGATATGATGCTTGCTATTGATACAGTTGTAGAATTATTAATTAAGTATTGGTAAAAGAACATTCAGGTAAATAATTACAATCTCCGCTCTTTTTATTAGGTCTTTCGATGTGAGCCTTAGTAGTCGTTTCCTCCGTCTTTGATCCATAGTAGGGATCGCCTATTTTAAAAAATAGAAGATAAAATACACTTGCAGTAGAGTTATAGATCTCATGCTTACCAGCTGCCTTGGTAGATGCATTTCCAGGAGTTGATCCGAAGGTTAATTGTTGAGTTGTATAATGATCGCTACTAGAGCGATATTGAAAGGTGGGATTTTGACCATGAAATTGTTGAGCCGCGGGCGTTCTCCAATAACTTTAGATAATGAAAGGAAAGGTTAATTTAAGGTTTTCCCTGAACTCGTAATTCTATCAAATATGTCATTTAAAAAAAAAGGTATCCCTTTATTCTATTTTAATCTTTAATATACCTCGGGGGATGTGACCTGGGCGTCGGGGTAGTTTCATTAGTTCTTCCTCCAATGCTGGAAATCCCACTACTAAGGGTTGAATGAATTTGATGTTGATTCACAGAAGCTGGTGTTTTAAACAGATTTGGATTTTGATTTGGCGTTGACGTCGGTCTTGAAAGGACTCCAGTAGAGAAGTGAAATTTTTGAGAATGTGTAGTCTCAGATAGTCTTGATAAACATTCTAGAAAGCAGAGTAGAGATCCACGATTTTTAATCGTTGTCTATTGTCGTTTTATTGGTAGAATTAAACTATAATATAATGGTTTTAATTATTTTATACCTCATTTCGAAGTTTTCTATAAAAATCCTGAAAATTGCTCGCTTCTCTTGTCTTTGATTTTCTGACAACTGTTTAAGAAAGTGATAAAGTAATTATTCTAAACGTATTATTCATATCTAGGTTATTGTTTTTTTATATTAAAACATCAACTTACATTTCTTTTTTATTCTTTCAACAACCTGAATTTCATTTGTATCCGATGCCAATTGTTGACTGAAGTCAATGAGTAAAAAAGAAGAAAAAATTGAGGTCACACATATCTGTTAATAAATTTATCAAACCTTTTCTGTATTTGTTCCAAAATGTTAGAATATAATTTTCCGATACTATCTGAAGAATTAAGAAATTATTTGTTAGCGATCATTCACGATTGATTCATTAAGAAGGGTAAAAGAGCCGAATATCTCTGTTCAAACATGCAAAAAATAATAAGTTCTCTTAACCTTTATTTAGGCCGGAAACTTGAAGGCAAAGTTGAAGAATTATTTTTTCTATATGATTATCGGAATTTGCCATAATTTACAGTTATAAATATACGATGAAAAATTAAAATTTACATCGAATGCGGTTCTAATTCGCCTCCATATTTATTGCGCATTTTCGTATTTTTCAAAATAAAACGTATCTTTAATGAACAACTAGATGGCGTTATTGGTATTCGACGAAGTCAATCCCTTTCGGGCATGGGGAAAAGGGTTATTAATTAAGTAATCATACAATACTATTAATAATGAAAAAGCGGGAAAGAGATTGTTAAATAAACGAGTTTTGTATTTAAATATAAAAATTTGAAGCGATAAAAGTATTACAAAATAATATCCCAGAATAAGGCTCTTAACAAAAAAAATGTCAAAAAAAAGAAAAAATAGTTGAGAATATATACTTAACAATTATTTAATGCATTGATATACTGTACACACATTTTACCCTGTATAAAACATATATGAAAAATGAAGCTGTCTTTGTTTTTTCTTTAAACAAATTGGGCGGAAGGGGGAGGAGCTGGAGGTATATGCTGGGCACTAAATCCGATACCTCTATCCCTTGAATTATAAGATCCATCGTTACTACTGATTGTATGATAAGATATAAGTCCAAAATCAGGTTGTTGCTGTTGCTTGTAATAGTTTAACATAATATTCTGGTGTGGTGGTGGAGTTGGCGTGCACTTTTTGTAAACGCAAGTTGAACCGCTAGATGAACTCTTTGTACTTCTATTCGAAGGATGACCCGTCTTGTTGCGATGTTTATTATAAATGCAAGCGAAAGTGAATATGAGAAGGAAGAGTACGGCTCCCGAGATAGTTGCTATTAGAATAATTCTCGTTGAATTATCTTCATTTACCTGCTCAATTTTCAACTCGAATAATTGAAGTTCAATATCAGCTGAACCCAATTTAATAATACAAGCATAAAATCCAGCATTCTCGTAGTCGACAGATCTTAAATGTAAACTATTCATAAAAACGTTATTCTTTCTTGTTAACAAAGTCGTATTGCATAATTTTATAGGAGAAGAGAGTATGGCATCTCGAGGGCTATTTATATTTATCGTCCTTGAAGATACTTTTGCCCACTGAAAAAATTGCAGGAATTTAATGATTTCAATACATATATACCAATATATATATATAACTGTATATAGGTCTACAACGGAAGGAAGCGATAGAAAGATAAATAAACTATTTTTTAAGTATTCTATTTAACCGGAAAGTACTACTTACTTCCATTTTCGGCTTCGATGCTCTGGGATTTGTTAATCGTATTTGACATTTAAATTCGGCGTCCTCCCAACGATTAACGAACAATTGACGTTCACTAGCCAAGAATTTAATGTCTCCGAGCTCTTCGTTTCGAAAATAATTAGCTGGAAAGAAGAAAAACACGACTTGTAAATAATATCGTCTATTTATGAATTGCAACAGAATGTTACTACTGAGAATGTTTATAAGATTCTTTTTTAAAATTAACTTTGTTGTTACTTACGTCCAACTTGAAGAGACCAACTTCTTACAGTTTTACCCAAAACATTCGAAACTTTGCATTTATACTTTCCGGAGTCTTCCCGTTTAACGTTCTCTAGTTTAAGATAATCCTCGTCCTTTTCCTCTTCCAATAATGTATCTTCGCGATACCATTCAATTTTCGCCTTTGGTTCAGCTCTTGTGCTGCAGTCAAGCATAACATATTGATTTTCCCTTACTTTTCTTGTCTTGTTATTTTGTTTGTTAATGAACTTGGGCGAGGCTAGAGGATACAATAAGGATGAAAATTAATTGAAATTGTATTAACGCCATCTGTTGGTCAGAAAAAAGAGACACTTACAGATTCTCTTCATATAGGCGCTCGTCCCATCTGTAAACATAAAAGGGGAGCAATGAAAAAAACGATTTAAAAAAATAAGAACATTTTATGTGAAAGAGCCCAGACGATGAAAGATTAGACGGTATGAAGCGTATCGTAAGGACTCATCTGCGGATAATAAGTCACGTGACCCTTTGACACACTGCAGGAGTTTTTACCCCCCTACCCATTCCCTTTCCCGTAGATTGTTTACCGAATAAACAAGTTGGAAACGGCTGGATATCCGTCTGATTAACGCCGTCTTTCGGCAACTATTGCGTAATAAGGGATTTTTCTAATTGGATTCTTTAACCGAAAGGCCTTCGTTCCCTCTGTTATTTCTTTTTCTTTCACTTAAAGATCGCAATGAAATGTTTGTAAAAGATCAGCTTTCACCAGCCTTACGTTTATTGCTCTCCTCTTTCTGTAAAGGCTTCGCCCTATACTTTTGTACGAAACAATTTCCCTTGAGGGCTTTGCTTCAGGGCTTTATTGTCGACAGGTAGTTAGGGTTTTTTCTGCAATTCGTGATTTTTTTCATTCTATTCCCTTTCCTCTTCCCTTCATGCCCTCAATTTCAATAGTTAAAAAAAATATTTGGAAAGGGTATGAGACATCTGTCCTCGCGTATGTAACGTACGATGAATAGGGTGATGATTTAATTAGCGCTGAGGGAAACGTATCACGTGATATGTGCCGTGCACACGTCCGAACGAATTTATATTAAACATATATAAATGAATATAAGCGTATATATCTGCTGCACATATTTACCGTAGGTATTCATTATCTATTTCAATGTTTATGTTTTTATAAGATAAAGATATTTGGAAAGAACGAATAGATCATTTTATTAACTTTATTTCTAAAAGCGTAAAACGTTGCGTGACGTATCTGAAATAGGCCTTCTCGTCGTATTAAAACGACAAAATCATATAGGCAGATGGCGAGGGGAAAAGTTGCAAATTTATGGAACGTGTTTATCTTATTCCCTTATCAAAGTTTCTCTTATTCAACATGACTGGAATGTGTTTTTTGAATATACAAAACGAATAAAAAAAACTCGATTGACGATATGATGTAACAGCATCACGTGACGACGCCCTCATCCTCTCTCCTAGTGCTACCTCCTATTTCTCGTTTTAGACAGATGGCAGTTAAAAAAAACATAGTTGAATATCTAAAGGGTATTTATCTGTGCTTTCAATCTATTTTCTCCAACGCCGAGAGAAATACGATAGGATGGTTACTTTTTTGTCGATTGGTCCTCCTATTTCATTTCAATTCCCGTCTAAGGTTTTTTTTAATCTACTGCTTATTATCTTAAAATCGAGAAAATACACCTGTCAAGAGTGTAAAAAGGAAACGATGGGGCGAGGGGTTAAGAAAGAGAGAAGAGGGAATGAAGGACTAAAGACTGTTTTTACGAAAATCCCTCTGGTAAATAATTCACCATACTCCCATTATTTACATTCGGGTCACCTGACCAAACTTATTACCGCCTAAGGCATTCCTCAACCCTCTTAACCCGTAACAAAACGGTACAATATTGCAACACTCCTCCCCGAACAGATCATTTACGCCCATAAAACGGTCGTACACCATAAATCTTCTCATGACAGCTAACTCGCGTTCTAGCTGCTTCTAAAGTATTTATCATCTCGTAATTTTCTTCAGCTATGATCACTTAATAATGAGTCGGCTTCTCTGTTGTCCGATATCGGGTATTAATTGCGCAATTTATTTCAGCACGTAACGGTCAATTATTCGGCAATTGAGCGAAAAGGTGGTATGAAGATGGAAGTGCGGGTTAAAGAATTATATATGAATAAGAACGTTGCCGTAGCAACGCCGACGTGCGTAGGCCTAGGGGGCTGGCGGCGGGATCAATCGCCATAACTCGCAAGCGTAAAGGGCGGTAGGCTTAATTGCGAAATCTTCTCCGCGAAACGTCACTATGGAAACGGAAGTAGTACGTAGGCCTATAGTAAATTACTCGTCGGTCAGCGTCGCCGGTCACGCCATATCTATATGCATCAATTCCCGAAGAGGGACACTGTCTTCCTTCCTGATATATATATATATATACTAATATATATTAGTATATATAGAGAGTATAGATCACACTTATATACGAGCATATTGACTAGAAGTTAGCATATAAAATGTGGATAATTAGGTGAAAAGCAGAGAATATGAAAGAAAAAACATCTATATTGAGTTGTACAAATACATTAAGTTATTTGTACATATTAGATGTATATTACAGATAAATATACAATGTATATTTATTTTTGTATAATAATATACAATTCAGATATACATCATAACATCTAAGAATTATTTTGTTATGAAATATATACTATTAAATTATCAAAAAGTGTTTGATGGATACGAATGTCTCTATCTTTGATGGATAATATTTACTTAGGTATATGCGATAATAATTTCATCAGTCTAGTAAAAACTACTAGCAATAGCTATCGCTCGAGAGCAGCTGTCCCTACCCGAAAGAACTAAAGCATTTGGGGCTTTTGGGCGTTTCTTTTTAAGTAAAGCATAATATACAAACCTCGAACGTAGACGTAGTAAGTAAAGCTAAGAGCACCATAACCATTCGTGGCTTTACATCTGTATTCTCCCTCATCTTCTCTTGTTAGGTTCTTTATAAGTATTTGAGATTTTTTAACTTTAATCCTCTCGTCATACAACAGCTGTTTAAAGAGTTAAAAGGATTTTAAGTGTTTTAACAGGTTTTGTTTTCACCACAGGATATATTCACTATTAATTGTTTATTCAAAAAAACAACAAATTATAATCGCATTATAAAAATAAAGAAGAGCGCAAGCGTTCGAAAAAAAAAAGAGACCGGCAATATATCAATCGGTTTTAGTCAAGGTAAGCTTCCTATTAACGTGTAAAACCGTGATAATGCCCCCCAATGCATAAATGGCCTATTTCTTTACCAAACTTATATACTTTGATTCATAATTACATTATTAATAAGCTATAAAATCCAATACTTTTCTCTTTTTATACAATTTAGAATGCTGTTGGTAAATGTTTTATATTTTCATTTATTTGCAGTAGAAATCATTTTGGTATTTTATTTTTTATATTCTGTTTTTATTATTTTCTTTCTTTTTTTTATTTTGCAGTCGTTAGTTTTTTTTTTACTTTTCCAACTGAATATCGAATAATAGTGAAAACTGTACGGACTTGTTGATAAACTCCAGTATTACATTACAATGAAAGGATGCTGGTATAAATTTTACGTTTATGCACTTGTTCTCTCTCTCTCTCTCTCTTCCTATGTTGTTATTAATAGTGTAAACAGAACTTTTTAAATAAAAAAGTGAATCAAAATATGGTGAATATTTACGGTTGAAAATTATAAATGCAACTTTAAACAAGAATAAGAAGATTACAGCAATTCCTTTATTCTTTAATGCTTTGTAAGATACGCTAATCCAAAAAGCAATATGTTTTTTTATCAGAGTCGGTTCGAAAGAGGTAGTTGAAAAATTCCTTTCTTTATACTTAACATGTATAATGTTACATAATTCCTTCTACAACGAATTATTTCATGTAATGGGTAAGATAATAAGTTTTAGATATCGATTTTTTTCTCTTGTATAAAATAATAGTAAAACTATGTTGATATTTGATTTTTTGTTTGAAAAAAAATTTGGCCAAGAATTGAATTTCATGCGATTGAATACTCTGATAAACAACTGTCAGCGTATCTGTATGTTATCGTTTAAAAGTAAATCCAAACTTCCGCCTAGCCCCTCTCCACTTAATACTTTACAATGGTCTCATTTATAATACTCTTCTCGAACTGCTGACAAATTTTTTCATCTATTCTTTAACATTTCTTGTTATAAAACTAACGAGTTTCAAAACAAACAGAATAAATAGCAATTAACTTACCCAAGTTCCTTCTTCTTTAATGAACCATTCGAAATCTCCTCTTGGTTTAAAATTTAATATTGGGCAATTTAATTTGAGCGAGCCACCAACTCTTGAATGCACTATGGGCTGAGAATTTACCTTTAATTTTGGTGGTTCTGTCAAGAATAGAGAGGGTATTGTATAAATCTGTTTTTCTTCATAAAACAAGATAAGACTATATATACAAAGAATTTTATGTATATATATATATAAAAAAATAGATGTCTAAGTCAAAATAAATGAGAATATCGCATATGATAACGACTTTTGATAATTGAGCTCGCTAATGGATTATCGGCGTAGTTTATTCAACAAGTTCAACAAGGCGCTTATTGTTCCATTTTTTCGTGCTAGTCCTATAGCCTATATAAAATATTCATTGCGAGGGTATAGAATAGAATTTTTCGCTAGACAAGGCGCTTTCAACGACCTTGTTTACTTTGGAGTTTTAGCAGCCTGCCTTTTTATCGACTCGGCCCTATTAATAATCAATTTTACCCCTTTTTCGTCACTATATAATCCATTTTTTATTGCTCTTTTTCTCGATTAAATCATTTTTTTTTCACTTTTTTATGTAGTATTTAACTAATGTTCGATTACGGGAATCTACGATTACTGTTAAAGGCGTGATAAGGGTCGTATAGGACTAAGTAAAGTCAGGTTATCCGAAGCCCTTTGTCCATTTATATTCATAGGCCTATTTAGCGCCGTCAGCAAGGATTAGCTTTCTTTTTGGAACTTTTAGTATAGTTCTCTTTCCTACCTTTACCGATTATAACTCCTTTTTTTCCACCTTCTGTTATGCAGTGTGACGTCATTATTGTTCTTTCTTTATGCTATGGGAAAATTGCCTCTTTCCGCTCTTTTGAATGTTGTTTTACTGGGAATCATTCTCGTGAATTGAGAGATACTCTCGCAAAAATGACGCCTATTATAACTTTATCTATTATTCAAAGAATGTGTCGAAAACAAGGAATCATACGGTTATACAATCGGTGCGATTAATATTTTTACGACCTTGTTAATTTTATTGTTAGACACTTGATTCGATATTTCCCAATACAATAATGCATGCATTTTATATAAAGATATCACGCTTACCTCCATGCTTCTTGGACCAGATGAGGATGGTATTGATGATTAGAACGGTTAGGAATAGATAGACGCCATTATAGTACATTATCACACCACTGTCGAAAAATAACAGTAAAGCCTTATACGAATTATACTATCTAATCATAAATACAACACTGAATTTTTTGCGATAACGGAAGAATGATAAACGGTGCGGAGTAGGAGTCTTTAAAGAAGAACGATACAGTAGTGAAGAAATCTCTCTTTTTAACACTTTACCGTTTTAAGAGAAAGAAAATATTTTCTCTTTCAAGAAACGCATGATCTATTTTTAACATCCTTTCCAATTAGCACCTTTTTTACACAAGCGTTAATTAGCTGCTGAAAAACTCTCGCTGGCTCCTTAACAGCTTAAAGCTTGCATAAACTATGTTAAAGCGCGCGTTTGGTTAATTTGGAACTTTAATTTAACTTTTTATATCATTCTTGTCTATTCTTTCTGATCCTTTTTTTGTCTATTTTCCCTTCCTCCACACCTTTTTTCTATCTGTATCTCTTCATATCTTCTGCCTGTCCATCCTCCTATTCGTTTTCTTTTCTTTCCCCTTTTTGTTCAGCTATCTCTTTCTGGAAAATAAAAGAAACTACATACCAACCTTTAAAAATATGTTCTTTATATGAGAATATTATCCTTCGTTCTCTTCTTTCTTTCTTCACCCTCTTCTAACGGAGCAAAATAACAGCAGATGTTAACTAGAAAACTGCAAGCGGACGATTGAAGGCAGGGGGGAGTGAGGCTAGTTAGCTTGACTAGAGTATACAAACATTAACCAATCGGCTTTTAGTCTGGGCCGGGTCACGTGATCAGCTCTCCCGCCGATACCCTTTGATGTCTAGGCTCGGATGATTAGGTAGATAAAAAGTTTGCTTTTGTTCGGCACAACGTCCAAACGTCTAGTGGGATTAAGTTGGGGCTGGAAGGATTTATTTTCCGACCCTTCAGAAAGAGAGACTTTTCTTTTTTCTATACAATGTTTTAGAGAAGAGCCAATAGGAGAAAAGGAAAGAATGAAGAGGTGGTGGGCGGGAAAAATTGGGATAATTCGATCCTCGTTCGACTAATTCGATTTCTATCGCGTTGACGGGATGTCTTAGTCATTTTTTATTGACAAAGCGTTCTTTTTCTCTATTTTTATTAAATTTTCTCTCTACCACTTACGCCATCTGTATTTTTTTTTTAATTCACCTCAATACATAAATCTATAGATACATCCAACAAAAAATCCACCAAAAATACCCAGAATAGATCTTGCATGGGTAAAAACTTTATAATCGAATATATATAAAGGCCTAAGGAAATACGATAGAAACATAGATAAAAACGTTACGGAACAAGCACGTGCAAAATTAACAATATCAGCATCAACAATGAAAACTTTAAAGTTCAAAATAGCTAAACCTATAAATAAACAAGTGCAAAAAATTCGAGAAATAAGAATTTTTATGTAATTAGTAGCTTGCTGTGCTTTAGGTGTTCTGGCTTTTCCAGCTTCCAAATTAAATACAGCCTGTTCAACTAAATCCAATTTTTGATTACCCACAATACTAAAAAGCGTCGAACCAAATACAACTAAAAAGAAGACAGGCGTTACATGAGCCCAAAACGAATAAGCTAAAAAGGGATAAGTTATTCCGCCGAACAGAGCATGACAAGCTCCTATCTTAGCATTATTATAGTTTGCTATAAGTAGTAATAAATTGACGATTAGTATAATTGCTTTAAAGCCCCACATTACCCAGTGGAAAAAATACATTTCTTTTGTTATAAAAACTGCATCAAGACTAAAGAAGAAATTCAAAAATACGTAGATGCCAATAAACAATATAATTATCCAGATAAAATTATAATAAGGAGTATCAATCAAATCCTTACAATAGCCCGTTACTTTTCGATAATTAAGAACTCCGCTCATGTCGAATATAACAGACATTTTAATATAAAATTCTTTCAGTTGAATATCTGCTAATTTTGTTGCATCCGACATTTCGTAGTTAACTATAAATATTGTGGCATTCTTTTTCCTAGATGCTACAGGATATTTTTTCCATTCATTCCCATTAGAAATAGGTACGGCAGTTGCACGGATATTTGACATGTGCCTTGGTAGAACAACGCTTGCAGTAAATCGTGTAGAAGGTTTAATGCTAAAAGAATTTCCTATTACCTCAATATTTGGATATAGTTGCTCAATTAAAGCGTCGAATGAATGTTTGTCTCCCCTTTGATTTCGTAGTCTAATTTCATTTCTCCATTTCAATGTTAATTTTACAACACTTGGTGTGGACTGACGATGATTAATCTTTAAAGATATTCTTAAAGCATTTTGGGAACTCGTCTTACTTAACTCGGCAGATCCCTCAGATGATATCAATTCTAGCTGATTTCGAATTCCGGTGACGTTAACTGATGAAGGAAAATTAAAGATGAAATCATTGATGGCATTCAAAGGCGACCCTTCGCATTCCTTTGAAAAAGAAATAGTCTGATCCAATTCAACTGGTAGTAATGCTGTTTTTAAATTTTTCAGATATTCAAGCCATGACAAGCGTGTATCTACACGCAGGATTACATTATGAGACTTTAAACAAATTTTAGAGTACGCTTGGTGGAAAACAATCATTGCTATAAAGTAAATAAGGAATTTCATAATGGCGACTTTGGTGGATATCCTTTTTTCTGAAATTAAGGCACGTCTAAAACTCCATATATAATTGATTTGTTTACCTTAGCAACTACAGTATTGATCGCTTTGAACTTACAAGTTTTAAAAATCAATCACTCGACCTTTCCTTTCCCAGTCTCCGTATCTTGTTGGTTCGGGTCCCCTAGGTCCACCAATTTCACCTGTTACGGGATTTTTTCCTCCTGGAAAGGGTGCGTAGGGATCGTCTTCTGTAGGTTGAGGAGTTTGAGGCTCTAGTTTTCCCTCTTTAGTTTCTACTGGGTCATCAAACCTTCCAACAGGTGTAGTAGGTTTTTTAAGGCCACCTTTACCGGAAGACTCCTTTGTAGAATAGTAGGTTAACGGGGCTGGGAAAAAATTCAAAATTAGAAATCTTTACGTTCCGTATTAAGATTGATTTGTTACAACAAAAATAATAATAGTATTCTATTTTGGAACCCGACTGTAATTTCCGTTCCTTTCTCGAAGGACAATAGCGCTCAGGTAACAGATATTTTACACTTTTTGGGTGACATTTGAAATTTTTATTTTGATATTAATCGTCTATCAAATCTACTATTTTGTTAGGTAATCTAGATTGACTTGTTAGGTAAGTGAATTAATAACTTACTAGAAACTTTTGATAAGTTAATACGGATTGGTGCAGAGCGAAAAGCTTGAATGAGCTTATTCATAGCAAACACTTGCAGAGGTAACGATAATATATCTGCGCGAATATAGGCCCAGTTGTAAGCCAAAATTGCAAAGTCCGTATACTCCTTCGTTATGTTATTCTTTTATATCGCTCTTTATGATGGTGCTCGCATTTTTGATAACGACAGTTATTGGAAAAGAATGTCGAATTCTGTATAGGGAATCTTTCACAGCAGATCAATCTATGTTTCAATTAGAGGAAGATAAAAACATTTATACTCAAAAACTTGAAAGCTTAAGTGATGCCGAAACAAGAAGTATAAGAGACAAATTCTTTGAAAAGATTGCTGAAAAAGCCAAGAAAGAAGTGGGAAATTGCGATGTTAAGACTTACGAAAAAGACTTAAATAATCTTACATCTGATGGAATTGTCCCTACAACCCAAATGGGTTATTTTAGTATAAGAACTCGTCGTTCGAAACCAATTATCCTTTGGAATTCAGCTATAAATACTACACTTTTATTCGTACTACATCCAGATGAGAATAGAATATTAGCGGAAAACAATATGAAAATAATGATAAAGTATATGCAAGATTATTGCAATATTTTTAGTCAGCCATCAAATGCTCTGTTGAAGCCCGATAGAATTAAATCAATTTTAGATGTTTTCTTACCCAACGGATTGTTATTATTCATGAATCACGCGCTAATTAAGCAATTAAAGACAAAAATTGAAATTTCCATGGCATCATAAAACAGAAAACTTGTATATATAACTTGAATGTTTTCAACAGCAATATAGTTTTAATAAAAGTTATTTAACATTAAATCATAAGCTTTATTATTTATTGCTTGAAAACTTCTCTAAATCGAATCCATTATTGTTTATAGACAAAAAAATCCAACCCTTTAAATTGGATATAGGTCATAAACTTTATCCCTAGGATTAACTCAAATATTAAAAGAAAAAAAACAATCAAGTAAGCTGAAACTTCTTAGACAGGTATAAAATAATCATTGATAATATTCTCTTTGAGATTTATAGTAAATCTTATTATCAATAAGATGATAGTGATAGTCTAAAGAGTATATTTCATCCAACGTTGAGACCTCTTGAAGGAGTTTTTGATAGATTTGGCAACAATAGAGAATTGATTAGATTTTGTTGATGGACTGGTCTATACTAAAAGACTGGAAATTTTTGTAAAGAATCTTATCAAGATTAAGCTACTGTGATAGTTTGTTTATCAAACGAAATTGGATCACCATTCAAAATAAAATAAACTTTACATATGGATAGAAACCATGTTCTGTTGTAGGACAGAGGAAAATTAGCATTTTTGATTGCGTAATGATTTTACAATACGTTTATATTCATATATGTTTGAAGATGAAACTGTTTCAGATGTTTAGTAAATCAATTTTAAATAAATTCTATTAGATTCAGGAAAATATAGTCTGACAAAGTAGGAAATTGAAACTATTCAATGATTAAGTATAGCTAGCAATGTCTTTTAGTTTGAAATTCTTTCACTTGTATCGATTGCTTGAGTAAGTTTCTCTTCAAAAAGCGGACACCTTTAAAAAAATAAACTTATATTATATCGAAATGTTAATATATAATAAACTCTTACTTAATTGGCATATCATTCTGATAGAATGGATTTTTAAGTGCATAGTCCGCGTATAGTTCATATAATTTCTTGAGGAATATGTTCATATCTGAACACCGGGGATCGGTTATCACAATTAATTTTATACCAGTAAGGGTTTGGAAGCAGTGTAATTTAAACGTATCAGCCTCTAATACTTCAATACCAGAACTCCTTGGAACTGGAGATAATTGAACTGACATTGCAAAAATTCTGTTGAGTTACATGAAAAAATTGTAAAATTCCCTTAAAGCTTTCATATTTATTATATCAAAGAAAAATACGAACGAGTGGAACATACTAAGTAGCATTATCTTTTCGTTGGCAGTCATGCGTAATCGTCCAAATTTAATACTCAAGGGATAGGAGGATTCATCGTCGAGTATCTTTAATATTTCTCTACCATCTTTAAGCTTGGTCATATTATATGACCTCCCCTCATCCTGAAATCCGGTGTCAACGCCGTTTATGGATAATACTACGTGACCCACTGTGGATAAAATACATTGCAATAATTTGTTTTAAATAAAGAACAAATATGAACCTTTGATTCCGTCTCTTTGACCAAAAGCAACAACAATTTTTTCGTCATAAGACTTGAATTTAATATCAATCGGATAGCTAAATGTCTTTTCAACTTCAATTTTTGGACTGGCATCACGGGAAAATATTAAACCACCCGCCCTATTAATTATATAGACGCCATAAATTTTCATTTTTGATACGATAAACTTTCAGAATGATCTATTTTACAAGGAATATTTGAGAAAGTACGATGAGAATGTATGTAGCAAAAGAGAAACGGGAACCGGAAAGAGGTATAATTCTGTTTTACAAAATACCTTATTCCTTACTCAGAGTGTTCTATATATAAAGAGCACGAACACTAAACCAGTTCATTTATATTTCGGCGTGATATTCGTCTGCTCAGCTCGTTAACTCTGAGAAAATTATTATTTTTTGATTCAAGTTTTCAATTGACGCCATCATCAACGTTAAACATGAACTCATTTTATTATATTCTATTCCTAGTTTATTTAGTTCCGACTGTCATGTCAGTTAAAGAAGTTACAAAGGAGAATTGCGAAGGTAAGTTTAGTACACGTGTCCCTCGTTTATTATGAACTATAGAAATTGACGTAGTCGTTTCTTCTTTTCAGTGTGTGTAACTGTTCTCGACAAGTTTGTAGCCTCTCTTAAAAGCGAAGATAAAGCGGATCAGAAGAAAGTACATAGTGAACTTATGAAATTTTGTAAGAATTTAAAGAAAACTGAAAACCGTTTTGTACGTATTAAAGAAATATGCTATTTATTGACTACAATAATCAAATTCAATAGTGCTACTACGTAGGAGGCTTGGAAGAATCAGCTACAAGCATTCTTGGAGAAATTACTAAAAGGGTTACATGGGGAGTTCCCTCTGAAAAAATTTGTCAGCAACTCACAAGAAAAGACTCTCAAATTTGTGAATTGAAATATGGTTTGTAATCTTCTTCTCAGTACTATCCTTAATAAAGACTGCATATTTTATTTTTATCATTTTAGAAAAGCAAATTGATTTGACTAAAGTGAACTTTAAGAAACTAAAGGTAAAGGATTTGAAGAAGATCTTATCGGATTGGGAAGAACAATGCAAAGGCTGTACAGAAAAATCCGATTTCGTATCAAGAATTAAAGAATTAATGCCAACATACGCACCCGACGCAGCCAAGGCCCTTAAAGAAAGGGATGAACTTTGAATTAAAAATATCTATATGAAAATTTATAGTCTAATTTTGTATAAATATATTAACAAATTAGGTTAAAATGTCAATAAAAATAAGAAGTTATTGGTGCATAATGTACACTACATTAAACATTCTAGGCTCAATGTGCATGTCTTCATTTGCACATTGTTAGCCAAATCAATATTTAAGTATAGATACTTGTTATAAATCAATTCATCGTGAATAGATATTAGTACTCTTTTACACAAACTATACAAATATTCATCTTTAAACGATATAAAAAGCATCATAGACCAATTTTCAATTCGTATTATTTCTCAATGCATACACGAAAAGAAAAGAGAGAAAGTTACACTGTTGTAAAGTAACGCCCTCTAACTCCGATAATAATACAGTCTATAAAGAATAAACTGTATTATTTACAGTAAAGTTTATGAACAAATCGTTATTATTTGAAATAATTATTAAGGAAACATGAATAATATATTTATTCTTTTCTTTTTCTATATATATATATATATATATATATATATATATATATATATAAAATGATAAACAAGAGAAAAATGAATGGTCCACGTTTATGAGATTATAGAAAATATAGAAAAGAAAAAAAACGATAATAGCTTGTACGATAAATAACAAATATCGACAAGAATAAAAGGAAACGATTTATTCCTTGCATAATCACAGTTCAGTTTAACAAACTATTATTAAGTTCAGTAAACATTTCAAAGTTTACCACCCTTTACTAAATAAATACAAAAGTTTTTTCATTTTTTTGTAATAATTGATAACAAGATGGAAAGATTTTTGATTGTTTCTCCTTCTATATTAATAAATCAACTAATTATAGTTATAAATTCTGTTTAGTTGAAATATTTAAATTGACGCTTGATTAAAGAGAGTTTCTAATAATATCCTATAAGAGAAAATGAATTGAGTATTATTTAGCTACTTTTCTAAAAAGTAACGATAAGGATTTTTTAATTTTTAATTTTCTTATTGGCTGTCAGATCGGTTCCAATCATAGAGGCAAAAATCGTTAACATATTGATTATTACAGAATATTTTAGTTAAATAGTTCGATATATTAAGTTCATTAAAAGCGTAAACATTCACACCTTTTCTCTCTCTTTCTCTCTCTCTCTCTCTCTCTCTCTCTCTCTCTCTCTCTCTCTCTCTCTTTCTGTCCCCTTCTTGTTTTTTCTAGTTCTTTTTTAAATATTAGATAAATTTTCAAAAAAGGAAAAAGTATAAATTTTATACAGTTTTTAGCTCACAGTTCTAGTCTCAAGATTTTCAAAATACAATGAGAATATACATATATAACAAGCTATTAAGTATTCTTGGATATAGAATAAACTTATTTCTTCAAGATATCAATTTCGGCATTTTTCCTGATGGTATCGAGATTATAATCAATTAGAAGTTTTCCATTTCGGAATACTGGAATGAGTAGATTCTGAAAGGAAATGAATAAGGGAAATAATATAGAAATAGGTCGAGTTAATATTGTTTTTTACGTAATTCTACTCAAGAATAAAGTATTATTTACCTTCGATGAATCACCTTGACCTTCTTCCTTAGTCACAAATGAATTTCCTTCTTGTTGAAGAGTCAGAATTCCTTTTTTAGATTTCTTTCCCGGATCATCTATAGGTTGCTTATAAACGCTTACTCGTTTTCCATTTATTTCTGCAAAGCTGCATTTATAAGCGCATTTTTGAGTATCGCGGTTGAGTTTTTGTAAAAGAGCTCCGCCAGAACCAAAGACTAAATTTTCCGAGGACCATTTGGCTTTTTCCAAAGCTGCTAGTATATCACCTAAAGTTTCATAACAAATACCATCACCTTGAATGATTCGTAAATAAGATGGGAGCATTTTATATCCTTTGGAGTTAGTTGTGGTTGAAAATCTCTTTTCCAGAAGGTTCAACAGCTTAATTTTTCAAGTAAAATAGAAATATTAAAAATAATAAAACAGTATTATACTCTACTAAACATACTTTTAAAATGACTGTAGCGGGATCTCCTGAATCGGGTCTGATCACCAATGTACCATTCGTTTTACTTCTTTCTATTATTTGATCTCTCAATTCCTTTCCCCAAATATTATCACAAGCATTGTAGATATCATAACTATCACTTACAACGGAAACTGTACCAGTTGGAAATTGGTCCAACATGTTTTTAAACGCTTCTCTTTCGCCACTTTTTTGCCATGTTGTAATTGTGCTATGCTCAGCAGCTGGTACAGAAAAACCGGCCATATCGCATGAATAATACTGTCTTGCAGTACATATTGCCGCAATTGTATCTGTTCCTTTAAAGTTTACAAGATGTGCTGCGCCACCAATTCCGGCAGTCTGAAAATGTATAAATATAATTTATACATGCAATTTGCATTTGATGAATTAAGTCTACTGATAAAAACTTACTTCTACTGATGAGACGCCTCTAAAACCAAAATCGTGCAATTTAAATGGTAAACTTTCTAATGAATCAGATGTTAAATTTAAATATTTGGCAATTATTTCTTTTTGATATCTCGAATTAGTAGCAACCGTCATTGGATACCAAACTTGAACAAAGATGGTCTAGAAACAAATGGAAGAGTTCATTTAAATTTACATTAGTTTCATACTTTTTTTTTACGAAAACGAAATAAACAAAGAAAGAAATTGATCGTGTTACTTTCTGCAATCAGTAAACAATAGTTCAACTGAAGTTTGTACAAAAGAGAAAAAAATCACGTGATTAAACAAGAACTACAGTGTACAGTTATAAAGGCTAACTCCTTCTTATTCCCCACTCTCATTTATATTGCTACAAATCAAATAAAACGACAAATATATAATACCTCTAAGTAATTTGTGATCCAATAACACTTGGGATCAGTATTTTCCACCGTAAAAAGAACATTTTTAACGGGAACAACAGTACCTTCAGGTACAGCCTTGATTTCAATAGGTAGATAACCGTTGTGTTCCTGGAAAATTTATTAAAATATAGAAAAAAAATAGAAACACTCGACAAAGGTAATTAAAAACATTTTGAATTATTATTTTGGGAAAATCATGAAAAGAAGAGAGAGAGAGAGAGAAGAATTGAAAATATTGTTTAATTGGTTTTTAAAAAAAAATAAAATAAAACGTATATTCAGTAAAAAAAGAAAGAGAAAAATAGGCTCTTATGAATAATCAATTAATCAATAGGTTCCCTGGTATGGGACGGTGAATTACGTGAATATAGAATAGGAGCTTTTACGTTAAACAATTAGCTATAAAGTTAAGTATTAGAAAATTCAGTTTACTGACAAAATGAAGCTTTTATAAGAAAAGAAATTTAATAAGAGCAGATATTTTTCTTTCAAAACAGTTTCATTTTTTTTTTCTATGACCTATTTTAACGAAATTCTATGATTTAAGTTGTTTTACGCGATAATTAACACATGTTTGAAATAGATAATTATAGCATCATATACATATAAATGGTATTAATTTGTGTATATATATATATATATAGTATATACATCATATCGAAAGTGAAAGTAGCATGATATAGATAAAGACATTATCTAATTATAAAGACTTTTTCATACCTTTAAAATATAAGTCCAACCTTCCTCATTGAAATAATCTTGACCAAAATGTTTGTGGTATAATTCTTTTGCTTGAGCAATTTTCTCCTTGGTTACAACCTGACCAACAAGCCATCTCTTCAATATGTATTGTAGGCCGAAGAAAACAGTTTTCTCAAATTTTCCACCTCTACTTTCAAAATAAGAATAAACCTTTGTAGTATTTGTAGGATATTGTCGATGATGAGTGACCTTTTTTTTATAAAAAAAAAATCAACTTTAATTAATATTTCGATCATAAGTCAATATTTAATATTTTTTAAATGAAATAGTCAAACAACAACCTTATAAGAATCTGTGCATAATAAAAGGTTATCCACTCCAGCCGGCAAATAAGACATTATTGGCAATTGCTAACTCGTAACTGAGAAAATTCTACTGCTCTGACGACCTTTTAAAGAATTTTGAGAAAACTGCTGAATTGAGTTGCAATTTCATCCGGGGCTTGTTTAGTCTTGTTTTCTTGAAATCCATAGGGGGAGCAGTGGGTTGCTCTACAATGAAAATTGGTCAATACCTATAATTGCCTTCTATGTTCGAATGTGTTACTAAAATCATGGCAGAGTCCACTTTCAAAAATGAACCGACTGTCGAAGAAAAGAAAAAAGATGAAGAAAAGTTCATCCGTGAGGTATTTAAATGTGACAAGTGCTCATTTCAAGCACCTTACGATTATTATGGAATGAAACCACCTTTTTGTAAGTCTCTAAAGTAAGTTTTTCCAAACCGAAACCCCATATTCGTACAATATTTTAATTTCGTAGTCTTAAAGAAGATTCTTTTATTATGAGAGATCCGTTTACCGAAGGCAGAAAAATGGTCGTAATCGGTGCTAAATGTGTTGGATGTGATAAAAATGTTTGCAAATCATCGGTAAACTATATTATTTAAAAGTTTCATTATGAATTCTTCCATATTGCGTAATCTACAGGATTGTGGTATCTTCTATACAAAAACATTCTGCCTTACATGCGTTGATGAGAATACCGATGAATTTCCAGAACAAATAGTACAGGTATTAAATAAAAGTTTAACAAAAGACAATAATCTATTCACAATGATCTTTTATCTGTTTTTTAGGAAGTTGTAAAAAAGTTGCATTACATGTCTTAGAACAAGAAGAATGTGGTAAACGTAACATAAAATCAAAGTTATACTAAAGAAATAAAAGAAAAAAGGTTCAGCTGATCATATTAGGTAAAGATAGCTGTTTCAAACTTGGACGAGAGAAAGGACATTAAAGGAGGATGATAAAAGAATAAAAAAGAGATTAAACCTATTTTTATTTTCAAAAGCTAATTAATACGACTCCAAATAAAGTCATTTATATAAATAATTAAAATATTATAGATGCTATCAGATTGATTTTTAAATTTAGAAAACGGAATATTTAAAGAGGATTAAAAGGTTTTTGTTAGATCTCTTCTCAAATAGGTCAATACAACTTATTTCAATTTAACAGTGTAGGCCCTCAAATATACTAGGAAAAAAAGAAATAATACATAGCTAGCCAAGTATGCAATTTCAGTCTAATGTGTCCTTTATTGTTGAGAAATTGTGATTATTCAACGGAAAAACTGATGAATTTGCCAAATTAATCATTTCTCATAGAAGTTCTGACTGGAATGATGACTCAATTATTAGTTTTATGAAAGAATAGAGTAATACTAGTTCTGGGCGGTTTGAAAAAGTTGAATTTAGCTGATTCATTAACCGGACTGTTTTATGTTCCATAAAGAAGCAAAATGTACGAAATAATTGCTAAAAGCTACCTTCAGCAGTATTTGAAGTGAAATTTCTCTTTTAGCTTATTGCTAAATTGTATAACAGCAAATATTTATTATAATCTGTACATTGTAAACAATTCCCTGTAATAAATCTCTAAATTGAAGGTTTATTTGTTCGTGTTAAATTGCCTATTTTTATCATTCCAAGTACTATTCTTTGTCTCATTAATATCGGCAATTATCTATGTATACAAAGTATTAATAATTAATTCGAATTAATTGTTTCTTTAACAAAAAAGAAAAGAAGCATAATGTAGAATGTTTCATTACTAAAATACATTTTAAAAAAAGCATCTTTTTCTTAATTTTTCTAAAATGTATTCAAGTAATAAAACTTCCTTTCTATCTATCCAATACTAAGTACGTTAATAGATGTTTTTTTCAAATGCTGATTGGAATAGCTGGATAATAATAGATAGATAAAACAGAAACAACGCCCCCTTCTCTCTCTCTCTTGCTCTAATTCTATTTTTTTTACATATCTACTAGGTTTACATATCTATTGTTAAAGTATACAAAAAAGAATTAAGAATCTTAGAATAAGCACATTTTCAATTGTTTATTTGCAACAAAAAATATGTGGTACATAGTCAATTTCTCTCATTATAACGAATTGAAAAAGTAGATTATTTTATCATTAAGATTCATTGTTTCAGTTAACAAGCTACTATGAAAATTGAAATATGTAGCTTAAAATAAAAATAAATTTTTATGAAAGAAATAGATATGTAATATAAAGATATGAATATATAATATTTGAAATGGCATAATTCATAATTAACAATATTATTATATAGCTCGTATATATAACAGGCTCTTATCAATTACAAAATAAGCAATAGGTGTCAAATTTACAGCAATAATACTTTGCAATTTAGCTCTTTGTAATTCTCTTGAGACTTTTCAACTTTACTTTTTGCCATATCTCTTAAAATTTGTTGTCTATTCTCTTTGTTATTGGTAAAAGATAATCCTAATTTTTTGAATGGTAATATAGATTTAGTTGCTTCGTTTGTCTGTATTGTATGGCTTTTTAATGAACTCTCGCTATGAGACACCTTAATTAGCGGGGAATTCAAATTTTTTCTCTTGTTATTCTCACAGCTGTTAGCTGAGCTTTCTTGAGTTTCACTCTCAGTTGTTTTATTATCATCTTCAGTATTTTCATTTTTTAAATTATCTGTAGACACAGACTTTTTTTTATCTAAATTTGGATGACAAGATTGAGCAGTTAATAAACCTGCATTTCTTGACAATTCAGGATTGGAAGTATATCTATCAGTTGAGCTTGAAATTGGACCCAAAGATATTTGGACAGAGCAATCTTCAGATTCATTCATTTGATAACTTACAGATTGCTCTTCAATGGCATTCATTCTCTTATTTAAGTCATTGTATGAAGGATCTCTCGACATTGGACATTCAACAAGGGACAAATTTTTTTCACTTGTATGATCTCTACATTTTAGATAATGTGGAGGACTGCGTTTTCTTTCAATTCTCCTATTTTCCAAGATTGGAATGTCATGTTTAAATCTAGATCTAGCGGCTTGTAAGCATTCAGTAACAACTTTTAGGGCCTCTAGTGCTTTTTCGTCTGTGTCAATTACTAAATGGATATTGTTAAATAATCGTACTTTTGCAGGACGGAGGGTATAAAAATATTCAACATCTCCGCTCGTATAAAATAATCTCATAACGATCGGACTTGAACGAATTTTCAGAGTTCCTATTGTTTATAAAGAATAAATATGATAGTATATCATCTTTACAAATATTATTCAGACTTCACTAACCAACTTCAACCTTGAGCAAATCCTCTATAAAAATTTCTTGAGACTTTGAAATGTTATCGGTTCTATCATCGTATCGAACAACGAAAATTGAACGCTGAGAGAGCAGAATGACCACGTCCATGTCATCTTGTTGAGGATCACCCGTTCTAAGTAATGAATAAAGCATATATATATAATATTTAATTCATTAATGCTGAAATTATGGAATAAGTAAATTACCCAGGATCAACATCTATAAATCCCCAGCCTCCTTCAATGCTTTCTGGTTCGCAAATGAACATTTTGGTGCAATGACCTATAAAACTTCGTAAATTTTCAGCCTCTCTTTCAGCATCTTCCTGTTTATCCAATAAATCAGCAGTAGAATTGCTTAAAAAGAAACAAGCATAATTATAAGCTGTTAGAAAATAATACTTATAACAGAAATGATCTTTTCTAAATAAATTACGAAAATAATACTATCATTAATAATGGAATATAGAACAACAAATAGCATTATAAATTTATTTATTCTATATTAATTTAATTATACTAAAGCCCAAAAGTCAGACAGAATGATAAATACAGTATATAGTATACATACCACATAGCATCAGCTTTAATATTTCCTAACATTAAGTCCATCATAACTTGTCTACTGAGATCTTTAAATTGACTGAGATAATATCTAAGAAGACATTTAATTATATAAATATATTATATAACTAATAAGAGAAAAATTCAATGAAAATACTAACCTATTTGCGCTATTTACGCCGTCTTTAAATGCTCCTGCAAATCTCCTTTCGCCTGTTCTTGTATAATCTCCCTAAAATTTAAACAATATTTAATAGAGTAAGAAAATAGTAATAGTAAAATTACAATATTCAACCTTTAAAGCGGCAGTACCAGCATATTGCCTACTAATTGCGTCACCATTGTTAGCCCACATTTGTTGAAACTTCGATTTAAAGTTGGCTGTTAATTGCTCTTCTGGTTGTAGAACTAAAATTTTTCTACACTGAGTAGTAGATAAAGTCGATTAAATGCGGGAAACTTGGTTATAATTAATAAATAATTTATAAAGTTTACTTGAACTTCCAGTATAATTTTGGCCAAACAACTCTGAACTACATTTGTCCTATCGAGACAGTCAACGCAATTAACTCTAAATATTCCTTTCTGCTTACTGAGCGATTTTTTATTGTTTTTCCTATTTGATAATCATATTTTTTAATGCATTGAAATAAGTAGTTAAATATTTACCAAAAGAATTGTAAATCTTTAGTTAGTTGCTTAATATTTTCTGTTAAAATCGATACGTTTTCAAAATGCATTCCTCTACTGCGAAAGATCAATAAAAAAGAAATATGGTCTTTAGATAAAAATTTACAAGTAATATTAATAATCTAGTTAAAATTTTTACCAGTATTCATGAAAATCAAATGCTATAAAGTCTAAACTTTCGTCATTAAACTTTGTAATTTGCTTTAAAAATTCGTCATGTAGTACTTTCTCTCTTCCGCTTTGTTCTATAAGACTTATGGCTATTAGTTTGTCATATATCTTCTTTTGGGATTCTATATGGGCTTTAAATGCTGATTCGTTTTCTTCATCCTCTATGAATTTATTGAAAGTCGATTGTTAAAAGAATTTAATAAGTCCACAATTAAATTATCGTACTCTCTAGAATTTTTGGTGGTGGACGATATTTCACTCCATTTTGAGTCCAGAAGACAGGTACTGATCCTCGTATAATGGCAAAAGATAGAATATGATCGCCGTGTTTCACGATCTAAGTCAATACAAAAAATATATTTCACATAGACTTATTGATCAAATAAATGAATAAAATATATAATTTCATATTCTACCTGCTCAGTTTCAACATAATTAGCGCAATTTCCCTCTCCGTCTACCCCTCGTCTCCTGTATCTTGTTCCTTTTTAATAATATTAAATATCTCATTTAATGAAATCTACTATACGGTATACTAACTAAAAGAATTCAGCAAATTTGATAATAAAAAAAACACATACCTGCTCGATATCTACTACGCCTAGAGATTATTACCACTTCTATCTCTTTGGATTTGTCGCTCGGATCTTCCTGTTGCACCGAGATTCTCTCTATTTGAACGAATCCCTGTATTACAGGAATTAGCCATGGCATAACAATATCATAATCAATCTATAAGCCACAAAATCATAAATATTAGGTTAAGTTATTTTAAAATGTTGCAAAGTTTACAAGGCTTTTTTCAACTAAATCGTTCATCATATGAGCATTCCAAATGAATCTTTGATCGGATATATTCCATAGATAACTTCCTTCTTTGTTCGTCTGTTGTCTTTGCAGAGTATTTGTTAAATCCCCATTACTAATGTAAAACGATTGTGATTCATTAAATAATTTTAGCAGTTCCTGAGGAATGATCAAAAAATAGGCTCTCAACTTTTCTTGGATATTTAATAATTAATACATACGTCTTTATGTCTTTTCTCCAATTTATCTTTTTCTTTAACTCTTTCTCTCTATAAATTTAAGAAGGGGAAAATTTTAAATTACTTCGTATAAATGAATAAACGAAACAATTATCAATTGAAGGGGGGAGAGGGAGATTAGTCGCCTTTTTTTTGCACGATTATTAGTTTTGTCACAGTATTTCAATATAAATTATTTACAGTGTATAGAATTTTATCAACTTAGAATTTAGGTTACATCTTCTGATTATGCACTGAGTTTTGTTTCATAATCTATGAGATGTTAAATTAGAACTAAATACTATGGATATTTTAGTAGAAGCACACTGTAAATAACAATATTATTTGTACAGGCATTTAGAAGCAATAAATGTAGAGTAGGGGGAGGAGGCCCCAATAACGATATCACCGTAAAAAATTGACACCGATAATAGAGGAAATAGATGCAATGCTGTTAACTAGGTTTATTCTTTTATATAAATATATATATATATATATATATTTATTAAAACTATTAATGTTAATTCTCATGAGATGAGTTTAAAAAACAATAGAATCCAAAGCCTTCCTAAATCTAAAGGATTTATCTATACAATTACCTATACAAATATAAAAGAAATGTGAACATAATATTTGTTCATATTTTTTATAATCTACAACATTTATAATAACCTGTAACGTTTCAACCGTTACTTTAGTACTCAGCTGTGTTAATTGTTCCTGGAACTGTAAATTTTATTCATTTAACAGTTGGCAATAGGTACATTGCGGTGATTATAAATAAGAAAAATATAAATTTATATTCGTAACAAACCTTTCTTGACGATGCTGTGAGATTATCAGCAAATGTTTTTATCTTATTTAATGATTTAAAATTGTTAGATTTCTGCTTGTTTAAATGACCTGCTGGATGCTTTTCGCAAGCCTGTATAATAATTTAATGATTATAGTTTCTGATTATAATTAATTAAGTAATTTTTGAACCTCTCTTTCGAATTCACCCGGTGGCTCATCACCTAACGACAATAAGTGGACTTTCTCTATTCTAGATACGTCAATATCGGAGTGAATAATGCCAATATTTTTCAACTTGAGTATTAAAATAAGTTTCCAATCACACTCTGGAAGAAGTTTAATTTTACCGATAACGCCTTGCACTTTTCCTAGACACGTTACATCATCTGGATTTGTATTAGCAGGTAAATCAGTTCCTGAAGTAATAAAATCGAACTTTTTTAAACTAATGTATACCAAAACGAACAGCTGAAGAAATTTTTAATATACTAATCACCTAAAACAGCTTCTAGTCTACCAGTGCTACGACTACACCATAAAGATCTATCATTTTGACGAAGAATGTAGTACTTGTCACTACACAACAATTCCATGATATCAGGAATATCTTAAAAAATACTATTCTCTTTGCTCAATTTCGACTAGCCTACTCCATTTTCTGCAAATCCCACACTGCCTTTCTTTGTTAAACAACGAAACGACAAGTTAGTTTTTCCAAAATGGCGCACACGACTATTCAATTGCTTCAGCCATTTTCAAATCGTCGTTTGTTACGTGTAATATAATCGTACGTTTTAACTGGTGAACTTTCTCTCAAAATTGAATTTCGCGCTAGAATTCAGCAAAGAAAGAGAATTCTCCGAAAATAAATGAAATTCAATTATCAGCATTAACCTACACAATTATGTTGGTCCATGAAATCGTAAATCAGTTCTACAGCGATATTCTAAAAAAGGTATAACTTTAACATTGATACTTTCATTTTTTGCTGAGTGATAATAAGTCTATTATAGGCAAGAGAGCGCGGGTTAATAATAGTTACTGCAATCGACGTTGATGCTCTATGTGCAACTACTATTTTAAAAGTAAGTTTAAAATAACTATTGAAGAGCTAATAAACAAGAATTTTATATTGTATTATTGTATTTAAACAGACTCTTTTGACTATTGATCAAATACCTTTCTCTGTATACCCAGTAGCGAATAGACATGAGTTTGAAGTGTACTATAATGAGAAATTTGAAAATGAAGTCAGCAAATTAATATACCTTTTAAAGAAATGTTTATTAATATTTATTATTATTTTTATGATATTCAGGAATCTGCAATAATTTTATGCATAAACCATAGTGCCGATTTTGATGTACTCTCCACTGTTATGAATGATACCGTTGAATTTTGGATTATTGATAGGTTTTTAGGATATTTGTATATTGTATATAACACTTTAACGACAAGTTTTAATTGTCATCAGCCATAGGCCTATAAATATTAACAATGCATATAATGCAAAACAAGTTAAAATCGTCTGCAAACATAAAGACGTTGGTGAAATCCCAACTTATCAAGAAGTCTTTGAGACTGAAAGCGATGAGGAAAAGGATAGTAACGACGAATTGGACGAAGGTCTCGAAGAAGATAACGACGACGAAAATGATTATGATAATTCAGCAAAAGCTGGAGAGAAGAGAAAGGTACGTTTTATTTATTTGTATGAAAAAAAACATTCAAAGTCATGAAAGACAAAAATAACAATATTAGGGATCCAATATGGGTGAAAAAGCATCTAAGCGAAGTCGAATGGAGAGTCATTTGGAAAAGAATATAAGAAAAAAAGAGTGGAGAGCGAAGCGAGATCAAATTTTAATGGATTACGATGAATTTTCTTTTTTTGGAACTTCGGTAATCTCTTTTAAATAATATCTTAATAAGTTAATACAAGATATATCTTCAAGGTTGCCTTGTTAATATGCGAATTGGCAATTAAACTGTCAAAAGAAAGCAACGAGATTCTTTGGTAAGATAATTTTTCCAATCTCTTATATCATTTATACATCTTAAAAATAACTTAGGCTGGCTCTTATTGGACTAAACTCGCAGTATCTTGAGAGTAAAATTGATCGTGATTCCTATATGGAGGGCATCGCTTATCTTAAAGGTCATGTTGGTCGTTTAAATAGGTTCGCTTCAAATTTTTATTAGTATTTTCTTGTTTGAAGTGAATAAACTTGTTTTTTTTTTACAGAGAATGCGAAGAAACTGAACCAAATCTGAGCATATCATTCTCTAATGAATTAATTCTTCCTTTATTAAGACATTGGAATGTTTATGATTCTATGTATAATTCTTCAACAGTGGCTGCAGCCTTTTGTCTTTATAATCATGATGGCAGAAATAAGTTAAATGGGTTTCTAGCAGATTTAGGGTAAGTTTTGATGGAATGTAGTGTTCAAGTATATTACTTTATCCACCATTCTTATTTATAGTTTACCCGTTTCTCAATGCCAAAAGTCTTTTGTTGCCATGGATCTAAATGCCAAGGAAAATTTTGAAAATGAATTTAGAGTTCAACTGAATAGATATCAGTAAGGATATAATCTTTTAGTTTTATTGAATCAACGAATACTTAATCATGCAATAACTGTAGACTTGAAGAATCGGATTTATTTTTGCCATCCTTTTTGGCTAGTTTCAAAATGCATGGAAAATTCTCTGTTCTAGATTTTTATTATCTTATAAATGGCTCTTTATATAGAGATTTGGTAATATTTTATTTAAACAGTGAAAATATATTGATACTACATGTTTATTTCTGCACCACTTTTCCAGAAAGTCAATAGTGAGGAAACAGATGAAACTTTAGCTCATTCGTTCTACGCAGCAAACAACGCCAGAAATTTACTTGATTTCCTGACACTGTCAGTTTTAGAAAATGAATTTGTCAATTTTACAATACAGCTAATTAATTGGATCTATGACTTTGCAGGAAATCAACAAACTTAATAAAAGAGGCAGTACCTCAGGGAATAGAATTGCACTCAATTATAATGGAAACTGTGAGATCCTTCATTAGCAAAGCTTTAGTTTGCGGCACGTCGTCTTTCCTTTATGTATCTCTACCGCAAGATGACAAACATATCGTTCTCTTTCAACTTCCTGTGACTATATCTTGTTTAGCGAGATACACTCTGGAAATCTATGTTAGAGGATTACCCGTGAGCAATAATGTAATAATTTAAAATAGTATTTAGTAAACAAGACAGTTTTCAGTCACGGAATAAGAGATTTCGTCAATTACCCCTTATACTGCGTGTTCCTTGCTTAAATAGTGGAGATTACTATTGCGGAATTCCACCATATGATGACACATCTTGTAAAAAGTAAGTCTTAAATTTCATTCCTTATCAATATAGAAACCAATTCCACTAAAAAAATCTAGTGTTATCCATTCTGCTTTCGATCAAGCATCAAAAGTAATTGGATTTGAACCTCTGAATAAGTTGTTTGACAGGAATAGTAAGTGTTTTTTAAATTAAAATTTAAATTACATATTACACCGGTTTATATTTCAGTGGTGCTCATTCGTTCCGAAGATCGGTCTAAATTTTTAGATACTCTCGCAACGCTCTTAGCCTAAATTATATTAATTATTTATTATGGACCGGATGAAAGTAATCCTTAAGTGGAATTTTAACATTTTTGTTTCGTTGGTAGATATTTCGCAAGTTAGACAGTAAAATAATTTAATACCACTCTCGAAATATACTTGATTGATGTAATTAAAGTAAATTATTTAATTATTTAATGAGAAGCATTTGTCCGAAAAGATTGCAAAGGAAGTTTTGATGAAAACTAAATATCGGAAATAGAGTTTGCAGCAATTTTCCTCTTTGATACCAAAAATTTTTATTGAAAAAGTTTTATAAAATGGCTAGAAAAGTCTGTGATCAGTTTGAAATACTTGGATGTGAAAAATAGATAATCATAAAAAATTAAACCCTGCAGATTTGCGTATTAGCTCTTCGAATTCTCTTTCAATTTTTCACGAACTTTGATCTCGTCCTTGAAGGCTAACATGCCTAGTTGCCTGTGCGAAGCTTCGTTCAAAGCTCGTGAACTTAGGCATGATCTATATTGGTCAATTGGAAGATTTCCGTCGCATTCTTTTGGATGCCAAAGGTGAAAAATTCCCTGATCAGGAGATCTCAAAACAACATAGGAAGACTTAACGTACTTTTTAAATAACAATACGTCTTCTTTTCCCCAACCGGATACTTTTTGGTCAAATCCTGTAAATTTATACTGGTTATTAAATAGTTTACTATATAGCTGAAATACAAACCCCTAATACTCTCGAAATCTGATTTATACTGACACGTCATTCCATATCCAAAATCCCTCCAAAAACCAGTATCTTTAGAAATAACCAACTGTTTATCTTCCTTAGGGATATGATAACCGTGCATAGTGTATACTACTTTAGGATTATAGAGCGAGAATACCATGGGATAATAAACACGTTTTCCCTTTTCAACATTAAGTCTGCAGCGTTGTAAGAACTCAGCATTAAAAATTACATCAACATCACAAAAGAATAATATAACATCTTCATTTTGCCAATCGTCTACACCAGCTTGTAATCCTCTCCCTCTAGAAAATGTTTCTTTCAAGTGGATAAATTTAGCTGTGATCTGATTTTGCCTTAGCTTATTTAGCATAGATTTTGCCTCCAAGCTACCTTTCTCTCCGAAATAGACTAGTGTGAACGCTAATTTTGTATCTTCAAGAGCAAGCATTTGGAAACGATCCAAAAAAGATTTAAATTTATCCAATCGTTCATAGGATAGTGGTAAAATTACCAAAAGCAGTTTATTATTAATATTAATTGGAGCGTATCCCAAGCCATAAACTGGTGCAAAAGGTCTGGATAAAGTTACTCGCACAAACTTATTCCTGTCAGTAGGAAACTCAAGATTTCTAAAATATAGTTCATAAACGGCACCAATAGAAGGTTCATTCTTGACAATACCTTCTAAAAATATTTTATCTGTATAAAGACTTTTTTCTTTTCCCTGATAAAACTCTTGGATAGACAAAGGGTCTACGATTTTGTTAAATTTTGTATAAATTAATGTTGGCTAGTCTATTCCATGAGTTTTACCGATGACATTCTTTTTTTATTGAGAATTTTACAGGCTCCTGATACGACTTCTAAGATATCTTTTTTCTTGAACGCAATAGGTTTTTCCACCACCCTCTTCCCCAGACCGGGTTCTATTAAATATATTCTATTCAATGTGAATCTGGCAAAGGCACTCATCTCAAATTCGTTATGGAATTTTAAACCGCCTCCAGAAAGAGATCCATTCCGCCACCTCGAGTGGACTTTGGTTATTAGATCTTCAATTTCAGAACTTTTAGACCTTGAGGTTTTATTTTCCTTTAAGTCATTCAATTCGTATTCTAGCTCCCTTATACGAGCCTCTTTTTCAGCTATTATTTGCTCGTAATCGTAAGGTCTTAAGAAATTCTGATTCAATGTGGACGTTTGGAAGTTTAAGAGATAAAATAGTGACATCAAAGACATAAGAATGCATAATAAGAACAACCTGAGAATGAAACGCATTGGATTTCTACTGAATAATCTGTATGGAATTCAAAAGAAAGATAAATTATTACAAAGGATAAATATTGTTCCATTAGTAATACTGTATAAATAATAAGTCTGATCACTCAGTTTTTGTTCTTATAAAGTACTCCATTGTTCTTTACTCTTTAATGGTCGTAAATCATTCATTTATTTGAATAATTGACGTTGCAAAGTAAATTTATATCATTAAGTATGTGTGTAGTAGCTGTTTATTATATCCATACTGAAATAATATGTAGATAAAATACTCTTATTTTATATGCATCACTATCAGTGAAAATCTAGTATGGAAAACCAAATAAACAGTGTAAACAAAACTCTCGTGAAAACTTTTAACCTTTTACAATACTTTTTTTTAATGCATTGATTTTGCATCTAGAAAGTGATGAATTTTATGCTGAAAACTTAATATTTAATAACGAAGAATTTAAAAAACTTTCTACTCAAATAAACGAAACATATAGAGCTCACCGAAAATTTAAGAAAGTTGAAGAAATAATGGAGGAACTGTGATGAAAGTTCTTTTTCCAATAATAAAAATGAAACCTCCACTCAGTTGATAATTATAAAAGTTTCAGTAATGATGTAAATTTATTGTATCTTACTGAAATTCGCTATAAGTCTAATCAACGGAGATATTTTGGACAACACTAACGCCATCTACAAAGATCTAAATTGATCGGTACCAAAGTTTGCGAAGGGCGATCAATATCGAGTCATTCGGAAACGATTGAGGTTTAAATTTCCTAAACACTTTTGACGCCTATGACTTATCAAGCACAGATCGCTTAAGTTTTCACAATTTTATCTCTTAAATGTTCATTATTGCTATTGCCAAATGTTTCGAAAACTAAATAAAATACGCTAAATTGCAGAAATAATAATATATTGTATGATATATAAGAATAATATTAATCGAATCGAATAACCAAAAAATTTTAATCGATAAGAAGTGATCTTGTTAAAAGCGGAAATATCGAACCGGAAATACGGCGATATCGATATCGAGGGCTTATCGTCGATATACAAATCAACTATTGTAACATTACTAATTTGACAAATTCGCTCTCGTCCACACGGTAATTATACTAACAACCATTTTAGCTTCTCATTTCATAAGAAAATCATGATCTAAATCACTTTATTCGACCATTATTCACTGTAAAGATATTTTTCACAGCAATGGCGGATAGACGTTTCAAAAGTAGATCCCGTTCGGCTTCTATTAAGCGTCATAGAAAATATTCCAGGTCTCGATCAACTGAGTCTAGAACACCTAGCCCGCAGCTGAAGAGAGGTTATTCAATTTTTTTTAAAATTTTCCTTCCCTTTGTTAACATTTTAATGTGTTCTATTTAAAAGGGCGTCCATATTATGACGACAGAAGCTTCAATTCGAACAGAAGGCAATACAGAGAAAAGCGAGGACGACCAAATCGTTGGGAGGATGATCCATCCGAGGATGGTTTCAGAGTTCATGTTGGAGATATAGTTAAGAGGACCACTCAAGATGAAATAGAAGACGCTTTCCGCAAATATGGTTATATAAAAGATATATTTGTGGCTAATACGTTCCCACAGTTCGCAATTGTCAGTTATGAGGACAAGCTTGATGCTGAAGATGCTATCAGAGAATTGGACGGAAAGTGAGATTCTTTTAAAAAACATTTTCACATGTTTTTCACTTTTTTTCATTCCCATTAAAATGAATTGCATGAATTTAGTTTCTCATGTTCGCAACACATGTTACAGTTTTCTAAATGGATCTAAAATTTCCGTTTCTATCGCCCGTCCACGAAAGAGACAAAGAGACGAAAGAAAAGTACATGGATCATTTTCATGCTACAAATGTGGAAGGTCGGGACACATAGCAAGAGATTGTGAAGATCGCGACGATTATCAATCCCGTAACGAGGGGGGATACAGCAGAGGCAGAGATAGAGACCGTGATACTTGGAAAGATAGAAGGTGACTGATCAATTTCTCTTTTTTTACATATTTGTAGAAGAGTGAATAACACCCGCATTGTTATTTTAGATACTAACACGTTTATTACATGCTATGCGTGTTTTTATTTATAAATTTGTTGATTAATTTTTTTAAGTTCACTTTATGGATGGGCTTGGTCAAAAATGTATTTTTTTTTTAAACAAATGCACACAAATTTTATATATAATTGGCATTTTTCAGAAGTCGTTTGGTTAATCTTTAAGTTTAGTTGAAAGATTGGAAATTTTTGTTGGTTATGGTAAACGTAAATGTTAATTTCAAAGTTGATGGATGATAAGCATAACTTTCATTAACTAAAGACTAACTTTTCATTTTGTTGTTCGTTGTGGTATGTGTGTGTGTGTATGTATTGATTTGGAATAAAAAGTTGTAATTGTTTCATCAATACCATATGCATTCTTTTAGGGAAAATCAAGAAAATATTCAACATTAATGCTCATTACTAAAATATTTTTTATTTTTTGTTTTAGACAAGAAAACAAGTCCTACGGAAATGGAGACAGAGGCAATCGGCAAATGTCATGTTACCGATGTGGAAAAACTGGACACATCTCGCGAGAGTGTGATAATATGAATGAAGTTGATTCAAAACGAAGGTAGAGCATTTCTTTTCGAAGTGCCATTTTAGTTAACAGGGATTAAGCTCGTTTGCGCGTTATGTTCTCGAAAACTGAGTTTTCTTTTTTAATACTGAAATTATTCTGATAATATTTACTAATATTTCTAGGCATTTGCTCTCCATGGCTAGAAAAGCAATCAGTCATGTTTTGCGTTTCTCTGGTGCTTTTGGGAGGGTGTTAAATTATTGTTTCTTAAAATCTGTGTAAAAATATATCGGCGACCAACACATTGCTCTGGTTGATGATTAGGCATATGTGAACAATTGGTAAAGTGGTCCTTTTGGCGTGGTTGATTATTGTGTTAAAAATGTCTTACAATAATGGTTTGCCCACCGGTAAGAATTATTATATGAATTTGGCAAGATAGCTAATTGTAGTAGTCAGTCAATAACTGGGCTTTTTTTCTTTCCCCCTATATTTCTACTGCATAAGTGAGCTGGAGTAGTAGAATGACGGCATATATATTTGTTTATCTTACCAGCTCGACGTTCTTACCTTATACTAAGAAATATTTTAGATTTTATATGTTTTTATTAAAGACAACGATCGCGATCGTACTCACCGAGGAGACGAAAGTCTAGATCTACATCATACTCACCAGCGGGCGACAAGAAAAACAAATCTCTTTTGGATTCAAGTTCTCCAAATGGTAGAGGGTAAGCTTTCTAAATAGAAATAATTAAAATCTAATCTCTGATAACTTGTTTATTTTTCGAATGTTTTAGAAATGATAGATACAGAGATGACTTTGATGACTATGGGAGAGATAGAAGAGACCGAAGGGAGAAAAGGGATGGAAGAGATGGCCGCGATGGGAGAGACGGTCGAGATATAAGAGACGCAAGGAGTCGTAGAGACAGTAGAGATAGTAGAGATGGAAGGGACGCCAGGGATTACAGAGATGAAAGGGATGTTCACGATGATTGCGATGATAGAGATGATAGAGATGATAGAGATGAAAGGGATGATAGAGATGAAAGGGATGATAGGGATGATAGGGATGACAGAATGGGACGAAACGATAGGGACGATAGAGACGATCGGGATGATAGAGATGATAGAGATGATCGGGAGGATAAAGACGACCGAGAAGACAGAGAGATTTCAATGGAGAATGATCAATATTGAAGTGAAATTTTGTTGTCATTTGTTTAAATTGTATAATAAACACCAAGTAAAATAATGTATTTCGTATTTTCGCTTATTAACTGTACCTCTTTGTACGTAGTGCTTACGTTTTCAAATACTGAGTGCTAGGTAAGACAATGAACGAACTCGAAATTCGGTTTATTAATGATATGTAAAGACAGTTAAATAAATGTAATAAAAAAAGTATCCGTAGTTAGTTAAAACCATCCTCTTGTAAGAGAGACTGTAAACTAAAACACGTTTTAAAAAAGCTAACAAACCTAACAGCAATTTATGAAGCAAAGTCTGTAATTTCTATTCCTTTAAACTATCTATAAATATGTAAATTAGAATAAAATATATAAGATATATATATACTCACCATCTAATTTGAATAAACGATAGGGAATTTCTATTTTCGAGAATAATGTCTTTATTAATATAAGCACTAAAAGTTGTGTCCTTTTTCAGTTTCAAAAAGGTTTGAAGTATGTTTTGTTTTTTTTTTTTTGCTATTTTGCATTTTTTTATATAATAAAATTTCTGCTTTATATGTTACTATAGCAACATATTATTTAAAATAATAATGAAAGTAAGTAAATAGTTTTTTTTTTGTAAATAATAACTTTGGTTTTCCTTTCGGCGTTTTAGGTGAAAACTTCTCTATAATAGTTTGTTATTTCCCCATATAATTATGAAACTTTACTTTTCAAAGATTTCTAAATTCTATTGTTTTTTTTTAAAAAAAAAGAAAAAGAAAAATGTCATTACTTTTATATATATATATGTCTTTCTCTTCCTTTCTTCCCCTTCTCTCACTCTCTCTCTCTCTCTTCTAAATAGATCGCCGATAGGGGACGTTGTCTCTCCTTAAAAATCTTTTGATTTTATTATATTTAAAGATATGTCGTTATTTTTGGTGCAATTATGACGAATTTGCGTGTTTGGTATGTTTAAAGAATCTATAAAAAGTTAAAAAATAGAAAGAAAATCGGATGTCAACAATCTTTCTATATATGTGTGGTGGATTATCTTTCACTGGCACATGAATAAATGAAGTAATTCTATATTTTATTCTATGGTCTATTACCATCTTTTACTTTAATTTAAGATATTATTTCTAGGATTAGAACGATCGAAAATAATTATTGTATCTGTTGAACCGCAAATAGATGCTTTTAAAGTACAAACTCTTTAAATAATCAACGGTTTTTGGCCTAGATGTAAAATTCTCTAAGATGCGCATGTACGTAGTCGCTGCATTATGGAGGTGATTTAGTACAGGTGTGTAGATACTTTGCCTCTTTTTGCAATATACCTCAGTAGTCTGAGATATAACATTCTCGAATAAAAACATACCAATAAAAAAAGGATAAGTACTTGGTTTATGTTGTTTTAAGTGAAGAAAGCGGAACTTTTTCAATCGTCTCCCCCAAGAGTAACAAAGAAACATCAATAGGAAAGAATGGATAATCTAAAAAAAATGTTCTACGGTAATGAAAGATAAACATTTACTTTATTCGAATTTTTGCTAAAGTATAGTGTTTTTTTTTACTTCAACAGAGGAGGCATATCTGAAAGATATTGCATCTCAACTCAGTAGAAAAGAGGCTGTAAAATTGGCGAAAATACTTGGGATTCAAGATGAGGAAGTCTATCAAATTGATGTCAGTCGGAGGATGTACGCCTTAAGACAATGGGATTATGGAAATGTTGGTCATCTAAGTGTTGAAGACAAGTACGAAATATTGTCAGAAGGATTAAGTGGCGTTGGTTTTGAGGGAGCTCGGTATTTTTCAAAAGCTAACTATCCTGATAGTAACAGAACAGGTAATAAATAACTCATCTATTAATAACTCTAATATTTTAAAAGATGAGAAAATAACTTGCAGAAGGTGATTTATTAATTGATTTACAACTATTGGCTAATGAACAAATACCCAACAATCAATTTCAATCGTTATGTAACAGTCTTGGAGTGGAACATCATATTGAAATGAAGAATAACCTATCGGAGATTAATCAGCGCTTCCTTTTAAGATGGTGGTTTGGAAAGAATGCATATGCAAACACGTGCGAACGTTGGAGAAGGGAAACAAGCATTTACAAAATAGGGTTGGATTGTAAAGAGGTGGTGGAAAAGTATAAAATCTTGGTAAAAGCTCTATACGATGTCGGTAAGAGTAATTTGGCGAAACGAGTTGAAGAGGATATAGATATATTCTTGTCAGAGAAGGCAAGGGATAGGGCCGAAATGAATGTCATGTATACTGGTTAGTTATATTCTTAGTATTATATTACCAAAAGCAAATATCCTCTTTATTTCTTATTATTGACAGATAAAAAGTATAGATGGCTCTTCTGGTGCTTACCTTGTTAACCTAATAATTAGACGCACCTAATTATTTCATCAGCAGACAAAGATGACACGTAATTACCATTCAACAAAAGAAAAGCATTCCTTCTGTTTAAACACTTAATGAGAGTTTATACTCTCAGCATAAACAAAACGATATTCGCTTTCTTGTTGTTTTATTAATAGAATGAATACAGATATTTTGTGCCATAATAATTAGCCACTTTGTCTTTTTGGTACATGTGTGCATTCTATTTATATGAAGCTTCGAATTATAATTAATGTTATATGAAATATGTTGCACTAAACTATAAAGTATACGTGGAGTGAAGGGGAAAGAGGAGAGAGGATCATCATAGATTCTTATCATTAACATATGCTACAACATGAGGGTAATACACATGCACTGGGATGACTTCCATAAAAGCAGAATAACCTTCAGTTTAGAGCTTGTACTCAGCGAGTGATAAACCTAATAGCAGCCAAATGAATACCGTAGAAACTGAAAATATTGTCTTTTCATACAAAGATATTGAACGACTTGGGAAAACAAATTTATCAGACAAACTCATAAAATACATCTACGGTGGAGCTGATCAGCATCAATGCGTAGAAAGGAACAAGACGGACATTGAGAAGTACACCTTCTTTTCTTTCTTCTTTTAAACTATTATCTAAAATCGTTTTTTCTATTTTGTATAGAATTCTCTTGATGCCAAAAGTATGCGCTAATTTAGAGGAGAGGTGTCTGGAAACTGAGATTTTGGGCCATAAAATTGGTATGCCATTCGGTTTCTCTCCAACTATGTGCAGAGCATGGATAAATGATTACGGAGAGATTCAGGCTGCTAGAGCTGCTTCAGATAATAATATTCCTTTCGGTTTAAGTTCTTACGCCGAAACCTCCATCGAACAAGTCGGCAAATCAGTTCGTGAGAAAAATTGTCTGAAAATTATGCAAATGAACGTCTATTCAAAAGATTCTATGAACGAGGAAATCATTAAAAGATTGGAAAAATCTGGCTTTCATGCAATTGCTATTACTCTGGATCATGCGGTTCACGGTAATAGAAGTTTTGACAAAGCGATAGAGGAAGACAACAGCACAGTTCATTGGCCAATGCCAAATTTTCCTAAAGGTATTTTGTCTGAATTAATGAAGGATACGAGCAAGGATGCTTCTGAAGTTGATTCATATTGTCAAACTTGGGATGATATTCGTAGATTAAAGAAGCTGACAAAACTAAAGATCCTTGCTAAAGGAATCTGTAAACCAGAGGATGCTCTAGCAGCTGTTGAAGCTGGAGTAGATGCTGTTTGGGTTTCTAATCACGGAGGACGACAATTAGGTGACGGTCCTTCAACTATTGAAAGTCTTAGAAGAATTGCGCCTGTCCTGAAAGGTAAAGGGGTTGAATTGTACGTCGATGGAGGATTTTCGAAAGGGACAGATATATTAAAGGGCCTTGCTCTTGGTGCAAATTGCGTTTTCTTTGGTCGACCTGTACTTAGTGCTTTGGCATACGATGTAATTAGATGTTAATTATAGACAAAAGCTCTTTCATTAACAACAAAATTATTCTTTTTCAGGGTGAAGAAGGCGTAGAAAAACTAATCGAAATATTAAGTAAAGAGTTAAAAAATGCTATGGCTTTGGTAGGATGCAGTAAAGTTTCAGATATTGATGAATCCATATTATGGGTGGAATAATTTAAATTTTAAATAATTATCAAATTTATTATTTAGCAAATACAGAATACAGTTTTTAAGACTAACATAATACACCAATATATGTGCAAAATCAATATACAGCATATATATATATATACGTTTATACAATATATTCAATTCTTTCTGTTTCTTAATCGTAATAAGCATTTAAACAACACATAATCACATAATTCACATAATGATAGAATTGATGCTCCAAGAAACAATCCCAAACATCCTCCAATTTCTGAAATGAGAGTATAAACATCAAATTGAACTTTCTGATCTATTTTAATAACATTCAAATCGCTATAGAAGATATTCAATTTAATTAGATTATTATGTATTATTCTTTCAACATCGGCTTCATCCTTTTTATGATTTTCAACGATATCTACTATAGTTTCTTTTACTTTATACAGCTTTTCTTTAAGCTTCCTTAACATCTTTCCATCTAGAGAATAAGCACTTTGTGCATCTTCGAAAATCCTATTAAAGTCTGCTTGAAGATTGTAGCTATTCGTCGGAGATCCTAGTGAGCTACCAAAAAGAGAAATAGTACTCTGATAATAATACTTGGCTAATATATACTTACAATAGGTAACAAGAGAAACGTGCTGTTGGTATTGAAGGAAGTTTAAAACCTCTTTTATCGCAGAGAAAAGTAGGATGTACTTCAAGATAATGATTTAAAGTGTTTTTAAGCTTGTCTATTGCGTACTGTATCAAGTGGAATTCGTTATCACAACTTAGGTCCAGGAAATCCGAGGTAGATAAAAAAACGCTTGCAAAGTTGAAGTCTACTTTCATGGATTTTTCAAATTCTTCTTCTAAATTGTCAAACACTCTAGATAATACCAGTATATTTTCTGAAAACAGCATTGAAATTCTATGCAAGCATCCATCTAGATTGAATGCAAGCTGGTTAAAGTGTGTTAGAATGACTTTTAAATTCTCATGAGCTTGGAGATCTGTTCCTCTAGGTTTGAAAATGTTGCAGTTGTTATTCGTTAATATAACGATCAACTGAAATAAATAGTCTCGTATAGGCATTTTGCTATATTTAGACAGTAAAGTTGGATTAAAGTCTTGGAGTGCTGTCATAAATTCGCTTATATTTCTCAATATGCCAGGTATCTGTTTGAAGAAAGTCAAGTCTGGGCTACAGAAGCTATTTGAAACACCATCAAAAAATGCAAGAGATTGGGCTATTATTCCTAATTCCATGTGGTCTTCATGAAAGCATTCAGGATCTACAATCTTGCAGGAGGGCGAACAATTCTTATCTGTTGAGTTATTATGATTAAAGCAAACTTGTATCAATTCCGTTCTATTATCTATTCGAAAGCTTCCATTTATATCTTTCAGATTACTCATAAACAATAATTGATTTTGGAGTAGTAAGAGTTTATCACTGATTCGAGAAGTTTTTAATTCTTTTCTGATATCTGCATTAACGGTTAATAACCGTTGAACGTCGTCAACACTACTTCTAAACAGGATTAAAATAACATCTTTTCTAAAGCTCTTATTTCTCTCCCATGCCCGTACCGCCCTTATTATTTCGTTAAATGTCTTTCGTAGATCTTTGAGTTGTCGTTTAAGCTCTTTATACTTTTCCGACCATGATAACTCTTTTAGAAATGATTGTAATTTTGTATCAGAATAGATTGAATAAAAAATGTTGGAGGAAATTGCATACGAATCGTATTTCACATATATACAAGGAAGTTTACACGAACAAGTAGTATTTTTAAGATTTTCCAATTCTGTAGAAATTATCGCTTTCTTTTAATATTAATTATTATATTAAGGGAGATAACAAACTTTTCAAACACAAATATTGTTGAAAGAGTAAACACATCTGATTCAAATTCGTCGTCATATATTCTTCTAGACAATTGCAATGTCTTAGATACATATCAATCTTACAGTTTAAATAGCAATTCGACATTGGAATATTATTCTCATTACAATGTCCATATGGTTCTGGCAAAACCTTCAACTGAAAGGTAAAAGTTACTCTAATTTCTTTTAAACTATTCCTCTATCATCTGTTTAACATTACTTGCGTGTTCGTAAGTTTGATGGACAAAGATGTTCCAGCTGATATTTCTTCACCGGATTCCATAATATTAGGAAAAGAGTTTGAACTATGGATTAGGAACTGAAGGAAGTAAATAACAGCTGAATTACCGTATCACTTGTTTAAAAAGAAAACAAACTTTAATACCAGATTCCATTGACTTTTTGATATGACTTTTATTCAAATAACTATCAGTATTGAATATAATTGATAATCCTTTATCCTTGCCTAGAAATAAGAAAGTAAGCAATTCAATTCATATCAAAGTAATGTTTCAATATAAGATAGAATTTCCCTTAATTAAATACCTGGATTGCTTGTTGTTTGTAATGATTCCCTGTTAAATGTATAGCATATACCATATTCAGTATACGTTTTAGTGAAATCTTTATGAATATTACAGTCTCTTTCATCAAATTTACATCTTTGAAAATATCAAAAAAAAACAAATATTAGTCAGCAATCCATCTTCTTTTCTAGTCTTTTCCAATATTTACCTGACAATAAATTTTTCAAGGCTATAATCATACATATCTACATTCTCTTTAACGGATATAACAAAATTATGGAGAAGCATCGATTCAAGAAACTGTTTTGAATCTAAAAATAGTGCATATATATATATATTTTCCATTGAATGATATTTCTTACAAACCATTTTTCCATTCTGTTATTTTTATAACTCTCTCCAATGGATAGTCTTGGGAAATTATGGAACTGTACGAAAAAAACAGAACTTTATACTTGGGAAATGAAATAAAACTTGTAAAATTCAACTTTTTAATTTGTTTGTTACAAAAAGTTATTGCTGGATAGTGGATTTTGTTATAATTGTATATATGGTAATTAGTCATTGCTCCTTTCTTGAAGTATTCTGATATCCTTTGATAACAATGCATACCAAAGAGGAAGCTAGCTCCGATAATAAATAATATCCAGATGAATCTATTTGGTTGAAGGATTTGATAGCTTAGATAATAAATACTATAATAATTCTACGAAACCGTCTAATTTTACTAAATGGAGAATCCTGAATAAATAAATATCTTATTCCATGAAAGGTTGTATGGTCAATGAATTCTTTCCAACTGGATTTTCCATTGAAACTTTCGGTTCTATCATTCATTTTTCTCTTTTTCAAGTTGCCCTAATCCCTTTCTTTTTATCTATAGAATAAACATATTTAATTATAGGCTGATATTCATTTAACCCTTTGTTTACTTCCATTGAATTAATTTATTTAACATCTACGTGCTGACTAGCACGACATTTAAAAATTTTTACAGATGATACATAGGATATTACTACTACATAGATAGCATCATCATCATCCACAAAAGGAATAACAATAGCATTTTTTCATTTCATTATAATTAAAATTATAATTACCGAGGGGAAAAAATATTCTACTTACTTGAATTGTCAACTAAACTTTATAGATAGATCACTTGCCCCTTTGAATACTATATATATATTAGTATATACATATAGATCTAGACACAATGCAGTGTATAAGCTGATGGGAAGGCCTAAATACTTTATGGACGCACTCTTTGGCCCCTCTCCCCTCCATTTCGATTAATTAAATAATTCAAGTTAATTCTTCCCTAATGGTAGTGAATATGCAAATATTAAAAAGCTTAATACATATTCATGATTTTCATTTTCTACCATAACCTATGGTGCTAATAAATTGTTGAAATCTTTTTGTTTTTCATGGAAATAAGGGATACACTAAAATAAGACAAACAATGGAATTATCAATTTTTATCAACTGTATTTGATAAGAAATATACAGGCTTTTGATTAAAATAAAATTAATTAAAGGGGATGACACATGTTTCTAAAATATATAGGTGCCATAAATCCCATTCACGAAATGAACATAACCTTAACATTTCATATTCGATACAAATTTATATATTCACTTGTACATTGTGTTTGTCATTATCAGTAATGTACTTGTAGCAATCTGAATATATATATCTTGTACATCAAGTATTCAATCGCTCATTTTTTTATTATGTTTTTATATATCTATTTTTAGATTTTATTTTATTTGAGCAGATTTGTTACATATGTTTCAATATCCTCTAAAAGCACATTGATTTTCGCTAAAATTTACATTTAATTTTTTTAACGTTTATTTTCATTAGTTTACTTGATATCTATGGAAATAAACTTATTAGGAGAATATTTTCGGAACTAGATGGCGCTGTAAACGGGCTTTTGTAACTTCCTTTTCCGAAACCGTTTGTTTTTTATTGAAAGCATGATTAATTGAACGAACGCTGATTGGACGAATCGAACGTTTTGATGACGTATTTGGAATTTTTGATGATTCATAGTTGTTGCCACGTATTTCATAATAGAAGGCAACATTTATTTCTCACTAAGCGACAGGGCGTTGGTCAGACTATATAAGTCATATTCAAAAGCATCAGTTAGCTTAGCTCTGCACAAGACTGCTCGATTCGTATCGGGCTCTTCAAAATAGAAGCGTCGGCGTTAAAAAAATCGTAACGACGCAATAATGGAAAATTCCAGCGAAGAATTGTATGGTGCCTTTAGGTAAGTGAAATTTTGTATATTCTTATCCTGTGTAAATTTGTCTCAAAACTGAGGGTTTTTCAAAGTCAAATATGATACTTCATTATAATTAAAATGAGGAAAACTAAAAGAAACTTTAAAAATATTGCTGCTTTCATTTTTGTTTGACAGTAGCCAAGATGGCGTCAGACACGTGACAATTACAAAACTACGTTTTAAGTGTCTATAAAGCTAAAATTATTCTCAAGAGCTTGCTTCGATAATTCTTTTTTATGTATCGAGATATCAGCAAAATTTTTAAGACCTTGAATTGAGAAAAACAAATTTAAAAAAAAATCAAGATGGCTGCCATCTATATGCGCAGTTGTTTATTCTTGAATATTGAGGTCGTTCTTTTAGTTTCCTCCATACTAAAAGAGCTTAATAGTAAACTATTACAACTGATCTTATAAATTCCAATTTATAAAACATATTGATAACAATTATGTATGTTGTTGAGCTTTTATTTACAACCGTATATATGCATAATATCGTTATTTTTTATTATATTTCATCAGGTTTCGTCACCGATTAGAAGTTATTAGTAATCAAAATGGGTAGTTTAAGAGTAAAATTGACCGCGTATAATTTTGACGTTCAGCGGATGAAAAATTTACATTAAGAATGGCGTTAATTATACAATGATGTAGCTGAAGTCTTGGGAAGTAAATCGACGTAATCTTCCAAGATAGGCCCATATCGCCACCATTTTACTGTCCGGATGTTTGAGTTTTTGTTCGCGATCTAACAAAAAATCCAAGAAAATAATAGCAAGCCTTCTCCCCTCTCTCCGCTGATTAATCTACGGCAAAAATTATGTTGAGAAAGTTAACGAATTGGTTGAAGTAGCATTTTTATAGCGAAAGTTAAGAAAACATAGGAAGTATCAACTTGAAGTTATTGAGAAGGATTTAGGAAATATGCAGAATTATTAATGCTTTTTTTACTAAAAGCTGTACTTGTGAATTATCTCGTTGTCTTTGCGAATGGTAAAAGGCGAAATAAGTCGGCTCCTTTTGGGTATTTTGCTATAGCGTTAAAGCATATAAATCATCTACTAGACAATCTAGGATGCAAGAAAACCTCCAGTTCCAAAATTTAAAGAAAATTATACCATCCTCATTATCCCATGCGGGAATTTCATTATGACTGATATAATCGCTTTATTATGTACGCTTAAATATTCAACCATACCTCTCCATAGCCTTGTAAGGTGGCGGGCTCAGTTAAGGAAGATATTTTTAAGTGTAGTTTTAAGCGTCGCTTAAACTATGTCCAATCGATCTCAACGTGTGATTCTCATGAAACGAAGAAATTAGAACGTGATTTTTTTCTTATGGTCGCTTGTCTTTTCATCGTATCAAGGATCATCATTAGGAACTTCGTTATAATAATATTTGAATTCTCCTTATTTCGGCTATAAATCTGGACCCAACAATTAACAGAGTGTTTTTTTTTAATACTACAATTTACCATTCGCAGGGTTTTACTTATTTCCTGACAGAGTGGCCATTAAATTAAAATCACTCCCTAATATATATATATATTCATTTAAAATCCATAGAATTTTTTTAATAAAGAAATATTTTTTATATGTATGTTATTCTAATTATTTTCAATGCATATTCTCTTTATTAATAAAAAGGCTCCAAAATTAGGTTATAGATTTCCCTTTTGTTGGGTTTAATCTTTATTGGTTATTAAAGATACAAGGAAATGGCTCTAATGCATAAATTGGTAAACTCCAAAATATGTATATATGTTTAAATGGTGTTTTGACCAGGTCCACCAGTTATACATGTGGTTACGAAGTATATTCGAAAGAGTTGGGACGCAAAAAATACTTAAGTCAGGTGGGGTCAGATTTAGGTTAACTTTTTATTGTTAAAGGTATAAGAATTACGTTAAAAATGTAAGCGTTGCGGTTACTTGAAGACAATCGTCTTTTTTAAGTGAGGGA